CATCCTCTATAATAGGTTACCTGTTAATACCGTCGAATTAACGTCATGATTACACCCGTGATTGGGTTCTGTGGCGTTCTCCCACCCTCCCATGTCTCTCAGGCTCCTTCCGTACAAGCCAAATGCCGCGTGCCCGTGTCCGAGGTTCAGTGAAGACGAAAAGGACGTGTACGTCACATACGGAGCCTGCCGTGCTGGTACCGAGATACACGCGTAAGACGGCTCAGTGCACCCGTCAGCAACGCCGCCTCAGGACAGTCTCCGCCTAGGTGGACTGGCTGCGAGCGCATGTGTCGTAATGGATATACGCTGTGGCGCAGCGATGCAATACTAGCTTAGCGCTGCGCGTATACATGCGTACGCCTAAACATGGGAGGTCCAAACACGGTGGCTGTGTCCATTGAGACGCAATGTCTCGAACTTGCATTCAGTCGAGACCGAGGGATCTCACGCGATGGAGCCGCAGTCTAGCGAGTGACGGAGCGACGCGGCGGCAAGACAGTAACCTTGCGCGCCAAAGTCTGCTGAGGCGTCGACATCCTTCGGAGTGACAGGAGTAAGGAACAGTACCGGAACAGATTACCACATGCCATAAGCGTTCTCGAGAGCGTCGGCGGTGTGGGTCCTTACTGACGAGACGTTCTGCAAGTGGCGACACCTGGTCATGGCTAGGGGCGGATTAGGATTCTGTCCGTGTTCTAGGAGCGGGTTAAGGTGTGTTCTGCGATCAAAAGCTTGCAAAGTATAAGGTGCGCTTAGGCCGGTGCCTTTGTTCCTTCCGGAATAGGACCTGGGGAGACGTACCTGGCGGGCCTGGAGGACCCGATGGGACCTGATGCGGACCTGACCCGAGCCACTTGTTCTCGTAAACAGGAACGTGCTGGTTCAACTCTAAATTCTCCTTGTCCCCATCAGATCAGAGCCCAATATCTCCCAGGCAGGTGTCGAAGGGAGTACGAGTGCGGAGCCGCGCGAGCTACGTTAGCAAGGAAGCTCAGCTGGGACCTGCGTCGCGTCACGCCAGCACGCTCAACATCAGCCACGAGGTAAATCAACGGCGGATCGATGCCACGAGCTGCAGGAGCGATAGGCGACCAAGACAGACATGCCCGCTGCCCGCTTTCCGACCTAACGCTCAATTCCCCGTCCCTCGGAGCACTCCCTTGGTCTCGCTAGTTGGTCCTGTGGGGGCTCACTGGGCCTCCCGACACAAGGCAAACTACGGTACGCCACGCGGAGTACGGCATGCGGCTCCCGGCACTCGCGCACGCGGCAATGCAACGAGCACCGAGCACCGAGCACGTAGTGCGCCATCAGCTGCCCGCAACAGCCTCGATACGGGGCCAGTTCCCAGTTCCGGAGGTCGGTGAGCATCTGACCATAACTCGCCAGTGCGGCAACGTAACATGTCTCGCCAAGAGCTGTGGCTCCCGAGTCCTGGTCTCCGCCAGGTCAGCAATGTGAGACATTGATTCACTGTCCCTCGCGGCGGTACGGCGGTGCTGTCCGTGTCGCAGCCTCCGCTCGGGACGTCATCGCAGCGGGCAGCGGACGGTGCCCGCTGGCTTGATTCGGAGTCTCAGTACGCAGCGCCCAGAGTGCGGAGTCCTCGCGGAGTTCAGCGGAGAACTTGGGCGGCCGCCTATTGTGCGCTGTATGCGGAGCTGGCCTCTTTCGATGGCGAATGATTCATTTTCGGAGCACTATCGGTAAGTCAGTAAACCTATCGCATCCCGATAGAGACTCAGAGAGCTATCGGTACGTTAGGGAGAGGCACGAAGAACTGACGCGCCGGGCTGTAACTGACTTACCTTTTCCCGTCCCGCTCCGGCACCGCATGCTTTTGACTGATCCGACGAGAAGCTGATCCCACAGACCTTCCGATCCGCAAGTCGCTCTAAGCCGCATCTGACACAACGGACACCACTGCGCCGGAACGAGCGCAAACCGCAGGAAGGGCGAACACGTTCCTGTCCCCTCCGTACCCTCGGTGTCCTCCGCTCTCTCCGCGGTAACGTGCTCGCGCTCCGCCTGTTTCCGTTCCTGCGACCAAGTTGCGCTCCTTGCGCTCCAGCCGACTCGTACTTCACGCTCGTTCCTGTACCTTGCATCATGGTATTGCAGTGCTCGCGGCCCCGTCAGATCGTCATGACTGTCACGCTCTCAACATCCCGCCACGGCTTTGAGACCGCCGTGATACCGGCGTGATAGCGCGAGTACACTGGAGTTACACAGGATCTAGACCCGAATGCCTACATCGGTGCTTATCACGGCACCCTGCAGGATCTGGAGCGGGCAGTTGCTGCAGACTGTCTTCCACGCTGCCCACTCGAAAGCAAAGCGCGCTTAGACTCAGTCTCGCACCAGCACACCTGATCAATATCCCCTCTCGGTTTCTCCCAGACTGCGCCGGTTTGGAGAACGAACTTTACGAATACCAACAGCTGACGTGCGCAGCTTAACGTTGCCCGCTGTCGGCAGCGTGGCAGACGAGAGTACGAAACACCAACGAGAGAGTTCACGCTAGTGCACCACGCCCGAACGTAATCCGATGGAGCCGCTGCAAGCTCAGCTTGGGCCAGACCTTGTGGCCATGTGGCTGTCATGCTCTCATGCGAGATCCGGATTTCCAACAAGCTGGTCTGGAGGCTGCCCGAAGGTCTACTAACATGCGAATAAACGCCTTACGGCGGTGAGCCGTTCGTGGCAGCCCATCGGTTCGCAGGCGGCGCTCAACGCTCAACGCTCTTCGAGCGCTCTCGATCTACTACTGTACTGACGACCAGCAACTTACAGCACGCCTCATCCAGGAGGTCAGAGACGAGTTCTGTTTCTTGCTGATCGAACGACTGCGTCGATTTCTCGTTTCTCATTCCGAAGCCTTCGCAAGAGCCTTCGTTTGAGCCACTCGATGCCACAAGTCTCCAAGTGTCCTATGAGATCTCGTCTGATCGCAGTACAGTCCATCCGTTGAGCCAGCCGTCCCCCAATCCTCATTCGCGTCTCAGCCACCTCCAGGACCTTCGCCAGACTGCGTCTCCGCTAGTCTACAGAGTCTCATCGGAGAGTCTACCGGCTATGCGGCAGCCCGTAAGCACCTGCTTCTGCGATCCTGCAACGACAATGAAACCACAGAAGCCGCACACCCTGGCGCCATCGAACGGCTTGCCTGCCAACAAGTGGCGCTTGTCCGCGCCCGTTGCTCTGATCGCTCTTCTTCCCTCAATGGCTGCGATGGCTGCGACACAAGGGCTTGCTGTCATGTTTCTATTGTTCTCAACGCCAGCTCGACGCCGGCTCTGTCACGCGCCCACGAGTGCTCGTGCACGGCCCATTGCCTTCCGAGCGAGCATCGCAAGCCGAACTTCGGCATTGCGTCCACTCATAATCCGATGACGAGATAGACGAGGCATGGGAGGCGTTAGGGCTGCACAGATCACCGGAATGCATCGACGTTGGTATATAGAGGACGAATTAGGATGACTATAAGTTGTGTGCGCCTGTCGGCGACAGAGGCTGGCAAGTCTTACAAAATAACTGAAATGTTCAAATACAAGTGAAGTCGGGAATCGTGTCGAAGACGGTGGGTGGCCTGCGAGGGCGGCTCAGAGTTAGAGACGCTTGCCCGGTACGAGGGTGAAGATGATGGTGAAGATTGCCGTGAGGAGGATGGCGAGAGCCTCGACCCAGAGCGCGCGGAGGAATAAGAGCTTGCGGACGTACGCCTCGCGGATGGTGATGAGGTGGAACGGCGTCGTCTCGGACTGGAAGAGGAAGGCGAGAATGGGTGAGAGGGAGTAGTACGCCGCGAGGAGTAGGTTGAACGCGAAGAAGAAGGGGATGATGACGTAGAGCCTGTGCGACTTGGGCGACCAGTCGAGGAAGATGAACGTGAACGCAAGCACGAACGCGCCCCAAAGCACAACGAGACCGAGGATCAAGTGCAGCAGCGAGCTCATGGGGGTCAGGTTGCCGAACGCCTTGGCGCGGAGGAAGCGGGGGAACGCATCCTGCTCAAGTGCGCGGAAGATGAAGAGCTTCTGCGCGTGGAACAGGTCCGGAATCTGCGGCGAGACGTGCCCGTTCTCGCTGACGGGGAAGTTGGTCATGCGCAGAGCTGGCGGGAGGTAGACCTCACGCTCCGCACCAGGCAACAGGTAGCGCAGGTAGATGCGCTCGGCGCTGTCGACGAGCGCCTGCTTCTCGATCGCGCGATCGCGCGCGAACACTGTCGGAGCCCTCGTCGCCTTGCGCTGCGCCCAGCCCCGAAGAGATGCACGCGACGTCCGCCCGCGGACACCCGGTAAGCTCGTATGCGAGCCGTGCATGCTCTCCTCGAGCAGCGGCGACTGAGCCACTGGCGACGCGAGCGGGCTGCTGTCGTCGTGCCCCCGAGTGTGCGCCGGCGGCAGAGGCGCAAGCTCGTCCTGCGAACGTTCCGTCGTCTGTTGCTGGCCCTCTCCCCATCCCTCCGTTCCTGGGCTGATTCCTTCTCGCTCGTCTCCTGCGGTTTCGTTCAGGTTGAGGTACGGAATGATGTATGATCCGTTTGACCTCGCGTACTGCGCAAATTCGGGCCAGTCCTCGGCAACAGGGCGGCCGGATCGACGGAGGTCCTGCACGTCAGCTCAATGGCCTGGGCGTCCAGCTTTCTGGTCGTACCTTGAAGTAAGCCTTGCACAAGTTCTCGTGCTGCTGCACATCAAGCCAGAAGTCGAGGACATCTTCAGAGTTCTCGCGTTGCAGGAAAATCTGCCGTTGGTCAGTCATTATCGTCACCTAAACCTTTCCGGCCTATCAAAGGAGGCTAGCACGGATGGCGCGGCACGTTGGCCGTGCGGCTTTCATCCGCCTTGATGCAGCTCCGCGACGCACGTAGAAACAGAAGAGGTCGAGCGGTGTGCGTGTTCTCCGGTCCAGTACCTCCTGGAGAGTCGGCAGGCGCTTCAGGTTGAGGTATCGAGAGTTGCGCTTTGAAGACTTGTCGCGTCCTGTTGTCGGTGTCACCGGAGGTGTCATGTGAGGTTGATCGGCATTGCGCGCTGTGTCGACCCTCAGGTTCTGCTTCTCGCCGACGGACTCCATTTGGGGCGAGTCGGAAAGCTGAATGGGAAGACGAGTAAGGACCGTGGGTGATGTGCAAGTCAAGTCAAGAGGAACAAAGAAAGCTTGTGAAGGTGAGGTGACATGTAAACCTGGGCTGAACCTGGCTTTGGTTCCCGTACCGCCCCTGTGCGGCGCGTCGCTAGTGCAGCCTGCACTGCCCGAAGCAGTAGCCTGTCAACAGGCTCGTGGAATGGGTTGCCGCACAGGCGGGAGCAAAGCGCCAACCGATCGCAGGTGGATCACGTGCCTTACGTTCTAGCAACCTGGATTAAAGCGGAAGAATAGCCAAGAAAGTAATACCCACGTGCCATGTTACGCCATTGGTCTCTTTGTATGTCGCTCGCACCAAAAGGTCTTGGTCGTTTTCTTGATACTATATAACCACTCGATACCCCCATCCACAGCGTCTTGTCCTCTTCCCATCGTCGCCTCTAGCCAGCGAGAGGACAGACACCAGGTGAAGTCCGAGGACTAGCACGCATCCTTTGCGGGGTGTGGCGTGGGCTTCTGTCTCCACCTCAAAGCAATCGCCTTCTCTTCTTTTGGTCTGAAGCCTTCCCTCCCCTCGCGGCACTGCGACGACAACGGCACCGTTTGGTCGCGCGCTCTCGTCGTTCGTCAGCACTACCCGGTGTTCGACTTCCTTCTGGTCACGGTCCACGGGTTCCCGTGCTGCTCGATCCAGGAGTCGGGTTCTCTTCTTGAGCCGACTGCCTCGCGTTCACCATGTTCTTCATTGTTTGTGTCTCCCCACCGGCGAGCGCGGTGATGCTGACACTCGTTTCTTAATCTCAACTGTCTGCGACTCATCATAACTACAGCGTGAACTCACCCACACGATTCTCCTTCACCCGTCCTACTTCGGAGCCCAACTCGAGGACTACTTGAAGCTGAAGCTTTACGAGGACGTCGAGGGAACATGCAGCGGTAAACATGGGTGAGTTGTGCTTTGAGAGTTACGCGATCTTTTTATCTGACACCTCACAGTTACATCATCTCTGTCGTCAATGTTACGGACATTGGTGAGGGCAAGATCATGCCTTCGACGGGACAGGCGCGCTTCAAGTGCAGCTACACCGCGATTGTGATGAAGCCGTTCAAGGGCGAGGTCGTCGACGGCAAGGTCAGCAACGTCAACAAGATGGGCTTCTTTGCGCACGTCGGACCCCTGCAGGTCTTCGTGTCGTCACATGTGAGTGTTCATTCCATTCCTTCTCACCTTTCCCTGTCTATGATGAGTTTTTGCATAGGGACATCAGTACTTTCGAGAATGTCGATTTATGCTGGGAGATCTTGTAGTAATTGATCATTAGCTCTGAGACACCCACCCTCTCTTCTCTCTCTTTTCCGTGAGATATGATGGCTGACGAACTTCTAGCTTGTCCACGCCGACATGAAGTTTGACCCGAACGCGAGCCCGCCGTGCTACCGGTCAGCGGACGAGACGATCCAGGCCGGAAGCCGTGTGCGCATGGAGATTGTGGGCTGCCGTATAGAGGCGAACGACATCTTCGCGATCGGAACAATCAAGAAGGACTATCTGGGTCAGATCCAGGATTAGAAGAAATATTTAGTTGGTTTAGTCGGTGCTGGCCGAGGCCGCGCCGCTTGTATCGGTACAGCAGCATACCCACATCATTTAGTACCTTAGTATCTAGCACCACGCATAAGAAGTTAGAAGTCAGGCTCGGTATTTCAGATGTAACAGATAAAAGAGTACCCCGAGACGTGAGACGCGCGGAGCGGTAGGCCAGGCGACTAGCACGGCTGTCAGTTCTAAAAGCAGACGCAGGCGACGATCAGCGTCACTGGATCGGATCGCCCAGTCACCAAGGGCGAGACAGGTACGTTCTGCTTATCAGCGATCGCAGATCGGCTGTGGAGCCCAGGCCACGTCTTTGAACGTGAGCGGTGCGAGGGACGGAGCAGATATCAGAGAATGACATGCTGAGGTATGAGTGCTGACAAGAGACGATCGGAGATTGGGTGGACAAGGTCCAGAGTTTTACGGGCGGATACGGCCGTGGGTGCGATAGACAAGTTTTCGTGATCGGCAGGCTGCCCATCTGGGCCTGGGTACCTCGGCCTGCGTCTTGCACAGATGAGGGAGGGGGTGACGTCGTTCGTTATGCAAACATTGCCCAGGTGTCCTGATATCTCCTGGACTGTCCTGATCCCTGAGCATAAGACCTGGAAAGAACGTGGCTGCAGACGAGTCTTTTCTGCAGACAGGCAGACCCAGAAGGAGTGTTCTCGCTGGATTTGACGCCTCCCCCTTTCCCTTTTGCCCCTGGCCGCCAGGATAGGCAGGATAGGCAGGATCGCAGGAACGAAAGCTTCAGCTGCTTCAGCCTGAGTCCTCAGCCTGAGTCTGCATCCGGCCCAGCATGGTTCAGCACGGATGTCCCAGGCATCTGCCAGGCAGCTGCCAGGCTCATGCCCGTCGGGCCCCAGCCCTGCATGGCCCTGTGCCGTGGACCGTCTTGGTCATCCTTGGCACGAGCTGCTGGCTCGGTCACCACTCGTGCTCGGCCATGCCCGGCCCTCGTCGCTCGTCGCTTGCATGATCTGCTGATTTACATGCTGTGAGATCAGGTTTTCGAAGAGAGTGAAGATGCATTAGACTTCCGATCGCTTGCCTCTTGAAACGCATGGGCGGCACAGACTGTAATCAGAATGCGGGGAAGCGGCCGTGCACACTGTGCGCAGAGCCATGCGTAAGTTGGAGGACGTGGGACAAGCAGCAGCAATACACAGCGATTCCCTTCGGTCGGAATCGAAAGTTTGTCAGAGCATACGACTTACTGCCCGCTGGCCGCTGGCAGGTTGCTGGATTGACAGAGCCAGGCACCATTCTGAAAGATTGGAAAGAAGGGTTCGTGGTCGATCTGACACTCTGACACGCTGCGCAGCTCCATCATTTCGTTGCGGGGGTTGGTCGTTGCATGCTTGATGGTTTAGTGTTGACGACGCGTTGCACTGCCATTGAGGGCTGTATACGCGTCGGCCTCGTCAGTGTGAGATGTAGCTGTGTGAGCCATCTGTGCCGCTGAAGGGGACGAAACAGCCCCGGTTCCGGAGCCGTGAAACACAGGACCGCCTGCATGACAGACGCCGTACATGGTGGACCCGACGCAGCATGCAGAGGAGGGAGGGAGGCGGCTACGGCGGGTTGAAGCCTGTGCGGGTTGAATTCTTGGCCCGGCGGCCCTGGGCATTGCCTCAGCAGCCATGAGCCATTGACTACGATTGACTGATCCGGCCAACACCCACCTGGATCCTGCACCCACGGCCCCCGCCCAGCCCAGCCATGCCAGCCAGCGCCCAGCTCTAACTCCCTTGCTCCGTCCACCACTCTAATAATCTTCCATTCCTCCATCATCAACCACCTGTACTTGTCCCTCCCCCCCACCGTACCTCGCCATCGTCCAAGCCTCCCCATCTCCGACACACCGACGACTGTGCATCCTCCTCGCTCTCTTTCCAGCCTTCTATCCATCAACAATCTACACTGGCATTAGCATAGCTTGTTCGGCACTTCGACTTTTTTCACTTCCCCCTTCCGGTCTGCGCGTCGCGACACAACAAAACATCCGACACTACCCTAGTCCACTCACCTGCGTCGCCGAACCTCCGCAGGCCCACCGATAATCCTTCCACCTCTTCTTTCACCTCGCGGTACCGCACACACCCCATCACTTCCATCCGCATCAACTGTTAACCTCGAGCCCCTCACTCCATCTCGACCCGATCACAAGCACAGGCCGACGCGCCTTTTGCCCTCGTCACCCCTATCTGACTCGCCGCCCAACATTACCTCAGCACCGGTACCGCCGAACGAGGGGGCCATGCCGGGGTCGACGTCGGGAGCGCCATTAGTCGCTCGCCGACGACAGCGGCGGCGCGCTCGAGGAAAAGGGTCAAAGTATGACCGCTACATTGCCGAGCCGATGCGAAAGGTGAACCCATGGAACTGGTTCACCAAGAAACGTGGGCCCGGCTACCCTCGAACCATCTTCATCAACGAGCCGCTCCCAGACGACTACTATGACAAGAAGGGCCGCGTCCTCAAGAACAAGTCGTTCTGCTCCAACCAGAACATCACTTCCAAGTACACCATCATCACATTCGTCCCCCGCAACCTGCTCGAGCAGTTCCGAAGAGTCGCCAACATCTTCTTCCTGTTCATCGCCATCCTGCAGTTCTTCCCCAAGTTCTCGACTATCTCTCCCGGTTTGGTCATCCTGCCCCTCATCGTCGTGTTGGCGATCACCATGCTCAAGGATGGTTACGAGGACATCAAGCGCCATCAGTCCGACCACAAGGTCAACCACTCGGTCGTGCACGTTCTCGGTGGAGGAGGCTACGTCAACCCGAACCCGACGAAACCAAAGAGCAAAACCTTTGTTCGTGGCATCCCCCTCCCGCACCGCAGGAGCAAGAAGAAGGCCGCCGCCGAGAAGGAGGCGCGCAAGAGCCTTAACCTCGACCCGGAGCGCGCGGCCTCCCCTCCGCCCCGCATGAGCCACGAGGAGATCCGCCGCGTTCAGTCGCACGTCTCCAACTGGGACGATGACCCCGAAGCCGGTGACAGTCCCAAGGAGCTGGGCTGGCAGCGCACCATCTGGGAGGACGTCAAGGTCGGCGACATTGTCAAGATCTACGACAACGAGCAGATTCCTGCCGGTAAGTCTCCGTGCACGGGGCGTCCGGGGCCCGCCCGGCGATCGGCCCCCGAGGTGAATTGCTTGCTAACGTCCTTTCAGACATTGTCATTTGCGCGACCTCTGAGGAGGAAGATGTTTGTTTCGTCGAAACGAAGAACCTCGACGGAGAGACGAACCTCAAGTCCCGCCATGCAGTCCCCGGTCTTACGTTCATGGACAATGTCGAATCCGCGTCGCAGGCGCACCTCCACCTCAACATGGATGCGCCCGAGGTCAACATGTACCGTCTGAACGGTGCCGCCGTTCTGCTCGGCGACTCGGCCCGCGACCCCTCGAACCCGGAAAACACTCACCCCATCTCGTTAGACACGTCGCTGCTTCGTGGCTGCGTGCTCCGTAACACGGGCTGGGTCATTGGCATCGTGGCATTCTCCGGTGACGACACCAAGATTGTGCAGAACTCGGGCGGCGCGCCTAGCAAGCGCTCAAAGGTTGAACGTCAGATGAACCCCCAGGTCATCTTCAATCTCTTCGTCCTCGGTCTCATTGCCATGGTGTGCGCCATTGTCGACCACGTCCTCGAGAAGCGCTGGGTTAAGCGCGAGACGTACTGGACGCTGTATGACGACCGCCCGGGAGACAACCCCAACGTCAACGGTATCATCACGTTCCTCAATGCGCTCATTACGTTCCAGAATATCATCCCGATTTCGCTCTACATCTCGATCGAGTTTGTGCGCACCGTCCAGGCCCTGTTCATCTACTGGGACCACAACATGCAGTACTTCAAGAACGGCCACAAGATCCGCACAACCGCCCGCTCATGGAACCTCTCCGACGACCTCGGCCAGATCCAGTACATCTTCTCGGACAAGACGGGTACGCTCACCCAGAACGTCATGGTCTTCAGGCAGTGCTCCATTGGCGGCAAGGTGTACCTGGGCGACCCGCCTTCGCAGACCGATGAGAACGGCAAGGAGAGCACCCTTGACCAGCAGGACATGCCCGTCGTCGACAAGGTCAAGTCTACCGACCCCGACACCCCGACCGACTCGACCGTCGACGACGACGCCACTTCGGAGAAGAAGAAGCCCAAGGTCCGCGAGACTCCGGTCTTCCACGACAACGAGCTCACCCACGACATGGAGGACAGCGACTCGGAGCAGGCCAACATGATCAACGGTTTCTTCACCGTTCTCGCTCTCTGCCACACTGCGCTCGCCACTGAGGACGAAGACGGCAACATTGAGTACAAGGCTCAGTCGCCCGATGAGGCTGCGCTCGTCCAGGCCGCCGCCGACGTCGGTTACCGTTTCCGTGGCCGTGACCGCAACATCCTCCGCCTGGAGACGCCCTTCTCCGACGAGATTGAGGAGTGGGAGCTGCTCAACGTCCTCGAGTTTAACTCTGCCCGCAAGCGTATGTCCGTTATTGTGCGCAAGTGCGACGAGAAGGGCCAGCTCTTCCTGCTCTGCAAGGGTGCCGACAACATCATTTTTGAGCGCCTGAACAAGGCGGATGCAACTCAGCGCGAGCTCATGGACAAGACCGACAAGGACCTGCAGGTGTTCGCCTCTGAGGGTCTTCGCACGCTCTGTCTCGCCTACCGCATCCTCGACTACGAGGAGTACGACGACTGGCAGCGCCGCTACCACGAGGCCGAGGTTTCGCTCGACCACCGCGAGGAGAACATTGACGCCGTTTCCGCCGAGATTGAGTGCAACCTCACGCTTCTTGGTTCGACCGCCATTGAGGACAAGCTCCAGGACGGTGTTCCCGAGTGTATTGCCGACCTCAAGCTCGCGGGCATCAAGGTCTGGGTCGCTACCGGTGACAAGCTCGAGACCGCCGTCGCCATTGGCTACACGACCAACCTGCTCACGCCGGAGACCAACCTCATCATCATCCGTGAGGGCAATCACACCGTGTACGAGCAGCTGCGCGACTCGCTCGAGGGTTTCTTCGGTGACGACTCGCTTACCCGCTCGCTTTCGCTCGCCCAGGAGGAGACTCGCCCAGCGACATGCGCCGCTCGACCCAGCTTGCGCGTGTCAACACTGGCGTCCGTTCCCTTGTCGGTGACGATAACGGCACCCGCCCCGGCGGCTTCTCGCTCGTCATCGAGGGTCACGCTCTCGCCGAGTGCTTCCAGGACCCCGAGACGAATGACCTGCTCCTCGCCCTTTCGATGAAGTGCAACACTGTCATTTGTTGCCGTGTCTCGCCGCTGCAGAAGGCCCAGATCGTGCGTCTCATCAAGGACAACCTTGGTGTCATGACGCTCGCGATCGGCGACGGCGCCAACGACGTTTCCATGATCCAGGCCGCCGATGTCGGTGTCGGTATCTCGGGAGAGGAAGGTTTGCAGGCTGTCAACTCGTCCGACTACGCCACTGCCCAGTTCCGCTTCCTGAAGCGCCTTCTTCTCGTGCACGGCCACTGGTCGTACTTCCGCAACTCGACCATGATCTGCAACTTCTTCTACAAGAACGTTGTCGGTATCGGAGTCCTGTTCTGGTACATGATCTACTGTGGTTGGTCTACGACATACGTCTACGCGTACGTATACCTGCTGTTCTGGAACGTGTTCTGGACGCTGTGTCCCGTCATCGCCATCGGTATCTTTGAGCGCGACGCCGACGAGGACTCGCTCATGGCCTGCCCGCCCCTGTACCGCTACGGTCGCGAGGGCAAGTATTACAACTGGCCGCGCTTCCTCTACTACCTTTGGGAGGGCGTCTACCAGACGGCCATCATCTACTTTATCCTCTGTTACACCTACCACGTCACGACCACCCGCGGCGACGGCTGGGAGGTGTACAAGGACGAGATGTCGACGACCATGGCGATAGGAGCTGTCATGGCCGCGAACCTGTTCTCGGGTCTCAACATTGATGCCTGGTCGTGGTGGGTCGTGTTCGCCGTCTGGGTCGGTCCCTTCCTCATCTGGGTCTTCACGGCCATCTACTCGATTGTTCCGCCGACGACCTACTTCTCTGGCGTGTACGGTAACGACATTTTCCTCTTCCGCTCTGCCGCGTGTTGGTTCGGCTGGCCGTTCGTCCTCATCATGTCGCTCATGCCGCGGTATCTGTACAAGTACTGGCGCCAGAACTTTGGCACGAACGACATTGACCTCATGCGTCTCGTGCGCAAATACAACCCGAACGTCAACGTGTACACGGATCCGCGTCTCGGTGGACACTTCAAGCGCGAGGTCGCCGAGGTCGAGGCCCCGCTTGACCGGTACCCGACCGACGGCTACGGCCACCACTACAACGACAACTTTGAGATGATGGCGCCGTACGACGAGGGCAACACATCGGACAGCTTCCAGATGGACGACATGCACCGCCGCCCCTCGACTGACTCGCGGCATCACGCGGACCACCCCGTGCCGCAGTACACTGGCGCGGCCCCCGCGCGTCCCAGCTTCCAGAGCGCGCGCCCGTCCTTCCAGTCCGCCCGCTCGTCTGGCCGAGGTAGCGCCATCGACATGTCGACGGGTCTGAGCCAGCAGCCCAGCCGCGGCTTCGGGTTCACGATGGAGGAGAACGGCGTGGCGATCCGGCGCATGCAGAGCCGGCTGTCGCAGGCGTCCGTCGAGCGCGGAAAGCACTACACGCTCCGCCGGCTTGCGGCGCAGAACCGCCGCCGCAACGCCGAGAACAACAACAGCGAGCCTGGCACGTCGCCCTTTGGCAAGCTGCGTACGCGTGCGGGCTCCATCCTCAAGGGAAGCAGGAACCGCTCCTCGACGCTCAAGAGTCACAACACGGCAACGTCGTCCGAGATGCACGGACTCAGCGAGACGCTGGATGACCCGCGGCCGTGAGCGCGCGAGCGGCGAGCGAAATGAGTCCGAGCCAGCGCCAACAATAGACCAAGAGACGACCCCCAAACGACTACAATTCTTTAATACCCGCACACAAGCACACACATAGAGCGTCCCCCGGGCGCAACGGCACGCACCCACACGCAGGGCGGCCGACATAATCACTTTCATCCACCTTTACCTATTCCCCTTCCGTGACCAGCCAGTTCATTTCTTCGTCGTTCGTCGCCCGTCTTATCTTTTCTCTTTCTACTGAAATTGCTTAGGACTAGGAAACATCAACGTGTATGAGTAGGACTTGAGGAGATGAGTGGAGTGGGGTTAGGTCCTTTAGATTGCTATGCATACGGTTACCGCGTACGAGCGGGGCACGAGCGCAGCGAGTGCCTGCGAGAATCGACTGAACTTGAGCATTGAGGTCTGATCTCAGATTAGTGAGGCAATGTCATGAACGTGCAATGGCTTACGCGTCGAGCCTTCAGTTATACGAGCAATGTGGGCAAAGCGCAGCCCAAGAGATTTCATCCTCGTGCTATTCTTGTCCCATCGTTCCGTCTATACTTGGCAGAAGCCTCCTTCGGGTCTGGGCTCTCTCCCTAGGATCTTCCTCGTACGCGTTGGGCAAGGTGCGCATCGCCACTGCCGGATCCGATCCAGAAGGAGCGCATCAATGATGATCCCATCGTCTCACGTCTCTTTGGGTTCTTCGGGAGCTCTTCGGCGCAGTCGAGTAGCACAGCCTCGACGATTGGCCAAGTTCTTAGTTGGGGGGTCGCTGGCCGTTTCGCACTGCACACTACAGCTCTCTCTCTCTCTAGATATGACATGGTGTTCTCTACTGCCTGCTTCTCTCTGGCACAGTCGTAGCCGCGAAGGCTTATGTAAAAGGCATAGCCTTCGGTAACGTGTGGCTTCACGTGCCATGTTCGGCCGCTCGGCACCTACAATCCGTTGGGTAAGCCACAGCGCCGAGATATTGTTGTACAGACATTGGGCAGTCCATGACCACTCCGCAGTCGTATGGACCGCAGGTCAGAATGTCAGCTAGTCAGTGCTACTCGGGCCGTCTGTGCCGCTGTAGGCATGTAGAAGTGGCAGCCGCACACGCACACGCGATAGTGAGAGGTCAGACTGCGGGATGAACCGCCTCCCCGCCTCCCCGCCTCCTCCCCGCCTCCCCGCCTCGTCTCGTCTCGTCTCGTCTCGTCTCGTCTCGTCTCGTCTCGTCTCGTCTCGAGAGGCAGTCACCTTGCCAGCTCGTCTGACGCACACGACGGATAAGGTTCGGCACGTCTCCTCTTTCCGCGGAGCACGCGGAGCATACGCCCTGGGTTGTTCTATCCTTACCTCCCAGCTCCCAGCTCGAAGTTCGACGGGTACTGCGCCTCAAGCTGGAACGGAGCGAGACGCGTAAGGCTTGCAGACATACCAGACTTTAGCGCTTTAGCAGGGCTTAGCGCGTTCCGAAAGCTGACCCAACTGGCCCATCTGGCGAGTTGGTAGACTGCGGCATGCGGCAGGCTGCGAACAAAGCCGGCGTTTTAGTTCTAGCCCCCTAGTGCTGGGTCCGAACAGTCAGGTCGCCGCCAGGCCGCCAGGCCGCCAGCCCGGTTGCTGTTATGCTGTGCACACCAGGCGAGTCTCGGCCATGTGGCATTACATGGCTTGTGGAGCAAGCTCGACCATGCTCAGATCGGAATCTCGGCGATGAGCTGAGTTCTGGACAAGAGCGGCGCAGTCGCCAAGCCATTCAGAGATGATATCAGCGCAGACTTTGCGTGACGCACAGCCCACACCTTGCAGCTCTGGGCGGGCGGGTTGAACCTCGTATCTAGGGTTAAATCGTGAAATCTTAATCGTTCGCTTGTCTCTTCATATGGCCCGTAGGCTGCAAGCATTTAGGCGCATTAGGCGTTCATATGTTGATGCAAATGCCCACTACGGGATGCTGGCCCAGTGGTAAGCCTCTCGGACCCTTCGGTGGACCCCGTGGACCCTGACTTGACGCGTACCAGGAGCGGACTTTGTGGACCTTTGTGTCCCTCTTGTTCCCTCTCGTCGCAGGCTTGGCACCAATGGATTGGCCACCCAGCCTACTACTCCGTCACGGCCGCCGCGCTCTGACGACGCAAGCCGACGCAGGCTGCATGCACAGAGTGGGTCCGAGCTTGGGCACCCAGATCCACCGTCGCTTGGCCAGTGCCCGAACCTGCTGCAGCGCTGCAGGCTGATGCACTGAGGCCAGAAGACTGAGGGCTGCAGGGGCCAGGGGCTGCGGTTGTTTTTGTGTGCCCAGTGCCGCGGTGCCGGCTCCGATCGGCGCAGCGACGTAAGACGTTGCGTCGGGCGTGTGTTCTTGGCCTGGCCTATTTTCATCATCACTCTCCATCGTATCAGCACCGCTTCCTCTTGCCCCGCATTCTTTTCTTGCGTTAATTTCCCTCTTCTTCTAATAACACGCTTGCGCGCTCTTATAACATACCCACCGACACTCCTTGCACTTGCTTCATTGCTCTTTGTCTCACCACCGACAGCTTCGACCTGACGCCAAGCCGAGTGGCGCTCCAACACACGCGCCCCACTCCTGTCTGAACTTAAGACGTCTTCGAATCCCGACTTCATCACCCTCTCTACTACCCCCATCATGCTCACGCGCCTAGCCCTCGTCGCCGGGCTCGCGGTCGCCGCCGCGCAGAGCGCCGACCCCTCCGACCTCGCCAAGAGCCTCGGGCTGACGGAGAACTACCAGTACGAGTTCCCCTCCCAGCCACTCGAGCAGGACTCGGCCGACAACTACCTCTACGACAACTGGCACCTGAACCACGGCCAGATCCAGTTCGGCGCCGGCGACATCACGTTCCAGTCTGACCCGGCGGGCGGGAAGCGACGAAGTCTCGCCGTCCGTGCCGAGGACGATAAGGAGAGGAAGAAGGAGTCGTCGTCGAGCACGAGCTCGGCCCCGACACCGAGCGGGACGGGCGCCGCCGCCGCTGTCAAGGATAGCAAGACGTCGCTCCGTATCGAGTACCCCGCTGGCTCTTACTCGAATGCGACGGGCGGAACACAGTTCTACTCCCAGCCGCTGAACGCGACGTCGGACACGCCGAAACCCGCCGACGGGGCCGGCACCAACGGCAACTTTGAGCGCATGCTGCTCTCGTACGACATCTTCTTCCCGTCCGACTTTGAGTGAGTTGACGCATTAGGTAGCGGTGACTGACCCCAGCTTCAACAAGGGCGGCAAGCTTCCCGGTCTTCGCGGCGGAGACGACCCGCACGGCTGCTCCGGTGGCCATTATCCGGAGGACGGAGGGTGCTTCTCCACGCGTCTGATGTGGCGCGAGGGCGGTCTTGGTGAGGTATACGCGTACATCCCGAAGAACGGCATCAAGGACTTCTGCAAGAAGAAGGGCATCTCGTGCGACGCCGACTACGGCACGTCGCTGAACAAGGGCTCGTTCTCGTTCCCGCGCAACAAGTGGCAGACGATCTGGCTCTACGTCGAGCTGAACAAGATCGGCACGGCCAACGGCGTCGTCGCGCTCTACGTCGACGGCAAGCAAAAGTTCAACATGACCAACCTCGAGATCAGGCGGAACGACCACGTCGACAGCATCGGCGGGCTGTACTTCTCGACCTTCTTTGGCGGCAACGACCAGTCCTGGGCCTCCCCGACAAACCAGTACACGTTCTTCCGCAACATGCAGATCTTTGCTGGTCTCGGCGAGAGCCAGCACCCGGGCGACCCGACCAGCGGCGCGACCAAGAGCACGCCGAGCTTTGCGTTCGCCGCCGCCGCTGCCGTTTTTGTCGTTGCGGCTTCGGCGTTCTTCTAAGCTCTTGCAGCGCTGTCGCGCGGCACATGTCTGGCGTGGGCACGTTTGTAATCGCCTGCGCTAAGCTCTACCTTGCATACCATTACTTCATACAGTGCGACGAACCCGCATTCCGCACACCCAGCCAGCCCCTGGGCTGTTTATAGATGTTCATACACCATATTTTGATCTGTACTACGTAACGCGTACACTTTGCATGCAGCCATAGACTTTGGACGGAGCGGGAGCGCGGTAGTGCTGTCGTGAGCTGGATCGAGCGGGGAGAAGTGAGCAGAAGTGTGGTCCAAAGATAGCCATCGTTCGCGACCGACGTGCTGCGGCAGCGGCAGTGCAGCGCTAGAGTAGTCCGGCGGAGGCAGTGCACTCTGGATTCTCTGAAGCGATCGCAGCGATCCTCAAAACACCGAACATCAGCGCAGCTTTCATATTGCAGCACCCGAACAGCCCCGCAGCAATCCGTCAAGTTATCAAGAATAGACATCCATAAGAAGAAGAAGACGATATGTCGGCCCTAAGCGAAACCGCACCGTTCCCAGTGCGCGGCCAGAGAACCGCGCAGGGGGACCAACGGCGCAGCATTTTAACAGGCTCTGAACGTTGTTCTTCTCCAGCGGCCATTGAGTTTCGCTCCACGGTAGTTTTGAGAAAAGGAGGATCTTTGGTTTTAGCTGGAGTTTGCGAATATGTATGGACTTTCCAAGATTCGCGCGGCTGTCGAAATTTATACCCTCCGGCTGCACTGGGCACTGGGGCTCGCACCGTCGGGTGCGAGGGAGGGCGGCCTCCACCGCGATCCACTGACTGGCCGCTGGCTGACACGAGGCACGGAAAGTGCAGCCATGCGTGTGCCACAAAAGTGAGCAGGCACGCGGAGTTCCGACTTTGCGTTATTGCCGATCCAAAATTCTACCACAGCCAACCAAGTCGACGGAAGCAATTCGACTGTCCCTCCCAGCAAGGCCTCGCACGCAGACAGACGACAGCTACAAGCACCGTTCTGAGTCCTCCTTACCCGTCAACCCCTTTCGATACGTGCGTAGCGTGCTGAGTGCTGTGGACGACGTGCTGACATTCTCGCTCGACATCACCGGATACTACGATCTCTGCTTGCCTCTCTTCTCGAACGAAATAAAACGACACTCGCGTTGTGTTGGAATTATCGCCGATCGACGAAACCATTGCAACCCCCGACACACGACCGAACGGACTCTTCTCAATTTTCTGCTCTGCTCTGCTGCTCGGACGGAACATCTGCTCGGACACGGAATCCGCTTGATCCCGCTGTACTGCACCCGCTTTGCGTCCGCCGTCTTGCAACGAAACAAACGAAACTGCTGTCTGGAAACTGGAACTTTTGTGATTGAAACTGTTGGACCTGGAAATTTTGATCGTGTATCTCTCATCGACAATCAACGCGAACGACCATCTACAGAACCAAAAATGGCTCGCACCAACGTCGCTGTCGGCCTCAACAAGGGCTTCCCTACCACCGCCATCCCCAAGGCTGTCAAGCCCTCGCACAAGAAGGGCATCAAGACGTGAGTCGGATGGAAGGCAACTGGATTCGGGCTGGGCAGAAACGCCGGACGACGAGGATCTGAGAAGTGTCGAGAATGGAAGCGGAACGCTTGTCTTTCAGTGGCATGGTTCTGGCGGGTCTGCACCAACATCACACGCCCGCAGATCACCGCCCGCTACCTCTTCTGCCAGCCCCGATCCAGCCTCCCCCAGCTAGTTTGAGTGGGACGTATAGCTAACCCCGCAGCGAGAAGAAGATCTTCGTCAAGTCGATCATCCGCGAGGTCGCCGGCTTCTCCCCCTACGAGAAGCGCGTCATGGAGCTCCTCCGTAACTCGAAGGACAAGAAGGCCAAGAAGCTCACCAAGAAGCGCCTCGGCACCCTCCTCCGCTCCAAGCGCAAGGTCGAGGAGCTCTCGTCCATCATCCAGGAGCAGCGTCGCCAGGCCGGCCACTAAACTCTTTCTCTGCCTCACTATTGAGAGAGTCTAGGGAGCAGGTCATCGGATGTACTTTTTATGCACAGGAGCTTAGAGCTTACACCCCATACAACTGGGCTCCCGCGCGGCATGACATGGCATGGCGTGGCATGGCGTGGCGCGGGGCATGAATCGGGTTGCCGGATATATGGACACGGGCGTATATGGGCTGCACTTACTACTCACGACTGACTGATGATTCGCTTGACAAACTCCGACAGAAGGAAGAGGTTTATCAGCGGCAAATCGGCGTGCCTGCTGCCCTTCGTCGCGTCGTCTCCTCTTACCCGTCCAACACCCACGCTCTTCACACTTCTGATCTACAGTATGAGCCCGTCAGCCGCTATCACGCCCAAGCGTGGACCGGATCCAGCCCTGGTGATCACACACGACCTCTGGTACCCCATCCGGATCTGCTCTCTACCGTAGGGAGCGGCCGTGACGGCGCATCACCAACCGATTGTTCTGGCGTCCTGGGGCGCGGGGGCGGGACACACGCCTAAAGTGGTTCTGCAGTGCAGATTGCCGAGTCCGGGTTGGCGGAGCTGCACAGTCGACAGCCGTCGACCCGGGCATGCTCCGGATCGAGGCAGGAGGCGAGTGGACGCCGCGCGTCGTAGCTGAGCGCGCGTCCACATAATCTCGACGGAGATGGCGCGCTAGTTACTGGGACAGCCTATGGAGGAGAGCGCAAGGCTTCGCAAGGCTTCGGCTGCCTGCTGTCCTGGGTTAGTCTGCGTCCTAGGTGACTGGTGACGCACGGCCTGTTGTCCCTTGACTGGCTGCTGCGACTCTCGGCGAGGGCCATTGTTTGCATATGGCTACAGACGGAAGTACTATACAGACTTGGGGGGCTACATGACGTGTTTGCCCAGAGAGAACGGGGGCTTGATATCCACAGATCAACCCGTGCGAATGCTCGGGCGGCGAGGCGACTGCAGTCGCAAAGTTGACAGGTCGGGTGTGTCCGCGCCTTGCTTGGCTGACCTCTGGCTTGATGAGGACGTGGGCGACTGGTAGGAAGGTGGCTTGGCTGGCTCCTTGCCCCTGGCGGCCGCACCAGCGGACACAGGTCCGGTTGCCTGCTGTCGGCGCTCGCCCAGGGGCAGCCGCGCCTGCGCAGAGTCGGACCGTGACGGGGTAACGCGGGTGCTGGGCTTCGTCGACCGACGTGACGGAACCGCGGGGGACTGCGTGGTGGAGCACTTGCGTGCTTTGCCACTGGAGCCGGCAGACGGAGTGGCGACCGCGGGGGTCTGACGCCGTTCCCCCAAGGGTGAACGCGGCCGCTGCGAACCCTTGGTGTGGGAATGGGAGAGATGACCCGGAGTTGTGACGAGGGTGCTCGTCGCCTTGGATTGCGCCGACTTCTCATGCACCTGCGCCCCCCCAGCCGGAGGACCAATGGCCGCAGCCGTGCCGATGTCAACCGCGGACACGTCGGTCGCGCCGTCCTCCTCGTCCTCGTCCTCGTCCTCGTCCTCGCTCTGCTCCGCCACGGCCGAGAGAGTGTCTTTCTCTCGCATTTCGACGCTGCCCGTCTCCGCCGAGTCAGGCTCGTCCCGCTCGATCAGCTCATACTCCTCCACCTCCCCCTTGTAGTTTACCCAGATCACCTCCATAGGCCCGGTGGGATCGTTCGGGTCGATTGATGTCCATGCCCGCAGAGGCAGCGTCTCCGGTCTCGGGATGTACTTGTCCACCCATGACCTGTCGTAAGGCTCGCACTCCGGTGGATAGGTGCCTCGACTGTCCAGATTAGACACCCAGACACTAGCCATAGCGCTACGCAAGAACGGTTGAATAATGCTAAAGTTCGCAAACTGCTCGAGCTGCGGCGAGTTGGGAAACACGTCCTCAACAATCGCGTAGCACTGTTGTCAGCTGTGAAACATTCGACACAAGCAGGAAACGCACGAGATCGTAGTGCAAACTCGATAAGGACGTCTACGCGCTTGAGCCATGTGTCAGCATCGGGCGACAAAGTGCTCATTTGGGAACAAGTTTTGCGGATGAAAGAGTTGCTGTTTGCATTAGCAGAGTCACACACACAAGGACATGTCATGTCATTGTTCTCCAGGTCATGCGCTCATGGGACCGTTGGCGAACTGGTTGATACGCACAGCTCATCGGCTTTATCAAACACGGCAAGAGCGAAGTCGGGCACACACCCCGAGCTCGCCAAGGTCTTCGGTCTCGATGGCCAGATCCCAAGCCAAGCTGCAGTCGCGTGCAGCGTAATTAACTCTCAATCCGTCTTCCCAGTCCTCGAATTGGGGCCAACCGAAAACAACACTGCTCCAGTCGGACCGAGGAAACATCATCATGTGGGAGGGAAACTTGGAGGGTCGTTCGGGCATGCTGAATGCGATGATCGTGAAGGGTGCTGCCGGGGTGGAAAGAACTGGGGTCGGTGAACGTGACTGAGAGGGGAGATGATGATTGAAGTCGGGCGATGGAGCAAAAACAAGTGTGGTGCAAGTATAATGTTGATGCTAGCAATGGCGGCGTGATGTTTGTTTACGCACGTTTAGTGGAACGCCACCTTGCGCTAAACGGTTATCGTCGTGCCTTGGTGCTAGGGACAGGCACGGCTGACTTTTTTTTTGTTTTCGGGATGAGTGTACACCACGGAGTCATCGATTAGGCTGCAATGTCGGCTGTTGCATCTCGTCAGCCATCGGCCGACTGGCGATTAGATGACTAACCACGCAAGATGAGTTACATGCTTGAGCTGATGTCGGCCTCTGCCTTTGGCGTACTCACCTTTTCTTAACTTCATATCATCACTCACCGATCTACCACAACAATGGCGACATCCACCTCTCGAACGCGTTGGACGGTAGGAAGACCAGACTCAAACACCGCTGACGACAGGCCGACACACCAGTATCAACATTTCTCAGTACTTACCGTCAAGAGAAGCTCTACCCTTGGGATAGCACTACTTATGATGCCACCAAAACTCGCACGGAGAAAGCCAAGCCCGTTGTGGCAAGCGCTCTTCGAGCGATAGGCAAACGCAAGGATGGATTTACGCATAGTGTTCGCATGCGCCCGGGAAACCCACAACTATTTGCCCAGGGCTATCAAACGCTACTCGAGGACATGGGCGATGCTACCCTCGGGGAGCGGGGTGCTATGCTGGCCAACGAACTCTCCCACCCTCCATTCACATTCAAATACGAGAGCGAGCTCGAAACCTGGTTTATGAAGCAGTTCAATGCTCTCATGGACCACATCATGGCGATGTGGGAGCGCCCAGGTCAGAGCATCTGCCCGCCAATCTCCTGGAAGCAACAGAATATGGAGTATCGGCACTACTCGGGAGACTTGCGTCAGGCGATGATGGATATATCGATCCGCGTCGAGGACGAAGTATTGACCTCAGGCGAGCTCAAGCACGGCTTGCGCTTGACCCAATCTCACTTCGACGCTCTTGACAATCTTCGAAAGAGGGATGTAGCGTTGTGGGTTCGACCATATAACCCGGGCGTTGACTCCAAAACCCATATGGGAACTGACGGCAAGCGTCTGCCCGCTACCAAACTGCAAACCAATTTCTATCACTGCGGCTTGGTGACTCCAACGCAGAGGAGCGCTGTCGTAGGGGAGGTTTGGACACTCGATCCTTCTCGCGCTTCGAAAGATATTACAAACGCTGCAGACGACAGCGAGGAGTGCAAGTTTTGGTTTGCAGATGGCCACGATCAACGAGCGGGAGACTACCGTTCGAACTCGCGCGATGGGGACGTTTCCAACGCGTGGCCCGAGGCTCAGCCCTTTGGAAACTGCTGCTTTGCAATTGATAACCGAAACCCCCTGCTACGGTTGGTTGTCGCGCTCAGAACGGGGGTCGACTTGGAACGGCGACCGCTGGGTAGCTACTGTGCTTGACCCTCACGGCACCATCGACCTGAAACCAGGAGCAAAGCCAAAGCCCCCGCAAATCTTCTGGGGACAGAGTCTTGGCCTCAAGCAACATGGTCCCCAAATGAGCAGCAGCAACGTACCAGACAGCGGTAGAGCATCGGGACCGACCATGTCTGGCAAGCGACACATGAAGTCGACCATTTCGAGTCGTCGAAAAGCGACCACCAGTCGGCTGCATGAAGACGCTGATCTCGACGCCGTCACGGAGGAGATGCGGATCATGGCGGTGGGGCAGAGGATGGAGAGCAAAGCTTCAGCGGTCCTTGACATCTTCACTCAGCCTTCACCGGACAGTGAGGCCATGCAGTCTTCGCCTGTCGACGAGCCGCCATCGTTTCTTGCCCAACTGCTCGGCGACGCATACCTCGCCCACAAGACCAACTCGAGGAGCGTCGAGAGTTGGCCATCGGCGACCCAACCTGTGAAGCCGACCCCTGGACCAGCTCGCCCACCGGGCGATCCATCCCTCCGCACCTCTACCGGAACGCCTTCGCGCGCGCCCTCGCGCAGAACCGTCGGGGCCAGCACCGCGTCCAGCACCGCGTCCAGCACCGCGACCAGCACTGCGACCAGCACCGCGAGCAGGAAGATGGTCACCAAGGCGAGCAGCAAGGCGGCCAGTGTTGTGGGTACAAGAACTGCTCCTGTTAAGCCTGAGCGGCCCGCGCGCGGGGCGAAGTCTCAGGACAAAGGCAAGGAGCGAGTCGGGGATGTGAACGGGAACGGGAGGGCGCCGTCAACTGCGCCGCCGAGACCGTCGCCCGGAGCTCGAGCGCGAGCGAGGAGCGAGCGGACAGGACAAACAGTAGACACGAAAGGGGGCGCAGTGCCTCCGCATGCATGAACATGAGCACCATCCTTGGTGCAGGCCTGGTCCGCGCCGCGAGTGCAATCTTGATGGTGTTTAGAGTGTCAGTGATAAGCGTAAGCCCTGGTCAGTCCCCTCTGCAAAACCAAAAGTACATGATCGCGCGAGCTCTGCGCCTACATCTCCATCCAGATATCGTCCCGACCGGCGCGCTTACGTACCGGCGTCTCGGCCGCTGCGGCCGCATCGCCCGCCTCGTCCTTGGCGGGGTCGGAGCCGGCATCCGCGCGCTCCTTCATCGACTCCCACCACGAGACGCGGAGACGGTCTGGGCGGTGGCGCCAGCCGAACTGTTCGTCAGCACTGCTCCTGGTTCCGCTCGTTGCTCGCTCTCTGTCACTTTCCCCATCCCTCCCATGTCGTCCCATGCCGCCCTTGCGTCTCTTGTGCCAGCAGCAGGATCAAGACAGAGGGCAGCAATGACATGACTTGAGTGAAGGAAAGTGGTGGACTCGCTGCGCTCGCCTTGTCTCTGAACTCACCTTGACAAGTCCCCAGATGATGCCCGTTCCGATACCCATACCCAGACTCGGGGCCGCGAACCACGCCATACTCGTCCCGAGCGCGCCGAGCACAGTCGTTCCGACCACAGCCACAGTGGCGCCGATAGCGGCGTACTTGGCCACCCGGAACATGCGGCGGATCATGTACTTGATCACATATCTGTTGTCAGCGTGCTGTCCACGGGCTTAGAAGCCTTGGTTGTAAGGTGTCGACTGATGATCGCCGAGGAGATGATGGAGGGATGGGGTGTAGCACCGCCACTGCGGCAGTGTGCGCCAGAGTGTGCCGGCGTGCGCCAGATCGACGGCGTGCGATAGGCCAAGGACGTGCTCTGATCGAAGCCACCGTCCCTGTCGCGCGAGGCCGAGGAGGCAGCCTCGCCGTCACGACTAGGTTGGCGCCCGGTGACATTTCTTCGTACCTCCACTGGACACTGACATCCCATGCAATACTCACCGACACGTTGTCAGCAGACCCCTCGTCGCGACGCTTTTCGGCTGGACGGCCGCATTCTTCCCGTGGAGAAGGTACGCTGCGTTCGTCTTGACGGCTGCGAGCTTGGTGTTGCCCGCGCCTGCTGTTCCGCCGGGGACGTTGGGGGGCGGGGCGTGTGTCTCGGCCATGGTGGTGGTGAGGGATTAAACGATCTCGGGGGTCCGGGGGGGTCGGGCACCGGTGATCGCGCTGTTTTATTGATCTCTGTGAGTGAAATAATAAACAAATAATGTCTCTCGCCGGGTAGATGGATGCATGGTTGGTTGTCACCAGCTGAAGGGGTGAAAAGTATGAGGTCATACAACGTGGGATATCCCCGTTGTACAGAGAGAAAAGTGAATGCAGATCCGGAACGGGGAAGAGGGTTTGGGTGCAATTGGGTGGGTGATTGATTTGGGATAGGGTGAATGGTGCCGAACGCGGGCGTGTGTGTGTGTGTGTGAGAGAGAGAGAGAGAGCGGGGGATGTGCAGGGTGCAAGTGCGGGACCAAGCCAAGCCCAGGCAATTTCCAGCTCAGGTCCACCAGTCCACCGTAGCGAGACACGGGGGACACACTTCCTACCGACTGCTCACCGATCAAATCTTGGGCCGGCCCGCTGCTGCTGGCTACACTTTGCAAACTCGCAACCCGCGTTTGCTTTCCTCCCACACCACCAACCATGGCGAGCAAACGACCCTTCCAGATCCTCGCCATGCCGCTCGTGCGCATCCCCCACGGCCCCCTCAAGGCCGCCACGGCGGCTGCTCCCAAGGCTGCTGCCGCTGCCCCCTCCACCAACACCGCCGGCAGCACCTCGGCCACTCCCTCCGACACCGACAAGGTCGGCCAGGTCTCCTCCCCAGACGACAGCAAGAAGGAGGCCCCGCTGACGCTGTACCTGACGCAGCAGCCGAGTGTCGGTGCGAATGACGAGAAGCCGCCCATCTACCAGCGCGCACTCGACAAGGCGGTCGAGCAGTGGGACAAGCTCGGCGAGAAGCCCAAGGGATCCTGGATGCGCTACTTCCACACCAAGGGAGAGTCGCTCATGGACAAGATCGAGTTTGAGGAGTGGGCCCTCAAGAACGTCAAGGAGGGCCAGGGAGTCAAGTTTGACAAGGACGGCGTGCCGGATAAGAAGATCAAGGTGAGTTGGAGGTGTCGCAGGGGCTCGGTGCTCGGGGTCGGAGCTGGGACTCTTGAGCCCAAAAGCTCTGAACATTGACTCGGGCTGCCTCAAATACGTTTAGGAGTTGGGAGCGCTGGCCCGCTCGTTGCCGCTCGTTCCGCTAGCAGCATCGCTAACGCCAGATTCCCCTCTACCGACCCACCGTCGCGAGCCTCGGCCTGCCCCCGCTCCTGCCGAAGCTTCACCGTTCCCTCCTCCACCGCATCCCCTACCACAAGAAGATGATGAAGCGGTGTTTGATCCTGTAAGCTACCTTTCTCTCCCCATAGCTAACCCCAGTTCGCCCCTGACATGGCCATTCGCGATTATCCCAATCATCCCCAACTTCCCGCTCTTCTACGTCCTCTGGCGCGCCTGGTCGCACTACAGGGCCTGGCGGGGCGCGACGTACCTTGACCAGCTGTTAAAGGCGGGCATGATCGTGGAGGAGCCCAGCCCGGAGCTGAACAAGTTCTACGAGGCGACGCCGCGCATCATGGCCAAGACGCGCGCAAAGGTCGAGGAGGACCGCAAGGCGCGCGCCGAGAAGGCAAAGGAGGAGAACGCCCACATCGACCATGACAAGGAGACGCCGCAGCAGCGCCGCGAGCTCATCGCCGAGCAGGAACGCAGCGACCGTCCCGAGGTCCAGTACGACGGCATGATGCTCACGCATGCCCAGATTCCGGACCTGGAGCGGGCATTTAAGTTGAGTCATGGCGATGGAAACGATATTGGCCGCGCGGTTGAGCAGGCCGACGAGCGCGCTCGCAAGGCGCTCGAGCAGCTCAAGGTGAAGGCGTAGAGCGGAAGTTTTGGCGTAGACAGACGCCCCGATAGACAGTGTATACCCCAGGTCCTTCCTGATGGACTAGCGAAACGTAGACAAGGCAAACATCACTCAGCCCTCCATAGACTACATACTTAAAAGCGTAGACCTCTGCCCCCCTCGGTCTGCGCAGATCGTGGGATCCCCATCCGCCGTTGTGCGATGGCTCATATATGCAATGCATCGATCTACAGTAGCGTCTAGAGCGCACTCCTCGTGCGCCTGATAATCTCTCCGCTCGCACACCCTCCGGGTGCCCTGCCGCTGCTCCCTCCGGTCGCTGCTCAGTAGGGCTTGTACCTCCTTCCCTTCTTGAGCTCGGCGACTTTCTGCCGGTCCTGCTCGAACTTGCGGCGCATCTCAGCGAGCTCCTTTTTCTTCCTGTCCTGGGCCTGGAACTTGTAAAAGTCCTTGAGCTCGCCGGCGCCCGAGTTCTTCTTCTTCTTCGGCTTGTCCGCGTCGGCAAAGCTCGCGACTGCGACACCGGCGCCGTCCGCTCCCCTTCCGGCGGTACGACCGTAGCGTCCACTGCGGAGGACGACAGTGAAGCCGTCCGCGTCGACGACGGCGCCGGCACCCTGCGCCTTGGCCTTCGACGTGAGGAGGAGGGAGTGGAGGTGGTCGTACCGCTCCATCGCACTGTCGGCGTGCGCCTTCGCCAGCGCAAGTTTCGGTCGGAGGGCAGCGTACTGCGCCTCGTAGCGCGAGAGACCGGTGGGGATGTCGGGGGTGTAGGTGATCGTTCCGGTATGCTTCATGACACGGGGAACCGAGACGGCGTCGAGGAAGGTGATCGTGGCTGTCGTGCGCCCGCTGGGGTGCAGCGCCTCGACACTCTCCGGCAACGGCGTGACCTCGGGAACACTGGCGGGAATGGCCTGCAGCCTCCGTCTCCGCCTGCGTTTAGGCTGCTCGGTGCCCACAAACGTCCATCCGTCCTCGTCCACTTGCGGCGCGGCAGGCGCCTCCTCCGGCTCAGAGTCCGATGCCTCGTCGTCGCTCAGCTCCAGCACCGCGCTCTCCATCGCGCTCTTTCCTGCACCCTTGCCGAACTGAATCGACTCGATCACACCAAACCGCGAGAAGACGGCGCGCGCCGAGGCATCTCCAAAGTCGACGGGGAGGTTGGATACGAAGAGCTCCCGATCAGAGGAGTCCGAGGACGACGTCTGCGGGCGCACGTAGAGGTAGTGCGCCGGTTGTGAGGAAGACGCCTGGATCGAGAGTGGAAGGAAGTCACCGCCGTACGTCGCGGCAAACGACGAGGAAGACGCCTTCTGCTTGCCGGCCTTGCCCATCGTGTGATTAGGTCGTAAGGGATGTTGGAGGAAGACGGCTGAAGCTAATCGCGTGGATTGACGAGATGTCGATCGATCGAGATGCGGATACCACCGAGCTTGATTAATTGCTGTACCCAGAATCTAGAATCTGAAAGGGTCGATGCTGAAGGGTACGATTGTGTTTACAATGTGCAGCAGTGGATGCAGCAGTTCAGCCTGGCGCGATCAACATTTTGCGAGCGGCGGTGGAGGTGACTTCTCCAATTCCTGGGTCACGTGCACTGGATCGGCACTGTACCTGACACTCCAGCTCCAGGCTCGGTGGAGACGTCGAGGAAGACGTCACAAGCGATTTCTCTCCTCCGACTTCATCATCATTCTCCGCCGCCTCCGTCACCCCAGCCTATCTACTCTCTGCACGATGCCCGTCATCTTTGTCCGCTTGCATTCCGCCCACCACGGACCTCATCATTCAAGACGTAACGAGGCACACATGTCCCATTAGCCGCTGCACGTGTGCGCCAGTCCTCGCCAGCCTCGTCGGCTCAGAGCCTAGGTTTTCCCCAAGTTTGCGAGGTTTGCAGTGGGCCCAGGGGACCGTGTCGGCATTCACTTCCTGCAGAAGCCCTTTAGACCCAACGTTCTGGATCGCCGCAATCGCGCCGCTCGCCTACTCCACTCGTCACGGCCGTTCCTCTTCATCTAAGCGTCGGTCGGCGGCCGTACTTCGCTATACTTGGCCTTCCTCGCCTTCCTCCTTTTGCTGCCTATCGTCTACCCCAACACCTCCTCCTCGCTGACCGCAACCTTGTTGACCAGCGTTCAGAGGCGATCTGGTTCCTTCTCGTTATATGAGCAATCAGTTCACTACCGGCACTGGCATGGAGACCTTGTGCTTCGCTGTCTTGACCTTGGACCAGGTGGACTCGGCGCTCAGCAGGGACGAGGAATGCGTGGTCACCTCCACTCCGTCTCCCTCAGGATACGCCATTCACTCATTCTGTCCTCGTCATCGAGTACTGCGAGCATCGCGGTCGCAGGGCCAGGTGACTCTGCCTCGGCGACTTGGAGCGGTTCGGCCGCCTCCGTACCTTGATGCTCGACCCTCGGGCCCCCGCCGCCGCATGTTCCTTCATTATGTCCCTCTCATCCTCCACATCCCTCTCAACGTCAGATCTTCAGCGATTCGGCCGCTTCACCGTCACTCCGGCGAACCGGGGATTCCTCTGGCAGTTCCTGGGAGCAGGGACCGACGTCGCACAGGGTCGTCGTGAAATCTAGAAAACTGGACCGGCGGCAGCAGCAAGGGTGACTTTGCCAGTTCAGCAGCCCTTGCAATACCAGCGAGCCGAGCGCTCAGGTTGTGCTGCCGAGGCCGTCAGTGAAGCTGACGAACGACGCTGCCATGACGTTTGGATCATGCCGCCAAGAGCGCTGAGGCCCTCAGCGCTCATGTCATGCTGAGGCTCAGCTTGCCATCCTCTTCGGCGATGATGAATTCTTGACCGCTGACATAGCTGGCTTGCTACACCTGGGGCTCACTGACCAAGAGCTAGGTACAGAACAAGTGGCGACGTTACGCCGATGTTCTCCCAGATGGCCCTGCTCCAAGACCTTCGACCCCCAAGCCCTCGCAGTCCTCGACACCACCGCTCCGATGCCAGCTTGGTGCATGATATATAATGGAGGCTGCGGCGTTAATGAGCCGCCCCGTAATACTTCAGCCTAGCAGTTCATCAACAGCATGATTAGACTGCTTCCACTGTTGCTCAGCGCTTCGAGCGCTGTAGCGCAGAACCAGGCAGACAACCAGAATTCCAATGCGGTCCAGCAGGGAACCGACGCCGCGGCGAGCGCCGGCAATGCGGCCACCTCGGCTGCCGGCGCCCAGGCTTCCAGCGCCGAGGCCCAGGCGGCCAGCGCCACTTCGAATGCTCAAGATGCGCAGCAGACCGCCTCCGCTGCTTCCGCGACAGCCTCTTCGGCCGAACAGAGCGCCTCTGTCCAGTCACAGGATGCGCAGGCTTCCGGAGCCAGCCTCTCCTCCCAGGAGTCCGCTGTCATGAGCTCCGCTGCCTCTCAAGCGACCGAATCGGCTCAGGCCAGCGCCACCCCGACCGGCAACCAGGCACAACCGACCGAGGGAGGCAATGGCGGAGTCGTCGGTGGTGGTGCCGGTGCTAGCTCCGCCTCCGCCAGCTCCGCAGCCTCCGGCGCCATGCAATCCCTCAGCTCGGCTTCCCAGAGTGTCGGGAGTGCCTCCGCTTCGGCGAGCTCCGCTGCCTCTGGTGCCGCACAGTCTCTCAGCTCTGCATCGGCCAGCGCCGCGGGCCAGACTCCGTCTGCCTCTGCCACGGGTGGAGGTGGTGGAGGCGGCGTCGTCGGTGGAGGCACCGGAGGCGGCAGCGGCGGTGGTAGCAACAGCAACAACACCAACCCTTACGTCCCCGCCGTGCCCCAGGTCGACGACCCCAACAAGGTTATTCCTGGCCAGGACAACCCGCCCGACAAGCAGTGGTGGTGCGCCGACGGTCAAAATGTCACCTACTGTGCCGACAAGCTTCTGCAGGACGTGCAGCTCAGCGGGATCTTCCCCGATTCCAAGATCTTCGTCGACAAGCCGACCAAGGGCTCCGCTCAGCAGATCTTCAACGACTTTTACAACCTGGGCAACGACCCTAGCCAGCAACAGAACCAAGGCCAGCAGCAAGGCCAGGCTCCGCCGCCCCAATCCTCATCCGGCGGCAACGACCAGGGCCAGAGGCGGAAGCGCCAGCAGCAGCAGCAGGGCCAGACTCAGCAGCAGGGCCAGACTCAGCAGCAGGGTCAGACTCAGCAGCAAGGCCAGACCCAGTCGCAGAACCAGACCCAGCCGCAGAACCAGACCCAACCGCAGGACACAACTGGCCCCGGCTCTGTTGCCAACAACAATCTGAAGGTCGGACAGATCGCCAACTTTGTCAAGTCCAACTTCGGCCCCGAAGGCGTCGAGTTCGAGCCGGCGGACCTTGAAGACTTCGAGGAAAACCCCGATTCGTTTAACAACATCAAGGAACCCGTGTACAAGGGCTTCGCGAAGGTTGTCAATGAGCATTGGAAAGACCTTGCGATGAAGCATAACGAGTCAAACCAGTGCGGCGACGGCAACGACAATGACGACTGCTCGAGCTCGCTTGTTCCTCTCAACAACACCGTCATTGTCCCTGGCGACAGGTACCGTGAGGCGTACTACTGGGACAGCTACTGGATCCAGCAGGGCCTCGTCCGCTCCGGCCTTCACGAAACCGCAAAGGACCAGATCGAGAACATGATGGAGGAGATTGAGAAGTTCGGCTTCATCCCCAACGGTGGCAGGAAGTACTACCTGAACCGCTCTCAGCCCCCCGTCTTCACTCAGATGGTCGCCGACTACGTCCGCGACACCGGCGACAAGGAGATCCTCGGCCGTGCCCTTCCCCTCATCGAGCAGGAGCTCGACTGGTGGCAGAAGTGGCGCACGATCCAGGTCACTTCGCCCTGGACAAACAAGAGCCACACAGTCGCGCACTACAGTGCGCCTAACAACGCTCCCCGCCCCGAGGCGTATATTCCCGACTACGAACTGGTGGAGGGCAACCGCAACCTGAACAAGAGCGCCAAGAATGAGCTCTACGCTGAGCTCACCTCTGGCTCCGAGTCCGGTGTTGACTTCTCGTCCCGCTGGCTCATGCACCCCAAGACTCTGAACGACACCCTCGGTATGGGTGGTGCCAACAGCACCACCGGTGGCGGTGCGGCTGCCAACAACACGGCTGCCAGAATGAACGCCACCATGGCCAAGGTCGAAGACCAGCTCCAGTCGCTCAACGTCCGCGCCATCGTCCCTGTCGACCTCAACGCGCTTCTCGCCGGAGACCACAGGCTTGTTGCCGAGCTCTACAGGCAGTACGACCAGCACCTGTCCCAGAACAGTACCGGTAACGGCAACGACAACAACGAAGGCGAAAACTCTGGTGACAACGGCGATCAGTCCGGTGGTGGTGGTGCTGTTGGTGGTGGAAACACTGGCGATCAGGGCCAGCAGGGCGGCGACCAGAGTGGTGGAGACAACTCTGGCGACAACTCTGGTGACCAGGGCTCTGCCACTCCTTCTGCTACTCCCTCTGGTACTGAGTCCTCCGGCGCTCAGCCCTCTGGCACCGAGTCTTCTGGCACTCAGCCTTCCGCCGCCCAGACCTCTGGTGACAACTCTGGTGCCGAAGGTGACCAGTCCGACCAGAACTCTGGCTCTCAGTCGTCCGACGCTCAGCAGCCCTCTGCCTCTGCCACTCCTTCTGGTGCTCAGCCCTCCGAGGCTCAGTCCTCCGGTGCTCAGCCCTCCGAAGCTCAACCTTCTGGTGCTCAGCCCTCCGGTGACAACTCTGGTGCCCAGGGTGACCAGTCTGACCAGAATTCTGGTTCTCAACCCTCGGGCTCCCAGTCCGCTGCCCCTCAGCCGTCTGCCTCGCAGGCTGGTGGTGACAACAGCAACGACGGCAACAACGACCAGAACCAAGGCGACAACTCTGGCGCTCAAGGCGACCAGAACGACCAGAACTCGGGCAACCAGGGAGGTGGTGGCCAGCGCCGCAGCTGGCTTGCACGCCGCTTCGACCGCTTCTACCGCATCTTCAGCCGCCAGAACGACGGCGCTCAGGGTGACGGCAACGACGGTAATGACCAAAACAGCGGTGCCCAGGGTGATGGCAACGATCAGCAGCAACAGGGTGGTGACCAGCAGCAGCAGGGCGGTGACCAGCAGCAGCAGGGTGGCGACCAGCAGCAGCAGGGTGGCGACCAGCAGCAGCAGGGTGGCCAGATCTTCGGTCCTTCGGACTCTCAGCAGGACGACCTCAGCAAGGTCAAGAACGAGACAATCCGCGGCAAGGTCGAGTACCACCAGCAGCTGGCTCAGAACTACACTCAGGCTGTCCTCGACCTCAACTGGGACGAGAGCAAGGCTTTCTTCTACGACTTCAACACGACCTCGAACAACCGCTCCTCCGCCTTTACTCCTGCCGGCTACTTCCCTCTGTGGCAGAACATCACGCCTTCGTCCATGAACGAGACCACTGCCCAGAAGATTGCCTCAGGTACTTTCCACGTCCTCAACAGGTACCCCGGTGCGCCCATCCCCGCCTCGCTCGTTGAGACCGGTCTCCGCTGGGACTTCCCCAACGTTCACCCGCCTCACGTTTGGGCTGCTATCCAGGCCTTTGAGAACCTCGCCAAGCGCTACCCTAACGCTGGTGTCGCCGGCCCGAACATGACCGAGATTGTCTTCGGTCAGGTTGCCCCCGGTCAACTCGGCATTCTCGAGGCCAGACTCCCCGCTGTCCCTGCTCAGAACAGCACGGCCTCCAACAGTTCCTCTTCGACCAACAGTTCATCGTCGACCAACAGCTCGTCCACGGCTCAACTTCCTTGGCCCAAGGCCCTTGCCGCCGACATTGCTGAGCGCTACCTCCAGGCTTCCTTCTGCGCATGGTACCACACTGGTGGCAAGATCGCTGGCGTTCTCGACCAGCTGCCCATGACGCAGCTGAACAAGACTGGAGAGTACAAGGGCGCGAACGGCACCGTTCCCGCTAGCCTGAACGCTACCGGTGCCGAGTCCTCGGACCCTGTCGGACGCTGGGCTGACGCCGGCTCCGCGTGGGCCAACGGCGTCATCATCTGGGCTGTGACCGAGTATGGTGACCACCTCAAGCGCCCCGTGTGCCCCGGTATCGAGATCAAGTGGGTCCAGCAGAACGGCACCAACAGCCAGAACGGCACCAACACCGGCGGTCAGGGTCAAAACCAGGGCCAGCAAGGCGGAAACAACAGCGGCGGCGGCGTCGTGGGCGGCGGTAACACTGGCGGCAGCGGCCAGAGCCAGTCGGCCACGCCTAGCGCTACGCCCAGCACTCCTCAGGAGCAGGCTTCCTCGGCTGCAACCTCTGCTGAGCAGCAGGCGACTTCGGCTTCGCAGTCCGCCTCGTCTGTCCAGAACAGCGCCGCCAGCGAGGCGTCTTCCGCGACCTCGGCGGCTACTTCTGCCGTACAGGAAGCCACCTCGGCTGCCACGTCTGCTTCCTCTGCCGTCCAGTCCCAGAACCAGGCTCAGTCCGCGACCTCCGCTGCCAGCTCGATCGTTCAGTCCGCCACCTCTGCCGCTGCCGCCCAGTCGTCCACCGGCAACGCTGGCAACAATGACCAGAACCAGGGCGGCAACTCTGGTGCCCAGGGTGACCAGAATGACCAGAACTCTGGCAATCAGGACCAGGGCAACAACAACCAGGGCGGTGGTGGCCAGGGCGGCGACAACACCGGCGCTCAGGGCGACCAGAACGACCAGAACAGCGGCGGCGGCGGCGGCCAGTAGGCCGATCGTTCATCAGTCCGTAGCTAAATCGATTCAACAATTATAATAATTGAAAGTATGGTAAACACGCGAAATAGTTGTCAGATGAATGTATGAAGCGTCTCTCTGCCAGCAACGTGTCGATACCACACGTTCCCTGCGTGAAGAGTCTGCAACACGTAATTACACTTCTCGTAAGCATCAGCAGCGCTAGTATTCAGTAATGCATGCAGATCACTCAAATGTCGATCTTCCCTGTACATCTTGAAGGGCGTTCTCGCCAGGTCGGGGCCGGGCCGGCCGGGGGATCGGCGGCCGCAACTTGGCCTTGATTGGCGGGGAGCAGAGTCCGGGTCGCCAGCCTTCGGTCCAGCCGACGTTCAGCCTGCACTTCCTTCATAGTGGCCGGGGTTCAAGTAAAGGTGGCTGTGGTTGGGGCGCACATGCATTGGGTGGTTCAGACCACGACTCATATCTGTTCCGAATGCTCGATCCGAGCTAATTGCAGACGAAGAGCGATTGGCCAAGATGGAGGTAGTGGGCAAGTGCGGTGGCGGAGGTACGCTCCAGTGAGTGAGTAAATGCCACGAGGCTGTCGCTGGCTTTCATGGCTTTGACGGCTTTGACGGCTTTGATGGCTTTGACGACTGCAGGCTTGGTGGTGACACTGGCGTAGAAGGACACCGCAGCCCCTAACAGTCAAAGCCCGGTACACTGCACGTTCGAGTGTCGGCTCAAGGCCTGCTGGCTGACACGGGCGTCTCCATGGCAACTGTGACTGCTATCACCGCAGCACCACTTGAGTCCAGGGGTTGACCAGGCCAGGCCTAAGCGACCAGTTCAAACCCCGCGAGTCCGAGCTCACTACGAAGAATCTAACTCGGAACACCGAGATACCAGCCATGCAGTCCCCAGAGGCGTGCCGCATTACTCATCTCGGCGTCCATTTCGCGGTGTGCGAGGTGTTCCGAGACCATTTCGGTCATTTCTTATCGCCCCCAGCCAAAGTCTTACCTCAGCTCTCAGGGTTTCTAGGTCTTCCAGGGCTCAGAGCAACCGCATCAGTAATAACCTCCCGGCAGCACCCGAGTGAGATCTTTGCGATTTGTAGAGCTGCACGTGGTGCACGTGAAGATCCCTGAGAAAGAGTCGGTAACTTGTGTGGCACCGGCGTCTGCGATTCGGATTGCTGACTATGTTCGGAGTCGTGGTGGTGACGAGATTCGGACTGGCGATGGTCCGGCTACGATGGCACTCTTGTGGCCGCGGACGCAAGCTCGGATCGACGTTGTTGCGAGCAGGGCTCGGCAGCGACCGGAGATCGACATGTTCGTCGACGCAGTGTTCTGCGTCGTTCCAAGACGCTGCAATGGATATATAAGCAGACTGTTGGGTGTCGGGGAGGAGCATCAGACAGCAGTCAAACCTACGACAACCTTCAACAACCGCTATATACGACCAAGCACACCTAGCCAACAATGTTCGCCAACGTGTTCGTCTCTTCCCTCCGCGCCTCGGCCAAGGTGGCTCCTCGTGCCGTGCCCATCGCTCGCGCCATCCCCCGCGCTTTCCCTGCCACGCGCAGCTTCTCCACCACCGTTGCTCGCCGCAACGCGACCGCTACCAAGAAGGAGCTCGACAACCAGGTTCGTCGTGGCTTCGACGAGATCATCCCCTTCCTTAAGCGTGAGTCCAATCTGAAAGGTAGTGGAATCACCACGCTGACTCTTCATAGGTGTTCCCGTCGACGTCTACCCGCTCGTCGCCTTCGTGTCCTTCGTGTGCTGCCTCGGCGTCTTCTTCATGGGCAAGCACCTCATGGTTGACAAGAACCTCCGCCTCCAGCCCGCCCAGGCTTACAAGTACGACAACGCCCAGCGCATGCGCAACATGGGCGCGTCCTCTGAGGAGGAGGAGGAGTAGACCCTAGCAAACACATCTCCTTAACCATCCCAACCACAAAACGACCATCAAACACTGCATATACTCGTTCCACACTCACATTTCATTTCCCCTTATCCACCAAAAATCAATCAAAACAGTCGCCTTCCACTGCACTACCCCACAGCCTTTGCATAGTTCCATTTGACCCATAGTTCTCGATAGCATGTATGAGTGTACAGTAAGCCGCACTTCCCTGTCACTGACGGAGCAACAGAACTGCATGCAAAGGGAACAACAACAAGTCTAGATATCTAGTTCAGCTGGATAATGCCGGGGCTCTGAGCGGCGAACTGGACCGCCATCTCGCAAGCCCCCAAGTCGGCGCGGAAGAGCTCATACAGCGCCGCGCCCCTCTCAGCGTCATCGGCAAGGAGCGAGCGGTGCCGCTCGCGGATGAGCTTCGTGTGATCCCACTCCCAACTCTTTGGAAGCTCAGTGCCGATCAAAGCACACTCAACAGCGTGCACCATCGCAGGCGCCATGTCGACAGACTCGACCTGGGATCCGTCAGCACACCTCCACTTGAGTGCCACCTGCACCGGCCGACACCGGCCGTCGACTTACGTTCAGGTATCGCACCGCGACGTTCGACACGGGCAGGCGCGTGGGAGCACGCGGAGGCCAGTGCATGAAGGGGACGTCTCGGTCGCGCATGTAGCGTGGTTCTTCACCAAGGAACAGCTGCTGTTAGCACAAATCAGAGGGTGTGCCTCACTTTCTCGAGCTCCCTTGAGTCCCACTGGCGATGGGAAGGCGTGTCACGGAGGTAGAGGCACAATTCGCCATGGGTGAAACTCCAAGCTCCCCACTCGTCCCCGGCCCGAAGTAGACCTGCCTCCATGCCATTCTCGGTGTAGGGGAGACGGCGCAGGATGTCGCTGACCAGATCAGGAGTATAAATCTCGCGACCACGGAGAGCTTCGACCACCTCAGCCAGCGGGGGACGGGGCCGGCGGTCCTCGGCCAGAATGTTGGCTGTGCAGAAGTGTGGCGCCTTTGCGTCGGCATCCGGTGCGCCGAGATCGTACTGCTCCCACAAACTGAGAAGGGTTGGGAGCACAGTGAACCACGCGGATTCGAACACCTCACCCTCCCCTCGGTGCAAGGCTTCCGCAATTTCGCCGTGCGAGTGCGCCTCAATGTCGGAAGCCTTCACAAAGACTCCTGTGCCCGTCACTCCGGGACTGTCGAGGACGACAAAGTTGAGTCGCGACGTGGCGAAGAATCCGTCACTGCTGTGAATCCGCCAGGTACATGTGCGTCCGACGGCTGCGCATCGCAGACAAGGCGGAGCGCCGACGATCCCCCACCCCTGCTTAGGAACATATATGTTACCGAACACGGAGGGGACATCTTCATGGCTGCAGGCGACGCACGGCTCAGGTCCAAGCTGATTCACGAGTCGCGCATCGTCTTCATTCGGTGCGTAGGGGATGAGGAATGGGACACGGCCGTCGCCGGGTCGGAGGAGGATTGAATCCTCGCCGGGGAAGTGAGCGAATCGCGTGGCGCCGGGAGGCGAGGAGAACACAGTGACGACGGAAATGGCAGGTTTCTGGGGGCGGGGAGGAGATGGGGTCTCGGGAGTAGGTGTGCGGCTGCTGTGAGGGGAAGTCATGAACTCCTGTCGTCGCTCAGGCGTCGGGGAACCACTAGGCAGAGGTACGGGAACGGAATGAGCGGTTCTCAGGAGTGACAGGCTGGCTGATGGCGGGTAGAGAGGTAACTCGACGATCGGGACTAACACCTCGGTTGAGAGATTGGAGTGGCGGGAGATGACGAGAAGGCTCAGCGGTACCCCGAGGCAGCACCGGCGTGCGCGGGGCGACAGACGCTTCAACCTCCATCGCATCGTCATCTGTCTCCTCACTGTGGCTCACGTGCTCCAAGGGCCTGACAGGCGTGTAGCCGGGGGCCCTGAGGATTACGCGCGGAAGTGGCGTCGGGGTCGGTGTCGCACCTGGCGTCGCGTCTGGTGTCAAAGCGTGTGTCCCAGCCTGGCTCGGTGGGGTTGCCGAGAAGACAGACATCGAAGCCTGGGAGCCCGAGGGCGTATGGTTCGGTGGCGTCGGCAGACCAGACCGCTTGGCCAACTTCCTGTCAACGTTGCAATACCCCTGTTTCGTGAGTTCAACTACAAGGGGAGTCGGGTCGAGCGAGCGGGTGCACTTAAGCTTGGAGTGGGAGCAGCCTTTGCAGCATGCGCTTGAAGTGCCCCGGCTGTAGATGCACGGCCAGCGGGCATGCTTGCACCGGTCGCAGTAGAGCTCTGGCGGAAGAATGTTGAAGTCCCCCGAAGACAGCCAAATGGCCTATAGGGTGTCAGCCGAGGTCGAGGACAAAACTCACCATCAGATCTGACTTTTGCTTGTCGCGTTTGTTCGTCTTAGCCCATCCGTCCGCGTTGCTGATGGGCTCGCCGAGCTTGTCCCACCGGTACGGCTTGGCGCGGAAACGGGGGCTGTCGACGTCCGGGCTCACGGCTCTCTCTTTGCCCTTGCCCTTGCTCTTCTTCGCTTTCGGCATTGCGGAGTTGCTTGGCGTTTGTCGTTGGGTAGAGATCAATCGGCAGGATAGCTACATAGCTTATATGCCTAGAGCACTGCACACGATGACCTGTTCCTCGACCCGTCACAATGCTGTAACATGTTCGCTGATGCAGCTCCTAGTTCCCCACTCTCATGGAGCCGCACAAGCAGATGCTCACAGCCAGAAACGACAATGTAGGGGTTCGCACCGCTCCGTAAGCCCGATGGGTGGACAAGGCTGGCCGGATCAGGCGATGACGGGCGCGGAGAAGCGAGAGATCTGCCCTCAACGGCGGGGGCAGGAATGGGATTCCTCACCGCTCACGTGTACAGCATCATTACTGCCTTGCCTTTGTTCTGGTCTCATCGTGTGACGAACGCATTGTCCTCGGCCGTGTGTGCCACAAACAATCAATATTCTGAGAGACAGAACATGGGCGTTGACGCGGAGAGCAATCAGCTACATGTCTTCGGACGTTCTCGTGGTGTAGTGGTTATCATACTCTCTTAGGGTGATCTAACATCTTGAGCTTTGCCTCCAACTGTTCTTTGAACAGCGATTGGGAGTGGCCCCGGGTTCAAATCCCGGCGAGGACCTTTTTTGCTCTCTTTATGCTCCCCACTCCCAGATCTGTCCGTAGGTGCAAGAAAAGTGAAGATTGGGTCAGTGTAGACTGAGAAAATGACGATTGAAGTTGGCCGTCGAGTGGCGGTGGAGGTGGCCAAGGGCGCTAAGAAGTTCGAATCTCGGTGAATCTAGGCTTCACGTGACTCGGGGCAAATGTTGCCGCCCGCTACTTGCCCTTCGACAATTTCGAGACCCGATCGGTGATCATCGTCTCCGAGTCTCCTTAACGACCACCACACGCTACCATGCTCGCCCAGAAGGCTCTGCGAGTGACGCGCTGCAGCTGCGGCGTCCTGCGTTCGACCCGCGCTTTCTCGACAGAGGTGCCCTCCGAGTCCTCGAGCTCCACCGCCCCCTCCGCCCCTTCAACCTCCCAAGCGTCGACCTCTGATCTCGACACTCTGTGGGAGCGCGTGATCCGCACACCGTAAGATCCTCTGATGAACGTGTGAGCTAACCTAAGTGCGGCAGCGCTGAACGATGCTCCGCCGACACCGACACAATCCTCGCGCCGACCGCCGCAGAAGAAGTTCGGGCGACGATCAGGCCCGACGCACGCTGAGAAGGCGCGGTTCAACGACAGTCTCCGGCGGATATTCCAGGACCTCGAGCGGAGCCATTTCGGGCCGAGCAAGGTGACGGCGTCGTGGGAGGCGATGACGCGCATGCCCGCGGTGCGATTGAGGAAGGAGGACGACTCGCGGGAGCTGAACGCAGCGATCGACGCTCTCGTTGAGGACCTGGCGGCGCAGCGGACGCCGGCCGACGTGCTCGCGTGGGCGGAGGACAACGTCTTCAAGCCTGAGGAGAGCAGCCCTGAGCCGATGCCGAGTGCCGTTGCCCTCCACGGGAGCCAGAGCTCTGGCCCCACCTGGCCCAAGACGTACCCGAAGGCTCTTGGAGCGCTGATCTCGCATCTCCGCCAGCTGGACGCGCCGCACCTCGCCCTCGCCATGTTCGAGCATGCGCGCAACCTGGGTGTTGAGAGCTACATCGCCGGTTGCCAGACGAGTGCGTACAACGAGCTCATCCGCGTGCGCTGGGAGTGCTTCCGTGACCTGAAGGGCGTGTTCCAGGCCGTCAAGGAGATGGAGGGTGCCGCCGTTGCTTGGGACAGGTTCACGAACCGTGTCGTCGAGGACGTCGTGCAGCAGGTCGGTGCCGAGATGCTCGAGAAGCCGGATGCGTGGGGACCGGACGCCTACGAGATGCTCGCCGGGCTCGAGAAGAGTATCGCCCTCGACCACAAGATTGAGCAGCAGGTCTTCGAGCGCGGCACATTCTTCCGCGAGCGGGAGCGCGTGCGCACGTACGGCAACCACCGCGATCGCGAGTATGAGCACGGTGGTCGCGAGTACGAGCACAGTGGCGAGCAGTTCAACTTTGGCCGCGAGCGTGGACGCCGCGATGACTTCGGAGACTACTAGACACAGCACGGCGACACCGCCCCGCCCACAATAACCCTCATATAACAATCATAGCCCCGCATGCACTACTTCACTTTTGTTCAGGCATTATAGGCGCATCGTGCGTGCATATTGTACAACAGAAGCTACAGTCTAAAATCCACCCGCTTACTCTGCCGCGGCGGCCATGCGCGCTTGCGAGTTCTTGAACAACTCCTCCTGCAGCGCCTCGAGCTGCTCGTTCGTCATGCCGTTCGTGTCCGGCTGGTTGCGCTGGCGGTCCTGGCTTGTCAGCTACCACGGGGAATAACGGCTACACACCTTTTGGCTCTGCTTGAACTCGGCGTGGCTGTCCTCTGTATCGGGGATGAACGATTCGAAGCCGAGTTGCTGCTGTCAGCTTGAGGGTCTCAACTCCCAGCTGAGATGCAAGCTTCGCTCCAACACCACTCTGTCGATCGTCGCCAACCCACCTTCAGAGCCTCAATGACGTGTTCGGGCGAGATCGTCTTCTTGCTGCTCTCCTCGCACACTGTGTTGCTCTGAGCGGAGATGAGCTTGATCCATTCTGTCACGTCAGCTTTGGAAACTTCTTGCAGAGCTTTTTGTGAAGGAGCGGTAACCATCCTTGCACAGCGGAGTGGACGCAGACGATCCGGAGGCATCGTATACTGTCAATTCCGCTCCAAGCGTGTGGATGGCTGCAAGTGGAGCTGCTTTTGATTGACTCACCGACACAGCAGTCAACGATGATCTCCTTCGTGTCCTTGGCACAGCTCAGGTCCTCAGGCAGCATCTCTGTTCTGTCAGCTATCACCAAGTTTCCTTAGCGTACCAGAGATGAGCTTGAAGACGGTCGCCTTGGGGAGGGTATGCTCGTCATCCCCTCCGAATCCCTCGCGGTCAGACATGGTGCGGTGGTTGTTGTTCGATTATGCAGAGTGCGTGTGCGTGTGTTGGTTGGACCGGTAAAGTCTGGGTGTTGTCTGGGTGGGCTGTGTGGGGGTGGGGTATCTGAGATGACAGCCGATGGAATGAATGGACGATGTGGTGTTGTGACAATGGTCATGTGTTTAGCCTCGAGCGGCAAAAGCTAAATACATGCACCAGGGCCACCCGTCAAAGTTGCATCCAGCAGACATGACGCCGCCCTGGCTGAAGCGCGTGAAAGCGGAGCCAGATCAGAGATCAACATTTCCCCTTGGTCCCTCCACTTTCGCCTCCTCACGATCGTCACGCCTTCCTCGCACTCCGTCATCGTCAGCAATCAACAATGGCCTCCACGGATCTGACGCCGAGAGGCGTCAAGGCCGTCCACGGCATGGACCCGCAGGTACGTTTGATTCTCCCTGCTGGTGTGGTGACCATTTTCCCTAGTTGACATCCAGAACCTCGTTGAGAAAGTGATCCGCGCCCGTATCTACGACTCGCTGTATTGGAAGGAGCGCTGCTTCGCGCTGAATGGTGAGCTGGTCGTCTTGGTCAAGAGCTGATGTTCAGCTGAGTCGCTCATCGACAAGGCGATTGCGCTGCACGCCATTGGAGGCGTGTACGACCGCCAGACGCCGACGCCGTTCATGTGCCTCCTCCTGAAGTTGCTGCAGATCCAGCCCGAGAAGGAGATCCTGTTCGAGTATCTGCTTGCAGAGGAATTCAAGTGAGTTATCACAGAGTTCGGGCTGTATATGCTTGTTACCACGCGGATGGTTCGCTGGCATCCACACACAGCTTCGAGAGAGTCATACAAGCTGACATCATCAGGTATCTCCGCGCGCTCGCCGCAATGTACATCCGCCTCACCTTCCGGAGTATCGAAGTGTACGAGATCCTCGAGCCTTTAATGAAGGACTACCGCAAGCTGCGCTACCGGCAAGTGGGCGGGTACTACCTGACGACGTTTGACGAGTTCATCGACGACCTCCTGACGCAGGACCGCGTGTGCGATATCATCCTGCCGCGCCTGACGCAGCGCTCCGTCCTCGAGGAAGTTGAGGGCCTGCCGCCGCGCAAGTCGCTGCTGGACGACGACCCGCGGGACAAGTCGCCCGCTAGCTCGAGGGAGAGCTCGCCGGATCTCCGTCGCGGAAGGAGCCGAAGTCGGACGCCGAGCGACAGCGGCAGTGATAGGAGTCGATATGTCTCCCGCTCACCCAGCCGGAGTGACTCTGAAGACGAGGGAGAGGTCGGCGACACGAGGGCGAGATACGTGTCGCGGTCCCCGAGCATGTCACCGGATCGCGCAATGGCGATGCAGGGTGACAAGATCGAGGGCGACGCGTAAGAGGGAAGAACGACGCATGTATCATTAATTCGCTAGAACTAGTAGAGCTCTATATATGTTTCTGCATTCGGGATATCTATTACAAGTCTCACTAATGCTACGTCTCTCATCGCCTGGGGGAGCCGAAGCCCTTGCCCTGTCCGAGTCTCGTCTCGAGCTCGTCGACCTTGGCGCCGAGCTTGGTCGAGTTGGCGTCGATGCTGTGGAGGGCGCGGAGATGCGCGCCGAGGATGGCGGAGAGCTGGTTGATGGGGTCGTCGGGGAGCTGGGTCTGCGCGTCGGCGGCAGTGATGGCGTCGGGCGCCTGCTGAACGCCGGGGTTGCCGGCCGAGAGCTTGTTGACCTCGTCGATCATCTGGGAGAGGTTGCGGCTGATGTCGTCGAGCTGCTTGTTCAGGTCCTCGGCGAGCGCGTACGACTTCTCGCGCTCCCGGTCAGCCGGCATCTTGGCCGTGAGCGGCTTCGTGTCCTTGTCCATGAACGTCGAGATCTCCCGCTCGTAGTGCGTCAGCATGTTGTCGAGCTGCTTCTGTTGCGACTCGATGTAGTCCAGGTTGCGATCGAGCGCGGTTTGGTTTGCCTGCGCATCAAGCACTTGTCGGTGCAAAGCCGCGATTTGGTTGCCGTTCCGCACAAGCACAGTGTCCCACTCGCGCACCTCGCCCGCCTGCTTGTCAAACATCTTCACGCTCTCGTCCAGGTCACGTTGCCAGCCGTCGACAATGTCCTCAAGCGTCTTGCCCCGCAGAATAGACGGGGCACCTTCAGTCGGAGCGGCAGCCGCAGTCTCTCCAGGCTTGGTCGCTGGTGTCGCAGCGCCGGTGCCAGCCATGCTGGCGGTCGCGGCGGGGGTGGCAGCGCCAGTAGCGGGCTTGGAGCCAAACAGGCTACCACCAGCTGCCGGCGTAGCGGCTCCGTCCTTCTTCTCCTCCGCGGGCTTCGGCGCACCGAAGAGCCCTCCAGCGGCCGGGGCGGCAGGGGTAGCAGCACCGTCCTTCTTCTCCTCAGCAGGCTTGGCGCCGAACAGGCTGAATCCGCCTCCAGGGGCGGCAGCGGCAGCAGCACCATCCTTCTTCTCCTCGTCCTTCTTCTCAGCGGGCTTCGCGCCGAACAGGCTGAAGCCACCAGCGGCCGGCGCAGCGGGAGCGGCGGGGGTGGCAGCTCCGTCCTTCTTCTCCTCTGCCGGCTTCGGAGCACCGAAGAGTCCACCAGCAGCGGGCTTCGAGGCATCCGTTGGTGTGGTCGAGGAAGCGGCAGGGGCACCGAAGAGTCCACCGGCCGGCTTCGCGGCGTCTGTCTTGGGCGCGTCGGTCGATCCAGCAGGCTTGGCGCCAAAGAGGCTGAACCCTCCGGCAGCAGGGGCACCTGCGGGCGTGGAGCTGCCGGCCGGCGTCGTGCCGGTGCTACCAGCAGGCTTAGCACCGAAGAGGCCACCGCCAGCGGCGGGGGTAGAGCTGCCGCTGGCAGCGTTGTCAGCGGGCTTGGCACCGAAGAGGCTACCTCCAGACGCGGGAGCAGCCGGGGCCGCCGGAGTCGAGGAAGACGAAGCGTTAGCACCACCTCCGAAGAGGCTTCCTCCTGTCGCGGGCTTGGCTCCGAACAGGCTGCCTCCGGCAGGCGGAGCCGATGACGGCGTCGTAGACGCAGCGGGAGCGCCGAAGAGCGGCTTCGCGGGCGTCGTCGTTCCAGAGTTGTCGGCGGGCTTCGCGCCAAACAGGCTTCCTCCGGCAGCAGGCGTGCTAGCGCCGGCGGGGGGCGTGCCTGCCGCCGGCGTCGTCGATCCGAAAAGTCCTCCAGCGGGCTTGGGAGCCGCAGCACCGCCAGCAGGCTGGCCGAAGAGAGAAGGCGTCGTCGATCCCGATCCGGCGGCGGGCGTGGCCGGCTTCTGGCCGAAGAGACCGCCACCAGCGGCAGGCGTAGTCGATCCACCGCCGAAAAGGCTGCCACCGGTCGCGGGAGTGGAGGATGCTGGCGGGGTGGAGGTCGCACCGCCGCCGAAGAGGCTGCCGCCGGCCGAGGCGGCAGGCTTCTGACCGAACAGACCGCCAGACGCAGGCGCAGATGACTGCGTGTTGCCGAACAATCCGCCAGTGGAGCCGCCCGCGGCGGGCGTCGAAGCGTTGTTATTGTTGTTCGCCTGGCCAAACAGACCGCCGCTGCTCGATCCCGAGCTCGCGTTCGCGCCACCACCGAAGAGACTGCCTCCCGTATTCGTCGTGTTCGTGTTCGAGGCTGCTTGTCAGTTGTTGATCACGGAAGATGAGATAGCAACTCACCACCGCCGAACGAGAAACCTCCTGCAGCTGTTTGTCAGTTAAGCGCGTGAGGTCCGCAACTCACGCTTGTTGGCCTGGCCGAAACCAGATAATCCAGCTGAACGTGAGCTTTACCCTGGAAGCCAACAAAGCTAGCACTCACACATGCTGTGGTCGCGATGGACGGATGGGATGCTGGATTCGAAGGTTGATGATGCTCTGAGATGCAGGCGGTGGTGATCTGAAGTTTGGCGCGCCTGCACGTTGATGTCATGGTTAGGCGTGGAATTTACTCCCGGGCCTACTTCAAAATGAAGCATCACGTCGCTCTTGTGTCACCTCTGACGAAAAGTGAAGCAACAAGGCTGATCGTCGCGACCGTCAACAACCGTCAACACCATCCATCATGTCGGCAGTCAAGGTATGTTGAGGATCCATGATCTCTCGGAGTAGACTGAGGCTCCTCTGAGCTTGTGACAGCTGTGGGACGCTTCCCGATTGTAGCTGACATTCGCAGCCCGTCAACCCGAGACCATTTCTGCAGGACCTGACTGGAAAGACGGTGACGGTCAAGCTCAAGTGGGGCCTGGAGTACCGCGGCTTCCTCGTCTCAACAGACGGATACTTCAACCTGCAGGTGCGTGGAAGAGAGGGCTGGAGCGGGAAGGATGGAAGCTCGGTACGGCAGGACTCGGACTATTGTTGTTGTCTGGTCGACTGCGCGCGTCCCATGTCTTCACCCGCCGCAGCTCGTTCGCCTAAGCTACGTATCGGTGGCATTGTAAGCTGACATTCACAGCTTACCGGAGCTGAGGAGATGGAGAACGGAAAGTCTAATGGACAGCTCGGCGAGGTGTTCATCCGTTGCAACAACGTCCTGTACATTCGGTAAGCTGTTTCTGCATCCGCCTTGCTAACTCTCCAGTGAAGCGAAAGACTAGAAGATGTAGAGCCCATGTTCCCAGGTGTGACTAGTACTGCAGTATGGCTATGCCACGATATCCCATCATTGCCATGACAGGTGTGCTCGTTGCCACTGAGGGTCGACAGCGAGACTTTCTGCCGCTAACGAAGGCGCCGCTCATCAGGGCTGGAGTGACCGAGGACCCGTTTCATCAAATCACAGAGAGAATTAAAGTGGATAAGTAACAATGCCTACATATGACAAGCCATCTACAGGAAGCGCGTCTATTTGTTGATGTGGGTGCCGGCGAGCACGTCGGCGAGGCTGGGATGTTAGCTAGAACTCCAAGGCCACTTTAGCTGCAAAGATACTCACTCGTCGGCCTCCTTGTCGGAGATGGGGGGCTTGCCGTCCGAGACGCCGGCGGCGACGCCGTCGTCCTCGCCCTCGGGAGTCTCCTGCTCCTCGGCCTCCTTCTCCTCCTCTTCCTCCTCCTCGCTCTCGTCCTCCTCGTCCGAGCAGGGCTCCTCCATGTCGTCGACTGAGGGTTAGCTGGGTCGCAACCATCCAGCTGGTACTTACGGTCATCAAGGGCGTCCTCGTTTCCGTGGAGAGCGAGCGCCTTGCGGAGCTCCTCGATGGCCTCGTCCTCGGCGTCGCACTGGTTTCCATTGAGCTCGAGCTCAGTGAGGTTGGTCAGGTGCTGGGCGACGGCGGTGGAGAGGAGCTCGATGGTGCGCTTGTCAAACTCGCCGTACTGGAGCTTGAGGCTCTCGAGCTTGGGGTTGCTGCCGTTGGCGAGGGCGGTTCCGAGAGCGATACCTCCGGCCTTGCCGAGGAGACAGTCGGAGAGGTTGAGGTGGCGGAGGTTGGGCCAGTTCTCGAGGACGCGGACGAGGGCGCGGGTGCCGGAGCGGGTGGCGGTGTTGTCCTGGAGGTCGAGGTGCTCGAGGTCCTTGTTGTGCGCGAGACCCTTGGCGAGCGCCTCAATGCCCTCCATGCGGATACCGTTCTGGGGCATACGGATCTCCTTGAGACCGCCGTGAGCCGCGAAGGCGTCAGCCCAGACCGAGGCCGAGCCGTTCTCGAGACGCGACCGTCCGCACACAACGGTACGGAGCTGGCTCGTCTTGCCCTCCTCCTTCAGGCGGTTGGCGAGCTCGAGGATAGCGCCGGCAATAACCTTGCCGCCCTCGGGGCCGAGACCAGTGTTGTTGAGCTTGATGACCTGGTAGACGTCATTGTTCTTCAGGAAGGAGGTCATCGCGTCGGCGCAGCGGCCACCGAAGGCATTGTCCGAGAGGTCGAGCTCGACCAGACCCTCGTGGTCGATGAGGGCATCGCAAAGCGCGGAAAGAGCCTGCGGGATCTCCGAGATCAGACGACCAGTAAAGATGTCGGCGAGGTCGACGACCTGGTTGTCAGCTACCGGATCACTCCTCCCAGCTTACCCTGAGGCTCTTCTTCTCCTTGAGGACAGCAGCAAGGGCCTCGCACGCCTCGACACCGAGAGAGTTGCCGCCAAAGTGGACCTCCTCGACGTCCGGGAGCTCGGCGAGCTCGGTGAGGTACGGCTCGAGGTCGGCCTTGGTGTTGGCCTTGAGGTTCTTGCCGACGATAGAGAAGACCTTGCCGTCTGCCGAAGACATGTCGATGATGATTAATCTCAAGATAGACAACAACAAAAGTGGTAAGACCTGTTGTCCTGGGCGGCAAAAAGTTGGTTCCTCGTCATAGGGAGTGTCTCGCTCGAGCGCACGGACCGCTGCCTCGGTCGTGCCTGACTGTACCCGCGGAACCTAAACCGCCTTTGGGCGATCGATCGACTGGCAGATAAGACACGGACAGATCTACAGTGTGTACATGCATAACGGATGGGTCTAGACTACAAGGGGTTGTCAATCATTGAAGTGCTTCTTCATGTTCTGCTGAGTCAGCTTGCACTCGATGCTTTGGTTAGCTTACCCAGGGCTCATCATCAGAACTGTACTTGCGAGGGGGGCGCGAGTGTGGCGCGATCGCAGAAGCCACCTTCTGGGCCTTTTGACGCGCTGCCGTCAGTTGCCGAAAGAAGAGATGGGCTTACGGATAGGAAGCATGATACCAAGCTCATAGTTGTTGATCTGGTGTTAATTGCCGGGCCCCGTTCACAACTCACATTAAGGGTTGGCGGTTTGTTCTTGAAGTTCAACGTTCCCCAAGCTGCGGGAGAGAAGTTGTGCGATCCGACATAGAACCACCCGCCGACATCGCTAACCTTCGCCTTCTGCTTTCCCACTGCCTTGGACGATCCCGACGCTCCCAATGTCGTCGGGATCGGCTCGAACATTGCAATCAGCATCTTCGAGTGCATCAGCACACCGCCGCGCTTCGAGTTTGCGTCGTGCAGCAGCGGCTTGGTCTTCTCGTTTTTGTAGTTGCTACCGCAAAACATGGTCCCGCCACCCTGAGAGGTCAGTTATCACGGAGGAAAGATCAACTCACGTCTCTTCCGCCGATGCTAGCGTCCACCGTCGCCAGCGAGGGGAAGACGACCTTCATAGGCGGCCAAGTGGTCGCTTTCGGCAGTGCCGCGATGGATTTCAAATCCTTCCCACAAACGCACTGGTAGAAGTTGCGCATCCAGTCCATGCCATACTTTCCCAACGACGACCCCTGATGTCAGCTCAAGCACAACTTTCAACAGCGTACCTGGTACTCCGCCACCACACGCTCGCCAGCTCCGGGCAGCCATCCTTCCTCCTGCACGACCTGTCCGAGGCGGCCGATACCCCACTTGCTCATGTCATGGAAACCCTCATACTTGCCCGCAATGCTGATGACCAGCCGCGCCTTGACGCGCGACCAATCCCACTTGCCAAAGTCGGTGTAGCTCGGGTCAGACGAGATGGGAACCTGGCTGCCGAGCGGGTGTGTCTGACGCATGAACTCGATCCCCTTATGGATCTTGAGATGCTTGAACAGGTCGGCAAACTGCTGCGGGAAGTCGGGGAGGTGCCAGTCCGGCGAGTGGCCCGCCTTGTTAGGGAGGACGTCCTGGACGAAGACCGTGTTCTCAATACGCTCCCAGTCGTAGTCGACCATGTTGGCGGTCATGATTGCGACGCGCAGCCGGCCCGTCTTGTAGAAGACGAAGGCCCATTTCTGGTGCTCACTCCTGCTGGTTAGTAGCCTGCAGCCGCCGTAACCATACCCATCCTTCCCCGCCATGTCCGGGTAGATGTGCACCTCGCCCTCGTCGCTGATGGTCAACTTGCCAGACTTGCGGCGCCGGTCCCACTGGTCGCCTGGAGGACGGCAAACACGGATCGTCGGGCACAAGTCGGTCTGGGGAAGGAAGCCCGAGTCCATGAACATGCCATCCCAGCAAAAGGAAGACATGATAAGGAAGTCAATCTGTTCAGGCTGCGCGTCAGCTATACCAACAATCCCGGAGCTCACGTTACCAAACACGTCGCGAGGGGAAAACGTCGGATCGCCGGTCGCCTTGCCGATCTTGAGGGCGACGTGTCGCAGCTCTCCGTCGAGGTAGTACTCCCCAGCGGCGTCGCGAGGGAAGGGCCCGCGACCCTGGTACGGGTGGTCGCTTTGGGGCGATCTGGGTGGCGAGGAAGGTCCAGCGCGAGAGGAAGGGCCGGGTCGCGACAAAGGCGGGGGACGAGGGTTGGAAGCGGGCGCAGGGGAGTCCTTAGCTGCCCCTTCACCGTTCGAGTTCTGCCTGGCGGCAAGCCGGGCGAGACGTTCCTTCTCCATCTGAGCGCGGTCGATACCCAACGCCCCGAGGCCGACTGGACGAGCGGGTTCGGCGGGTCGTTCAGGGGCAGGACTGTTGGGGAGCGTGGACGGGGCGGAACCGGCTGCAGAGCCACTATCAAGGCGCAGACGCTTGCGGCGCTCCAACTCTTCCTTGCGCGAAGCTTCGAGGGCGGCGTTCATGCGGTCGATCTCGCCGTCCGAGTCGCTGTCGTACGGAGTCGCCTCTCGTTTCCGGGAGGCAGCGATGGCCCTGGATGTCAGCTTTGCTTCTCGTGAGGAGACAGCGGAAAGGGAGAGAAGACAAACGTACTGTGCTATCTGCCTACGCTCCTCCTCTGGCGTTTCTGAGCGGGCGCGCTTGCGGGGCGTAGTCTGTTCTGCTTCCGCCTTGCTCATGGCCAGGACGGCCTGAAGCTCATCGTCGTCGTCGTCAAGCACGATTGGATCGTCGGCGCGGCCCGTGGCCTGTTGGTCTTGCATTGAGAGAGCAATGGCCCTGGATGTCAGTTCAACTACGGCCCTGCAAACTCACTTGGCCAGATCATCGTCCTCTTGCGACCGGCCGCGCGACTCGGTCAGGTGCCGCGAGTTGGACGCGGAAGCACTCGGCCCCGCCACCTTCCATGTACGCCATGCTGCTCTGTTTCGTCAGAAAGAGAAATGAGGAGTGGGAGGAAGACATACCGACGCAATTCATGGTAGTCGACGCCGTCATCGACGTCGCCGAAGATATCGAAAAAGTGCGCGTCAAAGTCCGCGTTGTCGCCTGCGCGCGGCGGCGGGCCGGGATCGGCGGGCGTTGCAGCACCGAACGCGCCGAAGCTGGACGTTAGCTAATAGGGCACGGGCCGTGAAAGCTGCAACTCACCCTCCAAGAGCGCGCTCGTGACGCTCGTCGTCCGAGTTGTCGTCCATGGCCGCGAAGGTGAGAAAGAGGCAATATTGTTTTGACGGCGCTTCATGACGCAAGTAGGGTTTGCCGCTGGACAATGGGTGACTGGATTTCGGTCCTCAGGCACGAACATCAGTGCTCGCCACGTGGCCGGCCCAACCTGTCAAGCGCGTTCGTCATCTTGTCTCGTGCTGTCTTCCAGCTCATCTTCGACAGCGACGGCCGAAACGACGAAAACACTTGCAGCAGTGCGACCCTCTCTCGCCTTTCACGACCCGCATACCCCGCTTCCTCGAAACAGAACCTCGCTTTCGAACCTTCGGACGGACGACATCACGAACACTTGAGTCGCCATGTTCGGCCTCGGGTACATCTTCAAGATCACGCTTCTGCTCGTGAACGCGGTCGCGATTCTGAATGAGGAGCGATTCCTCGCCAGGAGTGCGTATCTCATGACCTCTATGAAATCACTGAGAGGACTAACGCTGTCGTTAGGCGCACTTCAGCTGACGCACAGTTGGGTGGTCCACCGCTGGTAACCCGAACGCGAACGCCGGCTTTGGCAGCGTCGACAACCCCGACTCGTTCGGACAGGAGGGACAGAGCATGAAGGCCAAGGCTGTGAACCTGATCGCGGCGGTGCGGACGCTTCTGCGCAGTGAGTATACGGTCCAGATGACCTCGACTCGCTCCGTTGAGCGCTCGGGTTTGAGCCCTCGGTGCCTCGGGGGAAGACGATCACATGCATCGTATCGCGACTGTGCACGATTAACTGGAACGACGAAGGGAGGGAAGATGCTGACGAATCACAGTACCCCTTATCGTGGTTAACATTGCCTTGTAAGTTCGCTGCGAAGGTCTCTGAGATCGATAGCTGACAGGCAACAGCATATTGTATCTGATTGTACTTGGATGAGCTTGAGAGGAGAGGACGTGGATATGCATAGACTAATGTACACTGGCTCTGACGCATCTCTGACCCTGCCAGATCTGTATGTTCTTCGCCAGAGGGATGGTAAGTTGATCGTCATCGCATATTTATGTGCCAGACCGTCCCATTTGGCTCTCGCGCTCGTCTCGCTCGCCCGTCCGCAACACTACATGCATAGATCAGCACAGATGAATGCGCGGCCACTAATTACGGTCTAATACAGTAGCTATCAAGCGGGTATCCTTTTAACGGTATCGTTTGTCGTCAGATCGTGGCTATATAGGGAGACAGTGGCCTAGACTGGGGCCGAGCCTGTGCCGTTGAGGCAAGGTGTGAGCGAGGCGAGCGAGTTGCTCGAGCCGTGCGGCTCGCAGCTCCTCAAACCTGGCAGCAGATCGCTGGACGCTTAGTTGCTCTCGTCGTCCGTGGTCAGGGCCTTGCTCCGGCTGCGCGTGACGCGCATCGGGCTGTCGACGCCGAGCTCGGAGGCAGCGACCGACTTGCGCGTGCGGCGGCGCGGGGTCGCGGCGGCAGCTCCGTTGCCCTCGTCAGCAGACGAGGCCTCCTTGGCGGCGAGGCGGCCCGACTTGCGGGGGGGGAAACGGCTGGCAAATGGTAAACGCAAATGCAAACGAGGTGGAGACGCAGAGTGGAGGTGCCGTTGAGGCAAGGTGTGAGCGAGGCGAGCGAGTTGCTCGAGCCGTGCGGCTCGCAGCTCCTCAAACCTGGCAGCAGATCGCTGGACGCTTAGTTGCTCTCGTCGTCCGTGGTCAGGGCCTTGCTCCGGCTGCGCGTGACGCGCATCGGGCTGTCGACGCCGAGCTCGGAGGCAGCGACCGACTTGCGCGTGCGGCGGCGCGGGGTCGCGGCGGCAGCTCCGTTGCCCTCGTCAGCAGACGAGGCCTCCTTGGCGGCGAGGCGGCCCGACTTGCGGGGGGTGCCGGCCGTGGCGGTGGTGGAGGCGGTGACGGAGGCCGAAGCGACGGTGCGCTTCTTCTTGGGGGTAGAGGGAGCCTCAACGACAACATCCTTCTCTTTGGCGGCAGCGGCGTTCGAGTAGATCGCACTCGTGAAGGGGCCCTCGTACTTGAGCGCGATGGAGTAGACGGTCCAGACGAGGGCCGAGAGCAGAAGACCAGCGGGCGACTCGGACCATAGGGCAATGCCGAGGAAGGCCATGAACGAACCGACGTACATGGGGTCCTCGAGGACGTTGAAGGGGAAGCAGGTGACGCGCTCCTTCATGAGGATACCGCAGTAGTCGCCGAGGTAAGTGCCGACGATGCCGAGGGCGTACATCGAGGTGACGACAAAGACCTGGCCCGAGGCGAAGAGGGCAACGGCGACGGCCTTAACAACGGGGTTGTGCAGCACCTCCCAGTGCGGCTGCTGGCGCAGAGCACGCTCGTACCTGGGCGTCAGCCGGAGCACAGATACCCGGTACTCACAGGTGGTCACGGAGGATGCCGAGCGAGAAAATCGTGACGAAGAAGAAGTACGTGGCAGCGAGGGGACCACCGAGAAGCTTGTTCAGCGTCTTGTTGCGGTACTCTGGGTTGTCAGTATGCAACGCGGACGGCAGAGGGCGCAGGGGTACTCACCATTGCGGGCCGTCACGTTCCAGTAGAGGGGGTTGAAGACGATGGCGGCGGCGGCGATCCAGAAGCTCGGCTGCGAGAAGTCGATGAGGTGCGGGAACTCGGCGTAGCGGTACCCCGACGTGTTGAGGGGGAGGTACGCCGCGATCTTGGGCGGGATGAGCTCGATGATGGCGTCCATGACCGGTGTCGAGGGGTTGAAAGGAACTTTTGGGCAAGTTCGGATAACGCTGCTGGATGATAGCTAGTCGCTGGTCGCTGCGTGCTGGCGTAGGGCGAGTGGCTGCTTCGATGAGCGAATGGGAAGAAAGGCGCGATGGTAGGCGTCCCGGAACCATACGTGTTTGTTTACACACCTCGTGGCGACCCCCAAGCGCGTGTTCAGGGTCCCATCAGCTTCAACTCCGTAACTCCGCCCCAGGTGGCTCGCACCGGAGTTGTGAATGCAGTCGTGATGATGCATGCGATGATGGGGTGATGCAGTGATGAGTGGTACAAGGATGCTACAAGATGTCTATTGCTTCGGTTCCGCGTCGAGCACGGCGACACTCTCCCATTTCTTCCTCCTCGCGTCGCGGGACGCCTCCTCGGGCGTGCTCCATTCGAGTTTAGGCTTGCGGGGCGGCTCGTCAAAGAGCGCCTCGAGATCCGCATCGAGCTCGGCGTGCGTGTCCTTCTTCTTCTTTTTGTTTAGCACGGGCATGTGCTCAAGACATGCCTCGAGCATCTTCTCCGTGCGGCTTTTCATCTCCGCCGCGAGCTCGCGGTCGGGGAAGGCCAGTTCGAAGCGGAACGACAGCCACAGATAGTTGACGAGGCACTTGTGCAGCGACTCGAGCTCCGGTACCTTCTGGATAAGAACGCGGCGTTCGTGCGACTGGGGCGGGACCTTGGGCGGGCCGTCCAGCTTGGCCATGAGCTTCTCGATAACGTCGAGGGAGTTCAGCAGACCGGTCCTCTGAATCGCCGCGTGCAGGTCCACGTGGTACTCCTTCGCATACTGCCAAACCATGGTCGAGAAGAATCTGACAGTCTTCTCGTCGCGGGCCGGCAGCGGCGCATTGGCGAGCAGCTGCAGCTCGCTCAACGTCAGGATGTTGCGGAACGGTTCCAGGATAGGCGCGATGGTGGTCTTGCTAGTTGACGAAGCAAGCACAGTGCGCGGCGGCAGCTTGGCCAGCGCCCAGAAGTGCTCGATGAGGCTTTCAAAGGACGTCTTGGCGGGAAGTAGGGGCTGGAGGGCTGTAAGAGCCTCGGACGGAGGCTCGATGACGGCCCGCTTCACGGAGGGAAGCGTACGGCCGAGTAGGCTCTTGAGGAGCGCAAAGTCGTCCTCGTGCAGCGTCGTCACCGTTCCTCCAGTGTCGCCAGGAGCATCGCCCGTCGTGGCCGTGTCGACTGCAGCAGAAGTGCGCTGCTGTCCGAATCTTCCGGCACGGCCCGCAATCTGCTTCGCAGACGACACCGACAGGGGCACCTCCTGCTGCCGTTCCACTTCCAAAGCGTCTCAAAGATGATGCGGTTGATCTTGAGGTTCAATCCCATGCCGACGGCGTCACTCGCGACGAGAACCTGGGCACGACCTTCGTTGAAGTCGCGCGCCTGCTCGGCGCGAGTCTCTGGGGGGAGCGCGCCGTAAACAACGGCAGCCTTTGTGCCCAGTTGGCGCTCGATCTGGTTCTTCAGGGCGAAAACGTTTGAACGTGAAAAGGTAACGACGCAGTCGCCGGCCTGAACCTTCTTCATGTCGCTGTGCAGCGACTTGTCTGCAATCTTGAGCGGTGTCAGGCGGCTGTACTTGTGCACGGTGAGAGTGTCGCCCTTGAAGCCGGCAATCATCTCGTGCAAAAGCTTCTCGGTCGTCTCGTCGCCGCAGAGGTGGATCTCCTTCGCTGCAACACCCATGACAGCGTTTGCCCACGCGGCGCCGCGCTCCGAGTCGCCGAGCATCTGGATCTCGTCGATGACGACGACGTCCCATGGCTCACCGCCCATGAAGCCCTGCAGAGGCATCATCTCCACCGTGCAGCTCATGAGTCCCGCGTCCTGCGCAACGAGTCGTCGCTCCTCGCCCGTAAGCAAGTTGCACGCCCTTCCCTCGCCATCCATTCCTCCGACGGTGCCGAGGTTGATGCGCTCCCATACCTCATGCGCGAGCAGTCGGAGCGGTCCGGCATACACACCCGTCTTGGCTTTCGAGAGCGCCTTCAGTGCGCTGTATGTCTTGCCAGAGTTTGTCGGACCCATGTGCAAATGGAAGTTACGGTTCATCGATCGCGCAGCGACATGGGTCTGCGCGACATTGCTGATGTCGGTGATCTGCAGCAGCGCTCGCAGCCGCGAGTGCAAGTTCTCCATGCGCGGGTTCTCGCAGGTGAACGTCAGGAAGCGACGGAGAATGGCGGACTCGAACACCGAAGACCACTGGCCAGACTCGAACGCCAGGCTGAGAGCCTCAGCATCCCATCCCTGGCTCTGAAGGAACTGCTTGATCGTCATATCGCCGCGGTCGTCCTTCAACCTTCGGCGGGTGCGGTCGGCCCACGGCATGAGGGTTTCGAGAATGTCGCCTTCCTCGAATCCGTAGGCTTTCAGAAACTCGTTAGCTCGATCAGACAGGGCCCAGCGCTCTATCCGGTCGTCGAGCGTCTTGATCAAGTCCTCGGGTCGTGGCGCCTGCGGCTCTGCAACGGCAGCGGCGTTGCCTCGCTTACGAGGCTGATACTCGTTGCCCCGCGCGAACCCCTTGCCCCTCTGATTCTTCTCGTTGTTCCACGGTTTCCGACCCGTTCGCGATGGTGCGGCGCCGAAATCGATTGTTCGTCCCCGCGAATCCCGTTCCCGCAACGTCGAGCGGCTTCCTCGAGATGTCGGGACTGTGGTTGCGAACGAGCGAGTCGCCATGACTGCGGCAGCGCTTCTGCGTGCGCAGAGCACGCATGCCTGCCTTGAGAGCGCCATGTTTCGGCAGACAGGCGATGCGAATGTTCGGAGGTGATGCGGTGATCGAGGCGGTTAACTAGCAGCGAGTCCAATCGATTATCGGTCTCGAACTTTTGTAGGATCGGCTCAAGTCGAAGGGCGGAGGTCCACAGATAACCGCCCACGTGCCGGGGAAGATCTTGATGAAGTTGAGAGTGGGGGCGTAATAAGGATCAGGCACCTCAGGCACAGCTACGTCAAGGTGAGGCGCAGCAGGCCCGGTCGCCCAAGAACCGAGCGAGCGAAGGGGGATGAATAACAGAGGAGGACGGCACCTGCAACGCAGAGAGGTACGCAAGTGGAGGCGGAGCCTCAGCTACACATTAAACGGCTGGCAAATGGTAAACGCAAATGCAAACGAGGTGGAGACGCAGAGTGGAGGCGCGACAGTGGGGTGGGCAGCTACAAGAGCCCAAGAGTCCCCCGGCCCTGGGTGGCCCTGGGGAAGCCGAGCGTGATCCGCACGCTCCAAGAGCAATGTCGGATGCAGCGTGACATTGAACTGGCAACGGGCGAAACGAGGCATGCGGCGGTGGGGACCGGGGATGTGGGGATGGGGACCTTATGCATCGAGCGCGAAGGGGGGTTTCTCAACGACTATCCATCCACCGGTGTTCCGCTCGTCTGACCAGCGCAGTCTTCCTCAATTCCTCAGCCAGTGTCAGAGCCGGAACAGCGCTAGACCGCCACAGCGTCTCACCCTACGCACCTCCTCCTGCACACGCGCCTGCGCATCCAGGACCGTAGCCGACCCTTAGCATCCATCCTCCTGCAACCTGCGACCCAACCACTCAGCACGACTTCAACATCTCCGTCTTGATATATACGACTACTACACCCGCCCACACGTCCTCGCACACCTCCCTTCAGTATTCCTCTCAACAACGCACTTCCCCCCGCACAGCGGCTCACCTGCTGCGCCAGCGGCCACTCCACCAACCCACTACACACTCCCCTCGCCCTTCCCCGGACCCGACTACTTCACCCTGGCACCAGGCCGCGAGCGCCTGACAGTCGCTGACCAGCATGTGTGAGTAATATTGTCGGCCTGATATCAGCGCGGCCTCAGACCAGATCGCCAACCTGGAAACACCGCGCAGCACCGTCTCATGAACTCTACTGACACTCGTGACAGTAGGGGTTTCACCTTCATCCACTTCACCACCACCCCACCAACCCTCCGCACCGCCTCCGAGTCGAGCAGAGATTGAGCGCAAGCTTTCCGTCAAGTCCAACGTCCGCGACACTCCGACAAGAAAGCCCACTGTGAGTCATCCATTGTCATGCCCACCGCCGCTCGCGTAACTGTCACTGTAGCGAAGGGCCCGAGAGTTCGCGCTACATCCGTCATACATCAGAGTCACATCGGTTGCGCGTATCACTGCTAACACGGTGTCGCAGAGGCCACCAGTACCGATCCCATCAAACAGCACCGACTCAGCGTCGACCGCCTCCACCGTGACGCCCGTGACTGGCGCATCCTCACATCCCTCCAATCTCCCGCCGCTGGTTATCAACCCAATATTCGGCGGCCAGTTTACCAACTCTCCGATGGCCTCGCCAGCAACTCCCCATCACGCCGGTATCAGCGGCCTGAGCTCGATCGCCGAGTCTGAACGGCAAAGCTCTGGTCGCATGTCTCCGGTGGACGACGTTACGGAAGGCGGAGGGGAGGGCGACGACTCGGATGAAGATCACGGAGCGAATGCCGAGCTCGAACGCGGCGCTGAGATCAAGAGCGGATTCCTCATCAAGAAGCAGGAGCGAAGAAAGGTGCGTTTGATTCTCTGATCGCGCTAATCCCAGGTCTGGAAGAAGAAGTGGTTTGTTCTTCGCCCCACTCGCATCGCCTACTACAAGGACAACAGGGTGAGTGAATATCTCGTTGCGCCGCTGACAGATCCAGGAATACTCATTGTCCCGTGCGATCGATCTGAAGCAGATCCACTCGGTCGTGCCGGTACACTCTGAGAATCAGAAGCACCCGTTCGCGTTTGCCATTGTTACCTCGGCGCGAACGTTCATGCTCGAGGCGCTGTCCGCAGAGGAGAGGAATGACTGGATCCGCGTGATCAACGCCGGACGGAAACGACTGTCTGAAAAGGATGAGGACGAGGCTCGCCGGCGCGAGCTCAAGAGCGAGGCCCGGGAAGCTCGGACCAACCCAGTGCCCGTGCCCGCCCCTCAGTCGCTCGGAGCGGGAGCCGAGCTGGACACACACGCTGGAACGTGGGCGAGCAACATGTCGGGAATGTCTGTCTCTCCCACGACTGTGCCGGGTGGCTATTTCCCGCGGGGCGCTGGACACGGCCAGCCGGCGTCGCTGGGCACGTCGCCGAGCCTGCCGCACCAGATGGGCAACCTTGCGTTAGGACGTAGCCAATCGATCACCGCTGCGCCGCCAAGTGCCGCGACGGTGAACCGCCGGTTGTCCAACCCCATCATCCCGCCCGTTACTGGTCTGCACCCGCCCGCACGGACTGGGCTGCACCGCGAGATCTCGCAGGGATCCATTGATCTGGGAGGGCCGGGTGCGTCAACACTCTCGCCGCCAAACCAAAACTACTTTGTCAGCTCGGACGAGGACGAGCCCTACTTCTCGGACCCGCGACAGGGATGGCCGGCGAGCGGCGAGGCAGAGGGCGTGGCACCCTCCGATATTGACCCTAACAAGGTCATTCTGGCAACGTACCTCATGAAGAAGAGCCGCAAGGCGACGCGCGAAGTCTGGCGCAAGCGCTGGTTCTACTTGACCTCGACCAACATTGTCTACACGAAAAGCCACATGGACTCGCGCCCGCTGACGACGGTGCCGTTGCACGCGGTGCTGGATGTGTTCAGCGTCGAGTCGGCCGACTCGGACGATGATGATGATGCCTCGCTTCAGAGCGAGCGCAAACCGAACCGTCACACGAGCTTGCGTTCTTCGGGCAAGCGCGACGCGCCCCAGTCAAGCGGACAGGAGCAGCACGTCATTCGCATCGTCACCAACAAGCGACGATATGACCTCTGTGCGCCGAGCGAGGAGGAGGAGATCAAGTGGCTTGCGGCGATCCGCGCGCTGATCAACCGCGAGCGTGAGCGCCAGGCGCCGACCTCGTCCAACGGAGCCAGTGGCAGCGACCAGCGCACGACGCCGACGAAGCAGCAGCTCAACATCCCGACCATTGCGCAGCAGCCGCCCACGCCGTCGAGCCTTCCGCCGGGTTCGCCCATCGCTGGGCAGTCGGCGAGCCCGACAAAGGCTGTGGGAGACTACATCGAGGCGGGTGTGCAGATCGGCACCCCGCAGAGGTTTGTGCCGACGCACGGCCGCACGCGTAGCGCGACGCAGACAGCCAAGAACGCAGTCGCCGACGTCGTAAGGAGATTCCACACCGAGGCGGCCCACTGAACATAGGTATGAGCGCAAGTTCGTACAAGATTCGCACAAGACTGTGCAAGATGATCGTTACAAGATCTCCCGTAGAAGACGCACCCGGCTTGATGCCGGGAGCCACCGTATCAAGCATCCATCCCACCCCATGAACCATTGACAACCGACAATTTTCGTATCCGCAAGCATGAGAAGGCATTCTGCAAGCATCTCCACCATCCTTCCCCCATCCATTTCGAGACTTCATTCGTAACCTCATATTCGTAGCTGTGCATGTACAATTGTTTCCGGGTTCAAGCGAGGTCGCCGGTACTGAGCGGACACAGCGCCTAACAACATGTGACAGCACAAGAACATACATGACAAGAAGCCCGAGAGAAAAGGGTATATGTAAATCTAGAGATACTATCTACTGCGCGACCTTCTTCTGCCTGTGCGTGTTGCTCTTCAGTTCGCTCAGCATGACGGGGAGGAAGACGACACAAGCCGTCCAGAAAACCTTGAAGCTGTAAGCGACGAGGGCGGGCCACTCGGCCGCTCCGGGCTTGGACTTGGCTCCCGGTTTTCCAAACTTGAACAAGATGGCGATGGAGTAGAAAGCGACCTTGAAGAAGTGCCAGAAGAGGGTAAAGGGCTCAGGCCTGAGGCCGGAGAGCAACCCAACGGGGCCGGCGACACACTCGCCTCCGAGCTCAAAGTAGCGGAAACATCCCTCGCGGAGCACCTCGAGATCCCCGTCCGCGCCGCCAAAGAGGTCATAAAGCGCAATAGACAGCACGTTCACAGTACCGGCCAGATCCTTGCGCGCCCAGAACCAGTCCTGCAGCCGGCCAGAGATCACGTCCCACTTCTCGAGTCCCTCCCGGCCGGCGGGCAGGGACTCGCTCGGCGCAAGGATGCGGGTGAGGAGCACGGCGTCGTTGAACGCGACCGTCATGCCGCCGCCCGTAAGCGGGTGGCGCATGTTCCACGCGTCGCCGAGCATGATCGCGCCAGACATGCCGGACGACAGGCCCTGCATGCTCGGCGGCAGGAAGGAGTTGGGCATCGAGCGCAGCCGGTCCGTGTCCAGCGCGTGCTTGACGCCCGCTTGCAGCGTGGGCGGGAGGTGTGGGACAAAGTCGTCCAGGATGTGGCGCTAGGCGTTAGCGCTGGTCAAGACGAAAGGAGCGGCGAGCGGTCCGGAGCGAGACTAGCGGCGATCGTCCCTCAAACCCGACGGGGCTAGTGGCACTATGCCAAAGGATCGAACGATGCTTCGCCCCACGGCGAACAATCGTCTTCCTCGCCCGCTCGCCCCAATAGCTCGCGCTTCGCGCTTCGCGCTCGCCTCACTCACCTTCAAGCTTCCATCAGCCACAGAGGGCAGCTTGCCCTCGACGGGCTTCACGTCGACGAGCATGCGAGTCTCCCTCGCCTCGTTTCCAATCTGGTACAGCAGCACGGGTCCAGCTGGCGTAAGACACACCGTGCCGTGGTTCTGGATCGGCAGCTGCGTGTCCTTGAGCACGAGACCGACAAAGTAGCTCCTCAGTTGTGGCGTCGGGAGAGCCGCACCAGGCGCACTACGGAACTTGGAGAAACACCCGTCCGCGATGATGGTCAGGGGGGCGTAGAGCTTGACTTCCTCTGCGGAACCCTTTGCTGTGCACTTGACGCCGATGACCTGCTTCGAGTGCGGGCAGTAGATCAGGTCGCGCACCGTCGCCTCGAGGATTGTCGTGGACGACGTGGCAACCTTGCGCCGGAGGGACTGGATGAACCGCCCGTGGTGGAAGGAGCGGCCCTCCTTCTTGCCCGACTTGGAGCTGACGGGCCAGTACGCCGCCGCCTTGCGTTCGCCATTCGTCGTTCCATTCGTGCCGTTTCCGTTCGCGCGACACGCAACGCCATCGGCATGGCCGTTCTCGTGTCCCTCCTTCTCGCCCAGGTCGAGCATGGCATCCACCTCCTCCCCGATCTTGGGGTAGGGGATCTCGACCTGCCGCTCGCCGCTGATGACGCAGTATCCCTCGACGGGCGTCGCGTCGAGGCCCTCGAGCGTGTCCGCCATGCCGAGGGCTTCGAGGGCCGCAACACCGCCGGGCTGCAGCAGCTCGCCGACGATTCGGTCCGGCTCGGACAGGTCGCGCTCAATCATGGTCACTTTGCGCCCGGCTTGCGAGAGGCCGTAGGCGATCGCGCAGCCCGCGATGCCGCCGCCGATCACGAGGACTTCGGTCTCATCCAGCTCCGCCTGGCGTCAGCGTTATAGCGCGGGCAGCTTACAATGCGGGACGGGCCGGCTGTGGCGGTCACCGTTGACGACATGGTGGGTATAAGCTATGCAGGGTGTATGCTTATGCGTGGGAGAAGGGTGTATGCGTAAGAATGGGAGAACCGGGTTGAAACGGTCTGTAGAGTCGTAGCGTAGTAGCTATGAGGGAGGGGTTGTGTCGTGTGGACGGTCGCTTGGTCGATATATTTATTTTGACGGCACAGGAGACTATCGACGCAGAGTCGTTCGATAATATCTGGATAGCGCGATCCGCGATCTGCCGATTACTTACGGGCTGGCGTACGCTGGGCGTACGGGGCGTACGGTGGTGGCGTCGGCGCCACGTGTTTGCTCCCGCATACTCGGGCACTCTGCCTGGAAATCTTTGCTCCTAATCAACCCGTTTAAAGGCCGGCCACAGGCTTGTCTCGCTCAGGTCACCGGGTGCCGCCGGTACCTCGCTGACGACTTGCGCTCGGACTGGCCGGAGGACTCGGAGCATGCGGAGCAGGGGATGGAACGTCAGACGATGCACAGATGGAACAGAAGGAAAGATCTGAGACGCCCCTGGCACGGTATGCAGAGAAGTGAGCCACGGTTGTTCTACCGGAGATAAAACAGAAGGAACTGCAGCTCACTCAGCACTACTGTAAACGCCAGTATCGACACTACACCCTGAGGTATCTTATTCGGCCTCTCTCGTAAGATAGGACGCTACAGGAGGGCTGTGACCTGTGACAGAACGCTACACCTATTAGAAATTCCTAATTCGATTAGGAAAAGAACTATTAGGAGTTTTTTTCTGGCTACGCTACACCCCTCTGTGACCCTGTGACGGCGCGCTCCGAGAGCTATGTGACCCGTGACAGGGTGTAGCGTCGAAACTGGCGTTTACAGTATTGCTCTCTGCACGCAGGTGGGCTGGGCACGTTTGAGACTGTCGCACGTCGCGGCCATGACCGCCCCTTGGAACTCAAGTGACCAACGATATTCATTCAAATGACCACTCACTCCCAATAGCGGAACCAAATCCCTCCCTTAGCACTCGTTGCCCCGCTTGCCCACAGTTGCCGGTTGTCCCAATGTAGCCGGGCCGCGCCCAGCTCCGTCCTGCGCTAGCCGTCACACCGTCCAAGAAGTCATCTCTTTTCCTCCATCACCTACTCACCACCACCCTCCTCGTTGACAGCAACCATGGCCCGCAAGGCCGCCGTCAAGTACCGCTCCCTGCGGTCCAACCTCGTCCATCTCCCGCTGTCCCTCTATGCGTCGCTGGCGCAGTCCCAGACGGTGAGTGCTACTCGCTTCGCCAAAGTTCTTGGCTTCCCCGATATCCGTGGGCGAGTGCAGAACACTAACGACAGCGGCCTCAGAGCCTCATCCTCCACCTCGCTCCGCTAGTCCCGGCCTCCAGCTCCAGGCGCCCACCGCAACCGGCCTACCTCGGCTGGTCGGGCTTGGCGGCCGCGAGCTCCCTCTCCGGTATCGGCGGTAGCCAACTCGAGACGATCGAGGTCGACCCCGAGGTCGCACTGAACTATGGCTGGGCCGAGGGCACGATTGTGAGTTACTTCGGCCGAGCTTCACAACTGACACCGCAGCTCGAGATCAGTCTGATCCACAACCCCACCAAGGCACGCTCCGTGTCCGTCACTCCGCTGTCAGCTGACGACTGGGAAATCCTGGTAAGCTTTGGAGACCAGGCGTAGCTGACGTGCAGGAACAAAATGCCAACTACCTCGAGAACAACCTGCTCGGGCAGCTGCGTGCTGCGCAGAAGGGACAGGAGATTGACGTTTGGGTTCTTGGCCGCACCAAGATCCGTATACGTGTTGGTGCGTAGCTCTCCGATTCTGCTCAGCTAACCACAGATGCGACCAACCCCCCAACGACGTCGTCTTCCGTGGTTCTCGTGAACGCCGATACCGAGATTTACGTTGCGCCCCGTCCGCGCGACATGGAGAAGCCAAAGGAGGCGCCGAAGCAGATTGCCACGCCCGCTGTGCCGGTCAGAACCGACTCACACAAGAAGACGCCCTCAGCCCAGTCGGCTTCCCTGCGACTGATCCCCGCCCGTGTCGCGGTCGGCTGGGGCCAGCCGCAGCTCAGACCACGTTGCGTGGGTCTCGCCTGCGACGCTGGTGCAGACCCGCCGGCGTCTGGGCAAGGATGAGAGCGGGCCGCTGTTCGTTAACATTAAGCGGGAGAAGGAGGTTGAGGAGAAGGAGGGCGAGGAGCCGACACCCGAGGGCGAACAGGAGGAGGATGAGGAGGAGCCCGCGCTCCCCGCTTGGCTCGTTGCTTGGGACCAGATGCCTGCTGGAGCCGCGACGATTGGCGGAGAGGAGCTCGACGCGGAGTGGACTTCTTGGGGCGAGATCAGGTGAGTTGAAAGCTTGCGATCGCAACTGACATCAGTGTTACGCTGGCCGAGCCGAAGAAGAGCCACAAGGCGAACGGTGTGCTCTCGCACTCTGTCCTTGTTGCGCCGTCCGAGATTGTGCCCCCGCTCGCGGCCGTCGACAATATCATCGACGATGCCCTCAGCTACCTCCGCCGCGGCGCCCTTTCGGGGCACGCAAAGCCGCTGCTTCTCATGGGAGGCAAGGGATCTGGCAAGACGGTGATTGCGAAGACGATCGGCGAGCGCCTCGAACAGGATCGCGACGTCGTTGCGGGTAAGCTTTACTACGGGCGTCGCCAGCTGACATCAGAACTCATCTACAACGACGTTGGACGGCTCGACCCCGACGCGCGTGTGACGGCGACAAAGGAGGCGATCTCGAAGTGGGTCGAGGACGCTGAGAAGCACGCACCGTGTCTCCTCGTACTCGACAACCTCGACCTGCTCCTCGGACCAGAGCAGGAGAACTCGGCATCTTCGAACCCCTCGATCCTCGCGGAGCACTTTGCACGCCTGTTCTCTAGCCAAAATCTGCCGCCCGGGGTGCTCGTGCTGGTCACGACGACTGGATCGGCGTCGCTGCACCCGCTGCTGACGTCGAAGCACATTTTCGGAGAGCAGATCAAGGTGCCATCTCCGACTAGCGCCAAGCGGCGCGAGATCCTCGAGGCTGTTGTGCGTGCGCAGGAGACCTCGCCTTCCGAGCTCGACTACGTCACCCTCTCGACGCTGACGGAGGGCTATTCCGCGTCCGACCTGAACGACTTTGTGACTGGCGCATCGCAGCAGGCCATGATCCGGTGTGCGCGCGACGGAACAGAGTCGGACCACCTCACGATGGACGACTTTATCGCCGCCCAGGAGGCGTTCACGCCGTTCAACCTCCGCGGAGTGTCCCTGCAGAAATCGGAGGTGCGCTGGGCCGACATCGGTGGTCTGCACGAGGCGCGCTCCATCCTCCGCGAGACGCTCGAGTGGCCGACAAAGTATGCGCCCATCTTTGCCAAGTGCCCTCTGCGTCTGCGGTCCGGTCTTCTGCTGTACGGATACCCCGGTTGCGGAAAGACGCTTCTCGCGTCGGCCGTTGCTAAGGAGTGCGGCCTCAACTTTATCTCGGTCAAGGGACCAGAGATTCTCAACAAGTACATCGGTGCTTCGGAGCAGAGTGTGCGCGACCTGTTCGAGCGAGCGAGCGCAGCCAAGCCGTGTGTCTTGTTCTTTGACGAGTTTGACTCTATCGCCCCGAAACGGTAAGCTAGCTTCTGCGCTCCTAAGCTAACGACAGTGGCCACGACAGCACGGGTGTCACTGACCGTGTGGTGAACCAGATGCTTACGGAAATGGACGGTGCGCAGGGCCTGGAGGGCGTGTACGTTCTGGCGGCGACCTCGCGTCCCGATCTCATCGACCCCGCGCTGCTCCGTCCCGGACGTCTCGACAAGGCGGTGCTCTGCGACATGCCCTCCAAGATGGATCGTCAGGAGATCATCGAGTCGCTCGCGCGCAAGCTGCACCTCGCGCCGAGCGTGGATCTTGAGCAGCTCGCCGAGGACACCGAGGGCTTCTCTGGTGCCGACCTGCAGGCGCTCGTGTACAACGCTCACCTCGACGTTGTGCACGCGGTCCTGAACCGTCCCGAGGAGAAGAAGGAGCCCAAGGGCAAGGGCAAGGCCGTCGACAAGGGCAAGGGCAAGGCGGTCGAGAATGGCGACGCCAGCCACCCCGACGCGGGCTCCGTCATTGCCGGGCCAGTGTACAAGCAGCTCCAGCCCGAGGAGGCACCGACGACGAGCGCGAACCGTGCTGCGTTCTCAGAGAGGGTGAGTCAGAGCTCCTTGGTTCAATCGAGCTACGCAGAACCGATGAGAATCAGCTGACAATCAGATCGAGACCATCGTCTCCTCCACGACATCTCACAACCAGGAGACCGAGGATGAGGTCAAGGCCGAAAAGATGCCGACGCCCGTTATCGAGGAGAGGCATCTGCGCCAGTCGCTGCGCAACACCCGCGCGTCTGTCGCTCCCGCTGAGCGAGCCCGCTTCGCGCGCATCTACCACGCCTTTGTTAGCGACCGAGGCGATGGTGCGCAGAATGGCGAGCCGGGGCGTGAGACGGGAACGAGGGCCACCCTTGGATGAGCAGTGCGCTAGCCATTTTGTCTCAGTAGAGAAGTCACAGTAGATAAAGCATCAGTCGTTAAGTTAGGGTGTAAGATATAAAGTCATGCATTGCACTTTGGGATACCCCTTACCCTTCTTCCGCAATGTCGCTCTAAGCACCCTTGAGGGGATACTTGAGCCTCTCGAGGCGCTCCAGCGCAGCCTCAGCCTGCACCTCAGAGCGGCGCTGGAGCTCAACAGCACCAGCAACGAGCTCGGGTACGGCCCAGCGCAGCGTCTCGGGCAAGGGGGTCTCGGGCGTCTTGCCGAGGACGAGCATGGCGAAGAAGAGGATGAGGTGCGCAGCAGCGACGAGGGGGTGGTTCGCCCATCCCCTCCCTTGGAGGAAGGGGAGCCACTTGGGTGACAGCGAGAGCGGGACGAGGACGGCCTGCGCAATACTCAGTGGGAGGAGGGGACCGGAAGGTTGGGCCATGTACCGCCTGATCTGGGAGAGACAGCTGCAGTGTCAGCTTGCAGGCATCCGACCGTCAGCTATGATGGAGGAAGACGTACATGAAGAAGCAGACCGCAACGAGCAGGTCAAGCATGTTGCGCGACGACTGCCTGTTGGCCTCGTTCTCGCGCCTGAGGGCTACGATCTCGCGCTCCTGCTCTGTTTGCGTTAGCTAGTTGTAGCGGAGATGACAGCTCGACGGCGCTAACGCAGCTACCACAGCGCAGACGTACCTTCCTCGCTGATCGGTGTCGCTGCATGTCAGCTGTGCTAGCAAACCAAATAGCTCACCATCAACAGTATCCTTCTGCTTGGTCGCAGCGGTGGTCCTCTTCCTTGGCGCCATTGTGTTGTCGATAGATGAGGAGAGATGAGAAGTGGAGAGTGTCGAGGAAGGCGCACACGATGTCTTGCCCAAAGGACCGCATGTTCCGAGCGAATGCCGCGACGCCCGGTGATCGTGCTGCCTGGCAGGCATGGCAGGCAGGTCGCCGGCGCGATGCCCGGGCAGTGGCCAAATCCTCGAACCGGTCATAGCCGTTATCTGTCCCGTGGTCGCCACGTGGTGCCACACGCCGTATCGCCGCGAGCCCCGGCAGACGCGCGTCTCGCTCAGCGCTCGTCGTTGCTCGTCGTCAGCGTCATAGCCTGCATCGAGAGGTGTGCATCAATAACCGCCGGCTTGCTGAACTTCGACGACAGCCAACCACAGCGACGGCGCCGACATTCTCCCCCCTTCCAGTCCGACTGACCTACGATCTCGATCAGTCGCCCGTCCCCCCCTGCCCCCTCTTCTTCCTCTTCCCTCCGTCACTGTCACAGCTCTGTAGAGCTCTGTCATCATGTCCAGGTCCTACGACCGCGGTGAGTCGCTTAGCTTACAGCTGGATGGGGGCGGGCCTGAAGCTGACAGATCACAGCCCTCACCGTCTTCTCGCCTGATGGACATGTACGTTACCATGATGCTGCTTATTGCGTACGCGGACAGCAGGACTGACAATACAGCTGTTCCAGGTCGAGTACGCCCTCGAGGCCGTCAAGCGCGGTACTGCTGCCGTGAGTATTACTGCGTTGCCGATGCTCTTCTCGGAAGGGAGATGTAACAGCATTTCTGCTGCATGCTTGTTGCTCGCTGTGCTGAGCTCTTCGTTCTCCAACCTTGCGCCGATCGCTTGCTCTGCGAGTCCAGCGACTTGCATCGGGCATCGATCGGTGTCGTGAGCCGGATCGGCTGGCTGCAGGGTTGAAGGAAGGCATCGGCAGCAACGATGAAAGCTGATGACCGGAGCGGAAGCTAACAGCCAGGTCGGTGTCCGCGGCAAGTCGTGCGTCGTGCTCGGCGTTGAGAAGAAGTCGACGCTACAGCTCCATGACCCGCGCACCGTCCGCAAGGTCGCTATGCTTGACGACCACATCTGCGTCGCTTTCGCTGGTGAGTGGATTGCTGGAGACTGGAAATGTGGACGGAAAGGGGCGGTCGAGACAAGGCGGGGAAGGCAGCGGAGCCGCCATGAGCAAGCGTTCTGCCGACCTTCTGGGCTGGACTCTTGTCTCTAAGTGCATCGCATGCCTTGCTGTGTTGGCATGTGGTGCGCTTGCCATCACCAGCAACATTGCAGCGCTCGCACATAGCTGCCAGCGACAAGGCTCTTCCGCCCTCACTCTCGCCAGCTGCCTGTCACCCTCGAATGTAGCTGACCCCAGGCCTCACTGCCGACGGCCGCATTCTGATCGACAAGGCGCGTGTTGAGTGCCAGTCGCACCGTCTCACCGTTGAGGACCCGACCACCGTTGAGTACATCACCAAGTACGTCGCCGGCGTGCAGCAGAAGTACACCCAGTCCGGTGGTGTCCGCCCCTTCGGAATCTCGACCCTGATTGTCGGCTTCGACCCCAACGACACGCAGCCGCGTCTGTTCATGACTGAGCCGTCTGGTATCTACTCGGCGTGGAAGGTGAGTTACTCCTGGATTATCTATGAACGCATCGCGATGCGCACGCTGCGTCCTGGATAATCGTGAACTGACAGATCACGTGGGCCAGATGAGGTTACCGTGATAGTGATATGAGTTGGAGCGCTGACACCACAGGCATGCGCCATCGGCCGTGCGTCCAAGACGGTCAGGGAGTTCCTGGAGAAGCACTACACGGAGAACCTCGAGCGCGACGAGACGATCAAGTTGACAATCAAGGCACTGCTCGAGGTCGTGCAGACTGGAGCGAAGAACATTGAGATCTCGGTGATGGAGCGCTACGGCGTGGTGAGGGTGAGTAGCTTGAATATTCCGACTTGCAGCTGACATTCGCAGAGCCTCGAGCCGACCGAGATCGAGGCGATCGTCGCGCAGATTGAGTCGGAGAAGGAGGCCGAGGCAGAGCGCAAGAGGCAACGTCTGGCGCAGACGCAGGCGGGCCAGGCGTCCATGTACGCCAGCAACCTGTCTGGCGCGGCGACGGGCACGACGACACCGGCGCAGGGCGAGACGGGAGGCGCGACGGCGCCCGGCGAGGAGAGCGGCGTGCAATAGACAACATAACAGTTTCTGTAGATTAATGGCTAGCAGCGACGTGAAGTCTAACATTATTGAGCGGCCGCTTCCGAGCGGCAAAGTGGACATTTGTGCGGGGCAGAGGGGGATGCGGGATATGAGTGCGGATGAGTCAGAGAGGCCGAAAGAGGCCGAGACGAGGTGTGCCTGACGGTGGAATGAGGAGGGTGCCGAGGAGGTCTCGTCAAGGCAAGGATCGAGCAGCCGAGTTCCTGTGAGGGTAGTAATCTGATGGCCCTGTGGTCCGGAGTCCGAGGGTCCGTGGGGTCCGTCAGAACTCGAGAGCATCGCCAACGTCACTCGGTATCTTGTGCAGAGCGAGAGCGACTGGTCATGTCATTTGTTTGTCAGTCAGTTACCTCAACCTTGCAGGGCCCAAGGGCCGGGTTGGATAAGGGTCCTTGGTGAGGTCGGTCGATTATGTCATTGATGGGATCGAGCTGGGTTTGCAGCCATGACTGCCAAAGCAGGCAATAACAAGACTTCATTCGGCCATTCAGTCGACTGGCGGCGCATTGAACATGGTCAGGGGTGACGTCACCGGCTCGGATTGGACGACTTTTTTCCAGAGCTTGTTTGGCTCGTAATCTGCCAATCAAGGGGGCAGGATGCGGGCACGGACGGAGGCGACGGAGCAGCTAAATAGGAGCACCAGGAGCCAGCAGGGGCCAGCAGGAGCATGTTCTGCGGTTCTGCAGCCCTACTACCCCTGCAGCTGCAGGTGCTTCGGCGTCAGTCATCCCAGGGCATCAGAGCTAAGGGATCGGCCGATGACGGCGCCTCACGCCTCATCCCAGCCAAGGTGTTGTGATGATCACACCTGCCCAACTGCCGCCCAGGTGGGTCGTTCCAGAGCCTGGGAAGGCCCCCTCCACGAAGAGAGCGAGCTTGAGGGTCCAGGTTTAGCTCATTCATGTCATGAAAATATACGTCTCCCCTCTGATTTGCCCCTGGTTGCTCGCCGGAGGCCCTCAGACCTGGGGCCTTGTTCTCCACCCGGTTCCATAGACCCAGATGGGAGCTCTTACATCACAGGGGGACCGGTTGGGGTGATGAGGGAGCGCCGCTGACAGAGGCGTCCTAGAAAGAGTTTATAAGAGAACGACTCTGCCGGGCTCTAACGTCCTTCTCCCCATCCTTCAACATCTCTACGCCGAGCAACTCGCTGCCGCTGCCATCTGTCGAATAATCCGACTCACCGCTGTATCAACCTCTTCCTCTTCCTCTACCAACCAACTACTAATCTATCATCATGGGTGACGCAGTGAGTTCTTTTCGGGGTATTAAGACGACATGAAGTTAATGGTTTTGCAGGCTCGCTACGTCGCGCGTTCATCGCCGATTGTCCTCGGCATCATCTCGCTCTTCTCGCTGATCGTGGCGTGTATCACGTCCTACCTGGTCGCGAAGGGCAACGGACACGAGGGCTACGTGAACAACAGCTACCGGGACCGAACGCGATTCCTCATGTTCGTCGGTTGGTGGACCTTCCTCACCTCGATCGTGTACATTGTCGCCTTCTTCGTGTCTGCCATGTCGGTCGTCGCCTCGGTCCTCTCGCACCTCATCTACATCTCCATCACCTGGGTCTTCTGGCTGTGCGGTGCCGCCTCGTACGCCGCCATGATGGGCGGCGGCGCCCACTGCGGCCAGCCCGGCGCCCCGCCCCACTGCTCGCACTACGTCGCTGCCGAGGCCTTTGCCTGGATCAACTTCATCCTCCTCTCCGTCTGCCTCGCTATCCTCATCGCCATGACTATTGCCGGCACTCGCCGCGGAGACCGTCTCACGTCGTCCTTCATCGACGCCGCCAACGCCTAAGCGTTGTGCGTGTAATGAGCATCTTGGAGTGACATCCGCAAACTACCTACCAAATCCCCAAATCCTCAACGCCCCGTCATAGACATCACTGTATCCAGTACTATCTACCCCCATCTTCTCCGGAAGCCGAATCTCGGCGGCCGCTTCGACAAACCGCATCCAAATCATCTCAGTATAATCCTTTCTACACACTATTGCCTCGAAGTAACTAAATTCGTTCTATTCTGCATCCTTGGTGCATTTTGCATGTTCTTAGCACTCTAGACTGACGAGTTGATAGACAGGGACGCCGAAAGTAGAGGGACGGACGTCCGAGCGGTTGGCGGAGAGGGAGCCTCGGTGAACCCAGTTCACACGAGCGAAACTGCGGGCAGATTTGGTCTAAAATCATATGCATGTGGATCATGAGAGATTCGGGGCCATGGTGTGTCCCCAGATGAAATACACTGAAAGAGGCAATATTCCTCTGGCTCAGCATAAGCTCTGGGGTGGAGCGGCGACATGACTTTGGGTGAGAGGGTGTCGCGGGGGGTTTCATTTCGGAATCCGCAACGGCTGGCTCTATTTCGTGCGATTGTGTGTGCTGCACTCGTCGTCGCGTCGTCGTCTATGCTGATGGAATGAGAGAGATGAGGCTGATGCTCACGGCTGAGCCTGGGCAGACTCAGCTGACGCTGCCGGCGGCCAGGACTCGAGCCTCGGAAGCGCCTTGTACGGCTTCTTGAGGCCGCGAGCCGCTATGACGTCGGCTGGCATGCAGTACAGCGGGTCAATGTCCTGCAGGCCGGGGTAGCCGAGGAGACTCAGGCCAGCGAGCCCGAACACAGTGTGGAACACGTCCACCCAGTCGCCTGGTCGGTCGGCGATGCCGCCGTCCTCCTCGTCCTGCTTGTCAGCTATCGTTTCCCAAGACAAAGCTGTCGCCAAAATGCCTCTTCCTGACAAAGCAAGTTCGGGCGGCTCCGAATGCGGCGATCGAGAAGAGTAGGTCACCTGCCTATGCGGGCAAGTTCGGACTCACCTGAGCACTCAAGATGAAGCTGATGAGCTTGTCCCGATTGATCCAGTGCAGCTTGCCGATGATAGCGAGACCCGCGAGATTCCACCACGAGTAGCACACGTCCTCGAGCTTTTCTGGGCGGCCGTTCAGACCGCCGTTCGGAAGCTGCCGCTCGCTGAGCCACCAGCCCAACATGTGGCCGTCGATCCGGTCGAGCTCGCCCAGCATCGCGAGCGCGGCGACGCTGACCCAGACTGAACGTTAGCTGAGGTCAAACATGGAAAGCTGTCGGGAGGCACCGCAGCTGAGAATATGAGAGAGAAAGAAGGCTGTGATCGACAGCGAGGAAGATCGAGGGGAAGGGAGCAGACATACCTTGCGCACCATGACTCTCCGCTCCCGGCTCAGCGCCGAAAGCGCCATCGTAGTTCATACTCCGGACAAAGTTGTCGATAACGAGCTCGCGGCCCTTGCCGTCATACAGCGCCTCGAGGTCGTCCAGCCGTCCGAGCAGGCTCAGCGCCGACACAAGAATGTACGCAAAGCGGGTATCTCGCTCGCCGAACTCGTCACCAGCGACCGAGCCGTCCTTCCACACGAGCGAGAGGAGGACTGCGTGTCAGCTTTGCTCAATGACGACGGCATAGCTGCATGTCAAGTGAGAGGAGAGAAACATTGAACTGTCACGGGTGATGGTGGAGGACATGGGAAGGGCAACTCACACTTCACGACCCGTTCGACGTCGCACCGCTCCAGCGCGTCTTGCATGATGAGCACCTGCAGCGCACTCAGCGTCGCATGGATATGCGCGTCGTGTCCGGGATGAGCTCCGAAGGCGCCTGTTGTCAGCTTGGTAGTTATCACCACAGCTTCCCCCTATGATATGGACTCACCAGCCTCCTCGTCCCAGCACTCCATGACATAGTCAACCATAGCGTCGCGGTCCAGCGCCTCCTTGTGGCCCATAATGCACAGGGCCGTCAGGCCCCAGTACACGCCGTTCAGGCGCAGGTGCGCCGTCAGGTGGTATGCCAGGTCCTTCTTCTGCTCTTGTCAGCTCACGGTACGCGGTTGCCCAGCTCACCTCGTCCAGAGCTTGGATGTACTTGACATGCAGCGGGATGTCGAGGGGCGGCGCGGCCGCCTTGTCTGCTGTCTTTGACATGGTGCTGGGGTATCGTGTGCTGATCAGTAGGCAGGTCTGGGCTGAACATCGAGCTGGACGGCGAGGTGGAGGGTGGAGGTGGACGCGACTATTTGGTTCCGCATGACGGTCACGGTATTGCAATGTGCCAAGGCCAATGCATATGCTGATGAGATGGTACAAATGTCTACTTTTTGATGAGCTTTGAGAGATCAGGCCACCAGTCCGGGAACGCCTCCTGGAGCGCGTCAAACACGACCTGCGGGCTGTCCGACCGGAAGCCGTATTTGAGCACAATCGCCGCGAGATCCTTGTCGGCCGGCGGGTCACTGAAGTCTTTGACGGCTGCGATCGCGTCCTCATACTTGCCATACCGGCACAAACACTCAATCCAAGCGCTACGTGCCCCGAGACCAGAGTTCAGCCCGTGTCGCGTGGCCCAGCCCCAGATCTTCTTCGCGCGTGCAAACTGTCCCCCATAAGAGCAGGCGTCGATCACGATCGCGACGGAGACTTCGCCGGCACGCTTGTCCTCGGAGGAGAGACGGGGCAGGATCTCGTCCCATACCCGCAGCGCCTCGGCCGACGCACCACAGCACGAGAGTGCGTTCATGAGCGTGTTGAGCAGGTTGAGGTCGACCACGATCAGGGGGTCGAGGGATGTGAGGGTGCGCACGTCCCTGGTAGCGCTGAGCAGGGCGGAGCGCTTGAATTCCGTCTCGGCCGTCGGAGGAAGCTTTGCGATCCTCTTCGCCAGAGAAGCGTACGAGGCGAGGACGGAGGTAAGAATCTCCGCACCAGGCTGGTAGCCCGCCTTGCGCATGTCGTGCATCATCTCGATGACAAAGTCGGGTGGTGGAACGGCCGAGCTCTTCGTGCGCAGGCGGACAAAGGCACTAATCGCGAAGGAGAATGTGGCAGCGCTCCAGCCGCCAGACACAGCGCGGAAAGCCTTGTACAGGTCGAGGGCGATAACGTGGTCGGGTGCAGCGGCGATGAGCGCGGTGAGCTGCTCGCCCAACTTCGGGGTCCTCAGGACGAAACCCTTCTCCTTGATCGCGGCCAGCACCGAGAGCGCCGTGTCCGTGTCTCCTTCCCTGGCGCAGGCAGCCAGCAGGCGCCGGAAAATGTCCATGCTCGGCTGCCTTGACTCGTTCGTTGGATCCGCATCGCTGGCGATGACGAGCTCGTCGTAGAGTTCCATCGCGTCGTCGATCCGTCCCGCGTCGCACAGTTGTCCGATCAGAGCCTTCGCAAGCGGCTCGTCGAGAACGGCAGCCTCGAGCCTTGCCTCTTCGAGCAGCGCGAGCGCGTTGTCCACGTCCATGCCCAGAATGAGACGCTTCCATCCCTCCTTGGACAGACGCACTCCGGTCTCGCCTCGGAACCGGTGGACCGCATCTACCGTGTCCCGAACGGTCGGGCTGGCGCGATACGCATTGATCACGAACGAGCTGGCACGCGGAGGGACCTCGTCGTCTGTGCCCGCCATTGTCCGGATGACCTCGACAGCAGCGGTAACGTCACGGCGAGCAATTTCGACCTCGCACTTGGCGCTCAGGAGCGAGGAGCGGAGCATCTCGTCCTCGACCGACGGCCATGCGTCTGCCATGGACTTCGCCGAGGCAACGTCCCCGAGCATAATGTAGATCGGAACAAGGGCGGACTCGGTCCACAGACCGGGCTTGACGCGATTCCGCTCCATCCGATCGAGCAGCGCTTGGAGCTGCGCCGAATCCACTCCGTCCTTTCCATTCAGCGCGTTCAGGAGCGCAGCGTACAGTCGCTCGTCCTTGATCCCATTCTCCTCCGCGAGCGACAGTACGGCGTCCGCGTTGCCCGTCTTGACAGCAGAACGCACGAGCTCGATCCATTCCCGCGCCTCGATGGCTTCAGCGTGTCCGTCGAGCAACAGGGCGAGCGCCTCGTCTGCCTTTCCGTTCCGCGCGAGACTGTAAATGAGTTGCCGGAGGTATCGGTCCTCAGGCTGCAGACCGTGCAGCGCCAGGTCGTTCCAGAGCCGCTGCATGAGCTCTGCAGCGGCGGCTGATCGCCGACCACTGATGGCAGCCATAAGCCTCTCCATCTCCTCTCCCGTCAGACGGCGCGTGTTGCCGTCGTACTCGATCCACTTGATGAGATTGTCATAAGCTGCTGCGAGCGGGTCGGAGAGCCCTGGCCCAAGCGTGGCCATGACGGCGTCGGCGGGCTTGATGGGGGCCGGTTTCCGGCGGAAGAAACTGAACGCCTGCGCTGGTGCTGATGTCTTGTACGTCCGGTTTGACCTAAGTTCGAGTGTCCGCGGGCCGGGACCCGCAGAGGCGGAGGCGGAGGTGGCGGCGAGGGAAAGTGCACCAGAGACGGCGGGCAGAGGGCGCACAGGCCGCACCGCCGCAACCCTCCGCGCTAACGTGCTTGGGTTCAGTCGAGCTCGGAACGGCATGGTCGCGCGTGTCGGGTGTCGGCTCGTCGCGATGTCCGGCAGTCCGATTTTTGTAGAGTTACTGACCGCCGGGCTCGTGTCGGACGTGAAATCGTCAGGATATCGGCAGGAGGAACGCGGGAGTAAAGTCACGTGAAATTCATGTGGCGCACAGCTGATAAGGAAGGTGCGTTCTGAAGGCAGTACTCTATGCATAGAAGGATCGGAATGTCGAAGAGCTGGGCGGCTCCCATATTCTGATGCACGGGGAAGCATTCTGCGCAGTGCGAGAGGATTGGGGTACATACCACGAGATGAGTTACAAGGGGGTGGGTAGTCTATGCTGGATAACGGTGAAGTGCACAACAAGGAATATGGATACAATCGAGCGATACTAACCCCAGGTCCGCATGGAACCGCACTCGCCGCAGGTCCAGTAGGTCATGTCTCGCGGGCCGCAGCCGCAAAAGTCACAGAACCATCCATCCTTCGTGGCCATCTGCTGAGGACGGGGTGTCGTGCAGGCGTCGCAAGTCGTCGCACGGATAGGGTTAAGCAATGTACAGGTCGGGCAGGCCCACTCTGAGCGTCCACGCGGATTTGGTGGTGCAGTCGCCGGCTTCGGTGACGGTTTGCTTGGCAGGATGGGTGCGGTTTTGGCAAGCGAGATCTTCTCGGTCTTGCTGGCTTTCGACCGAGCAGACGACGTGCCCGTGCCCTTTGTGCCCTCGAAGTCCTTGGCGTCGATCTCGATGATATCATCATCATCACTGGACAGAGCGCGTTTGCTTTTACTCGACGATGCTCGGGACGGAGGAGCTGGTCGGCGCTCGGCGGGCTCAGAAAGCTGCGCCGACGGCGGAGTGGAGGCCCCGGATGTTTCGGGAGACGCGGCGGTCAGGTCCTCAACATCAATGCGTGTAGATTGACTCTCCGCCTGCGCCTTCCGTGCCTCTTCCTCCGCCTCCTTGTTGTCCACCTTGCAAGACTTGTCATCGCGTAGTCGTCGTTCAGCAGCCTGTTTGTCAGCTCACAGCCCGATGCGATCAGCTTACCTCGGCGACGATCTCGCGCATCGTCTTCCCTGTCACCTTGGAGCCACCTAGCACACCGCCGCGCCCCATAACTCTCTGGCGGGCGAGGCGCTTCTCTGCGGCCGCGGGGCCACGTTTCTTGCCCTCATACTCGTTCACGCGAACGCCGTTGAGTCGGTGGCCATCAGAGTTGAAGCCCTCGCCGCTGTAACCTTTCGACTTCAGGCCGTAGTACTCTTCCTCCAGTTCGCCAAGGAGCTTGTAGAACTTGTCGTCGTGTGGTCCGTGGACGATGTGAGTGAGCTGGCGTCAGGATCAGCGAGTCCACCTGTGCTCACCTCATGCAGCATGACCAGCACCAGCTGATCATACTCGTAGAACGTGTCTTCATTTCCAGGCGGCCGCAGTCGAAGGTGTATCCGCTGCCCTCTGTTGATGTTGATCCCGAGTAGCGCTGGATTCGCAGGAAGGAACTAGCACGGTCAGTACGGCTGTCGGAGTAACGCTGGCGTCGGGGGAATGAATGTATTGATACGCACTTCGGCAAGTGTTCCCACTTTCCATCCCCTTTTGGACATGATGGGCTTGACTTGGCTAGCAATCTTCTCCAGAAGTGGTCTGTTTTGAAACGTCAGTTCAAGGGCTCGATTCAAGCGCGTCGTCGCGTTGCGCCGCCGAACACGCACCTTGCCTCATTCGACTTTGGGCGGTTCGGGAGGTGCTCGAACGCCCGGACGAGTGGCGCCACCGTCATGTTGCCTGATGCTCTGGAAGAGAGTAATGGTGCGAAAGGAAGGAACAGAACAGAGTGTAGATGACCATAGATGACTGTAACAGAGAGAGACGCTGACCAAGCTCGAGTGGACGCCCGACGGTCGTGATTTAGGTGAACGACCTCCACCTTCGGAATCAGGGCGCGTCAGGGGGTTGTCAGGGACAGAGTCATGTGACCGGATGTGGGAGGAAGAAGAAATGAGCGCGCAGGCGCTAGGCTCAGTGCTCGGCGAGACCCCTGACTGTTCAACTCTGATAACCACCTGGCTGGCCTGGCTGGGTGGTTTACAGAGTCGCAGGTGACGAGTCTGGCGGATGCAGGGGATTAGAAAGGGGCTAATGAGGGGCAGCGTCATTCCTTGGTAACATTGATCGTGTGGAACCTTCATGACTCGTGCCAGAGACCCAGAGCATAGTCACCGCTGGATGCAGGTGATCAGAGAAGGCGTGACATCTGCGGGCAGTCGCCGATTCGGTTGCGCTTGGCGGCAGCATCGGTCTTGTCTCGAGGCTCGAGATGTCCAGACTCCAGACTCCCATGCTCGGAGGCGTCTCGCTCAGGGCCGTCCCTGACGCAAGATGATGTCGCGGCCATGCACCCGTGCTGCCCCTCTCTCTCATTGCAATACTCACTCGGATGCACGCCTGCTATCAGCAACCACCGTCACAAGGTACTCGTCCCCACCTCTGTCGACCATTGCAACCCACCCACCACCGTTGATCTTAACCCTTCCTTCACCTACCATCCCACTCCGATCAACTCATCCCCCTCCTCACCACCCAAAAGACATCGTCGCAAGCAGTCACAACTCCTTCTCTCAACTCCCACCCAACTGCCGACCTCCTATATCTTTGGACTCTCCCTTCGCTTTGGTCCGGCGCCCAACTTCTTTGCGACGCCGGCTCCCCACAACCTACGACAACAATAAACCGAGATTGTTGCCCCACACTATCCACATCTCTCCACCCAAATCTCGGTCTCCTCTTGCTCTCGACACCCGCGATCATCATGGTCCTCTTCTGAAAGGCCTTCAAAGTTGGTGAGTCCATACTTTCCTCCGCCGCGAGTGACCGAGGTTCTGCTCGTGAGACCTTCGGGGACATTGCAATTCGCCCCGTCGCGCTTCTCGCTGTTCCGTAAACGGCATGTTCCCAGATGAGAGTCACACACACACACACACAAGCTCTTGTACCGCACACTCGCCCTCGCCCGCCTCACACTTCACACTCGCTCATGGCCCCACGCTCACCTGGCACCCGGACGTGGCCGCTAACCTGATGCAGCATTCTCGGCTTTCTGAATTTTGATTCATTCCATCAACAGTCTCAAAGCTCGCGTTCGTCAACACCCGTCGACCACCATGGCGTCGTCCTGGATCGCCAAGGTCGTCGGCCTATTGCTCGTCTCGCTCGTGCTGTCCTACGTGATCATCCCGTGGGCAATCGAACGGTTCAGCAAGTTCCGCCTGCGAGTGAAGAAGCTCTCGATCTTCTCTGCGCGAGGTTTGGAATGGCGGAGTAAGGCGCACGCCAACGCTGCCGAGCCAGACCTGCGCATCGATCATATATACTGGAGTTGGGGAGGATGCTCGCCGACGAGCATCGTCACGCTTCACTTTGATGGGATTACCGTGCGTGCTCGCAAGCACCCCAAGAAATCGGGGAAAGATCAGGAGGTGAGAATCGGGGCGTCGGGCACCATACTGACATTGCAGTCCCACCCGAAGAAGAAGAAACGTCTACCCCCCAATGTCCAGAGGGTCGTCAACAACCTTGTTCATATGGTCGTGCACCATTGGTCGAGGATAGCCACGCGGATTGGGGTGAGCGTCCAGAAAATCCGTGTCATCATGGAGGATCATGGCGAGTCCGAGGTCCTCATCGGTGGCATAGTGCTCTCCTCTGCTCGCGAGACTTTGGCGCCTCTGCCTCATCCCAGCGACAAGGACGACCTTTCGGCGAAGAATTGCCCGAAGACAAAGGAGTCCAAGGGCCACAGACGCCGTGGCAGTCTGGCCAATTTGCAGAGTATCCACGACAAGGTGTCCAAGACGGCGTCGAATCTGTGGTCATCGGCGGTCGGCTACGGCGTGGACCACGTCGTGTTCACTCTCACGTTGTCCAACGTCGATGCCGTCCAGCCGCTGCCCATGTACTCGTCGCACTCTGACAACACCATTACGACTTCTCTGCCCCATCTGTCACCCCGCACATCAACCACCAGCATGTCCAGCACTAAGAGCGCCCGGACATCGTCATTCACAACTTTCGACCCTATCAATTCTCTGCTCAACTTCCGCGCCTCTCGAGATGCAAGGGCTCGTTCATACGAGAAAATCGCTGCCATCGATACTGCCACTACCGTCAAGGTCAGCGTCGGCTTCGCTGCCAACCATGATATTCTGGCCGAGGACAACATCCGCGCCGATGTCCAGGTCGGCACGATTCACGCCAGCATCGACGCCCTCGAGAAGGCGCAGAAGATAATCAAGGAGAAAACGCCTGTCCACAAGGAGGATGTCAAGGCCGAACTGCAACAGCCCCAGCACAAGGACACCGAGACGGAACCTGCGGAGGAAAGCGCCAAGAAGCGTAAGGACAACTCGCTGGTCAAGGTAAGCTGAACGCACTGTGATCTGTAGCTGACGATCAGGCCCTCCTCCGTGCTTCCGAGCGCACGTCTATCTCGTTCTCCAAGGTCTACGTCTCCCACGCTCTTCCGGTCACCAAGGTTGATTCCCCTCCCTGCTCCTCGTGCGAGTCTTCCACGGCGGTCGAGGCGTCGGACGCTGGCTCGGCGTTCACGCTGTCGCTCGACTTTACCAACCTCTGTCTCACTGTCTCTGGTACCAACTCCAATGAGGACCCTCGGTTGCGCAAGCTGTACGGCAAGAACGAAAGCTCCGAGTCTCTGCTCAGAGGCGTGTCTGTTTGCTTGTACTGGACGTCTATCGAACTCCAGTGCATCTCGCCCGGTGAAACGAGCAACGAGAAGATCCAGCTGGTTGCGATCAGGAAGGCCGAGTTTGATCTCTTGTCCAGCTGGCGCCCCATGACGTCTGTCCCGTCCAACCTGTTGTTCGCCGATGATCTAAACCAGTTCCTCGTCTACGCGCGTGGCTCCATTGCCTCCGTCGACGTCGCCACCGATGTTCAGCTGTGCGAGGAGCTCATCGCTTCCTGGCGTGCTGTCCACCCGCCCAAGGAGAAGAAGCACCCCAAGCACAAGAAGCACTTTGATGGCATTCCCCCTCGCGTTGTCTTCCTCGTGGACATCGGCCATATCTCAATGGTTGTTGCCAATCGCGCGGATGAGAACTCGGCAACTATCACTCTCGCCTGTGATGGCTTGACGATGGGCACACACACCGAGTACAAGACACTGTCGGCAAAGCCCAAATCGAGCCCCGCCTCATCAACAGCGACAACTCCGTCTGTCAATGCCAAGTCTGGACGTTCGGCGCCCAGTAGTCCGACCTCGATCAAGTCCAACAATACCTTCCGCTCGACGTCTTCTCGAACGTCGACCACAAAGGTGTCCGCGGATGAAGTGGACACGTCCAACCAGATCGGTCCGGATGACTACTCTTTGGTTCTTAAGGGCGATGGCTTCGTGAACATTGACCCAATTCAACTCCGCCTGTCTCTTGGCTCTCGTAACGAGAGGTCCTTCCGCCTGGCTCACCTGGGACCCGTCAACGGTGAGATCTTTGGAGACATCCGCGGTGTCCAGACCGTGGACGAGAATGGTCGCGACAGGTATTCTCTCTGTCCCGAGTCTTTCCTCGCCGACGGTGACATTACTGTCGAGGAGGGGCTCCGCCTGGAGATCTGGAGCGAGGAGGTTGTTGACGCTATCCGTCAGCTGGCTGGTTTGCGCAATCCCAAGGAGCACAACCAAGCCAAGCCAAGTTCTGACCCGCTCAACAAGATGCCGGTCGGATTGTCGCTGCGCGCTGATGTTCCTCTGAGCATCTTCCTCGGTCACAAGGAGCTCAACCCCGCTGGAGCGAAGCTGGTCCATGGCATCTGGCTCACGAGCCACGCCGTTGTCGACTACGCATCCTACGGACCAATCAAGAGAGATGGAAGCTCTACCAAGCTTCCCGACTCGGACGCTCGCAAGCAGCTCGGCCTCTACACGGACATCAGAACGACAGCTGCCCAGGACGCCAAAGTTCTGAAGGATCAAAAGGGCCAGTCTGCGCTCTTCGCCTTCACACTTCTCGACACCAACATCAAGCCGGTTCTGAACGGGTCCAACTTCATCGAGAAGGGTGGCACGGATCAGCACATGCCAGAGGACGAGTACGACGATGAGTCTCCGCCCGAGCCTGATCTCGAATACGCCGCCTGGGGTTTCAAGGGGAACCGAAGGCGCGAGCAGCCTGGTATTCGCCCGACCATTCTTCCACCGGCTGATGTGGCGCCACGCTCGACTGTGCGCCTGCCTCGTCTGTTGATGAACGCTAGGCTCGTTAAGCCGACCGCCAACGATGAGTCCTCCGCCAGCGTTTCGGTCCGCATGGACCTCTTGCACCTTCACATCAGTGTCGCGGACATCTACTGCTTCATGCTCGGTGGCCAGACGCTCAAGGATATCGCCGAGCCGTTCAAGAAGCCCAAGCCGGCCGACGGCGAGGTCAAGAAGCACAAGCGATACGTTAAGGTCGTCTGTCTCATTCCCAACTTGTGGGCCGACTTTGCGCTGCCCCTGCGTGAGCGCGTCTTCTTGACGTTTAGCAACCTCGGTGTGAACGTTATTCCGAACGACCCGCTGAAGATCACCTCGGACTCGGTTCTGCTGTACGTCCAGAGTCGCACCTTCCCCGGCTACTACGATGAGCTCGGCCTCATCAAGAAGCTCGACGCTTCCATCGACTTGCCGGGCAAGGTCATTGGCATCAACGCCGATGCGTTCAGGATCCGCATCCCCTACGCCTTTGTCCTGTACCAGCTCATCTTCAACATCAACGTCACCATCAAGACGTGCAAGCTGCTGGCGCACAACTTCAAGTCGAAGCAGTTCTCCATGATCAAGATGCCAGCGAGCGAGCAGCCCAAGTACCTGCCCACGTTCAAGATCAACGTCGGTCTGTTCCGCCTCGAGTTTAGGGATCACCCGGTCGAGAACAGACTCAACCTGGCTAACCGCGTCGGTCTCGTCGAGCAGAAGAAGCGTATCGGGCTGGAGGACATGTTTGAGCACAAGGTCTCCCTGCTCCGCGATGAGGATGTTCGTCCCGTGAACCACCTCACGACCAATGCCACAGTCTCCGAGGCCGAGGCGCGCTACCGTCTTGACTGGCACATGTCGCAGTCGTGGATCAAGCGCATGAAGCGGGCCACGGCAGAGCAAAACAGACGAGAGGAGGCCATCAACAGCAAGATGAAGGTGAAGCGCCCCACGGATCTTCCCATCCACATCCTGCCCCTCGAGCAGACGACGCCGCTATTCCGAGCGTCGTTCAGTGACGTCAAGTTGACGCTCGCCCCGCCGCCGCTGAGTCGCGACCAGATCATCAACTTCATGAGCAACACCTCCACGCCCTTTGACAAGGACGTGCAGTTCTCGCTCATGGTGCCCTTCGAGCTGGACTGGACGCAAACCGAGTGTAAGATAACTCTACGCGACTATCCGCTGCCGCTCCTTCGTGTTCCGCCGAAGAAGGACGGCACTCCAAGCTGGCACGTCACCACGCTGCTCGTCATTGCCGAGGAGCTGCCTCAGCAGAACCTCGAGGACACTTGTCTCTTCGTTCCCGTCGAGATCCTCCCCGCCCAAAGCGGGCACGTCGATGCGCCCGCGCTGCGCTGCCAGGTCGCCAAGACTATCACTCCTGTCAAAACCTACGCGCGCCCAATCTTCTCGATCACGTCGGACGACCCCGCCACCATCACGTGGTGCAACTCGTACCAGCCCGGCATCAGCGATGTCATGAAGGTCCTCGACGGCTTCAGCAGTCCTCCACGCGACCCGTCGCCCAAGCCTGGCTTCTGGGACAAGATGCGTCTATCCCTGCACTGGATCACGAATGTTGAGTTCTCCCACTCACTGCGTCTTCTCCTCAAGGGTAAGTTAGGGGGTCGTGTCTTCTTAACTGACAACAGGTTCGCAAGATCCGTACCAGATCGACGGCACAGGTGCAGGCTTTGCCCTCGTGTTCCGCTCTCACTGCCGCATCCAGATCAACGAACCGAACGACCAACACGAGCTCATCCAGTTCTTGGCTGAGGAGGCGCTCGTGTCCATCCCTGATCTCACTAACTATGATGACAAGAGGGCTGTCGGACTGGATGCGCCGCCTGAAGGTGAAAGCGATGGCGGCGAGGCTGACAGGCGATTCATCGAAAAGCGCAGCATCAAGCCTTGTGCTCGCTTCCTCAACGGCATCCGCTTTGGTGTCGGCTTCCGCTTCGAGCGCACCTGTCGCCCGTGGACCTGCACGAAGAACTGTGGTGACACGACCAACCTCTTCCACCGACAGTGCCGTATCTTCAACTTCATCCCTCACCAGGCCGTCAGGCTGCGGCGAGCCGATGTCGTCGAGCACATGGCAGCGGAAGCCGGTCACCCCATCGACTCGTACGAAGGGTTCCGCTCTGACTTTATCCACTTCTCCATTTCGCTCGATGCTCCGCGTGACCGTAATCGTGAGAAGAATCTCGCCAACGCCGGTGCCGACAACAACAACAGTCTGTACCTCAGTCCCAAGGCGTTTGCGCACTTCTTCGCGTGGTGGCACCTCTTCACCAGCAAGATCCCTGCGCCCATCCGCCAAGGTCCAGTCTTCCCCGACTCGCCGCCGCCGTCGAAGAAGTTTGGCAAGTCGATGGCCACGATCAAGTATCGAACAGACTTGTCCCCGGTGTATGTCCAGCACGGCTACTTCCAGTGGTCGCAGCAGCTGTGGTCGACCGGCCGCGCCGAGCACGTTGGCGTCAAGCTCCGTGTCGACCGCTTCCGTCTCGACGGCCACCAGCGTATGACAGAGCGTCGCGTCTGGCAAGACAAGCTTCAACGCGTTAAGACCGTCGTTAACAAGCCTTTCTACGCCTGTGACCTTATCCTCGACGTTATCCGTCTCAAGGGCATGGTCTCGACCTTCGACGAGATGACGACGCTCTGTGCCGAGAACCCGCCACCGGCCGATATGCCAAAGGTGCCACATGCGAGCGAACTGCCTCCTCTCGACCGTCAGTGGTACAGTTGGTTCGACTATATCGATGCCGACCACAAACCCTTTGACCGCAACCCGCGCGTGCTGCTGGTCCATCTCGGCGACTGCCCGCACGTCTTCCTCTCCCGCCGTGTCAAGGCGCGACTCATCTCAGCCCACGAAGACCCCGATGCGCCGCCTAGCGATCTTGGAGCCACCAAGTTTGGTCATGAGAAGACGCACATCTGTTATCTCGGCGCTGCTATGGGAGTCGGCCCGATGCAGTCTGAGATCACACAGACGCGCATCATCCAGCTCGAGGGCGTGCTGTCCAAGCTGCCGCCGCCGTTCGAAGGCGAGCCCGCCAAAATCACCGACGGCCGTACGCTTGCAGCGCAGAGGATCAACATCCTGCAGAACCACATTGCAGACCTGCGCGAGCGTGAGCGCCGTCACATGGACGACAACACGTTTATCCAGGAGCACGACCAGGCAGCACTCGAAGCCGATGCCAGCGGCGACGTGACGTTCGAGAACACGATCCACGTGCACTCTCCCCGCCTCTTCTTCAACAACGTCTCCCGCAACCTCATGTACAAGTACCTGTACTCGAGGCAGAACCGCAGAAAGGAAGAGTACACGGGCTCGTACGAGTCGCTCAAGGGCCTCCGCGACGGCATGAACAAGCGCATGAACCGGACGCCAAACGGTCTCAACGCGGACGACTTGCAGCCCGACCCGAACTCTTCGACCGACGCGGTCCAGGAGCTGCAGGAGACGCTCGAGAAGCTCGTCGACAGCAACCAGCCATCGCTGTACAAGCTCCCGTCCGACTTCTTCAGCGACAAGAACGACCTCCGCCGGCCCGAGCTCGGTCTCCCCGCGGAATGCACCGTTCACCCGCACTGGCAGGCTGTCATCCTCAAGCCGCAGGTCTCGCTCCGCAGTACCGCTGACGTGGAGGCTGTCGTGCTGGTCGCGATGGAGGAGATCAACTACCGCGACTACTCTGTGCGAGACACAAAGGGCGAGGACCACGTCTCGACGAATGTTCTCGACCGCGACTTCATTTCGTTCCAGGGCCTGCAGGCGTTCTACCCCTCGAATCGCATTGCCAAGACAAAGAAGGCAGAGGGCAACCCCAACTTCCAGCTCGACTTTGTGCCACTCGAGATCTTTGTCGACACCAAGTGCGAGGCGAACGACTATGAGCGTATTGTCCTTAAGACTGACATCTCCATGTCCATGGACCGATTCAACCAGCTGCGCCCTCCACGCGGTCTCGAGTGGCCCGAGACACGCAACGAGGCGGGCGAGCTCATCACGCACTTGCGCAAGCACCAGAACGAGACGTCGATCACGATCCCCATGATCACCGTGTCCGCGACATCGGTGCACTACTCGGCACTGTACTATATCGTGACCGACCTGCTCCTGTACCGCGACCCGCAGGACGTGCAGCGCTCCGCCAAGATTGAGAGCTTCCTGTACAAGTTTGACCGACGCGACCGCAACCCGCAGCAGCTGCTGCTCAGCCTCTTCGTGCTCCAGCAGCACATCCGCAACTTGACCGAGCTTCAGCGCGGATACGAGATGAACATGGACCGTCTTAACGAGAACGGCAAGCGCGAGCTATTCCAGATTCGCTCGGAACTGCTGAACGAGTACGAGTCGCTCTTCACCATCTTTGCCGTCGTCAACGTGAATCGCTCGCGCGAGCAGGCGCGCGAGATGCTCAAGACGCTCTCCAAGATTGACATTCGCGCCGGCAACGTTGCGTGGCACATGCTCCGCGACAATGGCGACCCGCTTCTCAAGCTCAACATCAAGCATACGATTGCGTCCAGGATTAACAATCAGGATGCGTCGTCCGACCATGCCCTCGTCATTGGCGATCTGGCTGCGCTCAACACGAACGCCGACGCCCTCTTCCCCGAGGTCTTCTACCGCACTGCCATGAAGGAGGTGCCGAAGAGCAAGAGCAAGAAGAAGAAGGACGACGATAAGGACAAGGACAACGATAAGCGCAACAGGGACGGATCAAAGGTGAGTTAGGTTGGCGCGAAATTGAACTGACAGGCAGCCAAACAGCTCGGTCTCTATGGCAATCTCGTGGGCTCCAGAGGTCGGAGGCATCAAGATCGTGCGCGAGGGTACGCTCTTCCTGCACCCGTGCCGCTTCCGTCTCGAGGAGGAGGTCGGCTCGGCCGTCATGGCTTACATCTTCCGGCCAAAGAAGGGACAGGAGGAGACGCAGGCCAACGACGGCACGCACAACATGGAGACGACCAACATGGGCACGTCCAAGAACTCGAAGAACTCGTCCGACGCCAAGAACGCCAACTCCAAGAACTCGGACGCGGCCAGCCCGCACGAGAGCATCTCGACGACCGACAACTCTGTCAATGCGACGATCAACGAGCGCCTTCGCTGCAAGAGCGCCCTCATTTCGAGCGATCGCTTCAATCATCGCACCGGGAACCAGAAGAACGGCGACGCTGCGAGCGTGCACGAGTCGAGCCATGGGCACGGCCACAGTCACACGCATGGCGGCGACGAGACGGACACGGACGACGAGGACGGCGCCGAGATGCGCAGTCGTGCCAAGAACAACTTTACGTTCGTCAGTGTCGTCATGGGCTCGACGACCTTCGTTCTCGACTACAAGCGCGACGACCACCGGAAGCACAACGCGATCTCCCTCCCCGAATGTGTCGACTTCCGGTTCGACGTGCCGTCAATCAACTACGAGAACAAGGTGTGGACGGCTGAGGACCTCGTGAACCATCTAAAGGTGGACATCATGAAGTCGATGTGGCACCAGCGGTCCGACATTATCAAGCAAGTGTTCCACAAGACGTCTATCTTCCGCTCCAAGAAGGGTTTGCGGCAGATTGCGGGCATCGAGACGCAGAGCGCAACGGCGGCGATGAAGAAGGAGCAGAAGAAGAGCGCGCTTCGGTTCAAGGAGTCGGCCCTCGAGCCACTCGATATCGACGACGCGCTCGCTCCGCAGATCACGCACGACCTCGACCCCAAGATGCCAGAGCACGGGTCTCGTAGCGTGAGCCCGACGGCAACGGCGAACTCGAGCTCGCGGCACCAGCGCGGCCCCAGTGCCACGTCCGAGCCGAGCATCCAGGAGGCGTCCACGGCGTCGGAAGACCAGGATCCCGATGCCTCGGTTGACAGCTCGACACCCCAAGGCAGTCGGGACAGCTCGACGCCCAGAGACAGCAGAGACGCTGCGAGCGCAAAGGACAGCGCGTCGTCGCAGAAGAGCCACAAGAGCCACGGCCTCGGTTCGTTACTGAAATCGGGCATTCGCAAGGTCAAGGACCACGCGCACCACCATCATGACAAGGACAAGAACCAGGATGCTAGTTCGCCGACGAGCGCGTCGTCGCGATACGCCGAGGACCAGGCCGCACTCGGCGAGGCGGCGTGCATGCTCGATAGGGCGGGGGCCGAAGATCTGACGCCGCCGCTGGAGGATGCGCCTCGTGCCCCGCAGGCGGGCTAGGCTATGAAGCGAAGTAGTGAAGAATCTCCGACCCGATCATGTTGTAGTTTTACACACCCCATACAGTAGTACAATCAGCCCGCAGAATGTGACATATGCAATGAATCCAGTATAAAGAGTGCATGGGTGATACAAGAGTGTGAGATAGTTTAGAGACGCGCCTTGACCGAAATGAGGGAGCCGCCGTCAATGGGAATGATCGTGCCCGTAACCCATGCTCCGCCCTTGCCCGACAGCCAGAGACAGGCTGCACCAACGTCTCCGGGCTCGCCGATGCGTTCCATGGGGAGGCTGGCAGCAATGACGTCTCCAGCCGCATCAAGCGTAGCCTTCATCATCTTGCTCCTGAAGGGGCCGAGCGCGAGCGCGTTGACAGTGACCTTGGGGCCGGTGAATGCAGCAAGGTGCTTGGTGAGCATGTGCAGCGCGGCCTTGGATGAGGAATAAGCAAAGGTCTCAAGGCTAGGGACATTGATGCCGTTAACGCTTCCAATGTTGATGACGCGGCCGACGCCATCGCGCTCGGCGCCCTTCTGCAGCGCCGGCAGCAGGGCCTGAGTAAGTGTGAACACACGCTGCACGTTGAGCGTCATGAGCTTGCCGAACGCGGCGTCGGGGTACTCCTCCAGCGGCGCGCCCCATGTCGCACCGCTGTTGTTCACGAGCACGTGCAGCACGGGCTCGCGTTTCTGGATCTCGGCCGCGAGACGCTGGCACTCGTCGTAAGAAGAGAGGTCGCCGGGGATGGCATGGCAGGTTCCCGGTCCAGCAGTCGTGAGCTGCTCCGCGGTCGCGTTGCACGCCTTGGCGTCGCGCGAGGAGATGTAGACCTTGGCGCCGTTTGCGACGTAGGTCGCCGCGATCTGGTGTTAACTGTTACTCACGTAGCGAATGTATGAGGGAAGAACCAAGGAATGAATGTCTCGGATACGCACCATCTCGCCGACACCCCGTCCGCCGCCCGTGACGAGCACGACCTGTTGTCAGCTATCCGTCGCATTGTTAAGCTAACCTTGTCCTTGACGTCGAAGAGAGCCTGGCTAGTGAGGTCCGACATTGTGTATGTTTGTTTGAAGACGACGTCGTCGCCTGCTTGTTCCTTTAGATACCTGGCCAGAAATGTCTGGGGGACGCATAGCACCGGCTACTCCACCCGCCGATCGCGCATGACCGCGCATGACCGGCGGCTAGGCGGCCGGTGCCGCTTGCTTCATGTCATCAGGTCTCCCACGCTCCCCTCCGTCATACCCTCCCACGCCTGCAATCTTTAGCGGAGATACGTCGGCTCTCCACCCCCAGTTCAGGTACGTCATCCTCCATACGCCGGGGCGATCGAAGACTCTCGTCAGCTGCACGGTGAATGAAAAGGCATTCCGAAGGCCAGCGGCGTCTGCATCGAAAGGAAAGGGTCTGGGGGGTGACTCACACTGCGAGATAAATACGGCGACAGCTGCGTGTGCTCTTTCGCTTCTTCCAACTTACTCTTCACGACAAAGTTCAACATCATGTGCAAGCGCGTCACCTGCCCTAACGACGGAAAGCCCACTTGGTGGGGATGTGGTGAGTTTCTTGCTAGTGGTTGCTCGATGATAGCTGACGGACAGGAAACCACATCGAGCAGGTGAGTTGAGACCGAGCAAATGTCTTTCCACTCCGCGCATTGCGACCGACGACGTCGATGACTGCGCTGGACGAGCACTCTTTCGGTGTCGCGGAAAGTTGCGCGCAGGCTATGGGAGCAAGCTGTGAGAGCAAGTAACATGCCAGGCAGATCGATGGCTGGCAGCCCTCGCCCCCCAACCGTCCAGCCGTCAACGTCATACTCGACGTCCCCGCATTTCGTTGTTTGCCGCATGCCGTGCTCCAGTCCCACAGTTGCGCCACTGAACCGCGCACAAGACCGTGCAACTCCCCGAACACTCGTTAAAAAGAATGCTGACACCCAGTGCCTCGCCGACGTCCCCGAGGACGAGCGCTGCCACTGCAAGCACGAGCCCGTCGACGGCAACCCGAACATGTACGAGGTCAAGCCCAAGAACGCCGACGTCAGCAACCACTCGGTTGTCTAAGCGCCCCCTGCTGAGGCGTCTTAGGCGCGGAGGTGGGCGTGAATAGGCGAAACGAAGAGCTCAGTTGTATCATGCAAGCTGGTATGAAGTAGAACAGTAGAGCATCCGGTTGCGGAAGGCTGTCTCATCGTATGACTAACTGAGACTCACCGCAGAGCGAGCTTGAGCAAGTACCGGCCTCGTGTAGAGTCAACCCCGGTACAGAACACGGGAGTAGCGGTTCAACGACGGGGCAGCCGACGAGCCAGGAGAAGCCGAGAAGTAGCCCTTGGCGCTCGGACTAAGGCTGCCAGCAGGGTAGCAGTCACCGAGACTCTGTCTTTCGGAAGCCTAGTGATCGTACATTTGAGCATTCGAAGCTCGGTTGGGAGGTTAGGGCGGCCCATCGGACCCGGACAATGAGCGGCGGTCAGAGTGCCTATCTGAGCTCGCTATCAACACCTTAGAATCCATTTGTTGGATTGGGGTTAGCAGCTCGGAGTGCCTTCGGTGGCGCAGTTAACCATCCTTGCATCTGCAGCACTCTCCTCGTAGGTAGCCTCGATGCAACTATATATTCTGCGTGCAACGGGAGGACCAGCCCGAAACGAGGTCGAAACCATTTCGGCGGTCCTGTGGTCTTCAGGGCCGCTCGGCTCTGGATTTCCGCCCATGGCCCAGAGCAAGTCCGCCGCTCCGCATGCCGACGCGTCTGACATCATCGCCGGGAGTGCTTGTTCGGTTCAACGACCGGGTGTGTTTTTTTTAAGTCTATATCGCATTGGTGCATCGTGGAAGGTCCTGTTTATCCATACCTTCTTTTCCCCCGCCACTGCACGTTAACCATACTGCAGAGCACCGAACCAACGCTACAGAACAGCATCCTGCTGTTCCCAACCCATAGGGCCTGGCATCGCTGATACTGCTGGAGGCCCGCCTCGATGCGCTCCCAGCCGAGATCCTACGGTGCATTCTGGACTTCATCGATCCAGCCACAGATGCGGACACCCTGTTGTGTTTGATGCGCACATCGAGCTCGATGTGGGAGGAAGCAGCCAGGCGACTGTACGCCTCCATCACCCTGGATAGGGACCAGGTCGTGCTGCTCATTGCTGGGAGGGGGTGGAAGCTCCGACCCGACCATGCATCAGCTACCAAGCCAGAGAACCGTGCGCCGGTAAAACTCGCCCAGCGGACGCGGTTGGCGCTCTCCTTTGTCCGCCGCCTCAAGATCCTAGGATACTGGACGACGGCCATAGTGGAGATGCTCTGGGACGCCGCGGCCCAAGGTGCGCGTCCCCTGTTCCCGAACGTGGAGCAGCTGTTGCTGGATATTGGGCCTCCGTGTGTGTCTTATCCGCCTTGGATCCAGTGTGAGCTCCCCTCTCCGCCCACATTCTACATCTTTGACACCGTGGACGTCTGTCTACTGGGCGACGAGAGCAAGGACCTCCTCTTCAAGCTCCCCGCCAAGCGCTATCGGTCGGTGACATGCCACGAGGTCTTGCTCGGTAGCTGGCTGTGGCGCGAGCGCTCCGGCCTGGGGACGACCTGGGACGAATGGCGCTGCTTCGCCTCGGATGCGTGGGAGGCCATCCAGGTTGCGGCAAGTGATCTGAACCGCCTCACATGGGACGACTACGAGCACGGCCGAGTGCCAAAGTGGGACCTTCCTCCCCTCCAGGTCTGCCTCAACTACGGCGAGAGTCTTGGCAGCGATATTATTGAGCACTTTGAGGACCAGTATCCGGATCACGGGATGCGGGTCATCAGGGATGCTCCGCACATCGTGCAAATTGAGCACTTCCCGCCTGACGGAGACGGGTGCGAGCCCTGCGAGCTCTGCAGTAGGTCGAACCTTCATATTGAAAACTGACGTTGCAGGCGAGACATGGCGGTCGCAGGAGCTGGTAGAGAAGCGCCGCTGGAGAGCTGTTGGTCCCTCCTTGGCACTTCTCAAGTCTCTTCGCTGGCACTCGAATGAGGAGTCGGAAGAGTCGACGGAGGACTCGACTGTCGGAACGGGGACGGGCTCATCGGGAACGGGCTCGTCCGAAGAGACTGAGTCGGGTTCTGGCTCAAATGAGGCCTCCGCGGCTGGATCGTCCGAGGAGTCGTCTGAACAGTCGTCTCATTCATCGTCGCAAGGTCTGTCGCCGATATCTGAAGAGCCGCCAACATCGGACGGTACTTTGGCGTCAGCTCTGGTCTCTGAAGATCCGTCTGAGGCGACGACGGAGAATTCGACAGATCGCCTCCGGGCTGCCATCAGCGAGATGGCGATCCTGCCCTAGTTGTTTGCTCTTCAAGAGTACGGCTTGAACTTATACTGTGGTCTGGGGGTTTCCGCCTTGAAACAAATACAACCCGGCCTACGGCTAGCCACAGGGCGATCGCCACGATTGGCACTTGCCCTTTCTATCAATCTATCAGTTTATCAATCTCTCATCTTAATTCTTACGAAAAGGCGCATTGACAACACTGCAACTTCATGTGCATCACTATTCACTTTACAAGCAGCTTCCTGTAGATCTATAGAGTAATGTAATCACAGCCCTCGAGCAATGGCGGTATTCCCTGATCCTCGCCCGGACAGCCAGACGGGCGCCGTCTCTCCCACTGACATACTGCTGCAACAGAAAAAGTGGTCTTTCGGCTGTCAAATCACAGCCCACGCTGTGCAGCGAACAATGCTTACTCTTCTACTAAGGTTGCCTTGCTGAAAGCGCCCCGATAATGCATGGGACAGTGGTCTCGAACAAAAGCGGGCGCATGCCACAGACGGGATCAAATGAAGATTGCCCTATATTCCCGTAAGCCACGCGGGGACGCTTTGCAGGCCTCTGACCCTTTGAGTGCGCTAGTCGACATCAAACCGCGTCGATATATTGCTACGCTCACCCACCCCTACTCTTCCCTCAACCCTCTCTTACCTCTCCCTCACCGCATCCATCCACCCACCGTTCACAATGGCTTCCATGGACATCGACAAGCCCCTCGACGAGGTCCGTTACCGCGATATTCGCCATCCGTAATCTCGAGCTGACGCCTCTTCCTTTCACCTTTTCGAACGCGTTGTTTGCCACCCGTGTCGCGTCACTTTGCCTTCTCTTCCATCCCAACAGATCATCGCTGCTAAGCCCCGCTCTCGTCGCGGTCGTGGTCCTCGCTCGGGAGGTGCTGGTGGAGCTGGAGGTGCTGGTGCTGGTGCCGGTGGCGCGCGTGCTCGTTACGCCGGAGCTGCGCCCAAGTCTGCTTCGGCCAAGCAGTCCGCGCGTGCTGCTGCCCCCGTTCCGGCCAAGCCCATCACGGCTGATGCCCAGAAGATCATCATCTCTAACCTCCCCGCCGACGTGACGGATGCCGCTGTCCGCGACCTCATGCAGTCGACCGTCGGACCGGTTCGCTCCGTTCACCTGAGCTACACCAGCACCGGCAAGAGCACTGGTGTCGCGACCGTCATGTTCAAGAACAAGGGCGACGCCAACAAGGCCCACTCGACGTACCACAACAGGATGATCGACAACCGTTAGTGTTTCTCTTTACTGATCCCATGTCTCCGCTGTTCGCTGGCTGTGTTGTCCTCGCAATGAGTGATGCTTGTGCCAAGGTAGTTCAAGATCTTTGCGCAGAATAAAATCTGCCTCCAGGAAGGAAGGGATTCGACCTCGCGCGTATCGCGCGTCATGCCCATGTTCCCAAGTTCCTTTGCGACGCCGGTCGAGCTCGAGGTTTCACAGCTCCCCCTTGGAAGGACTGGTGCAGATGATCAGACCCATCGACAGTTACGGCGGGACCTCCGCAGGAGGAGGTCCACTTGGAGATGGTGTTTACCATTGCATTCCTTGCAGCTCAAACCCCGCCCGGGGTTGCCAAGTTCGGAAGAGCACTTGGAGTTGCCACTTGGTATCACGGCCTATGAGAACTGGGGCGCAGTGCGCGGTTCGCGGGCGTGGTTGAGCGGTTTTACACCGCCCTGCTCGGGGCGGTGCGCGGAACAGCGTCTTCCTACGCAAGAGGAAGTGTGTTTCTTTAGACCCACAAGCAAGGCAAGACCGGACAGGGACCCGACGACTGTCTGCAAGACACGACGACGGCATGGTCTCGGTGGTGAAGAAGCGATGATTCGCGGAGCCCGTGTTATGGTAGCTGGCAGGACTGGTTATTGAGATCGACGGCTTCCTCTGGAAGCCCACAGCGACAGCGGCGGCTCCCCCACCCTTCCGCTTTGTTTGAACGAATGCTGATACGGTTCCTCTCGACTGGACATTGGACTTTTGGCCTTCCCTCGCATTCAAATCGCATAACCTCAACCGTTCCTCGACCTATCAATGCCTTCATCTCTCTTCGACAACTCCGACATCTGCAATCAACACCATCTTCCCGTTCTCCCGCCAACGCTTCAACATGTTACCCCTCTTGGATCCGCATCTCCTTTCGCGGTTGCTTCCGACACGCAGAGCGCCCCATGAAGGTTGAGATCGCCATCGACCCCAACGCGATGCAGTCCCTTGCGTCTCGCGTCAACGCCCCCGCCGCCGCGGGTGGCCGTGGTGCTGGCCGTGCTCCTGCCGCCGCCAAGCCCCGCAACGGTGGACGTGCCGCTGGCGCTGGCCGCGCCGCCAAGCCCCGTGCCCCCCGCCCCGCGAAGAAGACTGCTGAGGACCTCGACGCTGAGATGGCCGTGAGTATAAGCTACCTCGTTCCTCAACTGAGCTAATATCCAGGCCTACAAGGAGGCGACCTCGACCGCTTAGAGTGGAGAAGAGAAGAAGCGATAACCAAAATCTATTTATATATGTGTTTGTCTGAGATTTGCCCAGAGGGGTCTTCCTCCTATGCCCTGTTGAGATGCCAGACCGTGTAGCCCGCTCCTGCTTCTCCTGATGCTGTTCACATCGTTGCATTCCAAGAACCTCATGCTACATTAGATTTGTTGGTGAGACTGATGATGACTACTCAATCTAGCTAGTGTTGTGTCTGTGTTTGTGTGTTTTAGTTGAGCCAAGTGCTCTTCTCGCCGGCGACCTTCCACGCGTTGGTGAACGAGAGCGGGTTGGTGTGGCCGTGCTTTTCCCTGGCGTCCTGGAGTCGGACAATGAAGTTGACGAGAATGGCGACGAAGAGAGCGACACAGATCAGGATCGGGCCCCAGAGCTGGTCGAACGAGCCGGCGTGGCGGGAGGCGATCATCGTCAGACGCTGCTGGTACACGACGTAAGCGTAGATGAGGACGGCGGCGGCACTGTTGGTCAGCTACGACAAACACAGCGGCGCAGCACTGATGGCTGCCTTTGGGAGGCGCGACGAAGCAAGAGGGAAGCCTCGTCAGAAGGATACTCACATGCCAGCGTAAACCCAAGCGAACTTGCGAGCGACGCTGTCCTTGGCGCCGAAGAGAAGACCAGTCGCGATGGTCGACAGCAGCATGCCCATGGACAGGTACGAGATGAAGGTACGCTCGTTGGCGAACCAGACCTTGGCCTCGACCTTGACGGGGGTGGGCTTCTTCTCTGAGATTGTTAGCTATCTGTTCGCGGCACCCACAGCTGTGCTGCCCAGCTCTGGCGAAGGCTTCTGGAAGGCAGACCCAAGCCCTTCCAAATCCTAGGAAAGAGGCACGCCGTCGTGCCGGGGCGCCAAAAGGACACTCACTGGGCACACGAACGCGGATCGTGGGGTCGTTGATCGCGTGATAGTCCCTCAGAAGCGGGCGGTCGTCGCTGCTTGTTAGTTCCAACAACACATGGGCAACTTACGTGTCGGGAAGGTTGTCGGAGCGCTTCTGCTTGATCCGGAAGCCTTCTCCGCGCCTGGGGAGGAGGTTGAGGGCACCCTGCGAGAACCTGTTGTCAGCTCTGGTGGGAGATTCGCAGCAGTTGGGTGAGGAAGGTTGATCGTCGAGTTGGTCTCTGGTGGCGAGTCCTGTCCAGCTCAATGCTTGGCAGCCGATACAGAGGCGAGAGTCAGTACCCGGGATATACTCACGGCTGGAAGAAGTTCTCGGAGACGTCGTGGGCGATCCTGCCCATCGTGGACGACTCGCCCTTGTTGTCGTTGTTGTTGGGGTTAAGCGGGGTATTCTGCTGTCAGCTCATCCAGCTCCCTTTGTGAGCTCGGGTCAAACCCACCTCGTCAGGCATGCTTGCTGGTCGTGATGCAGTAGGCGGCGAGAAGGGGGGTTGATGCAGCGACCAGAAAAGTCAGAGAGGGAAGGAACGGATGAGGTATGTGGTCGAGCGAGGAAGGTGTACGAGAATAAAGTCGGGAGATGTCAGGCGTCAGGAGGCAGGATGGAGCACTAGCGAGAGTGGATTCATGTAGCACGTGCGTGAAGATCGACCAAGGGGGAAGGGACTTGCCCCTCTGTCTGGGCGTCCTTCTGGAACCGAACAACCGGCTCTTGTTCTTTCTTGCCCTCCGCACAGACAGTGTGCATGTGTGCATGTTATCTCTCGGCCCTTCTTAAGCTGTGTGTGCATGGTGCGACTGCATATGGAGTAGGACATGCGGAGGTTGTCGTTAGAGGGGGGGGGCGGAGCTGTTTGCGCAGCGCCAGCCGCTAGGCTCAATCCGAAAGTGGAACCGACGGAGTCGTGCCTGAAGGATGAGCCCTTGACTCTGATCGGAAGCCTGGAATGACGTTTTCGGCGGTGGCGCAACACGGCCCTTCGCGAGCCTGAGGACGGGGTATGCACTCATTTCTGTGCTCTCGCGTCGAAAGCTACACCAGACAGCGTAGCCAAGGTCGTTATGCATGATACGAATACAACAGTGCTTGATTGCTGTCAAGACAATGCAATGCGATGATTATAAAGGGAAGACGGAAGCAGGGTTAGAAGTTCATCGGATACTGCTCTGGCGGCAGACCAAAGAAACCCTTGTCTGGAATGGGGAGGAGGCTCGCGTTCCCGTTCCACAGCTGCCAGTCGACGCCAGCCTGAGAGACAGTGTTGCCCCACCATGCAAGGTCGATGTGGATCGCAAAGTCGAACACGAGCGTGATGATGATGGCTGCGCAGGCTGCGCCGGCATCGAACCCAGCCTCGAGGATGTAGTTGTACTTGCTCCACCAGGCGGGATAGCGGCGCTTGATGTGGTACATGAACAGAAAGCTGAGGACGACCTTGTTCGTGGCATAGCTTAGGTTGTTGCCTCCTGTCCAGTTCAGCGCGCCAGACCAGGACACGGCGGGGTCGAACCACTCCATCCACGACACGCTCACACAGGTTGCGTGCAGGCGGTCATAGACTTTTGTGGGGCAGCGGCGCTCAGCCCACCGATGTATGGCCGGCGCACAGCGGTAGATTACACCGTAGGCGATGCCCACAACGGCGCCGAGGAGGAAACACCAAGGCAGGAGCGGGTACAGCTTGAACAGGTTCGGCACGCCGAGACCGCCGTACATGATCGAGTTGGCGTAGAGGAGCGACGTGTCGAAACAGATGTAGTGCGAGCTGCCACTCTCGCACAGCGCGCCATCGTCGTACTTGTGCAGCATCCAGTGCAAAAGCCCCACGAAGACAAAGCACTGGAGGAGCACGGCAATGAGCTGGGCGCGGAACACAGCCCGCGGGGGCAGTTTCGCGTACAGCGCCATCTTCTGGTCCATGACATACTGGCTCGCGCCGGTGTTGAACGCGCTCCCAAAGACGGTTGTGATCATGGCCGCCTCGGGTCTGCCGGCGAACCACACGCCGCTGATCGTGCGAAAGAGCACGGTGGTGGGGACGCTCGTGTTTGCGACCGCGGAGAGGATTTGCGACGGCACGACGAACACGATGGATATGCCCAGCACGGCCAGAATCGTCCACCACGGCGTTGCTGATGGCCAGGCAGTCACTGCTGCGATGCCGAATGCGATGGAGATGGCGAGCACGAGGAGAAACCACCACTCGGGCACTTCCGGAAACTTGCGGATGTACCGGGTCTGCGCGTCGTCGTACTCTCCGTAGAGTGTTGAGCGGCCACACAGTGTAGCCCACTGTCCTGCGGCACACTTGCGTAGCAGCGGCCAGTGCTTGATGAGCACAGAAAAGACGACCATGCCGTACCACGCGAACCAGGCGCCCTGGGAGAAGACGTTCGAGGCCGAGAAGTACGCGGGCCCATACGTCTTATACTTGTCGAGATCGACGTGGCTGTCTGTGATGATGCGCGACACATTGTAGTGCTCACCCGTGTTCGAGAAGGCTTCGTACGCGTTGATGGGCAGATATGCAGACCACGCAAAGTTGGTCCAGTACAGGGCGATGATGATGAGGCCAGCGAGGACACGAGAGGCGTACTGCTGGATTTCACTGGGATCAGCTCGTCTTCCGCACAAGTCAGCTCACCTGAACCACGGAGTGATGAGGGCGCCAGTGCCAGACACAGTCCACTCAAACGTTGCCATGGGATTGAAGCCCATTCCGCCATAGAAGCCCGTAACGACAGCGAGCTCAAAGTTCTGCGGCGCAATCCAAGTGATCCAGTTGAAAGCCCTCAGCCCACGGAAGACGAGGTTGGGTATCCACCACCAGAGGAACATACCCGTGCAAGCAACGAGGAAGAATTCTCTTCTCGACACATGCCAGCCATGGACGGGCTGTTCCCCCCTCGTCCTCCCTTTCTGGCACAGGACCCCATTCAATGCCAGCGTCGGCAGGACGCTGGGCCACAGCATGGTGGTCGGGTAGATGGCGATGCGCCTCAGGAGGCCCGCGAATCCGAACCCGAGAAACTGCACTGAGAGCGCGAGCGTGATCTCGTAGCCCCACGAGACCCATGACTGGTTGTAGTACTGTGGCAGCCGCTGGACGAGGTAGACGTAGTACGTTGATGCGGCGCCCTGCACGACGGAGAACATGATCGTCGCCAGTGTCTGCTCCTTCACACTCCACGGGCCGGGGTTCAGGCTGATGCGCTTGCCGCGTATCGTGATTCCCCAGTCGGGCAGGACCCAGGCGAGGAAACGCCCACACGGCGCGAGCACGAGTTGCATGACAGTTGTGCCGATGGAGAGGCCCGGATTGTTCGTCGAGAACACAGTCGAGAGGCGGAGGTAGTTTGACATGGCGTCCATGGTCGTGTTCAGCGACGTCACGGCGCCCATGAGGATTATACCGAGCAGATAGGCCCGGAGGGTCTCGACGGGGACGTCCGCGTCGTCCACCGGGTCAGTGACGGCGCGCACCTCGGCATACGGGCTGTGGTACCGGATCATGGCTGCTTGGGCCTTACACTCGTTGCTCCACTGGGGATCTGGCGCGAGGGCCGAGGGACCACGGACGAGCTCCTTGATGCGCCGCATCGTCGCTTGCGAGAAGTTGGGATCTTTATCATGTTCCTTTATCGCATTCAGGAGGATACCGACCGCCTCGTCGTCGCTCATGTCCGCGCGGTCCGCGAGCGTCTCCAGCGGCCCCGCATCCTGTAAGGGGTGGTGGCCGTATTCGCCGAGAATCCTCGCTCGGAGCGTGAACGCGGGAGAGTGGATGCTAGAGCCCTTGTCGTCGGCCAGGAGCGCGCGCTGCTCCGCAGTCGTCGAGGCAGCTCCGACAGAGTCTTGCGCCCCTTGCGAGAAGCCGCTGCGTGCGCTGCGTGCGCTGCGTTCTGTCATTAGATCGGGTGGCCAAACATTCCATCAGTGGACTCACGTCTTATAGCCCCAGGCGCGTTACGGGGTCACAGGCTGAGCTGTCCGCGTGCCGCGGAGCTCCAGTGGCCACAGGCAACGTGACCGTGCGTGAAGTGTGCAGTTCCGGCCGCATCATGCCAGCAAGGTTTGACTAGAGCTGATGGAATGGATGACGGTGATTTTGGGCCAGAGGAGAACGGTCGCATCGGCCATCAACTGGGCGCCAGAACGCCGGTGCTTTCAGTGATCGGCGGTGGCTTGATCCGATCGATCGTCACTTTAGCCTCCACACTCTCCCTCACGCCGCCCTCATTCTGTTCGCATGATGAGATAACCATGTGTGACTTTATGTCCTTGCATGCTTACCGTCTGAGATCTGACGCAGCGCAAAGTGGAAGCAGCGCGCCTAACTAGAGACTATCACGGATGCTCAACGAAGGAAGGAACCCATCGACTACCCCGCGTGCCTCACCGAGATACTGACCGAGGATGAGAGACGACATCCTGCAAGCGCTGGACAACGTGACGTCAATCAGCATCTCTGTACCGTTACGACCACGAGAAGCGCGAGAAGTTCCAGAAAACCATAGACGTCCATGGGGCGGTCTACCACGGTGTCTGTCTGGTTCGGTGTGTGAATCCTCCTCGGGCTGGGACATAAGGACGAGTGATACCTGTGATGGATCAACTCTGCACTCATTGTTGACACCTTTTTACCACCAAACTACCATGTCCTCCCTCGTTATCTTTGGCGCGGACGGGCGTATTGGCGGGCAGCTCGTGCCCGCTGCCGTTGGCTCCTTCTTCGTGCACGCGGTGACCAAGACGAAGTCTCAGAAGTGCGTTGGGTCCTCCATTCTTCCACCCCTTTGCCCTTCCTCGCCCCTCCTCACCCCTTGAGCCCGTAGCCATAGACAGGCGGCTAACAACCCAGCGATGAGATGCTGAAAGAGCTCGGCGCGACGCCGCACGTGCTCGACCTAACCACGGCGAGCGTGGACGACATCGTCAAGCTGTTCAAGGAGACCAAGGCCGAGGCGGTCGTAAACTGTGCGTCGGCGGACGACGTGCGCGACGCCAAATCCGTCAAGGCGGTCGACTACGAGGGCGGCCTGAAGGTGATCCAGGCTGCTGAGAAGGCGGGTGTGCCCCGTTTCCTCACCGTGAGCTCCATGGGCGTGCATGATCCCGACAAGATGCCGGGGTACTACTCCAATGTCTCGTGCCTCGCTAGCAAGATCATGTGGCAGAGCGACAGCGCCATGCGGCCCTTCCTTGAGGCCAAGTGGCAGCTCGAGAGCGCGCTGCACAAGACAAAGCTCAAGTTTACGGTTTTACGCCCGGGCACGCTCTTCGATAACTACGAGACTGGGTGTCGCATGGGCGCCCTCAATCTCGTCCGCGATGGGTCGACCGTGAGCCCGCCCAGCCTCGAACGCGTCCTCGACGCTATGCCCCCGACGTCGCGCGAGCTCGTCGCCCAGACACTCTACGCCTGCCTTAGGAATGAGGACTCGGCCGGCCTCACCCTCGACGTCGTCAATGGCCATGGCGAGATTAGCGAGGAACTCAGCATCATGACCGCCTCCAAGACGGATGTGTGGAAGGAGGACCAGAAGACGCGCGACTGGGACGAGGCCACAGCCAAGAAGGAGAGCGAGGACAATGCCGAGCAGCAGAAGAAGGAGCACCCCGGACCCAAGATTGTCTGTTTGTAAAGGAAGGATGCATTGAAACGTCAAGAAGTATTGTCGTGTCTGCATCGATACAGTGTTACGTATTATCTACAGATAAGAGTGGTTTGTCAAGACACTCAGACAGACTGACGCCAACTATCCAATGTTCGAAGGCATCGTCCCAAGTGGCATCTCGCCGCCGCCGTACCGCCGGCGCGACTCGGCCATCGCCTCACCCCAGTCCTCCCGCGACATCATGCGCAGCTGCTCGAGCATCTTGCCGTTGATCGCGGCAATGTCCGCGCCATCGAGCTCCGTCACACCCGACGGGTTCGGCGACTCCTCCATGAGTCCCAGAATGTCGTGGTCGCCCGTGAGCTTGGGTGGCGGCTTGCCCTCCTTCTGCTTGACGGCGATATCGACGTCGCCCCACTTCTTGAGCGAGTTGATCGCGACACCGAGGTCCGCGTCAATTTCGGCCGCCCGGTCGTCGAGGCCCAGGAACTGCAGGCGCTTCACCTCGCGCACGAGGACCATCGCCACCTCATTCCAGATCGTGATCATGAAGATGTCGTAGCCCGTCGACATCGGCTCCGTCTGGTACAGGAACATGACGTTGACCAGTCGACGAGCGACCAGCAGCGCAACCGCATTCTCGGCGTCGAGCGCGCGAATGTTCCACAGCTGCATGTACGCGTTGCCGATGAGGAAGTGCAGCACGCACGTCTCGCGCGACAGCTGCACACGAGGCAGTGTCGTCTGGTTGCCCTCGTCCCAGCGCCACGGTGGCCGGTCTGCATCGGGCAGGTGGTCGATAAAGTAGTCGAGCGCCGCCTTCATCCGGCCAAAGCCCGTCGGGTGGGTGATGAAGGCGGGCTGGGCAGATCCGGGGTACGAGCAACCGTGAGCCGTGCGCCCCGCACCGGGGGATCCGGGGCTCTCGAACGGAATTTCTGGGGCCTCCTGTCGCAACTTGTGCACACGAGCAAGTAGCGTGACGGCCTTCAGACGCAGGACGAGGAATGACTGATCACCTCCAGAGGGTGGCATCGGTGGCGGGTCAATGACCGAGTTCATGGTCACGTCATCCTTGGTGCTAACAAGGCCTAGCTCGTACTCGATCATGGGGCGGGGGAAGGGTGTCCGAATGTCCTCAATGGCCAGGCCAGTGTGCCAAAGATAAGCGACCGCTGTGCAGCAGTCCACCTCGTACACTGCCCAGAATGCGTATATCCGCTCGGCGAGGTCGATCGCATCTTCCGGCGGCTGCAATGCGTAGCCTCCCGTGCGCAATGTGCAGTGGATGGCAGCGTTGAACGGCGGTGGTGGTGCCCAGACGGATGAGGGGATGCGGTCCAGGCCACACGAAATCGCGAGTCGGACGGCTGCTCCGGTCATGTGATATCCGGGGGCATACTGCTCAGAAGCAAAGAGGTAATTAGCCAGCAGAGTCATTCCGCGCAGAGCGTCCAGCAGTCGGTCATGGTTTGCCACAGCCTGGCGACACCTCTTCTCGGCAATTTCGTAGAACTGCTTTTCCAGTTGCCTGATCGCCGGCTGCATCGACACGCGCGCCGCACAACAGAACATGCTGTACAGCAGTCCCGGGTGTGGCCGCTTCTGCGGGAGCAGAGTCAGGCGGGTGTAGAAGCGCGGGAGATGCAGCGTGATGCCGAACAGCGCCTTCGTGCCAGAGTTGCACCTCGAGAAGAACAGGTCGAGTAGGTGGTCCCTCACTGCCGGCGGCACATCATTCGGGTCGAACCAACCTCCGACCACATCCCGTCCCTGCGGCACGTTCGGCAGGATGCTGATTTCTCCGTGCGGAATGACCTCGAACTGGTTCTCGCCGTCGTCGATGCTGCCGCGCAGACTAGAGTTGTCGTCCTTGTGGATTCCAACAAGATTTGTGAGCGAGCTGAAGGCGCGACCGGCACTACCTTCGCGGCTGTCAGCATCGCCCGATCCCGACGACATGTTCGCCATGTGCATGCTGTTACTAAGATCATGCACCGGTTGGTCGAGGAAGGACAGATCAAAGTCAAAGTTTGGGTTCGGTTCGCCGAGCGGACGCGGGCCAGTGCTCTGCGGGTACGGGTTACCGCTGCGAGGTGACCGCAGGAGTGTCGGGTCAGCCTGAGCACTCCGTTGCGCCATTGGAATGGAACCCTGCTGGTGGTGGTGGCCGTGTCCATGAGAGTGAGGTTGGCTGTGCTGGTGAAGAGGGGTCGGGTGATGAGGCTGGTGATGGCCGCCGGCCATGTGCGAGTGGTGCCCGCCCGATCCTGCACTCCCGACAACAGACGGCGCCATTTCCGGCGGCACCGTGAGGATGTGCCCCTGGGCAGTCGGGATAGCGAAACCAAGCGCTGACGGGCTGATGGTGGCGGCTCCGTTGGATCCACTGCCTCGAGAAGAGGTCGAGTTAGACGGCGAGGTAACCTGCGGCGGGCCTTGAGAGAGCTGCGATTCGAGCTCCGCTGCGATGGTCAGCAATGTCAGCAGACGTTGACTCACCGATCCGCGCCTTCAACACGGCGATGCGCGACGTGCTCTTGCCCGTCTCATACTTGCACTCCTTCTTCAGTCGGACACAGGTGGCACAAGCTGGCTTGTCGGCGCTGCATTTCTGTTGACAGAGTTAGTGCCCACTGCGAGGTCGTCTGGGTCATGTCTCGGACGTACAATTCGACGTTTCCTGCACGCCAAGCACGCGTCTCCACTGTGAGGTTAGTACACGACTGCGGTAGGGGCACGGTTGTGTGCGTGGTTGTTGTAGATGCGTACCGTTTAAGCGTGGCTGCAGACGCGTCAGCGGGGATCGTCGGTCTCGGGACAGGTGACTTCAGACATACCTTTGCCAGAACTGGGCGGGATGCCTTCCTTGTCGAGGGGGTTTCCGTTTCCGTTCTCATTGTTGTGCTGGGGCTCGACATCCATGTCATCGCTGGACTGGCCGTTGTCGATGCCGAGGTCCTGGGCGGCGGCGGCTTGGCCGTTTGCTGACATTGTCATCGGATTGATGGCCGTCGACGCTGAAGCGGAAGGTGTTTGATCGAGGATGGCAGAGGAAGAGCAGTAGTTGGGTGTGAAGTGTGTATGAGTGAGTGAGGATGAGACGGTTGGTGGAAACGACTGTGTGCGCGGCGGGCGGGAGGAAGGAGGAGGAAGTGCCGGTGAAGCTACTTGGCGACTAAGGTGCTAAGGCGACTAGTTGGACCAAGGCAGCATGAGGAGAGAGAGAGAGGACTCGCAGACTCACGTCGTGAGCGAGCTAGCGTTCAGTGCCTGCGGCCAGACCCTGACCCTTCCCTTCCCCGCATGGGGTAACCGTACGCGCGCAGAGAACACACAGGCAAAGACGCCGCGGAATCTCTTCTCATTGGCCTCGCCTGCCCTGCCGCCCGCTAATGCCCATTACATTCCCGGCCACGTGGTCCCATGGCGGTTCAATACACCCCATTAGCAAATTCCTTATACGCAGCAAATGCTTGGGCAGGTGACTGTGGGTGCCTTGAGAGAGACTGACGCGGCCTGGCCCTGGGCGGACTCTGCGGCAGATGCTTCACACTTGACCACGGCCCTGGGCCACCATTCGGCATCCCGGAGCTCTTTAAGGTTTCAAGACGTCCTCCTCACCATGCATCCTCGACAGGCAGATCGCCGGATAGTGAAGCCTGTCTCTCTGTATTCCATGGATACCACTGTCAAACCCATCCCAGCTCACCCTCACTAACCCTTGCTGCCCTCGCCGGAACCACCGACCACACTCTCGGCCGCCGCCACTCTCGTCCTCCCCAACATCGGCCACTCCCCAACAGCGGTGACCATTTCCAGCTCGCTCTCCCCCAAAGCAGCGTCGGACCTACCACACTCCGCATCACAAACCCCAACACAGTCAACCGGGTGTCCGACGGTCGATCCGTGTGTGTCTGACGTCGGGCGCGGTCAGCTCAGCGCGTGTTTGCATGACGAGGCAGCCAACCAAGACGCCGACAGCGGCGCCTGGGCGCCTCACTGCCTGAATGCCTGTGCACCTGGGGTCCACCTCCACATCGGGCCGTCAGGACAAGAAGAGCCGGAACAAGCTGCAGGGAATAGGGACTTTGCGCCGTAAAAGGAGTCAGCAACAGGCTGCGTACTACGGCATTTTGAGCTGCTTTGGGTGTGTTCGGTGGACGGGTGTCACGCGTCCGTCGAGCTCTGTGTGCATATGCTCGCGGCTCGCCGTACAGCTGCCGTATACCCACCGGGTCTTAATAAAAGGTAGACTCACGGGGACTGCATGGACTGCACCGGTCCGGCGGGCCCGCCGCTAGATGCCCACAATCCACAAGGATTGACACAGGTTGACCAACGCAGTACGTAGTCGTTTCAGAATGTCGCTTCGCGCACGTCGTGACCACTCAATGTGATCCAAGCTTAAGACGCGATCGTCGCTGCACATCGCTGTCCTGCACATTGGACACGGCCGCCGGCGCAGAGTTCAGCTTGCATAGCTCTGTCTGTTGTGCGTGAAACCGTGCGTCAGCGCCAAGGCGTAGGTTGCTCTTTGTGGTCGCCCACTATGTCTTCCCCGCAAGTTAGTTCAACTCAAAGCTGCAAGCTCCATCTCGGCGCGGTCCAGCGTTGTCCAGCGTCCGGGGCCACTTGCTCCTGGAATCAATGAAAGTGCCATCTCGGCGCCAGCTGTTGAATGCGTGTACCTAGGCAAAGTCAGAATGCTTCGGTCCTCTGCAGAATATGGCGGCAGCATGGCAGGCAGCTTGACTCCATGTTTCAAGCGTCGTTCCCCTCCCCTGCCCGATCCTGCGGGAGGTTAAATGTCGTGATACCAGCGTCGGTGTCGTCTGCATGACACCACCGTACCACTGAGCGCCCAGGGCTCGAGCACTGACCAGCTGTACGGTGTCTCTTGACTGCTATTGCTCGACACTGAGAGGGGATGAGCCGTGCCTCACTGTGAGTCTACAGTAGGTGAGCTTGTGTGGCCGTCCAGCAGACAGCGTCGCCCCCACGCCTCACTCTCGCCCTCCATCTACTCGTAAAGCTTGGTCTCTTTCTTTCCATCCGAGAGTTTGAAAGCATAAAGCGAACTCCCTGCACCGAATGTCGCTTTACTCGCTCGATGCGAGCAGGTTTCGCCACCCAAAAATCGTAATGACATCAAATCCCGGACCCTTCGTATCCCCTCTTCTCACTCCGAATCGCCCTGGTATCTAGCTCCGTTAATGACCGACCGACTAGGCGATTGAGCGACTCGCCATTTCGACAACACACACTCGCACACTTGCACCACCACACCGGCCATGTCCCCGCGACCGCTGATCAGCGCCTCGCGCGCCTCGCGGCGCATGCACGCGTGCCCCAGCTGCATGAGTGCGTGGAGTGTGCGCTCTGCCTCCGCCTCGGGCTCGGGGTACAACTACGACGTCGCCTCGCCCTCTGCATTCGGCCTCGGCAGACGATACGCCCACGCCGCTGCGATGCCGGAGGAAGAAGCTGGTCCCTCCCGTCCGCACCGCGATGCGGACTACAAGTTTCCCGAGAGGGGTGCGCGCGGGGGGCCGCCAGACCCATTCGAGATTCTCGGTCTGGAGCGTTCAGCGCTCCCAGGCGAGATCAAGGCGAAGTGTGAGTCCCTGTTCGCTCTGGCTGGGAGCGGAGCTCGCTACGCTCGACTCGCTCACCACGCTCGCAACAGCTGACAGCAGACTACAAGCTCGCCTTAATCCTGCACCCGGACAGCTCGCACCCGGCCGCCTCGGCCGAGCACTTCGCAACGCTCAACAAGGCGTACAAGCTGCTCAGCGATCCGGCACAGCGCCGCTCCTTCCTCCAGACAGGGTACGGGTGGGCGTCGAAGAGTGGCGGCGACGGCGTGTCGGCGTACGACCAGGCCTTCCACGATGCGGTGCGGCACGCGAAGCAGGCCGGCGCGGCGGAATGGCGCGGGCGCGGGTTCCGCGACGCCGAGGCTGGCTCGGGAGCGTGGACGTACGCGCGGTACGCCGAGTTTGCCCGCGCGTCCGAGGGCATGGGGCAGGGCATGGCGGGCGAGTGGGCCAAGAGCCACGGCTTCTACGACCACAGGCGGTACGGGGCCAACTGGCAGGCTGGGGCGAATACGCACGGCGGCTGGCACCCCTACATGGCAGACGGGAATCCGGGGCAGGGCACAGGCGAGCCGATCTACATGTCGAACCTGCGCTTCTTTGCGCTCATCGCCGCGTTCAGCGGCATATTCGCGTTCGCGCAGATGTTCCGCGTCACCAAGTCTGCCGAGACACACAAGGAACTCCTCAAGGACAAACATATCCAGTCAGTAACCCCTGAAGACGGAAAGAGGAGGAAGAGGCTGACAAACAGTGCGTCCCAGGCGCTGGCTGAGGCGAGGGAGGAAGCGAAGAAGTTTGGACACCAGCGCAGGGAACAGATCAAGCGCCGCGTGAAGGAGAGTAACGTCCTCAAGGAGATTGACCAGATGGAGGTCGGCGGAGACACCGGACATCGCCGTATCGCCCCGCCGTCCAACCCCGAGCCGCCGGCCACAGCGGCGCACTAGACTAGAATCACACGCGCACAACGCCCACATCTATGCATACCATCTTGTTCATCTTGTCCTTCTCGCTTCGGACTGCTGTTATACACTTTGCTGCCTAGGTCGTCAGAGTCTGCGGACCGTGCGGAGCTACCACGTGGCAACCCTGTATGTGGTCCTCCCGGTTAGATGTTGACGCGATCGTGAGGTCACCCGTCAACGTCGAGGCCACCGCGTAATGTCCAGACAACGCCAACGATGACGGTCCACGCTCTCTGGGCGATCAACAAGGCCGGAGGACTCGTGTTCTCGCGGTATTACTCTAGTGAGTGGGCTCAATTTCCTGCGTCCTTCCCTGCTTCCTCCTAGGCGGACACAAACTCTCTGTCCCACCTCCACCTCACCTGGTCGTCGATCTCGCAACCTCGTCAACGAACGAGTACTGGAGGACAACGCGTACTTGCAATGATCACTCATGATGCATGGGGTCTGATCTGACAACAGGCACACTCCCCCCGCTCCCGCTGAACGACCTCCTCATCCTCGCGGGAACGCTCCACGGTATCCATGCCATTACGGCGCGGCTCGACCCGGCCCCGCCGCCGGGCGCGCCGCCTGCTGGACTGCAGAGCTTTGAGGCTGAGGGATGGGGCGGGACGGTCTTCCTGACGCCGACGGGTGAGTCCACGCCGAGCGCAGCGAGGCGCTTGCTCCGACCTCATCTGCCCTCTCCATCTCCTTCAACGAGTGGCCTGTTTCGCCCCTTCCTCCGAAGTGTGCAGACATGACAGTCACAGAAGATACGGGAAGGAGAGAAGCTACCCAATCTGCGAAGCCTAGCTGATCCCAGGAACCAAGTTTGTCCTCTTGCACAGTATCGGCCACCCCGCCGTTGACGACCTGATGAAGAAGGTCTACGACATCTGTGAGCTAACCCGTGGCTGCTACAAGCTGACCCCAGACGCCGACGCAGTCATGAAGAACCCCTTCCACACGCCCGAGATGCCGATCAACTCGTCCCTGTTCGAGAGCAGGCTGCAGAGCCTCATGACGAGTGTGAACGAGACGCCGGGGCGATAGTCCCGCGCCGCGATGGCGAGCGGCGAGCGGAGCGAGCCAGCGAGCTCCCCTCCCTAGGGCACGAGGAGCGAGAACCAGAGTAATAGTAGAAAGCTAGACTATGCATTTTGTAAAGTATATCCTAATTGTCGCCCGTCTTCCCCCACGCATCGACCTTGAGGCGCGCGCACCTGTCGACTTCCTCCTTGACGCTCTTCGTGCCATCGAGGACGTCGAGGGTGAGTCCAATCGTCCCATCCGTGAGTGCGCAAGCGAGGAGCACCTCGCCGACGAGTGCGCGGCTCGTGTGTCCCATCTGTGTCAGGCCGAGATCACACCCTCCGGCGGGTTCGTGCGTGAGCCTGCCTGGCCTCAGGATCGTGAAATCCAGCCCGCTCTGGTGCAAGTAGGCATCAGCCTCATACTTGGCCTGCATGTATCGCCCGATGCGGGACCAGACCTCGTCCGAGCCCTTCTTCGAGTCCTCATTGTAGTGCGCGGGATAGCCCTGCGTGCGGTCGCGCACGTCGATGGCGGAGACGATGAGGAGGCGCTTGCAGGGTGTCTTTTGCAGGGCCTGCGCGACCTTCTTCAGGCCCTCGAGGTCGACGGCGCGCGTACGCTCCGGCGCACCCTTCCCTCCCGCCCCGGCAGAGAAAATGACGGCCCGAGGCGAGATGGACGTCACGAGATGCTCTATGTCGTCCACAGTGCAGTCCTCTAGGGAGAGAATGTACGGCTTCGCCCCGATCGCGTCGAGCTCCTTGTTGCTGAGTGTTAGCTGCGTAGTTGTCGTTGCGGCGCGGTGTGGGTTGGAGGCGCAGGCGACTGCTTGCTGCTGCTTGCTGCTGCCTCGCAGTGCGAGATCGCATCACAGACATCGGCTGCTTCGCAGTGCAAGAGCGCATCGCAGAGATACGCCGCAAGCCCGCCGCAAGCAGCCGCAAGCACGCCGCAATCGCAGCAGACTCACTGACTATCGTCCCTCACGACACTGGTCACCTCGGCCCCCATCGCAATAGCCTGCCGCGCGAATGCCTGTCCGACGTGCCCTCCGCCGCCGAAGACGATGAACTTGTTGTTGCCCATGGTTGTTTGTTGTGATATGGACGGTGGGAACATGCGCAGTTGAACTCAGCTGCGATGTGCGTTGTTGCTCGGGCGGGCGTATGACGCCATTCTGACGATCTGACGGCGCTTGCCGATGCCGCCGGTTGCTGCTTTCGTTTGTTCATTCCAACCGATACCCTCTTGTCCATACGACGAGCAATAGTCTACATACACACGGACAGATGCCCCAAGGGAGATGGCGTGCATGCAATGCAGCTCCGGGTCGATCTGAGCAGCCTGCAAACCGCTGATCACTCGTCACGTGAGGATTCTACACCGTGGCCGGTGTGATCGACTCATCTTCTGTCCCCCGACATTCTTCTGCCGACAATACGTTCTGTTTCTTCTATGCACCTGTGCACACGACGACTAACCTCGCCGCATGTCTTCTTTCGCTGCGGCGAGGGCTGGACATTGCGCACGCATGATGACTCCGCGCACCATGCGTGCCGTGCCAAGCCCCCTAGCTGCGACCCTGGACTTATAATCTTAGGTCGTTTCGAGCCATCGGCCGGCTGACACCCCTCTCATCCGCACACATCATGACTCTCCTGCTCGTGCTGGCACTGCTCGCTGTGCGAGCCGCCCTGGTGGCCAGCCGAGCCTTCGACGCTCTCGAGACAGACACACTCGCGACGCTGGCGGCGCGAGCTCCTGCCCATTCTGCCCATTCCCCCCGGGGTCTGGTCAAGCGCGGCGGATGGTTCAACTACGACGAGTGGAAGGTCCGCGGGGTGAATCTCGGTGGTTGGTGAGTTGGCCCCCTTCATGTTTTCCTTGCGCTGTTGCTAATGACCAGGCTGGTTCTCGAGGTGGGCTCCGTGTGGCAGAAGATGGCATACTAATGAAGCAGCCGTGGATCACACCCTCGCTCTTTGATGGAAAGCCGGACTGGGTCGTGGACGAATGGACCTATGCCGAGTTCACGAAGGACAACCGGTCCGAACTGGAGCGGCACTGGGATACCTGGATCACGGAGCAGGATCTGCGTGCGATCGCTGGCGCTGGCCTCAACACGGTCCGGATCCCCGTTGGATGTGAGTTCACTCTTCCCCCCGCAGCATACAGCATGCTCGCATGGTCGCTTGCTCGTTCGACTTTTTTCGAGAGCCGTGGATCTGGGGCAGGGGAGGATTTGCCGGTGATGGGCGGATGGCTGGTCACCCGAACCTCGTTAGTGCGACATGTGCAGCATGGTCGACTTTGGGTTGTTCCTGGCGTGACGGATCGTGACTGCCTTTCACCTTCAGGCTAGATTGCCGCAATCCCTGCCGGAGAGATCCCGATCGGCCGATTATGGCTTCACCCCAAATCTCACCGCGAGTTCACATGCAACCCCTCCTCCCAGACCAGGCACTATCGTGCGACCATGATGAACCCCGCTGACGCCAGACTGGTCCCTCATTCCGCTCGAGGATGAACCCTTCCACACCGGCGCGTACCCCTATCTGCAGAAGGCCGTGCAGTGGGCGCGCTCCTCTGGTCTGAACGTCATTCTGGACCTGCACGGCGCTCCCGGCTCGCAGAACGGCTTCGACAACAGTGGACGTCGCGACCAGCGCTCCTGGTTCCAGAACCAGCACACCGCCGACCGCGCAGTGGACGCCGTGCTCAATCTGGTGCGCGAATTCACGAAGCCAGAGTACGGCGGCGCCGTCTCCGCGATCCAGCTCCTGAACGAGCCCTTCCCGCACGAGGACTGGGAGCTCTCATTCGTCAAGGACTTCTACACGCGTGCGTACCGCGCTGTCCGCGAGATCGACGGCGACATTCTCGTCATTCTGCACGAGGCCTTCCGCCAGCTCGACACTTGGCGGGACGCGATCCCCGAGGCGCAGCGCGTGGCACTCGACACGCACATCTACGCCATGTTCACCCCCTCGATCCTCTCCTACGGCTACGTCGACAATCTGCGCTGGTCGTGCGGTTTCGCCGACACGCTCCCCGCGTCGCCGTACTGGACGATCGTGGGCGAGTTCTCGCTCGCGAACACGGACTGTGCGCCGGCCCTGAATGGCCGCGGCCGCGGCGCAAGGTGGGACAACACGCTCAGCGGGGCGGAGAAGATGAAGTTTCCCGGAAACTGCGCGGAACGCACCGGTCCCGATCCCGAGAAGTGGAGCGACAGCTACAAGCAGCAGCTGAGCAAGAGCTGGCAGACCCAGACTTGGGTCTACGAACGCGCAAAGGGGTGGGTGTACTGGACCTGGCGCACCGAGGCGGCTGCCGACTGGAGCCTCCTCACCGGCCTCAGCCACCGCTTCATCCCCACCCCCATCACCGCGCTGCCTGATGGCCAGCCTTGCAACTTCTCTAGCTTCATTCATAACTCGAGGTACGCTAGGGACGAGGCCGCTGCTGCTCGGATCAAGCCCTCGCTCCTCGACGTCGTGGCCCTCGCCGCTCTCGCCCTCTTAGAGCTCTAGATGCTTAACCAACGTTTCTTGTCATAATCATAGACTTTAGACACGACTTCTTGTAGTGACGACTCCCCTTTCACGCCTTACGCTGGCCTAACGGCCGATTTTACGATGCAATATGTTACATGATGAATGAATGCACTATGCTACAACATCCACATTCACAGTCACGCTTCATTCACGCTGGACACTAGTTCCCATCGCTACCGCTGTCGGGGTCGAGGTCGATCGGGTTGTTGGACGAGCTGCCCTGCCCCACGATTCCCGCCGTGTTGGAGCGGGCGCGCTTGCGCTCGCTGCCTGTCACCACAGGTCCACTGACGGCACGCTTCTTGCCCTTGTAGGTGTGGTTCCGGGTACGCGAGGAGGGAGCAGATGGGTCGACAGCCGGCTCCTTGGCCTCGGGCGTGCTGGGACGATTTTGCGCTGCGCTGCTCGGACCGCTGGAAGCGCCGTTAACGCGGTAACCGAGTAAGGTCTGCTGCTTGTATCCGTCGGGCGCGCTCTTACGGCTGCTCTTCACCTTCCTGGCCGAACGTGTCGTGGGGCTCGACGGCGGCTCGCGCACAGGCGAGGATCCGAAGTTGCTGCTGTTCCTCTTGCTGTTCGTCGAAGAGAGCTGGGCCGCACGGAGCACGGCGGTTGGTACTTGGTCGCCACTTAAGTGGATCGGGGTGGCGAGCTCGTCCTCGCTCAGCTCGTGGACAGTGTCGGGCACAATAGTGTCGCCCGTTTCGGCCTCCGGTCGGTCGCTGGAGAAGAGCACACTAGGCTCATCGCTCGACTCATCGTCCGACTTGGGCTGCGAGTCCTCCACTAGCACGTGGCTGTCGATCTCCTCCCGCGATGAGACTTTCGTGCTCATCGAGCGCATGCGCGACGGCTCCCTTGATGCACCACCCTCACTCTCTGAATCGCTAAGGAGAGAATGGTGGGGTAAAGTCGGCGTGGGCGGGTCGGGGTGCTCGGATTGCGGCGCTGCAGAGGCACTCTTACTAGCAGCCCTAGCCATCGGTTCAGAGTCTTGTCGCCTGGCCTCAGAGGGTTGCCTTGTGTCGGGCGGAGCGGCCGAAGACGAGCTTGAGGATGTAGACGAGCTGCTTGTATCGCCTGTGGAGCTCGTGCTACCTGTCGTAGAGGGCTCAGCGCCTTCGCCAACTGTAGGCAGTGGCCCCGGCCGGTCAGGCGGGTTAATCTGGACGACCGAGGCTTGCGAGTCTTCGACGCCAGGGACAGACGCAGCGGCCTGTGACTCGCACTGCCCCTTCATCTCCTGGTACTTCAGATTCAACTGTTGGATGATCTCGATCCAGTTGGCACGCAGCTCCTTCGTGGTCGCTGCGTGCCAGACGCGGTTCATCTCAGTCTCGTACTCCTCCTTCACCTCCTTCTCCCTGGCGTAGGGTATCGGTTTCTGAGGCGTTAGTCCCCATTCAAACGCGCAGTTTCGCCAACTTACTCCGATGAACTCCAACACCTTTTCTGTATCATTCAGGAGGCATCGCAGGAAGTGGATGACAAACACGCCGCAGTCTGAGAAGTTGTTCTGCTGAGGTACTTTGGCCTCGACATACTCGATAGCTGTAGGCTCGATCTCCTTCTGCAGCTTGTCGCGGGCTTCAAATTCGAGCCACAGCTTCAGATTGTCCCCTACAGCCTTGTGGCTGCCGCCGAGAGAGTCAAACGTCATGATGTACGTTCTTCAGTCAGTTCAGAGGCCTCATTGCACACTCACTTGCTCCTATCGGACAGGTCGATGGCTTCCCGCTTGAACTTTGGCTTCGAACTGGCTGGGGGGGAGGGGGTCTTTGGAGGGGAGGAGAAAGTCATGCTGTCTTGGTTGGTGATCCAATTGAGTTCCATGGACTGAATCGGCTTGGGCTGTGGGCTGATATGACAGTCCTCGACCTTCTCCTTGATGTGCTCAACTCCCTCATCCTCACCCTCGCTCATGACATCAAGCGGATCTTTCCCTTCTCGTGAACTCTCAGCAGAAGTAGAGGCACTTGTCGAAGGGTTTCCGCTCGCAGCGCGAGATGGTGACCGCCCGTCTGTCGGTGGAAGCCGTGTCTCAATCAGAGCCCGGGGGTTGACGATGACCGCGAGATACCAATGGAGGTTCTCATTGACCGGCACGATGATGAAGTCCTTCTGGAAAACATCGACAGACTTGGTCCACTTCTTAACGGAATCGTACGCCGGCCACTTCTTATCATTGTCCGTCTTCGGTCTGGACGTCAGTGCTGCTGCTACCCATCACTTACTTTGCGTCTCGACTGGAGAGCTTGTTGTAGAAGAAGGAATTGAAAAGATGCAGGGCTTTCTCCTGTTGCTGAGAGACCTCTGCCACGGTGTAACGTAGGCCGAACTCGAGGGTGACATCGTTCAGGAAATCATCGTCCATCAAGCGGTAGAGACTGTCCTTGGTGATATCCAGGCTGCTTCGCCCTGTGAAGGGGTACGGGAAAAGACTGATGTCAGAACGCACCAAAATGTTAATACTCACAGATCATGCTTGTCTAAATGCGGTGAGCGGCGGCGCTGTGGCCTGTTGGTTGAGGGTGACTCATCGTCCGAAAGGGTGTTGACTGTCGGTTTGGCCGCGGTCATTGAGTGACGCGTGCTGCGCCTGGGTTGTACGCCACTGGGGCTAAGGAAGTCAGAAAAGCAGCGTTGACTGGGTAGCTCACAAGCTGAGGCGGGACTGGCTTGGACTTAAAGGCATCTTGCCTTTCCCTTTGGAGGTCTCTGCACGCCTTACGGCGGCAGCGGCAGCCCTCTTGGACAATTCGGACACGGGTTTCACAGCTTTGGATGATCTCTTGGCGCCCTCCCACAACTTGGCGATAGTGGCCACGGCATCATTACTGATGTTAGCAGCGAGCTATCTCACGACCTACTCAAGCATGTCTGCCACTAAGCCGCTCAGGTTTTGAATGATGTCGATGGCCCGGTCGATCAGATGCTGGCTTCCTTGCTCCTTCGGGAAGGCGAGGTCCACAGCTATATCGCCTGCCGATGTCAGATCGGTAGCTGATGGGAGAATATACTTACCGGCCACAAATGGACACGAGAGGGCCATCAGCTTATCCGCGTCGTTGCCTTCCAGCGCAAGCTCGAGCCGAAGGAACCAACCGCGGTTGGACTGTTGTCAATGTTGGTCGCCCTGCCAACTTACCTGCAAACCGGAAACGTTGGCCAACGGCAGTGAGGCACGCCTACCAGAGTTCCCCACGAGCTCCAGTACGTGGTCTTTATTGGCACCAACCTGACGCAGTGACACGTTTTGCGCGTGGATCACGTAGTTGGAATTTCCAGCTTCAACGACAGCCCAGTCAATGGCTGCTGGCGTGACGGAGACATTGGAGGATGGCAGACCCGATTTAGGAGCAAGCAGCGACGCTCTCCGGGAGCTCCCGGGCTCTGATGGTAGGGTCCCATCCTTCTTCCTCATCTTGGCCTTCTTTGACATGACAGGCGTAGCTGAAGCCGCCTGCGTACTTCGGGGTGGGAGTTTGGGAGGCGGAAGATCCGGGCTAAGCAATTGTCGCTGCTGCGGCTGTTCCTCGATCTTCTCTTCTTCTTCGCTGCTGGACACTTGGATGTGCTCTTGCCAGTTCGAGGGGCGGATAGGACTAGAGTTTGACACCCTCTCTGATTTCCTGCTGTGTCCCACGCTGCGTCGGCCTGAGCCCGGCGCAGCAGACCGATGTTCCCGTGTTGGTCTCTGGATGGGAAATCCTATGTTCTCCTCGGGTTCCGGAACCTCATCTTCATCTCGCATCGAATGTCGAGCCGAAAACCGTGAGGGGTTTGATCGGGCTGAGGAGCCTTCACCAGTCTGGTTACCTGGACGCCTCAATCCTGTCTCGTGCTCGATCTGTTGCCTCCGTTGCTCTTTCTCGTGTCCCGGTGAGCTCGATACCCTCGGCCGTGTTGAACGAGAGTTGCGGGGCAAAGCCTGGATGTGGCCCAGCACCTCAACATCTGACTCATTGGCAACGGGGTTCGCAGGTCGGTCGGGATCTCGAGAGTAGACGGAGGACGTTGTCGATCTGTTGCCTATCTTTAAACTGGCCGCGTACGGACTAGACCCCGGTCGTGCTTTCGACTTGATTCTCTTGGCCTAAGCATTAGTTGCGTCGTTCAAGCACAGAAGGCATTACCTTGGTCACTTGCACTGCTTCCCTGCTAAGTCAGAAATACACCTCGCGCCGGTGACTCACGCTTCCACTCCATAAGCTGGCCGCTTTCCCGACATCTCCGGCTGCTGTCGCGACGCGCCCTGATGGTCGTCTGGGGCCTGAGTCGACTCTCTACTGGAAGAGCGATGGAATATCGATAAGTATTCCATGAGCCGGCCGCTTGGCAAGGTTGGATCAACTGCAGGTTAGGCGTGCGCATGTCGGAGGGTGGCAACTTACTTTAGGTGCTCAAGGGGGGCGAGCATGACCACGACGCGGGGTGTTACAGGCGGTGCAAAGCGCAGGAGCACGCAGTCGGTGGACACTCGAGGTCAGGTAGCGAGAGACTGCGAGTGACTCGCGTCGAAGCGAGCAGAGGCGAAGATGATATGATAACAATGGCAACAACAGTTCAGCAGGCAGAAGTCAGTCACTGGAGGTAGTGAGGACGAAGGTTGTCGCTCCCAGAATCGTAATGGCCGATTAGCGGAGTCTGACCGTAGACCGCGTCATTAAGGAATTCGAACTGGACAATTTCAAGTTCCGTGCCTGGGTTTCGTGCCGTCACCTCCAGTCACCTCACAGAGCAGACAGCCGTAACATGTAAACAAATCTCATCCTCACAGTTCTCGCCCGCAAAGGAGCTTGCAAGCCACTCATGGAGTCCGACACACGAGAAGACGCAGCATGGCTGAAGGCCCCGGAGTACAACTGGCAAAGTCCCACTGCCGCGACGCAGTTCCTAGTCAAGGACTTGACGAACACCGAGCCGGGCTTCTTCTTCCGAAGTGCAAGATGGTTGGTACCCCCAGACGTAGGGTGTTGAGATTCTAAACTGACGCGCAGGACATCGGACGCAACTTGTATCCTGACGACTGGGGAAGACCGTGTTGTTCGCGTCTTTGACATGTGAGACGTGCATTTCATGCGTCCACTGACGGAAATAGGAGCTACGAGGACAACGATCCACGAATATCTGAGCCGCGAAGCTTTCGGCAAACTGAGGCCGTGAATGCAGCTATCTGGTACCCATCTGCGACTGCAACGATACCAGAGACGCTGTGTTTCGTGGCTTCGACTCGGGATACCCCAGTACACCTCATCGACGGAGTAGACGGACGAGTATGCTTCTCTCTCTGACTTCAAGCTGACTCTAGTTACGGGCAACGTATCCAATCATTGACCATCGAGAGCGTTTCATTTCTCCGTCAAGTCTGGCTTTCAACCTGGATTACAGCAAGTAAGTTGCTGTCGACCGGACGCAACTGATGACAGACTGTACTGCGGGTTCGAGAACGCGATCGAGGTGTTCGACGTGCTGAACCCCGGGGAAGGGGAGCGGATCAAGACGACGTTCTCGCGACGCGAGCGCGGGGGTCAGAAGGGTAAGGTCGCGAGCTCGACGAATCTCTGAACCTGACGTGCAGGCATCGTGTCGGCCCTGGCCTTCTCACCGCAGCGGGCGGGAATGTACGCCGCCGGCACCTTCTCAGGCTCAGTGTGCATGTACGACGAGGACAGCTCGGGCGTCCTGGCACACCTGGAAAGTGTCGAGGGCGGCGGCGTGACGCAGATCGCGTTCCACCCCTTGAATCCAGACATACTCTTTGTTGCTTCGCGCCGCTCGACGGCGATCCAGGTTTTTGACCTGCGGGATACAACGATGCCAGCTGCGCGCCTCGAGCGACCAGCTAGCACGAATCAGAGGCTTGCCTTTGACGTCGACCCCTGGGGACGCTGGATTGCTAGTGGAGATGAGGTAAGCTCGATTGATAGGACGTAGCTGACCTCAGTTTGGAACGGTGCGCGTGTGGGACGCCACGACGTATGAGGTGCTGTTCGAGAAGCGCCTACACGAAGGTGGGTTGATCTCCCCCGCCAACGATTCTAACCACTCCCAGACGCTGTCAGCTCGGTTCAGTTCCATCCTTTCAAACCTCTGCTACTGACAGCCTCCGGATCCCGCGCCTATCTGCAAGAGCAAATGGAGGATCTGTCCAACTCTGACTCCGACGACGAAGCAGGAGCGCTGCACCTGAACGCCGGTCCGAAGGACGCCCGGCTCGTGATCTGGTCCTTCGCCTAAACTCTGTTGTATCATTATTACATGTAACTGTCTATGGGCTAGCGAACTTGAGCGCGACGAACAGGCCGCCGAGCGAGAGGACAATGAGCGTGAGGCCATACTTGATGAGGCGGTTCCCAATGGCAATTTGGGGGTTGCCGAGCTTGACGGCCTCGCGGCACGCGAGGTCCATCTCCCGTCCGAGGGTTTCCAAGGAGAACTGTTCCCTGACGCGTTTCTTAGCGGCGGCGCTGAAAGTTCTCCTCTCGTCGTCGCTGAGACTGACGAGGCGTGCGAGCGCGGGCGCCCATTCCTCAAACTTCGGGGCACGGAGGAAACCCGTGGCGCCTTCCCAGAAGTCGACAACAGTCTCGGTTGGGCCGCCCGTGTTGCATGCGAGTACGGGGAGACCACATGCCATCGCCTCGATCGGCACAATGCCGAAGTGCTCGTTCGTCGGCGTGTACAGGAGCGCGAGCGTGTGCGGACTCAGAAGCAGAGCACTGCGCTGCGCCGTGCTGAAGTTGAGCACGAAGAGCACGTCGGTCCCTTCAGGCGCAGGCTCGTCCGTAGTCGTCCACAGCGTGTGGTACGACAGACCCAGCTTCTCGCACAGCGCCTGATTCGCGCGCAGCGTCTCCACGTTGTCGGTCTGCTCGGAGTCGTACCCTCCTCCAACAACGAAGCGCAGGTCACGCGAAAGGCCCTCGGGGATCAGACCACTGTGCTTCAGATCGGCAAATGACTCGATTGCAAGAGCGACATTCTTCTTCGCCTCGAAGCGGTTGAAACTGATGACCGTGGGGCGCTCGCTGTTGTCAGTATTGAACGTCCTCGAAGCTGACTCACGAAACGACGAGGTCGACGCCGTCCTCCGCCTTCGCCTTGCCCTTCCGCACCGAGGAGCCCTGATACGCGTCAACGTCAATGCAAGGATACACGACGCTCGGCTGGCGTTTCCTCAGGGAGGAGAAAGCCGCCGAGTACACCCTCGACGTGAACTTGGAGTTGGCGAGGATCACGTCCGCTTGACCTGCTTGTCAGTTCTCGGCAGGTCCACAACAACTCACCAGTCGTCCACTCCTCAAGAGTGTCGATCGGCCAGCGATACGCCTTCTTCAGCAGGCCACCAGAGTTTCGTGAGAGGTTGACTTCGTCACCGAAGGTGATCTGCCAGCCTCCACTCAGTAGCTTGTCGGGGAAGTGGCAGTAGAACACGACGGGCGTGCCAGTCAAGAGGCGGAGAAACGGTACGCAGACGGACTGCTGGTCGACAACGAAGACGTCGAACGCGGGAAGAGGTGCAAGGGGATTAAGGGCACCCGCAGGTGGCGGGAGCACCTGCGAGAACCAGAGAAGAAACGTGAGGGCGATATTTCGCAGAATTGAGAAAACGATAGTCATTGGAAACTTGCTCGTCAGGCCGCGGGGCAGCGACGAGCCGAGCACATGGACAGGGAGGGTTCCTGGGGTCAGCTCTCTATAGGATAATGTGACTCACCGTTGCGCGTCTCCTCGAAGCAACGGGCGGGGTCATGCCGGCTCGTAAACATGACGACCTCATGGCCCAGCCGCTGCAGTGAGACGGCGGCATCGACGACAAGACGCTCTGCGCCACCTGCTGTCAGCTCGCTCATGGTCCAAGAAGCTTACCGATGCCCAGATCAGGATGTATAAACCCGATACGAAGCTTGCCTTCCGTCATGCTGTACGTGTGCAGATGTTGTTGTTGATCTCAACTTTCCGCAGATTACAGCGCGGCACACCAACAAACCCAGGTGGAGGTCTGATCAACGTCACGTGAAGTGGCGGCATCGTGTACCTGGAAGATAAGCAAGTATTGAAGCTCGAGGTCCGCATAGCCCAGCATGGATCTGTGGTACTGACCAGCATGACCAGAACTCGGTTGAAGCCAGTGACTGTGACCAGAGCATCTTGTAGCGTTCAGAGGCTGTCTACATGCTTGTCAGTACTGCACAGAGAGTATGACTCATCACTCCCAGAGTTGGGCCAGATTTGTATTCCCATTAAGCTCAGCCCTAATAACCACTCCTATTGCTGCATTAGATGACGCGTTTGCTTCCGCCTCCACTTCAAAAGTTCAGTTACGTCTTCAGTCACTGGGCTCCAGGCTGTCCCTCCTCACAACTACCCATCAGCAGCCATGGTATCGACAACCTCCGACGAGGGGAGCTCATCGCACCCCCCTATCACTATCATCAAGCGTCAGAGGGCTGACGCCCCTCTGGCACAGAACAAGTTCTTGAAGAAGACTGCGCGTGGAAAGGTTCTGCAATGTAAGCTCCTGTGACGGGCGATGTCTGACGACAGTCCTCCGTGAACGCTATGTGCGCGACGATATTCCTTGCGGCTTCGCCGAGTGCAGGATCTGCACCGACTTCCCGGGGTTCCGACCGGTGCTCCCCGAGAAGGGATACACCCGGCACTCGAAGTTTGGTGGCAGCAACGGCCACTGGCTTGTGATCGACACGAACATCGTTCTCCACCAGGTATGTTGGCGTACGAAGCTGTAAACTGACATGCAGATGGACCTGCTTGCTGCGCTCCCGCCTCAGCTTCCCATCATCGTTCCCTCGACTGTCATTCGTGAGACCCGACACCGGTCTCTGCCTCTCTTCAACCGTCTCCAGCAGTTGGTGCAAGAGGAGGACCGATGCATCTGGGTATGGTGGAACGAGGAGTGTCGAGACACCGCGACTGTCGGCATCGAGGAGGAGGGCGAGTCTATCAATGACCGCAACGATAGAGGTGAGCTTTGTCATCAAAGGTCAAGCGCTGACGTTCAGCAATCCGCCAGACCCTCCACTACTACCCTCAACACCTCTCAAGCTCATCCCACAACCTCCCGCAACTCGTTCTGCTCACCGATGACAAGCGGAATCGAGAGCTTGCTCAGGCTGAGGCGCTTACCGCAGTCTCCGCCCGCGACTACGTTGATGGTCTCCAGGGCGAGGTCCGTGACAAGCTGGTCGACCTCGTTGTTGGAGGTGTCGACGAGATGGAGCCGGGAGAGCGCCGAAGCAAGAGGATTTACGATGACGTGAGTCCAGAAATTGATTGCATTCCGTAGCTAATAACCAGTACCTGCCCCAGGAGACATTGACTGCGGGTGTGAAGAGCGGCCGATTCCTGCAGGGCTACTTCAACGCGAACCAGTACAACTACCTCGAGGGAACTGTGCGAGTCGCGGGGATGAGCAAGCAGGTTTTGCTCGTTGGACGGCAAGCCATGAACCGATCTGTTGATGGTGACATGGTTGTTGTCGAGCTTCTGCCGGAGTCCGAGTGGAAGGCGCCCGGAGATGAAGTTCTCGACCAGGATGTCGCTCTCAAGGACGATGATGTCGAGGGCGACGACGTCGCGGTAGAGGAGAAGACCGAGAAGCAGGAAGAGATGGACGTCGAGGAGGTCACCAAGAAGGCCAAGCGCGAGGTTATGCCCACCGGTCGTGTTGTCGGCGTGACGAAGCGTAACTGGCGTGCTTACGTCTGCCACATCGACCGCTCGTCCCTGTCCGAGGCTGCCCTCACATCGCTCTCGCAGCAGACTGTGTTCGCCACGCCCGTCTCACCTGCGCTCCCTCGTATCCGCCTGCGCACCAGGCAAGCTCCGGCTCTTCTCGACCAGAAGATCCTTGTCACCATCGACAACTGGACCGTGAACTCTCGCTACCCCGATGGCCACTTCGTTCGCGCCCTCGGACAAGTTGGAAGCAAGGAGGCTGAGCAGGAGTCGCTCATGCTTGAGTACGAGGTGCCGTACCGCCCCTTCGGTAAGGCCATTCTGAACTGTCTGCCCAAGGAGGGCGACGACTGGAAGGTACCCCCGAAGGCTCCGGAAAACCTCGAGTGGCGCGACCGAGAGGACCTCCGTGACCTGCTCGTTTGCAGTATCGACCCGCCAGGATGTCAGGATATTGACGATGCCCTGCACGCTCGCAAACTTCCGAACGGCAACATCGAGGCTGGTGTGCACATCGCCGATGTGTCCCACTTCGTTCACGCCGACAACCCGATGGACTCCGAGGCTGCTGCCCGTGGAACTACTGTCTACCTGGTTGACAAGCGTATCGACATGCTTCCCGCACTTCTTGGAACCAACCTCTGCTCCCTGCGACCATACGTGGAGCGTCTGGCTTTCTCGGTCATCTGGGAGCTCACTCCCGAGGGTAAGATTGTCGACGTCCGCTTCACGAAGTCGGTCATCTCGTCGAAGGAGGCGTTCACATACGCCGCTGCCCAGCAGCGAAAGGACGACAAGTGAGTTAAATGGTGGCTTCACTAACTGACAACAGGTCGCTCACTGACCCTCTCACCGAGTCTATCCGTCTTCTGAACTCGCTGGCTATCAATTTGAAGGCTGCCCGTATCGCTGCTGGTGCCCTTTCTCTTTCTTCCCCCGAGCTCAAGATTCACCTTAACTCCACGGAGTCAACAGCTCCCATCGATGTCGAGCAGAAGGAGCAGCTTGAGACGAACTCGCTCGTCGAAGAGTTCATGCTTCTCGCCAACATCAGTGTTGCCCGACGAATTCAGGAGGCGTATCCCGCCACCGCTGTCCTTAGGTGAGTTCGTGTCTTCTCAGCCTCTGCTGACCGTTCAGACGTCACCCTGTGCCGCCGAAGACAAACTTTGAGGCTCTGCAGGACATCCTGATGAAGCGCAAGGGCATGAAACTGGATGTGTCGAGCTCTAAGGCACTCGCTGACTCGCTCGACAAGTGTGTCGACCCCAAGCTGCCCGAGTTCAACACGCTCGTGCGTATTATGGCTACGCGCTGCATGCTCTCGGCCGAGTACTTCGGTGCTGGAAGCGTGTCCAAGGAAGCGTACGGACACTACGGTCTCGCGTCCGACATCTACACGCACTTCACGTCGCCGATTCGACGATACGCCGACGTGCTCGTGCACCGCCAGCTTTCGGCTGCGATTAACTACACCCCGCTGCACCCCTCGTTGCAGTCGAAGCAGCATGTCGAGCGCATGCTCAACGTCGTCAACAAGCGCCACCGCCTCGCGCAGATGGCCGGACGCGCCTCGGTCGAGTTCTACGTCGGCCTTGCCGTCAAGTCGCGCACGGAGGACTCGGACCAGAAGGCTGTGCGCGAGGAGGCCTTCGTCATTCGCACGTTCAGGAATGGTCTCTCTGTCTTCGTCTCCAAGTGAGTATCACGACGATTGTGGAACGCTGGTGCTAACAAACAGGCTGGGTCTCGAGGGCCTCATCACGTTCCAGAAGGACACACACGACTTCGACCCCGAGAACTACTGCATCAACGTGCCCAAACCCGGCGGCGGCACTGCGACGATCGCCGTCTTCGACCGCGTCACTGTCGACATCTCGATTGAGAAGGACCAGAACACCCAAAGGCACAAGGTGAAGATGGTGCTTGTTGACCCCGTGTCGTCTGAGGGACTGTAGAGGAGCCAGTATGTCTGTAGATGATGTAGACGTAGAGAGACAGATGGATCGCAGTGTATCTTTGTAATTTGCTATCGCGAGGCAGTAGAGCACCGGCGGCTGGCCTGGACCGAGGAATTGACCTCGGCTATGTGCGCCACCATTATGAATGCCACCACCAAACCATCACTACCTGTCCTCCGTCCGCAAGACTCCTCGTCGTGCAACTCCAGTGTCCCTCGTGCATGCATAGGAGGCTAAAAAGAGCTTCCCGTCGGAGAATCGAACTCCGATCTCCCGCGTGACTGCGTGACAAGCGAGCATACTAGCCGTTATACGAACGGGAAGGGCGTTGTGGGGAAGGGGGCGCAGGGGGGCGCGAGCGGCGGGCCCGAAGCAGCGACCACCAATGAGGAAATGACGGGCAGGAGCCCTTTCTGGGCTGCCGCATGAGTGCAGAAGTTGCGAGGTATCCCGGTGGACGGAGAGGGAGGGGTGCAGGAGTCCGCCGCAATGGAGTGACGTATGGAGAGAAAGGGGGACAGTGAATGACGCTACGCAGGAACAGTGCTCATAGAGTGAGGTGGGAAGATGTGCTACATTAGTCACTCCCGTCACCGTCCGGGGAGGCCGATATATCCTCACCGTCGGACTCGTCGGATGAGGTGTCGCTCGAAGACCAGCCGCCTAGCGTTCTCTTCCAGAAGGCCCTGTTTATGGAGGGTATGAAGATGCCGAACTTCCGAAGCTCGCCAGCCCTCCAAGTCTTACCTAGGTAGCATCAGCAAATGAGCCAATGCACCGCACGCAACGAGAGGGATGTCAAGGACGTACCGCAAGCGGCGCACGGAGGCGCACCAGCCCCACTGCGGGGAAAGTGATGAATTTGCAAGATGTTGGAGATATCCGCAAAGGGCTTGATCCAGGTGCACTGCTCATCATTGTACCACTTCACCAATCTCTCCCCGAGTTTCGTTCCATCCTTGAGATAAAGCTGTACCGGGTGCAGGGGTAGTCTGGGAGTCCAACGTGCTGGATAATTCCTCCCAGCTTTGAGTTCGATTGAAGCAGCAGCGTAATCTAATGCCTGCTGTGTGTCGGACTGGAAGTATTGCCACAGATCACAGCGGAAGTAATCCTCATCTCCCAAATTATACGCCAACATGTCACCGACGTCTGCTTCATGACAAGTGATCGATCGGTATCTCTGTGCTGGAAGCTCGAATAGATTGTTGACATTGACGTCGCCTAACACACAGGCGTCAACAGTGTCGAAGATATAGACACCAGGCTCCCGCTTTCTGCGACTGCGACCAGGCAGATCGAAACTTGCCGAACTAGCGATGCCGAACAGAACTTGTTGGACGTTCGGAAACAAGGTGTGCCCTGCAATTGTTGCTTCCCACATCATGTCCAGCACAGTCTGAGCCCAAGGACCCTTGATGGTCAATCGACGTGTGAAAGAAAGGGCTTTGCGAACTCTCCCACTCAGCGGGTGGGGTCGCCTGCACAGGTCAATTGGCGTCTCCCTATCAGATCCAGCGCCAAACAGCATGACGGCTTGGCTCTCCGTGAGCGATAAATCTGCGAAGAGCTTCCGAGCCGCACACTCCCACATCGTGCTTGAGACCCTCATAAGGCTGAGCAAGGTGTCCGAATCCTCAAGCGGATGCAGATGGTCAACCACACATCGCAGAACGTCCATTGGCAGTCCGCTCATCGTGGTCGTAGTGACGAAGAGTTTCGTGCCGGTGTCGGAATGGTGAATGTTGAAAGGGTTGAGGTTCTAAGTGAACGACAATGTGTGTGAGAAGGCAGACATCGAGTTAAGATCATTAGGCGGGATCCCCTGAGGAACCCCTTGCAGTAAGTTAGTCGCGTGACGCTGGGTGTAAAACTCCAGACGAGCGCTATCTGAAACGAGGCACGGTCTCTACCCTGGGCGTGTCCTGCTGACCGGGGACGGTCTGCAGCTAGTGTCAGTCGCGTACGGCGCACCAAACTGGCGTCATCTGGCAGGTAAACCAAATGGCGTTTTCCACCGTGAGATCGAGGTGACAGTGGCGGAACCAAGGGCAAAGCTGAGCTTATGGTGTTAGTGTCTGCTCCGCCCAGGAAGAGTGACTGACTGCGCCTCCCATATGGCCGGTCCGTTCTGTCAGTCTTCAATACACTAGTCACACCATCGTCAAGACGGTTTATTGTACAACTGTGCATCGCTTGCGCGGCTTTATGCAAACTCACTCACTCCCTGCCGATCCCAGCTCCACAACTCAGGGGAACTCAGCAGGGTCATCGCCGTTCTGCCGCACACCCCTATCGAAGCTGACGTTGAAGGCGTCGAGCTGCACGACGGGGCTGACAGTGCGCACCTTCTTGCCCTGACCGAGTGACTCGGCCCCAATCTCGTGCCAGAACTTCTCGGACGAGAACACGTCTGGCCGCTTCTTCCTGAGCTCCGGCAAGATGTGCGGGAGGGCCTTGCCGTGCTGTCTGTCAGCTCTGCTCTCCACGCTCCATGGGCGATGTCCTCAAACTCACATCCCAGTCGTGCTGCAGCGGCGCCAGCGGCTTGAGCACCTCCCAGATCTCGTCAGGCAGGAGGCCGAGGCGCATGACGAAGACGTTGTAGTATGCCAGCGCCGTGTCGACGCGGAAGCGCCCGCCCTCACGTGCGCGAAGGAGGAGCGCGTGCATCACGCCCAGTACACCTGCTTGTCCCGTTCCGTAGTCTGCGGTAGGGAAGAGTGGCAGCACAGCCTGCTCCCCCAGTCCCAGGGCGATGCCGAATGCGCGGCTCGTGCCGACCAATGCGTCGGCGGTCTGCTGCCACCCGCTCCTTCCCGCCCAGGGGCCGTGCCAGCCATAACAGTTCTCGCGGACGAGGACGAGTCCCTCGTTCAATTTGCGCAGCGACTCCTCTCCGAAGCCGAGCCGCTCCAGGGCGCCGGGACGGTATCCGTCGACGAGCACGTCGCTCGTTTGCAGTATCGACCCGCCAGGATGTCAGGATATTGACGATGCCCTGCACGCTCGCAAACTTCCGAAGCGGACGAGGACGAGTCCCTCGTTCAATTTGCGCAGCGACTCCTCTCCGAAGCCGAGCCGCTCCAGGGCGCCGGGACGGTATCCGTCGACGAGCACGTCGACCTCCCTGACCAGCTTCTCGAAGGTGGCCTTGCCCTCTGCGGTCTTCAGGTCCAGCTCCGCGCAGGCCTTGCCCTGGCTCATGTCGAGGTGGAGGTACTCGAAGTCTGGCTGGGTCGGCGTCGTGATTCGGAGCACGCTGGCGCCGTGTTGCGCGAGTCCGCGTCCGATGGCTGGTCCGGCGATGATGCGGGTAAGCTCCAGCACCTTGATTCCGCTCAAGACCTTGTTGGCCTTCGCTTCGGGCCAGGCAACCTTGGGTCCCGCGGAGCGGTGCAGCTCGTAGATTGGGCAGTCCTTGATCGCTTTCCCGTGGGGGAGGGTTTGGAACTCGTCCCAGGTGTAGCACACGCTGCCGGCTTGCTTGTACTCGTCGTTGATCGCCTTGTCGAGCTCCACCGAGTCGCGCTTGCCCACTGCGTCGTCGTAGATCGGACAGATGTCCTCCCACTCCGTCAGGTCACTGTCGGGCTTGACTCCCAGCATCGTCTGCGTAGGCAGGGCATTCAGGCTACCGTGCGTCTGAACGTAGCGCCCGTCTTTCGTCCGGTAGATGTTCGTCGCGAGGCGCTTGTACCGGCTTTTCTGGGCGTGATATATGTCGCAAGGGCGCATGTACTTCGCGGCGGCGGCTGCTGGAGCCAAACCGTCCACAGAGGCCTCGAATCCGGAGAACGTGAATAGCGCCGCGTGATCGGTGTTGATGACTGCTTTGGCCGACTTGCCGAAGCGCTCCTGTCCGATTGCGATCGCGAATGCGGCCTCGAGGCCCTTCACGGCAGCAATACCCTCTGCGAACTTGAACGGTACACATAGGAACGGCAGGTCGGAGCCTTCGAAGGAGACATCGGCGGCTGCCGCCTTGACGTCATCGGGAATCGCCAGGCGGGGGTCAGCGAGCAGCTGGTCGAAGATTTCCCGCGCTACGGCGGGTACACTGTATGATGAGATGGTCATGGTTGTTCATGGTGGTGCATGAGAGCGATGGTGAGTTTATATGAACTAGAGTTGTAGATGGGCAAGAGTGCCCGGACCGATAGCGCCGAGGAACGGCGATGGTCATGAGACCTCGCTGGTTCGGAGATAGGCGCCAGTGCTCGGCATTCAAAGCCGGACCCGGTATGTCGTAATCTGGAATCTGAGAGTGGGCGACACCGCATGTTCAACCACGTATTCGTTTATCTGCGCACGCTTTAACACGAATGAGCAGGATCCTGAATGCATGCGATCTGGACTTTGGGTATCCTAACTTCAGATGCGACGTCCGATAAAGGCGATTGCGAAAGGAGGCCGCTGATAATATGGGCTGCCAAACCAGGGCACGAGGGGTCTGTGTTTCAAATGTCCAGACTGCTACCATCACCGGAGAGGATGTTCACATGGTGAGCGAAGGCGTCGCCATGATTATCGAGGTCGGCATCAGCATGGAATCACTTATGCATAGACGCTTCATACAACTAGATAGATGGAGCAGGTCTGCGCAGGTTAGGCTCCACCCTCCTCTGTTGTTAGCCGAGCCTCCTAGGCGACTCACGGGAGGTACGCATCTCGAGCTTCAAACCTTCCTCCAGATCGTCTTCCTGGACATTGGGAATGGTTTCAAAGGTAAGCGCATCGCGCTGGAGAACCTCCGAGTCGCAGCACAGGCTAGCATCAGCGCGACTGTTAAAGGATTCTCACCGAAAGGAATTGACGTCGATGTTGTACAGATCTGCGAGCTTCTTCTGTTTCGTCAGCTGTGAAAGGGTATGGAGCTCACCTTGTGCTTCATGACTTTGTGATGGCGCTTCACGTGGAAGAACACCTCCTGGTTGTTCAGATCCATGACGGTGACCTTCACCTGATCCGGGTCTACAGTCAGCGCATGCATGGTGGATGGGCGTACTAAGCATTGGTGTCGCTGGCGCATCAGACATGTCGTTGGTGGGAGGCAAAAAGACGGTGCGGAGGTGTGGATGCAGGCGATAATGCTTAGCGTTCTCGGGTGGTGGCGATGAAAGCCGATGGATGTGGTAGCCGAGGTGGTGGACGGACGGGTGGATGGATGGATGGATTGATGAAAGTTGCCGAGTAGAGATGTGGTTGGGAGGCCGTGTGGAGTGGAACGACGATGGCGAAGACAGGGGTCGACACGACGATCACGGCGTTTGGGGTGCCGGCGAAAGAGATGCTCCCGCTGCGGCATCAAACCCCACCCATGTGCTTCTGATGCTCTGCATGTATGCGGCCAAACAGCAATGTGGAGTTGACCGGATCTAACACGGTGTTTTCCACATCTAACGGGGTAAAGTCAACTCCCAAAGTGGAGTTGCCCCGGCCCAACGCCGAGTTTACCATGACTAACCTGGAGTATACCGCGATTTCAGATGAAATCCAGGTTCTAACGCCGGGTTTACCGCCCTGAAGGTCGAATCCCCGACCGAGATAAGGCGATTTTGCGGGCCAAATATGGAAGATAAGCAGTGTCTGGGCAGACTGTCAAGATTGGACTGCCACGAATTGGCATGACACTGCAGTCAGAATGGGCTCCTCAATCATCATCTCTCCCGAAGTAGAGGTCAGAAGCAGAACATCTTCCAATGCTTGGCCGATATACGAACTGAACATGGGGTTAACCGACTCAGCCGAGGCCACATGGTCTGACTCGGGTCTTGAAGGTCAAGTCGATTTGGAGTTTAGCTTTTCGTGGCGGCCAAGTGGATTTTTCAGCATTTACCTCTCTCCTGGTCCCGCAGATCTTGACATAACATTTCTCAGTCCGAATGACGTCGGACAGCTACGAACAGCTCAGGATAGATTATAAACAGCTCATAGATTAGTCCTGTATAGTTTTTGTTCTCATGTGCATTAGTCTTGAAGGCGTTCAGAGTCACGTACGGCAGTAAACGAGACGGATGTGTCCTCAGAATTACATGACGCTGAATTCGTCCTTAATTGCATGGTATGGCTCCCAATCTTGTTTCCTGGAGACAGCATACACGTAAGATTATTTGGGTGTGTTCTGGGAGAGCTCTGCCAAAGTGATCCGTCATTCGGGGTCATGTCACCTTCGCTTCCCTAATCGGAGACACCAGTTCGACAAGTTACCACAGCCCCGGATCAAACATTGAGAGCTCCGGATAGTGATCAAAGGCTGTGCCCAGTGTATTTAGCTCGCCAGTCTAACTTTTACTGTGCTGAGTCTTCCCAGTGGCTCATTCGGAGCCTTCACGCTGAAGGCTACGCACACAGTTGGATGAGGCCGTGACATGAGACGTTGCTCACCCCACATTCACCGCGTGGCCGTGTAGGTCTAGCTGATAAGTTTTCAGTCTATGAAGACTCACAGAACCAAGTTTGAGCCTCATGTAAGGCTATTCGGGTCCATGTTTCGCCATGTATCGACTGGACCTACCATCGAAAGTTGCTCTCGACTTTGGACGGTCCGCATCTAATCTTGAACATGAGACATCTGCCTCGGAAAAGTCCCAGGGGTTTTTCAGGGTCTCAAAAATGTATCAAGCTTAATCGGGCTGCTGTTCGGAATGAACTGATGATATGCGGATTAAGAATCTCAACGCTACTCACGGTCAAGCCGGGCGGTACGTGGAATCCTCCACAACGGGCAGTTCCTATGTTATTTACTCGGGAGTTTGTTCTGGAGTAGCGGCGTTATCAAGAAGAATGTATGGTAATTGCTGGACTTGTAACGTAACCCTACGGCCAGCAAGCAGTCATGTCACGTCCGGCCCAGTACGTCACAAGGCTTTGCCCGGAATAATCGTAACTCCCGTGATTCAAAATCCGTAGCTGTCAGCTAATGAGTGTCAGGTTATCCAACATCTTGGAAGTCTTCTAGATCCAGTTTCGGCCACGTTTGGGCCTTTCGGACATCATTCGGTTAAGATATGACCGACTGGTTTGTCAGCTCCCAGTGGGCCGCCAAAGGCGCCCCATCTCACTGTGTAAGAGACTTCTTCAACCCCAACTTTGACGACAGCTTCTTTATACCGTCTCAAAGTGTAGTAGCTAAAGTCTGAGAGCAAAGGCTTTCTTTCGGGGCTGTCCGGTCTATAATTACACTCGTCCGAATAGACGGTCTCATCCGGTAGTTTTCCGAACGACCTCCAATCTTTCCCAAACATTGTTCGAAGCTCACTGCGTTATTTATCAGGATTTTTTGACCATCCCAGTCTAACATACGGTGCAGTTCGGTGCGTTTTGAGGGAATTATGGTCAATTTCCCATCTTTTCCACTCATTTCCCGAATTACACCTGAACGACCGCGTTTCTCACGTCAATTCCTGGCCAGGCACGACCACGCGACAGCGCATCGATCGCTCCCAGCCCGCCCGCTGATTGGCCAGATAGGGACCTCCAGTACTGCCGTTTCAACCTCCATAACTGAGATTCAAACCGCCAGAGGCGTTTCCGGGGTATGATTCGTGGCACGTCGCGGAAGCGGATGCGGGTCGCTGCTTCGTTGGCACGATCTGTGCGCGTCCATTCTTCCTCGCTCATGCATCCACACCCACAGCCATGGCCCCGCTCATCCCGCCCAACCAGCCTATCGGTGCGTTCACACCCATGCATGGGTGCACTTTGCATGCATGCTCTGAGGCTTACCACCCGGATTGTGCTAACCCGCAGACCCCATGAGGATTCCGATCCGAGTCTGCGCTGCCCTCGCCACCGTCCCGGCACCACCTGTGACATGCTACATCACGCGCTCATCAGAGATGATAAAGCTGAAGGTGAGTACGAGGTGGTGTGGAGCTGATTCCAGATGAAGCTGGGAAAGATGAACGGCGCCGATCCGCGTACGATGAAGTGAGTTCTGCCCTCTGACTGTTGCTGCAGTCTCTCAGTCTCTCCGAGGCAAGTGCTAACCGTAGACTTCTCTATAACGGCGAGCGGGTGAGGCACGACGATACGCTTGAGACCCTCGGAATCGAGGACGACGACATCCGCGGCGGTGTAACGTTCGAACTCATGGCTGAGCGTGAGTGTGTGTGAGGTAAAGCTGACAGACAGAGATTGGCGGTGGCAGATAGCGCCGATGAAGGGGAGAAACGTGGTAGCTGCCCATGCATCTTCTTGTCTGATCATCCGTTGCGCAGGTTCAAGGTGCAACGGTCGGGGAGACTCTTGATACGAACTGACCCCCAGCATGAGAACCCCGCTGCCATTAATCATCTCTTCCTTCCTCTTTGTCGCCATTCATTCGAACAACATCCTCACTCTAACTATGCCCTTGATTCCCAACGACAAGGAGATCAGTGGGTCTTTCTCCTCGGCTGCCCCTGCCCGATGCTTAGCTGACACCAGACCCCCGCCGCATCCCGGTTCTGTGTAAGGTCGACCGCGGTCTGCCCACGACGTGCTACGTATCCCGCAGCGCGAAGCTCATCAAGCTGAAGGTGAGTCGCATTCGGTAGCGATTGCTCTTTCAGTCTGCAGCTTTTTGAACTCTCTATCAGTAGCTGACAAGCAGGTCGAGCTTGCCGAGAAAATGAACGTCGACCCTCATGCTATCCGGTAGGTGCCGGGATGGGAACCGTACCTGACGCTGCAGTTTCCTCATCGATGGTGAGACGCTCTCGAGGGAGAGCTCCCTCGCCTCCCTCGGATTCAGTGACCAGAAGATTAAGACGGGCATCACTATCGAGGTGCTTATTGAACGTGAGTCCCAGCTCAATGCATGTCAGGCGCAAGTAGCTGACTTCTAGAGGCCGGCGGGTAGTCGTCACGAAGTGCGATGAGGTATGCATACCCATAGGCCTGCCAGTGCTACGTTGCAGAGGACGCACACGTCGAGGGTAGTGCTTGATCTGCAGTCACGTAAAGGAGTCGAGCGCCCGGACGAGTTCCAGACCAGCTCTCTCCCGCGCACACATATGCGCCCGCGCCCGGTCCGTCACACCTCGAAGACCAGCTGACCAAATCCCGGCTCTCGGTGTCTTCCACCCCTCTCTCTCAGATCCTTGTCTGATTCTCCTCATCGCTCTCACTCACTCACGGTCGATGTCTAACCGTAACTTGCAATGGCCGACACCGTACCCCTGATCCCACCCGACCAGCCAATCGACCCCAAGCGCGTCCCCATTCTCGTGCACTCGCTCGACCGCGGGCCGGTGATCAACTGTATCCTCAAGATGACCTCGCCCATAGGCAAGTTGCGCGTGAGTTCGCCAGCTAGCCCCAGGACTGTCTAGCTGACAGCAGGACTCTATCGCTGCGAGACAGGGAATTGAGCGAGACGCTTTCGTGTAAGCGTGCTACATGAACGGCGATGACTTTGCCATGGAGGCGGGGGCGGTGTCCGGTGCTGATGTGCAGCCTCCTGTATGACGGACACCTGGTGTACGATAACGATACTCTCGAGAGTCTGGCTGAGTACGGCGTGGACGAGGAAGAAATCCGAGCTGGAGTTCGCTTCGAGATGAATGCTCGGCGTGAGTGCTTCAGCTGTCCGGACACAACCACAGCTGACTTGCAGAGATTGGCGGTTGTCTGTCGTAAACTATTGCCGCCCAGTGCCTGGGGCTACAGGTCAATAAGAAGTGGGTCGTAACTTAGTCGCTGCCGGCAGTGATGGCTGCCGTTTGATATGCAGAGGGTGCAGGTCATGCAGCTGATCGCACACGGTGCGAAGTCGAACGGGAGCACCTATGCCACAGCCTGGTTGGAACCGTGCTCCCACCGTCAGAGACGTCTCTCGTGGATTGTTTGACGCTTTCGTTCCCTCGATCGTCCCTTCCCTGCGCTTGTGCCCAACCGCCGTTCCAGGATAAGAGCACGAGATCGGCGACGACTACTGGATCCCATCAAATCCTGGTGCCCACCGTCCCTTCTTGACCACGTTAGAGCGAGCCCTCGCTAGATCCAATGTTTCCCACGGTCGTTGGAGGCCCTTTGCGCCCCGAATCCAGTCCCTTCTTGATCATCCATGAAAACCCCCTGTCGGAGGCTGGATCGCTTCCTTCCCACGGTAGTCACTTGTTAAGAGTTATGTGTGCTGCACCAGCTTCGGAGACAAGCCTTCCTAGTTTCAACGTCTCCCACGGTCGCACTTGAGGTTCAAGAGCCCACTTCAGCCCACACTGTTTCTCCTTGGCGAGCTCGGCGCACCAATTGCTGGTCCCCGCCACCTGCTGTCAGTGCGCTTTATTCTCGCTACTCGTCACCTGCAATTAGTCCACCGCCGTCACCATGCGGCGCGTAATGATGCAAGTTACTCCATACAAGTGGTCTATTATTACACATAGTCTTGAGACAACCAGATGTTGTCAAAGCCCCAGGGAGCCTGGGGTTGGTTGGCTTGCGTGGACGGGTCAAACGTCTCGTACAAGAAGCCGAGGTTGCGGAGGTCGAACTGCGGCTGCATCGCTCCCGGGGGCGGGAGAGGGGGCAGAGGCTGCGGCAGCTGCTGGGGAGGCGGCACCTGCTGCGGCATGGGCGGAGGCGGGACGTGGTTGACGGGGATGGACGAGGGAGAAGGCTCAATGTGGTCCTGCGTGTGTGACTGTTCCGAGTGCGAGTGCGGCGTGCCGGCCCACTGCGAGTCCGAGCGGTGAATGATAGGCACGTCGAGGCCGAACGCTTGCGCAACCATGAGGATCTTGGAGCGAGCATCGGCCGCCTGCTTCTTCCAGCGCACTGCCCAGAGATCGATGATCCAGCACGCCTTCGAGAGCAGGTCCTCGGCCTCTGACTTGCGCATCTCATACTTTGTCACGAGGAAAAGGACGACGTGGGCGCAAGTCGTGATCTGTCGGAGCTGCGTCCACATGCAGTTGTACGAATCCGAAGAGATCGCGCTGTAGTACGTCTCGATGATCTTGGCAGCCGATCGCGCCATCATCGCCATCGAAGCAACTGAGACGCGACGGTCGTTCATCGTCATCATGCGCAGCGCGAGGCGTCCCCTGCTGGTCAGTTGGACACCCATGTGATGAACTCACCACTCCCAGATGCTGTGGATGAAATAGTCGGCCTTGAGTAATCCGCTCGTCTGCCCCTCTTGGATCCAGGTAGAGACCCAGTTATCCCACCGCTCCTCCATGCGCAGCATCCAGTCCATCGACATTGTCGGATTCTTCGAGTCCCAAATATGCGAGAACAGCTGCGTGTTTAACAGCAGGATCTCGACCATTGAGCGACGGGGAACAATCGCAATGTCGGTGTCTTCCGAGGCCGATCGATACTGCACAGAGAGGCTAATAAACTCTCCGGGCTTGATCATCGGCGGCTTTCCACTAAGAGCGGCGGCCCAGCTGTCATATCAGCAAAGGTTAAGCAGATGTTGACTTACAAATGGCTGTACACGACCTGGACGAACATGAGGTCCGCGCGATCGCTCGGGGTGTATGCCTGCGCATTTGCTGTCTGCTCCTGGTGAATGCCGAGGTCTTTGGCCTGCGACACCATCCAAGCGACGGTCATGCGCATGACATCCGACGTGCACGTCAGGCAGGTGTAGAACGAAATAGTCGAAAGTGCATCTTAAGAGATGTCAGCCTCCGGAGCTCCGAACAGGCACGTGCCAAGACTTACGCAATGAGGTGAAGCTGGCTGTTCCCCAGCGCTCAAGAATGTCGATAGCATGCCTGAAGAAGATCACGTCGATACGCTCCTCGTCGGGCACCTCCGAGTGATGCCTGTGGAATTGTTTGCGGAGGGGCACGGACTTGAGCCTGAGTAGTCCGAGCGCGAGACACGCACAGATGAGAGCTGTCTGGTCGGGCGACAGCGTCTCGGGGCTCGTGACATACCTGTTGAACAGGCTGTGCACTCGCGGAGTTGTCATGTAAGAGCACCACGGCAGGAAGTCGTCGAGGAAGACCTGCATTGCCTCTGTCAACTCCGCAGGCAAGGGGTTGGGAAGCGGAGGAAGCGGTGTCTTGAGATCGCACAAGGGGTGTGTTGGTTTCTCCTCAAGCTTCAAACTGATCGGCGTCCCAGTCTTCTGCATATACATCTGCTCGAGCTCATCAGCAGCAAAGTCGAGGTACTTGGTGCGTCGCGGGAATGTTGAGCCTTCGATCGGCGCGGAAGACGCTTGCTGCGACCGACGGCGGCTGTTTTGACGTCAGTTCTCCGCTAAAGAAATGGCTAGAGTTCCGAGAGATCCAAAGTTGCTTACCGGGTGGGCCGTGCACGTTCACGGACAAGGCAGTCTGGGAGACCAGCATCACGACACGCCTTGCACGGGTATGGCGGCTGACACTTCTTCCTCCTGGCACGGCAGTTCTCGCATGCCCTCGAGATTCGCGTTCTCGGAACTTTGGCGGGAGGTTCTTGTGAGTCCGAGTTCGAACCATCCGAAACGGCTGAGCCTGTCGGCTGGTCCTGCTGATGCGGAGGTGGAGGCGGCGGCTGCGGCTGCAGCTGATTCGGAGGAGCGCGATGGATCTGGTGGGCAGTCGGCGGAGGAGGATAGTTGTAGTTGTAGTTGGGTGGAGGGACACCCGGCGGAGGGTGTGACATGGCGACGTGCGAAGGACAGGAGGGAAAGGATGGATGAGGGGGTGCCGGAATAGGGGAAGGAGGGGAGGGATGAAGCTCCGACGATCCGGTGTTCGACGTGTTCGATGTCGGACGGCGGATGCGATGGATTGAGATGGAGAATGCAAAGGTGAAGGATGGAGATGTGGGAAGATGAAAGAGATGGCGTCGAGGACGGGGCGTATGCGGATGATGGCTTGGTGGTTAGAGTGTCTTGGATGGCGCCTGCGCAGTAGTTCGAATGGGGGTTAGGCTGGCTGGTCTGGCTGGGCTGACCGTGTATGACCGTAGGGCTGTTAGACACCGGGTGGTCGTGAAATCTCCGCGTGCTCCCAACAAAGTCGAAATTGATTTTTCAGATTCCGTCCAGTCCTTACCCTTACATCACCTCCAACACCTGGCTTGCATACCTGGGATACCTGGATGGACGGGTACGCATCACACATGCTCCCTCAACGCCTGGAAGCCACCGTGGCCCGCACATCTCCAGCCCTTGTTGACATGCAAGAGTCCAGAGCCCGCAGCCCTCATCGGTGACAACCTGCCCATCGGCTAGCCTTCCTCTTATCACCCCCGACCGCAACCGCGACCCTTGGACGTCACATCATCCACCGAGCGCCACTGAGCACAACTTTCCTGCATCCCTTTACGACTCTCTTTTCTAACTGCTGCTCGCATCCTGTTCGGCACGACCGGCATCGCCGCTGATCGGGCAGCCATGCATCGGGGACGCGCCGGTCCCACTCTCTTTTCTTCCGTTGACTGACCGCAGGTGTCGCGACAGACGAAAATCTCATGGTGATCCTGAAAGTTGAGGGGTACTCTGTCATGCGGAGATCTCGTTCATGGCCTCCACCTCGGCGGCCAGACTTGTCAGGCGGGCTAAGCGGGGCTACGCTTAACGAGCACAAACAGCGACCGGCTGGGCCGGTAGCTCGATCATTCCTGCTTGGGCATGGTGTGCAACCCCTGTCCGCCCTGGAACCCGCATTTAATCAGTCCATTCACCCTTCCCTGCCGCACTCAATGCGCTCGCACCTCCTCCTCTGCTCATACCAAGCCACTCCCAAGCCACCCTGCGCCGTCGAAAATCTTTCAGGCGCGCAAAGGCTGCCATGGGCGCGCATGGGCTGCCATGGCTAACAACATCCTGCGGGAATTACACTCTCGGCGTGCCCCCATTAGTCATCGCTCCGGGCACTACGAATTCACCAGAGCTACCGTCAGCCCGAGAGTGCGCACGTCGAAGCCAATAATCCTCCTATCGTGCCGGAATCATTCAACTTCTCCACTGTTCCGGCCGAGGACAGCCAGGAGAGCCAGGAGTTCTCCGACCGTACGTGAGGGTGAGGAAGGGCCGTTCACCAGCGGATTCAGCACACGAGTCCCAGGGGGCCAATGGCATGGGGGGGTAGCAGGAATCCGACCTGATAACTGATCAGCGGGGCTGTGCGTTCCCTGCAACTAGCAACTCGCGAGGCTTGTAACCCCTTACGGATGAGTTATTTAAGTGGTTCAGAGCGCCAAAAGCAGCCAAGTCCTCCATGCGGCCAGCACCGCGACCTCGGACGTTGGGTGCTGCTCGCGAGGGTTTTCACACTGAATCGGTCTCACCTGCCGCTGCACATCCTGGAGCTCCCTGCCCAGCTGCGATGCCGGCCAGTCACCAGTCGCGCCGGTGACTGCAGCCCCTCCTGCGCAGCCTGCGGCCCCAGTGGGCCTCAGGATGGCCGCAGACTCACCTGGTGATCGCTGTCAGAGAGCGAGTCACGTTCCAGTGATGTGCCAAGGCCTCGGCGGGGTGCTCGGTCGCGCGTGGTCGCACCTCAGACACTACCTCGGGCGTGGCGTACATGGCGTATTGGCGTACGTACTGCACGCCTCTGCGTCACTTGTCCCAAAGCATACCATGATGAGCGTCGACGCCGTTCTCGGTGACAAGGGCCAGATGACCTGATCAATGGGCCAGGTCTGATGACCCTCCCTCCACCTCGTCCACTCAAACTTTTGTCAGACGTCCGGTTGACGCACCGGCCAGAGCCGAATCCCGGCTGAACCGGCTGCTTCGGCAACACACCACGTGACCCCCTTCATGTCTGGCACTCGGCTCACCTCCTCCTTTCGAGATATTCGAGATTAGAGAGAAATAGAGTCCGAAGCGGACTTCGCATTTGAGGAGGCACACCGCTTGAACGGCTATGCTCGAGGCGCCGTGCGCCGCAAGCACCGCAAGTCGCTTTGGACATAGGCACAGAGGCACAGAGGGACGCAGGTACGCAAGGCAAGGTACATTGCGTTTCGTATTGACAAAGTCGATGTCGCGATGTTACTCAGCTCTAGCGAATGACCCGGATCATCCAGCCTGACCCCAAGGCTGTCGTTACTGCTTCGGGAGACTGCGACGGTTGGACGGAGCGGGGTCAATAAGGCGGAGGAGGAGAGGCGCACGGACCCGTCCTACTCGCCGGCATCAGGCACCAACGGAGGCATGCTCGACGGTGATCTAGACATACGAAACGTACGAGACGCCCACCTGATGACAGCACACCGAGCCGGGGGGACCCGGCCGCGATGCCCGCCTGCTACACTCGCTCACACTGACAGCGCCGTACTCGCGTACTTCCGGATACTGGCGAGCACACGCTTATCAGAATGTCACCCTCGTGCGACGAGGTCGCGGCAATTGTCACCCCCCGAGAGACTAGCCCACCTCCAGTCAGCCGACGGAAAACGGACTCCGTGAGAAAGCGCCGACCCCGTGACCGGTCCGCTGCGATGGTCCCTGAGCCCATGCCGACTTAGAATGACCAAAACAACAACTCTCAGCTCTCGTCCAGACGCGAAGCGCATGCGACCATCTGCACGTTTGAACGGGTGCATATCTCCCCTTTGCCAGGCACAGCATGTTACGCTTTGGTCGCTCAACGCTCTCGCTCTCAGCGCTAGTGGCTTTCTTGGCGAATGCCGCTTATAGCATCCCCCACCTCCGTCGGCACCCCCTTGGCGCGTCCGCCTTTTTCATCTTCGAAGCTTCGCTGGCGGGCTTCGGCGTAGCCGCCGTCGCAGATGGTCACACCTTTCCCTCCCCACCGCCCCGTCTGTCCATGTGACGAAGCGTGCTGTACACCCTCCCCTACATCTTGATTGGCGAAGAGCAAGACCGGGCCCGGGCGATATGCAACAGGCTTCGGGGTCCAGGAACGCTCGAAGCTTAGTGAGCATGGGTGAGCTATTTGTGTTGCTGGGTCGCGCCTTGGCTCTCCTCGTCCCTGCTCCGCCCGGCTCATCCCTGTACCACGCCTGAGCACGCCCGGTATGTGGTGACCCACCTGCTGCACCACCTGGGCAGGCTGCGAGACTCGGCTCCTATCGGTTCAGCTAGTCCAGGAGGATCAGGCTCAGGTTCCCCAGGTTCCCCAGGTCCGTCTCCGCAGCCGTCCGCCGCACGGCGCACGCCGAGAGCTTCTCGACGGCGGAGCGGCAGAGGTCGCAGCGATCTGTCGCGTTCCGCTTACGCTTTCCGGATCCCGATCCCAGGCTCCTCAGTTGAGCCTTTAGGTCTTGTGCGCGATTATCACACGCTTGCGGCGCATGCGGCCTGCGGGTCTCGAGCCTCGGGCCTGGCACCTCAAGCTGTAGGACGACTCCGGGGCGTTCTGGGGCCTCTGGGAGACTCCAACGTCCAGGATCATCCCCGGGCGTTCTGGGTCTCCATGGCACGGCAGGGCCCACTCCTTAGCGTCTCGACCCAGAACCCAGACGCGACGAGGTGGGGAGCGACAGCTGAAGGAGGAGGCGGGCGGCAAAGGCAGGCCGCTCATTGCTCGCCCGCTCGGCCGTTTGCCTCCCACCTCCTTCCTGCCTGGATACAGCAGATATATAAGCACTGCACGACGCCGGCACCCGTGTCGAAACGCACTGTTACCCCAGCGACAGATACGCAACCATGTCCGCTGAAGAGAAGCACGACGTGAACGAGATCGCGCACTACGACGACAGTCCCGGGGGCAGCCATCATGACGACAAGGATGCCGGATTCAAGCACGATGGCGACGACGACAGCCTCGAGCGCGCGCTGCGCGAGGACCACGTCCGCGCGATCAACATGAACACGAGCGCCAAGTGAGTGCGGCAGTCGATCTGACGGCCGATCAGACAGCTGACAATCACCAGGATCCAGAACCCGCTCTACGGTATTCCCAAGCCCAGGCTGCTGGCCAATGTGACCCGTTTCTGCCAGGAGCACGGGTTCGAGGACGTCGAGCTGTTCCAGAAGGGCGCGCTCATCGGCCAGGCGCCGGGCAAGTTTGAGCAGCTCCCCGAGCTCACAGAGGACGACAAGAACACGATCCGCCGCGAGAAAACGCACAAGTGGCACCAGCCCAAGGCGCTCATCATGACTGTGATTCTTGCGTCGGTCGGTGCTGCAGTTCAGGGCTGGGACCAGACTGGCTCCAACGGCGCTAACCTGTCGTTCCCGATCGAATTCGGTATTCCCGACTCGCCCGACGTCCCGGGCTACTCTGTCAAGAACGAGTGGCTCGTCGGTCTCGTCAACTCTGCTCCTTACATTGGTTCTGCATTCTTAGGATGCTGGTTGAACGATCCCATGAACAACTGGCTAGGAAGGCGTGGCACGATCTTTGTCTCGGCGATCTTCTGTCTCGTTACGCCGATCGGCGGCGCGGTCACCCGGAACTGGTACCAGCTCTTCATCACGCGTATCCTCATGGGCATCGGTATGGGTCTCAAGGGCTCGGTGAGTACCCCAGCCACGGGTCCGGAATGCGTGCCGAGGAAGCGCTGACGCGGTTTTCTTACTCTCCTGGAATGGCTATGACTTTGTGCTGCTTCAATCGTCCTCCTGGTTGTGCCTTCCTCGCAAATTCCTCGAACCGCCACATGATTCTAACTTGACGTTATCACTTATCAGACCATCCCGATTTACAATGCTGAGAACGTACCGGCGTCCACGCGCGGCGGCCTCGTCATGAGCTGGCAGCTGTGGACTGCGTTCGGTATTTTCCTCGGATTCTGCGCCAACCTCGCGGTGTACAACACGGGCAAGATTGCGTGGCGCCTCCAGATCGGATCGGCGTTCATCCCCGCCGTGCCGCTCGTGCTGCTCATCTTCTTCTGCCCCGAGTCGCCCCGATGGCTCATGAAGAAGGGCCGCTACCGCGATGCGTTCAAGAGCTACCTCCGCCTCCGCAACAGCCCCCTCCAGGCCGCGCGCGACATGTACTACGTCCACTGCCAGCTCGTCGAGGAGCAGGCCGCCTTCGGCCACAGCACGTACCTCGGCCGCATCGCCAAGCTCTTCACGGTCCCGCGTATCCGCCGCGCGACGCTTGCGTGCTTCATCGTCATGCTCGCGCAGCAGATGTGCGGTATCAACATCATTGCGTTCTACTCCTCGTCCGTGTTCCAGGAGGCGGGCTACAACCGTCTCCAGTGCCTGCTCGCCTCGTGGGGTTTCGGTCTCATCAACTTTGTGTTCGCGATCCCCGCCGTGTTCACGATCGACACGTTCGGACGCCGCAACCTCCTCCTGTCGACCTTCCCGAACATGTGCTGGACGCTTCTGTGCGCGGGTCTCATGTTCCTGATCTCGCCCAGCTCGCCCGCCCGTCTCCCCCTTATTGTTCTGTTCATCTACCTCTTCGCCATGTTCTACTCGGTCGGTGAGGGCCCCGTGCCCTTCGCATACTCGGCCGAGGTCTTCCCGCTTGAGGCGCGCGAGGTCGGTATGGGCTGGGGTGTCGCGACGTGTCTCTGCTCGGCATGACCTGGCCGCGCATGAAGACCGCCCTCACGCCCACGGGTGCGTTTGGCTTCTACGCTGGACTCAACTTTACCGCCTTCTGGCTCATCTTCTTCTTCCTCCCCGAGACGAAGCAGCTCACGCTCGAGGAGCTCGACTCCGTGTTCGGCGTCCCCACGGCCGTGCACGCCAAGTATCAGATCTCCACCTGGCTGCCCTGGTGGTTCAGCCACTACGTCCTCCGCAAGGCTAAGAAGAGCGACCTCAAGCCCCTCTACAACTTTGACGAGCTCACCGGTATCGAGCGCGACGAGGACTTTGCCACCCTCACCGTTGGCGCTACGCACTAAGCTGCTCTCCACTTTGTATCGAAAGTCACGTAATCGTTGTGTATGCAGAAGTATAATCAAACCAGTCGCGAGTGCAGGTCGCCATATTGGTAAGCCCCTGTGGCAATTGCGGGTCGCCTGGACTCTAACGGAGAGATGATATTCGACCATGTCTCTAATACATGCGCAATGTATCCAGGCAACATGTCTGCCATGCTTGAGGCGAAGCGCTCAGTCCTGTACATTCTATGCATGAGCAACCACCTTGACCATTTACAACGTGCGCGTGGATAACACAACGTACTATGCCTCTTGGCTAGCGTGCAACCGTGGGAGTCCTTGCGACAAAAGACACGGTTCTGTTCACATAACGTTCAACCAGTGGGTACCGTGGGAGACCATGAAACTAGCAAAGGCTTCCTCCAAGCCCGATTCGAGGTTTTTGGGTGGCAAATCCGGCGTTGCGAGTACGTACTTGTTCTTCGCGCGGAGTAGCATTGTTGGAAGCTTTGTGTGCGGCTGTGTGTGTGCGTGAGTGTGTGGCTTGCGTAAGTTGAGCGACTGGCTGTCTCCAATCTTAGATATGAGGGCTGAGTGGCAGCTCGCAATTCCAGAGGATAGACTTCCGCATTTCCCTCAGTCTGGCGCCCTGCGCTCTCGCGCTCTCCATATGTTGTCTTGAGCGCCATGTCAATGACCAAATCGCCCTGCAAACGGACAAGTCACCGTGGGAAACACTGAATCTAGCAAGGCCTTCCTCCGACCTCGATTGGGTTTTACAGAAAAGTTTTACAGTCAGTCGATGTCAGTGCAGAAACGCATTGGCGCTAGCCGCAATAGCTCTGCGCCACATGTGTTCCCTCGCGTGCACTAGGCTGCCAGAGATCTCTTTCTACCGTCGATCCGCGGTTATCGCATGCATTTCAAGACTTACAGATGGTCACACGAATCAGCATTCGCACACGAGCACGTCTTCGACGCATGTCGTCATCTGTTCACCTGTGATAAACGGTTAGCACGGGGTTAGCACAGATGCAGGTCAGTGCAGAGTCAGCCGGACTCTGGTGCGAGTCTGCCGGACTCGAGGAGTCTGCCGGACTCAAGCCCATGCGGGCGCATGTTCTTGCGAGATAGCATCGGAAACGCGTGTTTCGGTACAGCCTGCGGTGCAGCTGCCGCAGCGCATGGTGCGGTACGGACAGCGCGGTACAGTTTTGGGGTTTCTGCGGTTTGGACGGACTCGCTGGGACATTATACCGGGGAGGAGGTGAGAGCTATGACGAGGATGGGACGATCAGAACAGGGACATGATACAGTGATGCGCGGGGACTGAGAGTAATGGAATGGTGAGTGCTTAGAGACTCGCCTTGCCGCGAGACTCGAAGGGAAGGATGAGGGCGAGCAGGCCGGCGGCGATGAACATGGCGCCGGCGGCGTAGACGGGAACCCAGGTGCCGGCCTTGGCGTAGATGCCGATGACGGGAGCCATGACGCCCATGACACGGTTGCAGGACGCGGTCAAAGCGTTGCCCGTACCACGAGAGAACGTCGGGAACACCTCTGGCGTATAAGCGTACAGGATGGCGTAGCAGATTGTTGAGAAGAAGTTGTACGCGCAGTTCCATCCGAGCTGGGCGTTCGGGTTTGTGCGCGCCGTCGTGTTGCAAAGGAGGAAGACACCGGTCAGGGCCGTGCTCATCGCGAGCACACCCTTGCGCCCCATGAAGCGCCACTCGGAGAGGATGGCGCCGATGATGGCGCCGGGAACGCCGAGCACGGCAATGATCAGCATGTTGCGGTACGTGATGTAGGTGCTGCTGCCCGAGTTGGAGACGAGGAGGGGCAGGAAGCCATTGTACAGCGGGTAGGCGAGACCGATGATCAGCCAGATGAGCATGATCATGCTGGTGCTGAAGGCGATGCGAGGCGTGCTGAACAGCGAGCGGACGTGCGACATGTTGACACGCTTTAGTAGACTGCGACGGAGCGCCTCGGTCGCATCAGTGCGTCCAACATAACCCTCGGGCTCGCACGCTTTAAGGTCGTCGACGGTGAGGTTGACCGTCTTGCCGTTCCGGCGCGCGACCTCGTGCACGACGCGGACCGCCTCCTCCTCCTTGCCCTTGCCCATCAAGAACTTGGGCGACTCGTAAATGTGGAAGAAGATGAAGCGGATAATGAACATGATCAGGAGGATACCGCCCATCGTGATCACATACCATCTCCAGCCCATATTCTGAGACCGCGTGCAGGTCTCCGCGTCGGAGCAGGTAAGCGTGCCGAGCAGCGGCCAGGCGATCAGGGTGGCGACGACCTGGGCGAGCGCCCAGTCGACTGACAGAACGGTCAGGAGGTACTGGTGCGAGGCCGGGAGGAATTCGAGGAAGATGGCCGAATCGATCGGGAGGTTTCCGCCGACGCCGAAGGACCAGAGAGCGTCAAAGACAGCAATCGCCGCAAAGTTCGGCGAACTTGCGGCGATCATGGCGAACACGGCCGTGATGCCGAGGGTGAGGTTGAAGCCGATTTTGCGGCCAATGACGTCCGCGCCGAGACCCCAGAAGACGGCGCCGGCGAGCAGACCGAGGTTCTGCGCGAGCGGGAGGAACTCCTTGTGCACGGGGTTGAACTCCTTGGCAATGACGGGGAGGATGAGCGAGGTGACGATGGGCATCATGTTGTCCGACGCCCAGCCGAAGCCGATGACGACAAACAGCTGCCACTGGTACGCCCCCATGCCGATGTCCTGAATAGCGCGGTTCAACACGCGCGCCTTCGCTTCGTACACCGGGTCGAACGTGCCCTCGAGCACCGTGTGGCCCTTCTCGTCGACGGCGACGCCGTAGGCCGTGTGCTCGTCGCGGAACCCTTGGTCGATCGAACCGACGCGCGCGTCATAGTCGTCCTTCGTCTCCTTCTCGGGGTCGCGCAAGCCGTTATGTGGTATCGACATGCTGAAAGTTCTGTCGTGTCGTGATCGGGCGATCAAGAGATAAGATCAACAGTGGAGTGGATGAATGCAAAACACGTATCGCAATTGCATGCTTTCTCGCACCACCGGCGCCGGCACACCGGGCTGGCTGATAGCGAGCGCTCTCAAGCTCTATGCACTAGGACTCCCGGAAAGTCATGTTGTCATCGCGCAGTGGCGTTGCGTGACCGTTGGGCCGAGCTTGTCCCGTGAAACCCCTGATTCCTCATGTGTCCTCCTCTGCTCTGAAGGCCCGGGGTCCTTTGCGGTGGTTGGGTCCCAGGCGCGCTCCGCAGCTCCGCAGGGTGTGATAGCGGATCCGGACCTGTCGCCTTAATTGCCAGAGCTTGAGTGTCCGTTGCTCTAGGCCCTGCCTTTGGAAGTCGGTTGGGACGTGGGAGCAGCAGACCCGAGGAGATGAGGTGAGATCGGTGGGAGTTGTTGGGTGCGCGTGCACATGGATCGCCGGCGGAATAGTGGGACCAGGAGCTGATATCTCCCAAAGCGGCATGCAGCGACTGCCATTCGTCAGGCGACCGTTGCACCACGCTCTCGTCAGCCGCCCGGCGGTTTATTTACAGTTTCATATCTTTCCACGCAGCGTCATGTCAGTCACCCACAGAACCATCACGTGCGACCGTCCTTCGGCGAGCGCGGCGTATGAGCCGCGCGATAAAGCCTGGAGCTAGGTGACGATCTCGAATCTTGATACAGCCAAGCACATCCCTACTCCCCTCAACGTCCACCTATCATCTGGACTGGATCTGCACGGCACTTGCTTGCGGCACCGTGTCAGATTGTCCGCTCCGCAGCTCGTTTACGGCGTTGTCTGATCGACGCGCGCCCAAAGTGTGCTCAAAGCGCTCTTCGACGATCGCAAGGAGAGCGACCCACTCCCACCCTGACCACAGTGCACCGCTTGGCGGCCTGATATTAACACCGAGAAATGCTTGCTTACTCTCAGGATCTACCTAGTGCCCACGAACCAACCTGCCCGACATCCGCTTAGCTTTCAGCAAGGCGTCGAGGTGATGGTGGTGCTTCCCAAACTCATCCCGCTCCGCCTTGCGCCTCTGTTCCATGTGTTCCATGTGAATATCGGTGTCGTCCCGACTGCCGAGCCTGCTCCTTCCACTCCTGATGCTGGACACAATCGAAGGCGCCCTGGTGGGCGGAGGCGGAGCGGGCGGTGGTGGGGCGCTCAGACTCCTCGCAATGCCCTCAGCCAGCGAAAAGGGATGGGGACGGTCGAGCTCCATCCGCTCGTGGACCTTGGGATCGCCGCGGGGATCGGGTACGGCGAATGGGTGCTTGTAGAACGGCTTGGCTGGAGCCGCGCTAAGCACTGAGGAGGCTGTGGGCGTCTCCATGGTCGGCGAGCTGCCAGCGCTGGCGAAACTGACATGATGGGTGGAAGTCGAGCGATGTGTTGAAGGCGTACGGTACGTCGAGTCGGACTGCGCCGACGGTGAGCTGGAAGGACCACTATTGCTTAGCGACTCGACGGCCGAGGCGACTTCCTCGGGGACGACTCCGGAGGACTTGCGCGACACGGTGTAGTCGACTGATGATCGGAACTGACGTGAGCTCGACTAGTTGAACAAATGGGGAGCATACCTTGAGCATGTCGTAGAGGGCGAACTCGCCTTCGAACGGGTTCAGCGAGCCTGGCCAGTCGGTCGCTCCCGGCGTCTTCAGCACGCCGGGCCACTCGGCTGGCGTCTTCACGGGGTGGTCTCTCATGTCTATCTGTTGGGAGATGGGGAGGCTAATGGGGATGCGCATGAGGGCATCATGGCTTAAGTACGTCTGCCAACAGCCTGCCGACCGCCAGGTGGGCGGGGAATGCCGCTGCGAGCGAGCGCCCCCAGTCCACACCGCCCTCGAGCGCTGTCGCTGCCGAGCGAACATGCACACCAGCAGAGCGCATATTCCGGGTCAAGCTCGCCTGTCGGTTCTGCTGCTTCCCCGCAGAGGCTACGACACTGTGCATTGCTCATCACAGGCGGTCATCACAGGTCAACATGCTGGCCGAACGATAGTCATACACAACCACAAGCTTACAAATCAAGCCTACCACTGCCAACAATGCACGAGCGCAATGTAATGGTCGTCGCCGCAATTCACCCTCTGCTCGCCCGCGAGCTGGCACTGCCCCTGCTGCTCTGCCCGTCCAGTTTCGAACAGGTTGAACGTGTCTCCACTGCTGCGCCACAGGTCGATCCAAGCCGCATCCTGTTTGCGCACCTGCTTCCATCGCCAGCGCCAGATATCCTTTGGGTTGTTCCCATTCGTGCGCAGTTGTTGCGCCCACTGGCACTGGGTGGGATCGCACCAGTTTCCCCACCCGCTGCACACTTGTACGCCGTACTGGGGTATGGTCTCGGTGACTCGGCCGCGGTAATGGAAGGAGACGGAGAAGTCGTCGGGCCAGCCCCAGAGTCTGGCGTGGATTGGGGCGGCGAGAAGGATGAAGGTGAAGGGAATGTTAAGGAGGGCGTATAAGAAGCTGACGATTGGAAGGACGGCGAGGAAGGCGCACATGGTGCCGCAAACAGCTCAGCCTGTCGTTAGCCCACATGGCAGTTGCTGGAACGAGACCGATGAGGCAAGCACATACCACTCGACGACGCCCAGCACGACTCTTTAAGACCAGCGAGAGTGAGAAACATGAGACGCCGCGCACGTAGTAGTCTACGCGCCCTTCATGAGCAGCGAGTGGCCAGTGACATGCCCGACGAGCCGGGTGCCAGACTTAGACATGACTAACCTTTAGTGTGCCGTGGTCCATGTTGGGCCTAGGTGGCTAGTGCACAGGCGACACCGGCGCACGGCGCGCACGGGCGGCTTCAGTCATAGCGAGCTCTGCTTGCCTGCTTTCTCTCTCTGGTTGTGCATGCATTTGCTCTACCCATAGCTCGGTAACACTGCTGCCATCACAGGTTTGAAGTGCACAGATCGGGAAAGTGTAAGCCTAAGGACCCGACTCGGCCTGCTAAGCTGTGTAGCGATCAACCGCTGTCACTACTACTCTGTATTCCGAAAGTTGGCGTTCCGCTAGTTCAAGTCGACGATGTGTTGTCCGAAGTGCAAAGGGAACTCGAAGTGCAAAGGGAACAACGGGGACTCAGACCAACGCCTCCCGCCAAACAGCTGGCAGAGTGGGATTAAGGGTGGCTGCTATCTTATCAACCTCGTCTCTTGCTCGGGTCCGCTCAAGAATCAACCCCAGTACCATTCACTAACAACTGCACGTCTGCGGACGTCTCCCTTTCCCCAACGCAACTCAGATCCAGCTTTGCCCGACCCAATGTGCATGCGTTTGACTCTGGTGCCGAGGACCGGATGTTGACGGGATCGTGCGAAGTCACAATCAGAGTAGCATCGCCCGATGGCAATCGGTGAAAGCTGGGCCACTAGGCCCTCGATCGATCTACCGCAGACACCCATCGTCTCTCGTCACGTCGTTACGGGACAGCCTGCTATGCATAGCTTCATGACGATGCCAAGAACTCAAGCAATGACGGATCTGCGCACAGTCCCTCCATCACAAGCCGTCTGGCGAAGAAACAGTGCGGTGCACGACCTGTGCAGCAGTGCGGAGCATCGTTTTGCTACCGTCCTCCAACAAATCACACTGTTGAAACGCAGGCACACGCGATCGAGGCTGATATGTCCCATTGCGATAAGCATAGTCGAGCAGCACTGCGTGCATCGCTTTCCCATGCGGCACATGCGACGCCAGCCACGGAGGCACGACCACAACCACTGTACGCGCAGCGGCGAGAGTTGGGAGTGATAAGGGGATGTGATGGTGCCTGGAAGCGGTGTCCGACAGGAGGTCGTGTAGCGACTGCGTCGCATCGAGCACTTCGTGTGTTTGACACCTCGTCTCGCTGCCTTCCATCGCGTAGATGAGCACCTTGGCCTAGGCTGAGACGCACATACGTGCATACGTGCATTCGCGAGGGCCGGGTTCCTCGCCATGGGCGCCTGCACTGCCCTCCGCTCCGCCCTCACATCTCCTGCAGCGTAGATAAGAGGCGTCGTGGCAGGAGTGCTCACCACATCATCTCTCACCTCATCTCACTACCATCTCAGCCAACATGGGTCTCTTCGCCGCCGACACTGGCCTCACCCTGCAGCCCGTGCACCCGCCATTGGGCCTCAACATGAACTATGTGAACCACCCTGTCGTCACGCTGGTGCTCAAGGAGAAGGTCTTCAGCTGGTCCGGCGTGAGTGACACACCACCGATGTACGGCTGGGCGGCAAAGGCTGATGTTAGGACGACTTCACCGTCACCGACACAGAGGGACGGCCGGTTGTCAAGTGCAGCGGCAAGATGATGTCTATGCGCGGTCGCAAGACCATCACGGACGCGTGGGGCAACTACCTCTTCACCATTCGCGAGAAGATCATGTCTTGGCGCACGACATACCTCGGCGAGGACCAGAATGGAACAGTGCTCTTCGAGCTGAGGAACAGGATGAGCTGTGAGTAGCCTTTCGACATGTCTGAGGCTCTGGTGTCTCGGTCGCCAGTGTCTGCTTGCCCGGCCACGTGAGCTCCTCACTAACGTTCAGGGGGCTCCAAGATGTCGATCAAGTTCACGAACGCCTCGACAGGTCAGCCTGTCGCGCTCCTGCTCAAGGGCGACATGTTCGGCCGCAGCGCGACGATCTTCATTGAGGATGGCCCGCCCATCGCCATGATCAAGCGCAAGGGCATGAATGTCTCCAACCTCGTGTTCGACAAGCAGACGTACTTTGTCGATGTCGCACCGGGCGTCGACCTTGCGCTCATGGCTGCGCTGTGCATTCTGCTCGATGAGATTGAGAACGATCAGAGTTCAGGTGGGGGCGGAGGAGGAGGAGACTTTAGCTTCAATTGAGCTCGTGCTGAATGACAGGACACCTGGTGGTATGAAGAAGCAAGAGGCAAGAGATAAGAATACACGAGGCAAGAGACAAGAGGGCAAGATGCAAGGGGCAGGCCGTTACGAACGACTGCACTGTAGATCATAGAGCAATGTACGATATACGACTTCAGGTCGACTGAATGCGCCGCCGACGAAGTGGCGTCAGCATACCCGATCGACGTGAACGATACATTCCAGCTCAGGGATATCTTGTCCTTATCGTTCGCGATCGTCGTCGCTTGCCTGCTCGGAATGGTAGGCTCAGCTCCCAGTGTGCATTCCCAGGCTCTGTTTGTTAATTGCAACGCATTGAATGAGATTTACCGCCGTGTTTGTGCTCCTTGTTCATTCCCATGCCCCGTGATCATCTCGTCATTATAAAGATACATAGTGATGCAGTTGTTTTGTCATCCAGCGTCCATCGCGTCCCCACATTCGCCATGCAATGCTTCCAGTCCCCTTTTGGTCTACTGCTTCCACAGCCCGTCGATGGGCTTCCTGCTCTTCTGCTTGCCCGAGCTGTTCGACTTGCGGCCGAAACTGACGTTCTTCACCTCGAACGGCGCCGGCTCGTCCGTACTCCGTCTGTCCCTCTCTGCGTCCATGCTTCGCTGGCGGCCAGGCTGCATACTCTGCAAAGTGTCGAGGTCGTACGGCGAGAGGTACGGGATGAGACTTGCTGTCGTGCTCTCTGTGCCTTCACGGCGCATCTTCTTATCGCGGAAGGAGGAAAGTGTATCCTTAAGCGCCACTGTGCGGCTTGGCGGAGAAGAGGAGATGCCTGGCGGCGGCGGGAGAGGGCTGGTCGGCACACTGTTGAGGACCGGCACTCCCAGCGTGGGATTCACGCTCGACTTTCCGACGGACGTGTCCGGAGTCGCTTCGAGAGAGTGCTTCTCCCGCGGTACTTCACGGGACACACGCTCCGTCGTCGTCTCGTATCGCTGCCGTTGAGTCGAGGGTTTCAGCAGTGATCGCAGGCCGATCGCAAAGGCCACCACCCAGGCGAGGAAGAGCACGTCGCTTAGCACGAGGACGGCAATGGCGATGCTGATCGTTAGCTTGGGTTTGACACCCGAGACAATTATCAGGCTGAAACGAGCTCTGCGGGCGCCGGCTCAGCTGGGATTTCACGAAAGTTGGCGGATCAACGGTCGGGTGAAGACACACGACGCAGCGGATAGCGCTTAGCTGATACGCGTCTAAGACAGCCCAATGCAGCAGGTCAGGCGTAAGTCGTACTCACCGACAGAACTTGTTCGCACAATCGCGGATACCAGCATGCGTCCAGAGCGCGCCCGTGCCGATTCCAAAGCCCGCCATGGCGACCGCACACACGAGGACGAAGACATAGTGCGCCCGTCGCTTTGGTCGTGCCGAAACGCCCATGCTGAGAGTTAGCAACCAAGCAACCGGACTGTCAATCATATAGAATAGAGGAGCGTGCAATTGTCGATCAGAGGAAGGGGGCCACTCACCAAACACAAGCGAGGAGCACTGAGCACCCACTCCAGATCACACCGCCGAAGCCGCCCCAGTATGGCGGGATCGTCCGCCGTGATCCAGTGGAGGGAAGCCAGGGACCCCAGAGCTTCAGCACAGTTGCAATCAGGACGCCGACGGCGATGAGGCCGGTCAGCGCCAGCGCAGCGAGGAGCGCGCGGGGTCGTTTCAGCATCCCGGGAGATAGGTCGTTATTCCAAACCAGACGCTAAGCGGGGCTGTGTCGAAACCGCAACGAGAGCAGAACGAAGAGCCAGGCGAAGTCGGCCAGGACGCAACAGCGATGAGGAAAGTCGAGGGGTACGTCGTGCCAGACGAGGGACTTTACGTAGGTGTGCGAACGAGAGAATGATAGAAACGATTCAAAGCTGATGCATGTCTAGTCTGCTGCATATGGGGACGAGCATCAGAGAGGGGAACGGCGCACCCCGCTTGCCCGGCCCCGCTTGGTAACAACCCCAAGAGGCTGACTGCCAGGAGGCTGTTTGGGAGCCGCAGGCATGGATGCAGGCGCACGCATCTCGTCTTGCAATCAGGTACGCATTATTGCTCGCGTCCTCCGTCCCCTGCCATAAGGTGATCTTAGTGCTGGCCAGAACCCCGCGAATGCCGGCGAAGCAGGTCTGCAAAAGCTTACTCCGGCGAAGAAGGGAAGCTTGAGCCAGAGGCGAGCCAGGTCTGGAGCCAGGAGGGACGCAGAGGGGAAAGGGGAGACAGGAATCGCACAGGAATCCCCCTCACTCCCTCGCCAACCCTTCAGTGCAGCAATAAGATTCAGTACCTTAGCCAGACTGCATGGCACCGGGTCGCGCGGGGTCGCGCCGGGCTGGCTGGGAGGTGTCTTCTCAGGCTAAAGCAAGCTGTACGTGGGCGGTACGCACGCATGGGAAACGTGGACGCAGAGTGAGGTACGGACGGCACCGACGACGCGACCCAAACAGCAAGGAGGCGTCACGCTTTACGCTCAAGCCCTAGAGTCTCGAGGCCCTTTCAGCCCGTGAAAGTCAGTCACCGCTGTCGGCCACTGTCGGCCACTCGCGGCCTAGCCAGGCCGCTGCCATTCACTGCCAAGCCCACGACCGTGCTCTGTCTCAGCACGGGCCCGAGCAGCTGTCTTACGTGCTTTGCAGTTGGAATGAGATGCAGGCAGAGCTGGCAATCGAGGCGAGCGTAGATGCGCACTTCAGGCAGGTGAGTGAGGGTCGAGGCATGTCCTCCTCACTGGTGTTGTTTCATGGCACGAAAAGCCCCTAATCTCCCTGCAACTCCCTGGCGATTCCATTCTGCGTGACACCTCCCAGCTCCGGACTCCACGACTACAGAGCTGGATATAGCACTCGCCCACTACTCTGCTTCATGCTCAGCCCACCACGATATGCATGCGGCGCTTTTGCACAAAACTAAGCGCACCCTCGCTTGCCTTCGCGCTTGACTTCGGCTTCACTCTCGCCAGCCTCGCCAGCTCGCCAGCCCCAGATAGCGCAAGCGCAGCACTCAGCTAACCTTGACACCCGGACAGCCACGGTTGCGGTGGTTCCTTGGTCCTGGCCCTTGCGTCGTGCGCGCCTCGTGTCGCCGAGGGCTCGGCACTGGCTTGCGCACTTCCCCATCCCCCAGCGCTCATTCGCTACCACTCCTTCTTTGGCCAACTCAATGCAGCTGGAACTGGAAAGAACATTGCTGAACCGTGACATGCTCTGGGCTCGTCGTGACAGGGGCACGCGCACAGATTGGAATCGGAGCAATTGTACACTGGGTCGTGCGTTGGTTCTGCATTGGGTCGATGAGTTGCTGCAGAATGAATACGACGAAGCCAGCGAAAAGGAGGATTGCTGGAACGGGGCTAGCCAACATCGGGCCTGCCTAGGCCCACGGGACAGGAGACCGAGCCTCGCTGACGTGAAGCAGCATGCTGCCACACGTCTCACCTACGGCACCAGTGTATGCAAGGTTGCACGATAGCCGGCGGGTCGCGGGCCATCTACCGGCGGGTCCCACAGCTTACGGCGTCGCCGCAGACCACCGTGACTAGCCCAAGGGGACGGTAGAGCTGACCTCTGCGCAACTTTCGGGCCGAGCCTCGAGCACCTGGGACAGCGATCACTCATGGGGACAGGACACGCATAATTAAAGCGGCCTCGTGCCCCTCCTGCCCCATGATTCCACCTCCGCCTCCCTCTGCTCAGACTGGCTGCTCGCGAGGATATTGCCAGGATCAAGATGATAGGGAAGCAGCTGGCCCACGACTGGCTTCGGGGAGAATGGATCCTACGCAAGGCACAGACGCAGGACAAAAGACCACGCCTAGCCTGGACTTCGAAACCTAAAACAGGCGAACGAGGCAGGGCACGCAGCGCATCGGACACTTTCTGTGCGTCTGCATTGGACCAAGTGTCAGGATCGTAGGGCGGCTTAGATCCAGCATGCCAGCATGCACCGGTTGCAAGACCAGTGCACGGGCTGGCTCAGGCTGGCTCAGGACAGGGCGACACCGACGCACCACCGAGTGTCCTTTGCTCTTCTCGGCGTCCACGGCGCTCTCATCCTCGGCACTCTTCGTTCGCAGAACAGACGACAGAGGAATTCGGCAGTGACCTGAAACTGTCCGCACACCTGCAACGTTGCGACCCAAGAGCAGGTTCAATTGTGAGAACGCTCGAGGCCATCAACTCTCCTGAGTACGTAATGTCCGCGAGCGTTACTGACCTCGGCGTGATTGGAGGACGATGTGAGATCGGTCGCGGGCGACTTTGGAAGCTGCCCTGGTGGCTTCGCGGCGTGCGTGTTTCACGGCCATGCGCGGAGCGCACAGAAGCATGCACGGGCGCCTGGTGACAAGCCATTGGCATGCCAGGCATGTGCGCTGTTCTGGACGCTCGGGTCGAGGCTGAGCGCATAGAAGGTAATGGGGCCGTCGATGATGAGTACGCCGCTCTCGCGTCTGTTCACTTCCACTACCGCGATCGATTCTCACCACGATCGAGCGTCACGCACACATGGCAAAGACGTATACGCACTGCATCCTAGAACAAACACCACGACAAACATACAACACCCCGATCGGAACAAAACAACCTAATCTCCCACGATAGGACGCGTCGCGGTCCCCTATATGTAGTCCCACGACTTTGAGCGCGAGTGCCAGCTCTCTGTCCGGCTCGATCTCAGCGCGGCAGCATCCTCATTCGCCTGACTGAGGGAGCGCTGATGGCTCGCGCGTCTAGTCGGTGGCGTCAAGGGACGGGTGTAGTTGTCCTGCACGAAGCGGGTCGGGGAACGTACCCCTCTCCCTGCCTGTCCGTCGGCAATGTACCCGTACCGGCGGTTTACCGGCACTCGCCCAGGACGCACCGCGGCGCTCTCAGCGTCGAGAACAGGTGCGACTGGGGCGAAGTACTCGGGCGGGTACACCGTGAAAGGCTCTTCGTGCGGAGAAGCGAGGACTTCCTCGCGGTTGAGGGCGTTCGGCTCTGCGTCAACAGCGGCGACGGGGTGAGCATTCGGCGCTCCCCATCCCAGCCTGTTGACGCCCCTATATTCAACGTCGGAAGAGCTCTTCGTGGACTTGGTGGATTTCGTCGACTTTGTCGATTTCGTCGATGCCTCGCTTCCACTCCGTGACGCTTTCGGCGGCGCTAGCCGACCCTCCTCCAAAGCAGCGAGCTCTTGCTCACTCTCCTCTGCTATCGTGTCATGCACTTCTCTGCTGACCGAGCGCTTGTGCTGTTTCGATAGTCGAGAATCACTCGATGCGCGCGGTATGGCGATTTGCGAGAAGTCTTGTAGTCCCCGTCGCGGCGCCTCGAGGCGGTGGAAGGACATGCACAGAGCCTTCAATCCCATTCTGTGTCGAGAGATTGCAAGGGCTTCGAGGAACGCGCTGATCAAACACAAGCCGGAAAGAACCCACCCGAGGATGATCGTAGCAATCGCGAGGCTGATGTCAGCATACCCCCTGCTCTTCAACACATCTCTGCATCACAGATCAAACTCACTTGCAAAGGGTTAAGGCTTCGAGTTTGAATCGCTGGTGGCAGTACGTATAGGCACTCCATTTATACGCCATCGTCCAGGCCAGAATCGCGCAGCCCGCCAGTCCGATTGCGAGGAGCATGACAATGTCCACGCCGCTGCGAAGGAAGCGGCTGTTGCCCCTTCCCACGGAGAGCAGCACGACGCCCAGGAAGAAGTAGATCATAGAAACGCCAGACCACGCAGCGAGCGCGATCTGGTCCGTGTTCGACAGTATCGGAGTATTCAAGATCAGCCACTGCGCCGTGCGCGGCGGTCCGCCCTTGAAGAGGGCTCGTTTCCACCCGCCTGCTGTTAGCTGTGATCTTGGCTGCGTATTGCGAGCTGCGAGAAGCTGGACAGGTCGGGCTCACCTTGGTACAACGCTTGTGTGCAGACTAGTGTCAGGGCGCACCCCAGCATCGCGATACTGAGAATACACAAGAGGAAGTATGCGCGCCCGTGCCATGGGGAGAAGTCGTGCCGTGTACCGTTCGTGTGCCCTGGTTGCTCGTTCGAGTGCCTCGTTTGGCTGATCGGCCGTCCTGGCTTCACCGCCGTCGCCTGTTGAGCATGCTTCATACGCGTCTCATTCTGTGGTCGCGGTATCGGTTGATCCTGCCATATCCGGTGTTCTTGCGTAGTGGACTCCATCTGGATAACAGGCCCGTGCTGCTCAGTCGGACCAAACCCCGCCATCGTCGTGTTCTGCTGTAACGGCGACATGCTTGGCATCGAGCCGGAATGCTCAATAGCTTTCGCAGTGGCCGAGGTTAGAGTCGCGGAGATGCTTGCCGAGAGCCGCGAAGCGCGTCACAGACGGCAGGTGGGAAGCTGAAACGTGAGCACTTGCCCACGCGCGCTAGATGGCTGGGCGGATGCGCGGTGTGCGACAGAGCCGGAAAGATCAAGAGATAACGAAGATGGTGCAATGATGGCGAGCAGATAGCATTCGCATCGCACTAAACCGGCTGTGGTCGCATGTTTCGCTGTTCGTTCTTTTCTCACGAGCACCGACGTTACCCGCGCTAGCGTTCTCGCTTTCGTCGCTACGGCGCGGGGAGTTCCCAAGCTTGACCGCTTCTGTCATGGAGACTGCATGTGACCTCATTGAAGCTTGTGAATAGCGGCTTGGGGCCCTGAGATTAGTACTCGCTCTGGGCTGAAGAGGCGGATGGGTCAGCCCAATATGCATCCTGAGATGCCCAAGCCCACCAGCCCGTGCACTTCCCTGGCAAGCTGGGGAGCTGCCCAGCTGACCCGCTTGCATCATGGGCCAGCCGAAAGCAAAAGCTTGATCACCCGCGGAACATCATCATCCAGAGTTTCGGTTACGGCACGTTGTCCGCGGTACGTCGCTTGTTCGGATGGCTGGCCCTGTGCGTACTGAGCAACCTCTAAACGATTGTTTACACAGCCGTTCCTTTCCTTCACATGCTTGCATCATTTGGTCCATGCATGCCAGTGTGACATCGTCGTTACCATTGTTCTGCAACTGATAACGACAGGGTAGATGGACAAGTGATGATCGGCAGTCCTGAAGAAGCTGCTCCACGAACAGCGGCAGGACTTCGTCACGGGAACATCTCAGCTGTGCGCACGCATCAATTCATACCCCTGCGGCGCTCCAAGTTTCGCATTCACGACGAGTTTTTGCGCTCAGACATGCCCAAACCCTAAGCAGCCGCGCAAGTGCCAGCCAACAGCGGCGAAGCTCGCCGCAGCGCCGAGGATGTTATCAGCCTGGCCACACCGAAGTCCACGGCACGCCGAACACCAGCATGTGCACATCAGAAGCGCACAGGGACAGTTCCTAGGTAGTGGGAGGCATGCGAGATCGCGCAGGCGTCGCGCAGGCCGCGCGCAGACCGTACGCGGTTTAGTGGGTGTGAACTCGTCGAGTAGTCGCTCGGTGTACCTGCGAGCCCGTCTGTTTGGACTGCTGGATGCAGCAAGGACGCGACTGATTTTACGTTTGATCTTACCCAACCGTCCCTGTAAAACCTATGCAGCAGCTCACATTCACACCGTTCATTGGTTCGCAGCGTCGCTGAGTCGCTGTCCAGACCCGCACCACACCCACCATACCCTCGTCATGCCCTCATGATGCCATGCCATCCGCCGTAGCTGCGTACTCTTGTTGTCCCGATTACATATAAGTTTCACCGGGCATGCGCTCTTCCAGCGCAAACACCCCCCTCACCATACGTCTTGTTCTTCTCCCCACCATCTGAGCAACGCATCGCAGAGCGCAGAGAATCGCAGAATGAGGAACTCTGCATTCGTCGCTCAGATCTGGTTTCTTGCAGCCGAGCTCATCCTTAGCATCCTCCTCCTCGGCGCTACGGGCACGTACATCGCCTTCCGCCCGCAGCTATGGTCTCCGTTTAACGGTCTCGCAGCGTACTCCGGCTTGACGGTACTCTACACTGCTACCTAGTGAGTGTCCTCTTCCTCGACTGTTACTGACAACCAGCTTGACGGTACTCTGTGTGACGCAGATCTCGTGGTTCACGAGCATGGTGGCCGACGCCTTCTTCCAGGGTATCCTGTGCGCTGGTGGGCCTGTGTGCCTGGGTTTCGCCATCAACATGACCCTCGAGGAAATGCAGTCCCTGGACAAGGTCAACATCAACGCCGCTGTCGTCATCTTCCTGGGTCTTGCCTTGGCGCTGATCCAATGGTTCCACCTCTGGATCAAGGTCATCCTCGTGCTTGCCAAGTGCGGTGGCAGCTGGACTGTGTGGAAGCAGTCGTTCTGCAACCTGATGGATCGCAACCAGCCCCGAGACATCCTCGATGACTTCACGATCGTTAACCCCATCCATGACAACGGCAAGCGCCTATCGGAGACGGAGCCCATCTACGGGGATGCGTTCGATGAGCCGGGCATCGAGACGCCGCCTCGGGTTAGCACCTCGACAGTGGGCGAGAAGGACTGGATCCGAAGCAAGTATAGCATCAACGACAAGTCGCCTGCCAGCACGGCGCCTGCGTTAGCATATGACCCCTTCCCATGCACGACGATGGACTTCGACGTCCCCGTTGTTGAGGCAAGCAAGCCTGGCTCGCCGATCTACACGCTGCCCGCCTCACACGCTTCGCATCGGTACTCGAATGAGAATCTGAGCGCGCTGCCATCGGATGAGAATCTCCCCAGTGCGCGGTATGCACCGGACTCGCGGCGCCAGAGTACCACGTCGTTTGACTCGCGCATCTCGGGTGAGTATACCCGCCCAAGCTTTGACATCTACAGGTCCCACTCGGGCAACAGCTATCGACTGGTCGACGCGAGCAGGCCGCCCTCTCTCGACCTGTACCGCGTCGATCACTCTGCACCCCAGCCGGTGCGCCCGGCGCGTACCCCATCGCTGCAGGCGCAGCGCCCCGCATTCGACATCTATCAGGAGTACCAGGAGGAGGACGGCTCTGACGAGCGCGCGTCCACACTCTACGAACCTACGTCTTCCATCTACGACCCCTCCCCCGTGGCACACTACAACCAGGCAGCGTTCAGCCAGACGGCTGCTAGTTACGAGCCGTACGATCCAACGCAGTCATCACGTTACGCCGAGCCCCCCTCCTCGGTCTACGACTACAGCACCCCTTATGACCAGCCCTCACCTTATGACCAGCCCGCTCCCTCTGCCCCGCGTTACACTTCCCCGTCCCCGCGGTATGAGCAGCCCGCCACTCCGCGTGGGACGCGCAGTGCTCATGGCCACGGCGCGCGGCCTCGCTCATCGAACATGTCACGTCCCAAGTCTTATCACGGTCACTCTCACCCACCCGTCGCCCGGTCCAAGTCCTATGTCGGCAACTCGTACGAGAACCCTCCCCCGCCTGCGCGCTCTAAGTCGTATGGCCACAACCGAGCTCCCGAGCAGCAGCCACGCGCACCTCCCCCCGTCCGCCGGCACTCGCAGGATGACTCGGGACGCCGCTGGTCCCAGTCATCTTACTCCAGCCTCCCCCGCGTGCCCAGCATGCTCCGTCACAGCGAAGTGTCGGACAGCGCGGTTGAGTAACATGTTGCATTTGTTGTAGATAACCATGAACTATGAATCCTTCTTGCATTGCATGCCGCTGCCGCTGCAGATGAGAGATGTTGATCTAATTACCACTGCCAGCAGTGGAAGACGGTGTGAGGCATGTGCTTATCCTTACCCCCACACTCGCCAATCTTGGCCCAGCGCTCGCATTGCCCGTGCACATGGCCGTCTCTGTTGCTCTCATACAGGTTCCACCTGCCATCGCTGGCCTTCCACATGTCGATCCAGGCCGAGTTTTCCTTGCGCATGGTGCCCCAGTTGAAGTCGTAGGTCCACCAGGTCATCTCATTGTCTCCAGTGTCGCCACGGAACTCCTGCAAGCGCGGGCTGCACTTGTCGAATCCAGTCGTTTGGGGGCAGACATTCTGTCCGTGGCCATCGCAAGCAATGTAGCCGCCCTCAAAGTAGGAGATGGTCCACTCTCCCGGCCAACCCCACAACCACGCGTGGGCTGAGGGAGCCAGCATGGCAAACCAACCGGCCAAGATGAGGAGAGCTGATTTCGGAAATTCCATTGAGGTGACTCTGCCTTGTCAGCGACTATCGCTTATCTCAAGGCTCTGTTTCGGGGCTCTGAACGGCCCCGCCTTCGCCACACTACTCACGATTCGGACTAAGATGGGATAGTTGTTCTTTCCGAAGCCCCGCGACCTCGTCCACGAGCTCGCTTTTATAGTCGTAGCGCTCACTCCTTCTCACTCCCAACAACCCAACACGACCCCTCTCGAGTTCCCCGACTCTTGGCCCTTTCGCTTCCTCTCCTTCACAGCCTGAACACCCTCGGTCATGGGTACCCTCCTTCCTCTCGCCCTCGATGTCATTACTCCTCTCGTCCACTTCCCATCGTTCTCACGACGTTCTGACGCATGGACCCACCGAGATGTCACCCTCGACCTGGCCCGCTTCAAGCTTTCCGCGACCTCCCAAGAGCTCGAGGATTGACCCAAGGGCTAGGCGAAGGACAACAAGTCTAGAGATCCAAGGCACCCATGACACCCATGATGATCAGCGAAGGGGGCCAGCGAGTGCGTACTCGCCAACGGGGCATCATCTGACGTCGCTGCAGACGATCCGGGGCCCTTTCGTGCCACAGGGAGTGTTAGCGAGGAGTCAGTGGGGCGCCAATAGCATCAGGTCAGCGTGCTGGGCGTTAGGAACACTAGACAGGAGGAGTAAGTGACATTCAGAGGAAGTGAGTAGACGTAACACTCGGCTTGATGGACGAAGCAAACGGGAGCGTCGCGAGGCGGATCATCCCCGGCCCTCCCCATGTCCCTCCGTAGCCACTCGGCATCTCACTCGGCCGGCGGCAGTAGGCAGGCTGGCAGATTCCGGCGTTTCATCCTCAGCTCGCTCACAGAGTGAGTGCACCCATGTGCACCGTTTCATAGATCAGCGCAGAGTGTTGCTCGCGTGTTTCGTGTTGCGTCGCTGAATGCTGACGACCACGAACCCAATAATCCGGAGCCCCCAACGGGGAGAGCTAATTAATGGATTGCTGTACCAGGGCTGCCGTAGCGAAACTCGTTGCTGGCGTCAGAGGCAGCGGCTCCTCGTGTCTCCGGTCCCATCGTGGTGCCTCTGTGCCTCGCAGATGAGCCGGATGGCCTTGGGTTGTGCTAGCTCTCGGCGATGAGTGGGAGACGTATAGGGACCCTCGGGTCGTCGGCTCGGTGTATGGTGGGATTCGGAAGTTGACTTCGGGTCGCGACGTATGTTACGCCCACGTTGTGCGCGCGTACATTCAGCGCCGACGGGTGTTTTTGGGGTCACAGCAGGGATCAAACGGGATTTCGGGTCTTGAAGTCCGCAAGGATCTGCCAGAGTCCGTTCCTCACTGGGCAACCTCTTGCGCGTTCTCGTCACCGCCAACAGCAATTGTTCATAACGCGCCAGTCCCACGCGACATCCCCGGGAGGTCCAGTCACCCGATAACGATAACGCGTTGGGCCCGATAACGCAACCCGGACCCGTTTCAGAGTTTGACGGGATGTTTACATTGCTCCCACGCCATCTGTCCTTACAGCTCGCTGTAGATAGTGCTCCCTCTGCGCTGCGGGACTTTGCGTTGCGGGATGCACCTGATCGCGTCGACATTCATGTCGAGATGCTGATCGACTGACTGACCCGTCCGCTGAAACCAGATACCTCGATGGACGAGCCTCAACGGGACAGCGCTGTCGCATCTTACAAGGACCACTCTGCATTGCTCGTCGATGTCGGTTGCGACTGTGCAGCCTTGTGTATACATAACAACGCCAGCTAGCTGCTGACCTTCCTGCGACCAGACCTCATTCTGACGACAAAGCGCACGCTGTAGGTTCATCGGCTCAGCCATAACTGCCCCGCTAACACTTGGAGACAAACCACCTGCAGTCGCTCCCAACATGGTCTCCGTCTCTGCGATTGTTATCCTTGCTGGTGGTCTCATCACCAGCGCCCAGGCAAAGCTCAACGGCTGGTCCGACGACTTTGCACTCGGCCAGTACCAGACCTACAACGGACGATACCATGCTTGGGACATCGAGTGGAAGGTGTGCGACGGTTGGGGCAACTTCTGCGACCAGTCCAACTGTCAAAGTCTCGACAGTCACAAGATTGACCCAGATGGTGTGCAGTCATTCAACAACAACAACTGGAAGTATGTCAACCTCCGCAAGAGCGAGTCGGCCTGGGTGGACATCTGGCGCGCCAATGGAGACACCTTCGACATGTGGGAGCAGAGTGCGGCCCGTCCGCAGCAAGGACAGTGCCAGCTGCACCACGGCAAGGCGGTGGACTGTGGAGACGGCCACAAGTATTGGCCCATGATGCACTGCTGGCAGTGGTGAGCAGTACCGCCAGCTAATGTAGTATACTTGACAATGCATGAGTTTTGTTCCTCCCAGCTGGAACTGTGGCCTTACGTAGACATACCGCAAGTTATTGAGCCAAGAGCTACGCTATGCAGCCAGAATCAAGGTACGATCTTGTCCTTCAGTCACTCAGACTGGAGAGAGACGCCAAGATCGTAGGAACAAGCCTGTGTGATCGCTCTCGCTGGTCCTCTGCCGAAACTCTATCCGGCTTTAGCTCATCGCGGATCACACCCAGCATTGTTGCGGGATCTCTCGAAACACTGCCGGGTAGCTATCAGTGGCATCGGCACAGTGTCGTCCCTATTGCCGATAACACAACGGTCACATTCAGTAGTCACCTTCCATTTGAGGACACTGGGGAAGAAGAGCGCGCAAGAGGTCCAGCGATACGTCGGTTTTACATAAAGGGCTGCTTTGACACCACTGCCCTGCCTCAACATAGCTCAGAGCACTTAACTACTTCCTCCCCTTTCCTGTTTGTGACTCAGCTGGAGATGTCGCTGACACTCGCAGCCTCAGGGATATCCACCACACAACGATGGTTTCGGTATCGACCTTGACTCTTCTCGCCAGTGCATTCACCGCCCAAGCTAAGCTTTCTGGCTGGCCCGACGATTTCGGCTTGGTGAAGTTCGAGACCTACATCCAGAACCTCGGCTGGTGGAGCACAACCTGGAAGATGTGCGAAGGTTGGGGTGACTGGTGCAATGAGTCACGGTGCCACGACCTGGAGAACATCGACGTCGACCCTAGAGGCATCGAGGGGATCCTCACTAGTAACTGGAAGTGGGTGAATGCTCGCAAGAGCAATGCTGCCTGGATGGACCTCTGGCGCGGCAATGGTGACACGTTCAGCATGTTTGAGCAGAACGGGAACGGCCAGCAGCAGGGCCAATGCCAACTGCACAACCCTGACCCGCCCTTGGGCTACGAGAAGTTCTGCAGAGACGGCTACCGTTACACTCCTATAATGCACTGTTGGCAGTGGTAAGCCACAGGCACGCAAGGCGTTTGCATTTGATAGCAATGTTCTTATATGCTATGCATCAATTAGCTGAGCTCTGCTCTCGCTCAGGTCTGGCCGACAGGTGTCTTGCTCGGTCCCGCCGGCGGCGAGTGATAGCACCTCACATCATTAGCGGAGAATGTACCGGTACTTCGTCATCGCTTCTGAGCATCTCTTTGAGGTCCAATGCGCACGGATAATGTACGAACCCAAGAAACTACAGGGCAATACGCTTGCACTCTCAGCCAGCATTGGGTTAGGTACGCGTAGTACCAGCCGAAAGGAGGATGTTGGCCTCGTTTGCCGTGCAGGACCACCTCGCCTCCATGTTTCAGCTCCTTGGCAGACCGTCGATCTCAGGCCGGGTCCCTCACTCCCGGCTAACCAATGATGGAGAACTGTAACGTGACTTCGCCGCCTTGACATGTGAGCAAAACCGACTTGTGTGTTGCACATGAGTCACACTGCCAGAATCATATGCAACAGCTATGAAACCCTAATGCACCCCGGGTTCGAGTTCCTCAGCCCCTGGGGCTGGAGGTCCTCTGTCAAGAGTAGATATAACCCTCGTGTGGGCGGTCTGCTTCCTCACCTAATCCTCTTCTTTTGTCGCAAAGGGTACGTTCTACGCTGAACCAGCTCTCTGGCTGACCACATCCACAGACATTTCCGCCATGCTTCTGCTTCCCCTTGCGCTTTCCCTTGTCCCCGCTGCAGCTACTGCCAAGCTCTGGGGCTGGCCTGATTCTTTCTCTGTTTCCGCCGACGTCTTCGGGGACAATATCTCAGACCCAAACTGGATGCGCGTGTGTTCTGGATGGGGCAACTGGTGTCACGATGACTGTCAATCTATTCAGCACTTCGACCATAGGCTCGCTGTCGGAGGCTCCTATCTCCACCCAGAGGTCTGGACGTGGGCACAGATCCAGAAGGAGAACTCGGCATGGGTCGACTTCTGGCGTCAAGGCAATTCTGACACCTTCAACATGTATGAGAGCAACAAGGATAGGACGGTGCATGGGCAGTGCCAGATTGTCCACTTCCATGAGGAACCTCAGCACTGCCTCGGCAGAAAGGTCATGGTGCTCCTCAACTGCTGGCAGTGGTGAGCCGACAGGGCGCCAAAGGCAAAGGAGCCCGAAGAAGTGCAGAAGCACGGTATGCATACACTTGACAACGCTCTTGCACTCTCACGCTGGGCGCCTCCCGTCCCGATCTTGCGAGATGGGGAGTAGTGAAGTCTGGACGCCGAAATTAACTCGGAAATCACTGAAATGAGGCGCGCTTTGCGTCAGGTACATCCGAGCGGGAACTGCCACTGCCGATCATCAGAGGTACCTCCCCAGCCTGCCAGGGGGGGATCGGAAAGCCAGCTACAGTTGCGCCAGCAGCATGAAGGGCGTATGCATGTCTGTCGATGCCAATCAGATGCTAGCGGGAGCGTTGCTGGGCGGAAAAGCGGGGGTTTTGACGTTTGCGTCTGAACCGTGCTTGAACACGGTTTGAGGATGGTTTCGGCGTCACGGACCGGAGTAAACCCTATGCCGAGCCGGCCTCGGCGGGGAGAGTTACGCTGTTACACAAGCCACCACGGCGTCTCTGGTTGGCTTGGGTGTACGTCTCGGTGCGCTTGGTGCGGAATGTGGCTTTAACTTAGGACACACCTGATGCGGTGCTCCGTTGGCGCACTTCGAGCCGATCGGCAACCCGAAGACGAGCACCCCGAAAGTGATTGCTCTGGCATACCGCACGACCCGAAGTTTCAGTGCTGCACCATCTGGAGGACACGCTTCCCGGGTGTTTGGTAAGTGCCATGCATAACGCATGTTTCAGTTCTAGTGAGGAAGTGTTCGCATCTGTCGGGGCGATGCAGGTTGCGACTAATTTCGACGACAGGCTTAAAGCCGAGACCGCGACATCAACTGCTGTTGTCGACAAACTGCATTACACTTTCATTGTTCTATTCTATAACACTAGTTCAGACAGCGCGGAGCGTGAACCCGAACGTGATCGGCGCGTCCGCCTTGATGTAGTACTTCTCCTGCGGCCCCGGTCCGCAGGACGCACTACCCAGACCCGAGTGCTTGTAGTCAATGTTGACCCAGACCTTGCCGTCGTCGGGAATATCGGGCGTGTGCGTTGCGGAGCCGAGCTGCTTGCTCGTGCACCGGCGCACGGTGAGGTTGCAGCCCGTGCCCCAAATCTCCTCGTCGTCCTTGTCCTGCCTCGGGTCGGAGACAACTTCGAGCCCGCCCCTGTTCCCGCCGAACCAGCTTTCGGTCGTGAGCGCAGCAGCAGAGGATGTACTGATGAGGGCGCGGCGGACGCCCATCCTATTTCCGTTCTCCTGAGGACGGACGTAGGGCGTGGCCCAGTCATCGATGTCGAGCGCGTGGTCTCCGACGGCTACGTGCGCCTTCGAGTCGGGATATGCCTCTCCGGGTCCGAGGCCGTACCACTTCACGCCCTTGTGGCTCTTGTCGATCGCGAACTCGACGCCTACACGGGGCAACGTCCATAAGCCGGACAGCCAGCCAAACGGCGCCAGACGCACGTGGATGTGCAGGCTCTTGTCCTTGCTGTCCCTGGGTGCGGCGTAGGTGTATGTGACGCGGTATCCCTTGTTCGTTGCTGCTGGGCAAACTAGCGTGCTGACCGTGATGTGGCCGCTGCGTACGTCGATGCCGTCCACGCGCTCGTGCAGCCGGTCCAACCCGTACTGGAGCCAGTACTTCGCAAGCCAGTTGCGGTCGTTGTCGGTCGGCGCGCGCCAGAGCTGCACGTTCAGAGGGGAGAGGAACTTGATGCCTCCCAATGAGATGAGCTGGCCCCGGGCCGTGAATTCGGCAGCACCCAGCTTTATGTTGTCCCCGATCTCGACAGCCGCCAGCTCGCCGGAGAGAATGTCGACTTGCGTCGCCGGCGCAACACGCTCTTGAGTCCATGCCACGACGTGACCCTTCTTCGCCCACTTCGTGCCCTTCTTCAGCGCGGCGGTAATCGTGACATACGTTTCGCCGCCAGGACCCTGTAGAGCCTCAGCCGGCAGAGGGACCGTCAAGCGTGCACGAGCGGCCACGGGATCCACCTCCAGATCCCCGCTACCCTTACTCTTTCCCTCCGCTTGGAGATCCCACGTGAGCGCGAGATGGCTTGTGTCGATAAAGTCATAGCGAGACTCGATCGTCAGGTGTCCATTCTGCACGGTCATGCGGAGCGGCTCGATGACCTTCTTGAGCTCCAAGAGAGCCGGACTGGGCTTGCGGTTCGGGAAGAGAAGACCGTCGATGCAGAAGTTGCCATCTGTGATTTCCTCACCGAAGTCGCCTCCGTAGACGTAGTACTTCTCGCCGTCCTTCGTCTTTCGGGGGAAGCCGTGGTCGATCCACTCCCAAATGAACCCACCCATGAGACGCTCGTACCGCTGGAATAGGTCTTGGTACTCCGTCAACCCGCCGGGACCGTTGCCCATTGCGTGCCCGTACTCGCACAGCAGGAAGGGGAGACCGCGACGGTGCGCATCCTGTTTTCCGTCCGGTAGCTTCTCCTCCTCCCTCTTGCCCGCGGCAGCAACGTCGGCGTGCGAAGAGTACATCCGCGAGTAGACATCGACGTACTTGCACTCATAGTCGCCCTCGTAGTGGATCGGTCGGTCGTCGCGCTGCTTCAGCCACCACGACATGCGCGCCTGGTTGATGCCGATTCCGGCTTCGTTGCCTAGACTCCACATGACGATGCAGGTGTGGTTCTTGTCCCGATTCCACATGCGCTGCACACGGCTCATGAGCGCGGGCGTCCAGCGCTCGCTGTCGCTCGGGTTGTTCTCCCACCCGACTTCGCTGAATCCGTGCGTCTCGTAGTCGCACTCGTCGATCACGTACAGTCCGTACTCGTCGCAGAGGTCGAGCCACGCCCGGTTTGGCGGGTAGTGCGACGTGCGCACTGCGTTCACGTTGTGAGCCTTCATCAGCTTGATGTCTTGCTCCATGCTCTCCTGCGAGACCGCGCGCCCCAGGTCGGGGTGGAATTCGTGCCGGTTTACGCCGTTTAGCTTGACGGGGCGGCCATTCACACGGAACACGCCCCCGTTCGTTGTGACGGTTCGGAAGCCGATCTTGAGCGTGATCTCCTCGCTGCCGTTCTTGCTCGTCAAGACCGCCTTGTAGAGCTTCGGCGACTCGGCAGACCACGGCTCGACGTCAATCGTCATCTTGTCGCCAGGCGTCTTGATCCCGAGCTCCGGAATGCTGAGGACACAGCCGTCCGAGTCGTGCCAGACCGTTCCCTTGCCGCTTTTGTGGTCGTACTCGGTCCGGATGAAGTAGTCTTGCACGCACCCGTGCGGCCGGTGGAGAAGTGTCACATCGCGGAAGATGCCAGGTAGCCACCACTCGTCCTGGTCCTCGAGGTAGCTGGCAGCACTCCACTGGTGCACGCGCACGGCGATAACGTTCTTGCCCTTCTTCAGGACGTCGGTCACGTCGAACTCGGCTGGCAGCCTGGAACCCGTGCTGCTTCCGACGAACTGCCCGTTGACCCAGACCTTGTACCAGCTCTCGACGCCGTCAAACCGCAGTAGGGTCTGCCCATTAGCTTTAGGTGGATTGGCCAGCTCACCATCCCGCGCTCCTTATGCGCGTCCCACTTTGGCGTGAACGAGTACCGATACCAGCCCGTCGGGTTCTGGTCGGGGACGTACGGCGCATCAACGGGGAAAGGGTACTTGATATTCTGATACTGCGGCGCGCCATATCCGTTCAGCACCCAATGCGCGGGAACCGGCATGCTGGCCCACTTCTTGTCGCTGTATCCCGGGTCCGCGAATGCGTCGCCCTCGCCGTCCGGCGCCTCAACCGTCTCGGTGTACCGGAAGCGCCAGGTGCCATTTAGACTCTGCGAGGCGGCGTTCGTTTCGTGCGGCGCTGGGCTGGCGATCGCCGGTAAGGCGCCGCGCTGAGGCCGCGGATCCTCGTGCTCCCGCGGGTGGAAGATGGTGCTCATCGTCGCTCTGCTGGTGGATGAGAGGATGGGAAGATGCGACTGCATACCGGATCGAGATTTCGGCGGGCGGCAACGACGACGATGCGCCCCCGCAGCCATGTGACATCATCACCCGTTGGGTGGCGTTACACCCCCTCGGCGTCGTCCGACCCCATTTCTTGCTTTCATCAAAACCATCTTGGGCATCGGCTGCAACGTCAACGTGTGAATAGACGGGTGCATCGCACTGACGCTGCTCTCTGAAAACTCTTCTGACGAGTTGCGTCCACCGTACTGAATCGCTCCACTGACGTTCAGTCCCATCCGCTAGACACAATGAGGGAAGACACCACATCAGGTTAGCGACAAGCGGAAGCCACGTGCGTTCTCGATCGTTATATCTTCCAGCGGCCAGCGCTGTCTATCTAATACTGGTAGCAAGCGAGTGCGACAACAGTGTCCTGGCCATTGCAGTCCTTGCGCATGGGCTTGCCGCTGCCTCCCGGGTCCATGATGGGCTCGCAGAATCCGTGCGGGACGGGAGGCTTGTTGTTCTCGAACATGTCGAAGCGGCCGTCCCCGCGGCGCCAGAGGTCGATCCACGCGCCATTCTCGCGCTCGATGCGTGCCCAGTGGTAGTTGACGTCTTGCAGTGCTTGGGCGTACCAGTTCTTCTGCTTCTTGTTGATGCCCCCGAGGTCGACGTTGAAGTGCTGCAGCCGCTTGCACTCCTGGTGCTCGCACCAGTTGCCCCAGCCGTTGCACGACGCGCCCATCCAGTACCACGGCATGATGTCGTCTTCCACCATCTTGCGCGCGACGATGGTGAACTGGTCGTCCCAGCCCCACAGCTTCGCATCTGAGAAGCTTGGTAGGAGCAGTAATGGTGGAAGCAGTGAGGGAAGAAGCATCGTGGGCGGGCGGACGGAGGAGAAGAGTGCGTGGAGGGCTGGAGAGGGATCGGTCTTATCTAGCAAGAGTAACGCACGATGATGTGAGGTGGCTGCCGAGTCGATCGATTTGATTGGAATGTCAACTCCAACTCCAAGGTCCCAGGAGCTCAGCATGAATATATACTGCGCTCTGATGACTGACACGAACAAAGCTGGTTGCTGGGACACCGAACAACAAGCCTCTGTACGACAAGCGTTCTCGAAACAGACACATGTCCGCCGTCAACGGATTACATTGCGGCTCTTGACAACGGCGAAGACGGCTCCTAAGCATCGGGAGCCCGACATAACTCGGGGAAACCCCGCGGTGGATGGAGCTCAGGCATCTCGTGGGGAGCAACCCCGTGAGTGTGGATGGAACACCATGGTATGACACTGCTGAGCTCCGGCATGGCTCCCTGTTCTTCAAAGCAAAACGGCAAGTATACAGCCGCCAACAACAAAGATGAAGGTCCGGTTGAGACTTCGCGGACCGATTTGCGCGGACTGAGCTGCACCCAGAGACGAAATCTCCCGGCCTCAGACTTTGGCGGCCACCCTGCCTCGTCCCTCACCGGCCCTGGCTGTCTATTGTGCGTTTCGTGTGTCAGATGGACCGACCAGAGCATGACACCGTGTTTGCGGCGCTGGAAGCCTCCTCACATTGGCACCCACTTATACATCGTACTCATGCATCGGCAGTAGCACCCAATGCTTCGACCCGTTCATCTAAAGATCGAACAACTCCTAATAGGGAGTCGCCGGACACCGTTGTGTTGCCCCGGTGGACGTGTGGCGTTGGCCGCTTGAGTGACTGCGGGCTCCAACCAGCCTCCGTCTTTCTCTTTATACCTCACCTCCCCGACAACCTCGGCACCCAACAATGCCAGCCTCCTCAACAACAACCAGACCCCAACCTCGGTCTCGCCGTCTCGGGCCCAAAGGTCTCGGAGTCAATCGCAGCTGCCCACGACCCAAGCCTCTGCTCGCTCTATTGTTCTCGACAGATCGCAGACGCCACACCGCCCAGCGCTAGGTACATAAGCCTCCAGATGTGGCGATGCGAAGGCCTCATTCCAATCAAATCAGACGTCGTACCCGATACAGCGGCCTTGGTCCGCATCACCTTCGATCTTCCATCAGCTCGAGAACTGGAACGCGCACCAACGATCTTCCATCACACACTTCTTCCTTATAACCTTGACCCGAAGTTAGACATTGGTGAGTTCTTCTCCGAGGTTGGCTGTACGTGTTCGGAGGTGCGAGTTTGTTGCTGTCTCGCGACCTTCTCATCTGTGACCACGAGACGGCCGCTCGGTGGCAAGCCGACGACGCCAGCGTCTCGCCCATCTCACCCAAGTCGATCTTGGGCTAACCGCAGACCATGGTATCCTTCAAATCCGCCGCCCTCCTCTTCCTCGCCGCAACCCCAGCGAGCGCCAAGCTCTGGGGATGGCCCGAGTCCTGGATCATGAAGGCAGAAACGACAAAGTCGCTCTGGGGCGACCCGGTGTGGCAGGTCTGCGACGGCTTCTCACCCTGCAACGACAAGTGCACGGGCGTAGAGGAGTTCACCTCGAACGGGTTCCGGGACATGCGCAACTTTTCGTGGGCGATACTGAAGCGGAAGAAGTCGGCTTGGATCGATATGTGGCAGGTCAACTCTGTCACTTACCATCTGTACGAGAGCGGGAAGGGCGAGAATGGGCCGCAGGGGCAGTGCGAGATTGCGGACGCCGTGTGGTGGCAGAGGAAGTGTGGGAGTAAGAAGATCACAATCAAGATGAGGTGCTGGCAGTGGTAGCCTGCAGTCCGGTCGAAGAGGAGGCGTCGGTGTACAGAGAGGGGCGGACCTAATGAACGCGCTGTGTAGTCTCCTTGTATATGCAGTGTTCTTTTCTTGACATAGGTCTCTGGTACAGCTCAATGGTGTCGATGCACGGTGCGGTGGTGGTTGTCGCACGACCACCCCCGCAATGTATCGGTCGACTCTGTCCCAACACCTCACAACATGACTTCCATCGTCCTGCCGAACATGCCGAACACCTCTCTGACGCCAGAAGCCTACACGGCAGCGGCAACACGCGGCCCGCGAAGACCAGTAAGCCGGCTCAAGCCGATCGAAGCCGAGATAGCCTATACCTCGCTAGCTCCTGTCCTCAGGTATTGGCGTCGTATGAAGCATTCTATCGACTCGCCGAATCCCGAACAACAACAAAGGTCGTGGCCGGGACACTAGCGAAGATGACTTTTGAGTCTAGCGGTGTCTGGTGTTCTGGCGCGTCTGTCGTTCTGGCGCGGTTCCCTGAATCCCTTGAACTTAACGCGATCGAAGATCAAGCGGCGAGAAGGACCTGTCACCAAGTCGCCTTCTGGATGATGACTGACTAGTAATGCTCGCTGTTCCAGTTGGCCGCGCACTGCTCCGCGCGCGCGCGTCGCTCAGTAGAATGCAATGATCACATAAATCCGGATATCTCTATGGTTCGACTGTTACAACTATGCTGCTGCGTCGTATTAAACGTGACTGCTCGCTCTCCCTCGCCTCGCCCCACTCAGCGCTGTCGCTTAGTACGACTTGGGGAGGTGGAGGACGCGCTCCGCGACCATGTTCATGATCATCTCACGCGAGATGGGCGCGATGCGGGGCACGAACGACTCGCGGAGCCAGCGCTCGACGTCGTACTCGTGCGCGAAGCCCATGCCTCCATGCGTAAGGATGGCGCGGGTGGCGGCGTTGAAGGCGGCGTCGGCGGCGAGGAACTTGGCCGAGTTGGCGGCAATACCGACCTGAATGGGCGTGATGCTCTTGTCCTTCTGGGAGCGGTCGTACATGCGGGCGGCGTGGTAGGTTTGCGCGGCGGCGGCAGCGAGGTGCATCTGGCACTCGGCGAGGGGGTGGGCGATACCCTGGTTCATGCCGATCTTGCGGCCGAAGACCTCGCGCTCACTGGCGTACTCGGCAGCACGGCGCAGGGCCGCAAATCCGATACCGAGCGCCTCGGCGGCGATCAGACACCGCTCGGCGTTCATGCCGTGCAGGATCATGCGGAAGCCCTTGCCGATGTTCTCGTCGCCGCCGATGACGCAGTCCGCGGGCACGGTGTAGTTGTCGAACCAGATCTCGTTCGAGTCCACGGCGTTACCGCCCATCTTGTGGATCGGGTTCATGTCGAGGCCCGGAGCAGACTTGTCGAGCGGAATGGCGAAGAGCGTGAGTCCCTCAGCCTTGGTCTTGACCTCGTCGACGGGCGTCGTGCGCGCAAGCAGGATCATGACCTTGGCGTGCTGGGCGGCAGTGATCCAAGTCTTCTGGCCCTTGATGTTCCACGTTCCGTCGTCATTGCGCGTCGCCGTCGTCTTGAGGTCGAGCGTGTTGAGACCCGTGTTCGGCTCCGTCACACCGAAGCACACGCGGTACTCGCCGGAGATGATCTTGGGGATCAGGTCCGCGCGCTGCGCGTCCGTGCCGAAGATGGCGAGCGGCTGCGTCGCGTAGATGTTGCCGTGCGTCGCCTGGGCTCCGGGGAATCCGGCGCCGGACTCGGTGATCGTCTGCATCATGATCGACGCCTCGGAGATACCCAGGCCGGAACCACCAAACTTCTCAGGCTGGGCAATACCAATCCAGCCGCCGTCGGCGATTGCCTGGTGGAACTCGAACGGGAACTCCTTCGACAGGTCGTGCTCGCGCCAGTACTTGTTGTCGAACTGGGAGACGACGCCCGAGACTCCCTCGCGAACATCCTTCTGCGAGTCGGTCAAGAGGTTCATGTCCATGACCTCGATGCCCTCGATGCGGGCGACGCGCGAGGTCGAGAACGCGCGGGTGGGCGCGGCGGTGCGGGCGGAGCGGAGGGCGCGGAGAGCAGAAGTCCTCATGGTTGCTGCTGTTGGAATGGTGGTGATGGTGGTGAAAGATTCGTTGACAAAGATGCAAGATCAGACTTTATAATCTGGATGCTGGTCGGAGGAGATCTGACATGTCGGAGCTCACGTCAGGACTGGCAGGCAGCACATGTTCATCAGCGAGGACAGCAGCAGGAGTCGGAAACACGGCAAAGTGCGAATCCCGTGATGGATCGGCGAAGTCCACTGCACACCGTTCCGGGGTCGGGAAACACCGAAAGCCGCTATCTATCCGCCGTGAGCCGGGCGGAGCGTGCCTGAACGTGGCCAGTGTGTGAGGTGGGCACACACTGCACGCGCGCAGCTCTCACGTCCGGACCTCCCGTCGCTCCGAAGCCCATCCCTCATATACAACACTTCCGCAACGACCACCCGAGGCCCCCGATTGGCCCCGCTCACAGAGCTGCTAAACATTGGATGTAATGACCACACCCAGCGGGGAGAGAACGTGGGGAACACGCTTGAGTCCTGCTCACATCATCTTAACGGTGGTGACTCTCCTTCTCACCGGCACAGACGGGCAGGCCAAGGAACGCTCCTCAGGAGTGTCCCCGCGCACCGGTACCGCCCCTTAATGGAACACACTTCCGGGATGTACCTTGAGTTGAATGTTGCTTCATCCGGACAGTGAGGAGGAGGAGTCCCACTCTCTTTGTACCTGTGTGTTCCGTTGGAGTCGAGTTGCTCGGCCATGGACCCCCCCTGTTGTCGCTGCGTCCGTACCGCGTTCTCCAGTCAATACCAGCCACTGAGTGCTCACGGGGCCCGTCCGCAGCGTCCGGTAGGTACAGCGGAGCAACGTAGAGCACATGATGTATGCATAGCATACCGTTGTTCGGTCACCGAAAAAATACCTAAATACCTCGATTGCACGTGGCGTCCGGTAACATTTGGGGTCGGCCAAGTCGACTTCTGGGCACAACTCAGGAGCCTGGCGTTCAGTTGTTAACCGGTGCTAACAAGGCGCTAGCGCGCCGCCGCACATCACGTATCTATCTCCCCCCCTTCATCTACGCCGCCTTCGCCGCCTCTTATGCTGTCGCTCGTCGCCGCGTCCACAGCTACTCTAAAAGATCGCAAGGCGCACGCACGCTCACGAGATCAATCCTCCTTTTCCCCAATCCACCACTCGACCACCATGCCGCCATCACCTCCACCAAAGCCGGATGTCGGCCACTCCCCGACCTCGAGCACGCATACGGGACACACTGGCCCATCAAACGCGCAGAGCGGGCAAGCGCAGCAGCAGAATCAGGCCGGAGCCGCCGGGCCGAGCACCGAACTCCGCACGTACCAATACAAGAAGCGGCCGTACGCGCAAGCGTGTCTGGTGCGTCACACCCACCGACTCAGCTAACAGCCCAGGCCTGCAAGTCGCGCAAAGTGCGGTGCGTGGACGCAGACAAGCCGCCATGCAAGGCGTGCCGTGTGTCGCGGATCGCGTGCGAGTTTCCCGAACGCAGCGTGCGCCGGAAGCGTAACCCCCAGCCGGCCAACAACACAGGGGACCAGCAGCAGGCCCTCGAAGCGCGGTTGCGGCGCATTGAGGCCGCGCTCCGCCTCCCTCCCCTCGACGGGAGCGACAACAGCGAAAGCGAGGAGGAGATGGAGCCGCCCCGCTTCAAACTTGGCGGCTCGGACTTGACTGTCTTCCACGGCGAGACGAGCATGCACGACGATGCGACGGACCCCTCGCCCAAGGCCTCCAACCACCCCGACTCTGGGGGACCGAGTGGCCCCCAGTTCGACGCGGCGTGGACGCCGGAAGACATCCGCGCCCTCACTCGTCTCAGGCACAAGTACGCAAGCCCAGACGAAGGCGAGGCGTTCATCGATGCGTACTTCTGCTGGGCTAGCCCGAGTATCGCCGTCGTGAACCGCAGCATCTTCCTGCGCGACATGGCCGTGAATGGGCCGTTCTTCTCCGACTTGCTGCTCCTCGTCATCTACGTCAGCGGGCTGCGATTCAGCCCCAACATTGACGCCGCCGAGCGCAAGGCAAAAGGAGAGCGATACATGGGCATAATCATGAGTTTGATCGCGGAGGACCTGCAGAAACCCTCCAGTATTGTCACGGCGCAGGCACTCTTGAGTCTGAGTGGAACACGCAGCGCCGTCGGCGACCAGACACTCGCTTGGATGCTGGCCGGAATGGGCATTCGTAAGATCCAAGATGTGAGTGGGCATGAGAGCCGCGGCTGACAACAGATGGGCATCCATCTCGCGATCGACAACCCGACGCTGGACGCGCATCATCCCCAGGAGATCCGCGAGATGCGCGTGCGCCTGTACTGGAGCGGTAAGTGGAGCACACGCCAGGGACCGTGGGCACAGCTCACAACAGCGTACATCTGGGACAAGACGCTCGCGCTCGGCATGGGTCGCGAGCCGACAATGTGCTGCCGGCCCGACGCCGTGCCCGAGATTAACATTGACGAGAAGGCAGACGACTGGGACTGGAAGCCCTACTTTCCGGCTGGGGACAAGATTGACCTCATCCTGCGGTACCCGCGTCGCACGTCCATGACGTCTTTCACGCTCAAGCGTACGATCGGGCTGAACCTGATCCTCGAAACGATCCTTGTCAATATGTACAGTCCTACGAGGCCGAATGCGCGCTCCGTCTCGTTCATTCGCAAGACGGACGAGAGCCTGCTCAAATGGTACGCCGACCTGCCTGCTGCGATCAAGCTCGAGAGGGGCAAAATGCCCGAGTTCTGTCCCCCGACGAACATCAGTGTGCTCAAGTGAGTCATCTAGCTTCTTACGACGTGCCTTGCTGACGGCAGTCTCCTGTACCACACCATGCGCATTCTGCTGTACCGGCCCCTCTTGACTGTACGCGGGCAAGCGACGGGCATCACGGCCTCCTCTCTCGACGTGTGCCGCAACGCCAGTATCGACATCCATTCCATCGTCGCGCTCTGGGGGCGCACTTTCGGCCACGTAAACATGGTCTATCTGATCATGTACTGCGTCTTCGTCGCCGCGGGTGTGGACGTCATTCTGCTCCGCATCGCGGACGCACGTGAGCGCGAGGACGCCCTGCGTCGTATCCAGGTCGGCCTGCAGATCCTCGAAAAGGCCTCTGGCCAAGGACCAGGCATCCGGCGCGGCATCGGCATCATTGCGACGCAGCTACAAGCCGCGATCCAGCAGCGAGAGCGCTCCGAGGCCCAGCGTGGCCGCGATGCGCCCAACTCCGCGCCCCAGACGAGTCCGAACGAGCAGCGCCGCGCCGCGTTCCAGGAGTCTTCGCTGCGGTACGAGCCCTACGGGCAGCAGGGGGAGGGCGGGCAGAGTAGCGTCCAGTACCCGTTCCAGCACTTTGAGGGGAGCTACACGACCGAACTCGAGCCGCCTCGCACGTTCAACCTCGCCGACTTGCCGATGGGCGACTCGGGCGCGCCGTTGTTGTTCAACGACGCTTTCTCGCAGCAGGCGCTTGCTGATCTGCTCGGCGAGAGTAACGCGAGCACGGAGGATCCGTTTGCGTTCCTCTCGTCTGAGGGGTGGGATGTGAGGTTGTCGTAGCGTCGCAGGATGAGGAGTCACGAGGAGAAGGATGGGGGCGGAGCAAGGCGTTGTATACCAGTTGTAGACCCTAAGAACACTTGCACAAGCACATGTCTTCACATGTCCACATGCCGAACGTGACTGACTCAAGCCGTGACGCTCACGGACGCCATGGCGCCGGCACACGCGGAGTCGGATGTTCGACATCTGCATCAAACGTGACTTGAACGCCGAATGCCAGCAACCCGGATCTCGCTGCGCCGCACATGCACAGGGCTGCCTGTCCCCCGCACAGTGGCCGACATGCCATGCATGCCATGTGCATGCATATGCCGAGCCCCGCAACGAGTTCACCGATGCGACCTGCCCCGAGCGTAGATTAGATACTGGAGTTACACTTCCGAGCCCTCCCACGAAGGGGTAGTCACTCGCCTATCTTACGCTCTTATGGCAGAGATCGGAAGGTCCGACCGTCCCTCTCGAGGCTGGACTTGTGCGCACCTCGCAGCATTCGGCATGACGCACGGCTACAAGTACGGCGCGTACGGTGCATGCACGTCCGTGGCCGCGCATGCCGCGCACCACCCTGCGCACCGCTGGGCCTATGGCGGACATGTCCGAAGCGGTCGGAATTCGTGTATCCCGAGAATCCGGGAAACTCACCCCTTCCGTCCAGCGTCAACCCTGTGTGTAGCCGAACCCCGACGCTGCTCGGCCCACCAAGGACCACCTTCCGGGCCCACTAGAGTTCTAGACGGCCGGGTGCTAGACCAATATAACCTCTGGACATACTCTGAAGTCGATACTTTACGAACTTGTTACTTTCTCTCGACTACTCTCGACGACGGTTAGGTTAGGCTGGAGAGAAACGACAAACATGCTCCGCAACACTCTGAGAACGACACGACCGGCGGCGTCGCGGCTCGCGCGCCAGCTGCACTTGAGGGCTGATGGCGCCGAGGGACTTTTGGGCAAGGTGAGTGGACTAGCGCGGAATGGTGGCTAGAAGAGGGGAGAGAACTGGGATTGGCGAGGGGGTACGAGGACGGGAGCGTTACGGTGATCAGCAAGTAGATCACCTCGTGCGACCGCTCCACCGTCTCCGCATCACCCGGTGGGCGGCGCCGACTTCGGCGCTCGCTCACCGAGTAACGGGGATGTACCCCTATTACTTGGAACGATGGCTCGGAGCAATCTTCTGTGCCAGCTGCCCAAGTCTCGTGCTCCCCGCTATCTTGATACTGGAGCGAGAGCGAATATTCATCGCTCCATCTCCGAGCCCCACCTGCGCCTCACGGGAACTCCAAACTGGACACAAGCTGACTTGCAGAACCTCCCCCCGTTCATCACCCCGACCAGCACCTCTGGCTCCGGCATTCCGTTCAAGCTGATTGCCTCTCGCGTGGCGCACAAGCCGATGCTCGAGGCCGAGACGCCCGACGGACCGATCCAGCTCCCCCTCGACGTGTCCAAGGACACGCTCCCCGTTGAGTCTGACGCGTTTTTCGCCAAGCTCGGCGGCAACCCGAAGGGCGCCAAGGACGTTGTGCAGGGCCTCTGGAAGACGTGGCGCGACAACGACCTGCTCCGCATCACCGGCAAGCTCGACGTCGGCTCCGGCAAGCTGAACGACCTGCACGTTGTGGCCGACGACTTTGGCCTGTACCGTTCCAACCTGAAGGAGCTGGCCGACGCGGCCAAGGTTCACCCGCTCGAGACGCAGGCTGAGGCGGGACGCCTGTTCTACCACAAGTCGCGCGAGGGAGGCAACATTGCGTGCTACGGCTACGGTGCCGGCATCGCGATGAGCACGATGGACGCCCTGCTCGGTGCGGGCGGCAAGGCGGCCAACTTCCTTGACGGCGGCGGTGGTGCGACCGAGGCCAACGTCCGCGCCGCGATGGGCGTGATCACGTCGGACCCGGACGCGGATGTGATCTTCATCAACTCCTTTGGCGGCCTGACCAAGATGGACCTCATTGCCGAGGGCATGGTCAAGTTCCTGCGCGAACGCAGGGACGCGGGCGAGCGCCTTGTCCCCATCGTCGCTCGCCTGCGCGGTACGGGCGAGGAGAGCGCTGCCCAGATCCTCAAGGACGCGACGGACCTGAGCGGCATCATCACGGTGATTCCGGATCTGAAGGAGGCTGCTGAGGCAGCTGTCCGCATCGCGGCCCAGGAGGCCGAGAAGAACGGCACCGAGCTCCCCAAGCCTTCTGCCGCCGAGCAGGCGCCCGTCGCCGTGCGCGACACCCCCGTCACCTTCTCCCGCGACGGGCAGTACGAGCAGACCCTGGGCAACCTGAAGGTCAAGAACGGCGACCCGGTGCTCATGCTCGGCCTCGGGGGCGCGGCCAAGCTGAACGCCAAGATTGCCTCGGACTACGGAACCAACATTGTCGGCTTCGCCGCGCCGAACAAGGGCGGACAGGAGTTCATTGGCAAGCCCGTGTACGGCTCGATGGGCGAGGCGATCAAGGAGCTCAAGCCGCGCATTGCGTCGCTGTTCGTCCCCGTCCACGCTGCGGCGGACGCCATGATCGACGCCATTGAGGCCGAGATCCCCCTCATTGTCGCGTACGCCGAGGGCATCCCGACGCGCGACCAACTGCGCGTCCAGGCCGCGCTCAGGAGCCAGAACAAGTCGCGCGTCGTCGGCGCCAACTGCCCCGGCGTCATCTTCCCTCACGAGCGCGTCAAGCTCGGCATCCAGCCCCTCCCCGTGCACAGCCCCGGAGACATTGGCATTGTCTCTCGTTCCGGCACAATCTCGTACGACCTTGCCGCGCAGACGAGTGCGCTGGGCCTGGGCCAGAGCGCCGTGTACGGTCTGGGCGGGGACCCGTTCCCGTGCACGCGCACGTGGGAGGCGGTGCAGCTCATGATCGAGGACCCGAAGACGAAGGTGATCTGCATCGTGGGCGAGTGCGGCGGACAGATGGAGGAGGAGGCCGCCCAGGTCTACGCCGAGTACGTCCGCAACCTTCCCGCTGGGCAGGTGCCGAAGCCGGCTGTCGGATTCGTCGCCGGCGAGGCCACGAAGCGCGGCCTCATGTACGGCCACGCAGGCGCTGTGTGGTGGGAGCCCGAGGAGCGCACGCTCGCCAAGAAAAAGTTCATGCAGAACGCCGGCATCACAATGGCCGACACGCTCGGCGACCTCGGCGCCCTCATTAAGCAGACCCACGCCAAGCTCTAGGCCGCAGGTCGGCGGCCGCCAGCCGAAGGCCGACGGCCGAGGCTGTAAGATAATGCGCTGTGGAAGGCAGATCAGTAGAAAGTGTAGAAGTTAGGTTTCAGTAGCCATTAGATTCATGCATCGGGATTTCGGACAACAAGCGAGCGAGCCTGCGAGCGACAGCGAGTCTGCAAGCGTGACTCTACCACATCAGTGCCACAGGCTCACTGCACAAGCCTGGCCGCCGGCCGCGCCGCTGGCCGCTAATCGGGCCGCCAATCGACAGTCGAGCGCGATGCCACAAACAAAAGTAGATGAGTTCAAGCGACGTACGCAGGCAACGCGTGATTCCGGAATCCGAGCCAGTAGCTCGTTAATTGCCAGAGTCGCTTGGCAGTCCTCGGGTCCTCGGCCGATGACTCTCTGAAGCCGGTACTTATCCTCCCCCAGCAAGATCCAAGAGTAGAACTAGCAGTGCGGTGGAAGGGGGCGTAGGGGCGTAGGCGGTCGTATGAGCACCCCAAGACCCAGGCAGCCGTGGGAAACATCGAAACTAGCAAAGCTCGTCTCCGACCTCGAGGACCATCCGATGAAGGCATCCTGGGCTCGACTTATACCGTCACTACCCCACCCTCCTACAGCCATACACCCCTCCCATACCGTCGTTCTGCCCATCAGCCCACTCAAGCGTTACTGCCTTAAACGCTGCCGCTAGCCCGGCAGCACCAGTCCGATGCGATCCTATGCATATCCGATTCAGGGGTATCTGGTATCTACGAGGAGAAATGGAGGAAAGAAATGTACATACAGCCCGACCAAGACTTTGGACGGGGGACGAGTTATCCCTGCTTTTTTTTGAAGTGTAGATGGAGTGTCTATAATGAAGCGCAGCGTGGCAACAGCGCCGCCCGTTCCACCGCGGAAGGGGTGCGCGCCGCTCCGCACCGTGCTCCTTCGGAGCCCGGCGCTCCGCGATGCGGCTTAACGACGCTGCGTCGTGCCCGCCTTGCGCTTTCCAGACATCATCCACTTGGGACGCGTAATGGGGACGTGGCGGTCGGACTCGGACGCCTTGGCGAGACGGTTGGGCTCGCGCTGGGCAAACTTGCGCAGCTCCTTGGCCTTGGAGTACTGCTGCTCGTTGGCGAGGCCTGCGGGGAGGGCACTGTGGCGGCCATGGGCGGCGACGCCGCGGGCGCGCTTGCGCGGCACGTCCTGGTCCATGTCCATGTCGACGTCTCCGTCGTCGTCGCCCGAGTCCGAGCCACCGCCGTTGGCGCGACGCTCGGCCTCGGCGGCCTCCCAGGCCGCCTTCTTCTTCTCGACGAGGCGCGCCGCACGCTTCTCGAGCACGCTGGGGTCGTGGCCGAGCTTGCGCATGCCGTGGGTGAACTCGGAGAGCGAGACGTGCTTCTTCTTCCGCGGGATGATGGGCTTGTTCTGCAGCGTGTTCTTGTCCTGGCTCTTCTTCTTGATCTCGGCCTTGCGCTTGCGTACCTGCGCCGCGGCGTCGAGGAACTCCTCCTCGTCGCTGTCCAGCATCTCCTCCTCCGACTCGGCGTAGAAGCCCGCCTGCTCCAGCTGCTCCTCCTCGCGCTCCAGCGCCTCGAGCTTGGCCGCAATGTCCGGGTCGATAAAGTCTGCAACGTTCTTGCCGTCCATGATCTCGGGCATGACGTCGTACTTCCACGAGTCGTCCGCGAGCAGGTAGTCCCGCTTCAGGTCCTGCGTGTAGATGCCCATCCAAGGGTTGTTGCCCATCTCCTGCTCGACCTCCTTCTCGAGCTTCTTGCGCGTCGGGTCTTCCGGGTCGAACTTCTTCTTCTGCTTGGCAGCCTCGGGGATGAACGCCGGTCGGTCGACGTCGTCACGTTTCTGCGGCATCGCGACGTGGATCTTATTCGCCACAGACTCGATGCGGTTGCCGCGCAGCTTCTGCTCGACACGGTGCGCCAGGAGCGCCTCGCACGCCTTGGTGCGCACGTCCATGACACCCTCCTCAGAGTAGGTCGACGACTCGACGACAATCACACTCGGGTCCTCGCGGATCGTGTCAATGTACGCCTTGTTCTCGGCAGACAGGTCCGCGAGGCGGACAATGTCAATCTTGTTGATAACAAGAACAACGGGCTTGTTCGCGAACAGGGGCTTGATCGAGTGGAACAGCTTGCACTGCGCCTCAATCGTGTAGCCACACTGCTCCGACAGGTCCATAAAGTAGAGGACGGCGGCACGCAGGTGCGCGAGCGCAGTGATCGACTGCATCTCGATCGTGTTCATCTCCTCGAGCGGGTGGTCGAGCACACCGGGCGTGTCAATCACCTGCCACCGGAGGTACTTGTAGTCCATGTGGCCGACGAAGAGCGACTTGGTCGTGAAAGCGTACGGCTGGACGTCGACATCGGCGCGGGTGATCTTGTTGATGAACGACGACTTTCCGACGTTGGGGTAACCGCAGATAACGAGCGTGCGGGTGTTCGGGTCAATGGCGGGGAGACGCTGGATGTGCTGGCGAACCTGCTCGAGGTAGGCAAGGGGGTCTTTCTGCCTGCGCATGATCGTCGCCATACGACCGAGGGCAGCAGTCTTGAGCTGCTTGCAGCGATAGAGCGAGTCACCAAACTTGAGCAGACGGACGTAGTCCTTGGCGACCTGGGCGATCAGGTGACGAGCCATCGAGATCTGACCGAGCGCAAGCTTGTAGTGGTTCTTGTCGTAGAGGACGTTCAGCAGCGACGACAGGAAGGGGTGGAGGTTGTCGAGGATCGGGAACTCGGAAAGGATGCGGCCCAGTTTCTCGTCGAAGGCGTCCTGCGTGAACTTGACCTTGCGCATGTAGAATTTACGGATACGCGAGATCTGAGAGTCAGTCTAGGTCTCCTAGGTGAAGTTGAGCTGCACAGCGGCATCACAGAGACGGTCGATGTTGACGCTTATTCTGCGATGCAGCTGCTCGTCCCAATGCTCACGTTGAAGCCACTCCTGATGACGGTAGGAGTACGGCGCATGGTGCCAGAGAGGATGATGTCGATCATCTCGCTGGCGGGAGGGACAGGCGCAATGGCCTGGAGGCCACCGATAGCAGCCATGTTGGTGAGATGTTACAGGTGAGTGGGTAAGGAAGGGTGGCGAAGTTGTTGATTGTCTATGGATACAGGTGTCGAGAGCTTGTCGTCTGTATCTCGAAATGCGGTGTGCTCTCCGGGGAGTCGGTGTGTCGACGTCGGACTCGAGCTTTTGGGTGTTGTAAAGATGTGTAATGCTCTTGTGGGTGTTTGACTTTCGCCTCGTGAGCAAGAGGTGTGGTTGTAGCAACACTGGCCTGAGTTGAAGACCTTCACTATGTGGAAATTATGCCGTGCGCGTGACGTCCGGTACTAGAAATTTTGCTACGACCCAGTCACAGCCCGCCCAGGAAGTCTGCGGTCGTGCCTGGCAGTGCCTGAGTAGCCTTCACGCGAGTCTCACGTTGCACAATGTTACGTAAAATATTTAGATCTGGCCACCTCGACGCATCGACAATGCCTTGTCATGAGCAATACGCCTGCTCACGTACCGTATGCAGCGGCTCTGTTATCTCGGAGGGTCAAGTAGATCGTGCGCTGCTGGCTAGTAGGAGCATGTACGACCGCTACAAGCGCAGGCATATGGCCGGCTGAAGGTCTGTTGAGCGAAGTGTACTGCCACTCAAGAGCTTAAACGGTGATAAACTTTACACAATGCCGCCCATCGCAGAAGACACTGCAAGAACAGTACACATTGTGTGAGCGACGCGCTGGATATGTTTATCGGTCTATTGGTCTGCGATCTGTGACCCGACGTAGCAGAGCAAGGTGACGAGGACTGAGTAGGTGTGAGGATGGATGAAGTCAGAACCACGTGGCAAGTGCCACACTGGCGGCGAGGGTGTACGGCGATTTCGCTGATTGCCCTGGCCAGAGAATGCAGATTGACGCAGATTCAGTGGTACGCAGAGAGAGAGAAGGCTTGGCCGGCCCAGGGGCAGGGGCTTGCAGAGCTGTACACCTGGACAGCGGTGGAGAGCGCCTCGCATGCCTGGCCTGGTTGGTCGCGCGCCTGCACCCATGCACCCATTAGCACCCAGGCTGGCACCCACTAGTCTGGGCGGGACAATAATGCTGGCAGATGAGTGGGCTCGTAATGCGGCTACTTGGCTGCTGCGCGCTCTCACTAGCGGAAGCAATATTCAATGCATTAGAACGCCTCCTTGGCCCCCCCCCTCTCTGTAATACGCATTCAACTCGATCCTCGGACACTCGCTCGCTCGCCTGCCTGCGCTTCCCTTTGCTTTGCTCTCTCTCTACACTTCGGATCCCTTCTTTCCTTTCCTTCCATCTATCTCTATCCTCCTCACCGAGCATCCCATTTGGTACAACCGACTCACGGTCTGACACTCGCCACGTCAAACCGAGTCTAGCCGACCAATCCTACCTGATCGAAGAGGTTCCACAAAGCCATCAACCCCCTCCCCCGACGTCAACACCCTCGTCTCCTCTCCCCCCCTTCCCCTTCCCACCTCCTCCCCCGAACCCGGGTACTTGATTCGCCATGGCTTCCCTCGGCGACCTCTCTAAAAAGTACTCGTCCCAGCTCAAGCAGCTGCAAGGCATTTTCCCGTCCTGGGACGAAGAGGACCTTCTCTTCACGCTCCAGGACTCAAAGGGAAACATCGAGGAGGCTGTTCTTGCCATCTCCGAAGGTACGTCGCTCAACATTGTCTCAAACAATCATCGCATCGCTTGTCATCCTGTGCTAACATACTCTTCTTCCCCTTCGCGCCTCGACATTTCTTCACACTTCTCGTCTTCCCAACTACGTCACGTCACTTGCACGCAATTCTCCCTCGTTTGGACGACACCCTGTAACTCGACATTGCAATCTATTCACCTGCAGGCCGTGCGTCTCAATTCACCGAAGCTACCAAGAAGAAGCCCGCCAAGTCGGCCCAGTCCCACAAGTCTCACAGACATGACGGTGGATCAGGTTGGGAGAATGTCGACTTTGCTAGCGGAGCTCGCGGTGGACGCGGTGGTGGTCGCGGTGGACGTGGTGGAGTGCCCCGAGGCATGGGTAAGTTGTCTCGCCTGCGCACGCGATGTGGCTGACACCCAGCGGCTGTTCGTGGAGCTCGTGTTGGACGCGCCGGAGCTAGGGGCGGAGCCCGCGGTGGATTTACCGGCGTGAACGGCGGTGCTAAGAAGACTGACGGTGGACCTTCTGATGCTTGGCCCACGACGACCGAGACCACTGTTGAGGGCTGGAACAACCAGGTTGAGCAGTCTGAGAAGGCTTCCCAGCACGAGGACGACGAGGACGATGGAGGCTGGGGAGTCTCCGATGACACTCCTGCCCCCGCCAAGCCCTCGACCGCTACGGGAGCCTGGGGAGCCGGTGCTCCCAAGCACCAGCAGCAGAAGAAGGCCGCTCCTGCCGACAAGCCGGCACCCGCGCCCAAGTCCGCTCCTCATGCCCCTGCTAAGGAGGTGAAGGAGCCTGCCCCCGCTGCTCCTGCTGTCCCGGCTAAGAAGACCTGGGCCCAGATTGCCAAGTACGTTACCAGCCAGTACCCCATTGCTGACCACAGGCCCATCGAGAAGCCCAAGCCCACTCCTCCCCCCGCGCCGAAGGCCGAGCCTAAGCAGCCCGAAGAGCCGAAGCCGGAGGAGCCCAAGGAGGAGAAGGAGGCTCCCGTTGAGGAGGAGCAGAAGCCCGAGGAGGAGAAGCCCGAGGAACCTACGACTGATGCCCCCGAGCCTTCGACGGAGCAGTCGGCTGCTACGACTGCCGCTCTCGACGCCCCCACTGAGGACGAAGCCGCCAAGTCTAACGGCCCTGACGCTTCCGAGAAGTCCGAGGAGCCCCAGTGGGCCTCTGACCCCGCCATCGTCGGATCCGCTTCCGCCCCTGCCCCCGCTCAGCAGGCTGCCCCGGCCGCCGCCGCTCCCGAGCCTGTCACGACCTACACCGGCCCTCCCGGATTCAACCCTATCGCCTCCAAGGCTGTCGGCCAGCAGCAGCAGCCCCGCACCAACTCACGATCTGCTCAGCGGTATAAGAATGCCGACGGTCAGGCTGTTGTTCTCCCTGCCGCTGCCAGCGGTGTCTCTGCCGTCGAGGTTCAGTTCGGTAGCCTGAGCTTCGGTGGCCTGAACGGTGACGGCGTCGAGGCTCCCGTTCAGGAGCCCTCTGGGCCTGCTGCCCAGGCCGACACCGCCCGCCCCACCCACGCCGCTTCTTCCACCACCCCCTCCAACACCTCCGCCCCCGCTCCCTCTCAGCCTTCCGCCCCTGCCGCTCCTGCCGCCCAGGCCCCCGGCGCCTCTGCCTGGCCGCAGCAGCAGCAGCAGCAGCCCCAGCAACAGCAGCAGGCCCAGCAGCCTCAGCACCCTGCTGGATTCCCTCCCTCGCACACTCTGCAGCAGCAGATGTCCGCTTACCAGTCCTACGGCCAGCAGCAGCAGCAGCCCCAGCACTCTGGCCACGAGGCCAGCACTCCTCAGCAGCAGCCCCAGCAGCACTCGCAGTTCGGTGGCTACCGCCAGCAGCAGGACTACTACAACCAGATCGGCTCGCAGCAGGGTCAGCAGAACCAGCAGAACCAGCAGCAGCAGAGCCAGCAGCAGACGCCCGGCGCCTCGTCCGACTCGCAGTCGCAGCAGCCCCCTGCTCAGCAGCAGCAGAGCCAGCCTCAGCAGCCCCAGCAGCAGCACTCGTACGACCAGGGACACTTTGGCGGATTCGGCGGACAGCAGCAGCTCTTCGGCCAGCAGCACGGCCAGCAGAACGAGTACGGCCACCGCGGCTTCGACTCGTACTCGAACACTGGCTACCCCCGCCCTCCCACTGACGACAACAAGGCTGCCCCTGCTCCCTCGCACACCTCGGCCCCTGCTCAGCCTCAGCACCAGCAGCACGGCGGCTACTACACCAGCCACCTCGGCAACATGGGCTACTACCAGTCTGGTCCCTACAACCCCTACTACCAGTGTAAGTTGAGAAGCTGTAGCCACACCGGAAGCTAACGAACCCAGACGGCCAGGCCCCCACCCCCGGCTTCCAGCAGTACTACCCCATGGCCGGCCGCAACCTCTACGGCCAGCCCGCTCCCCAGGCGCCCCCCGCCCCGATCCCGAACAAGCCGACTCCCCCGGCTGCTCACCACTCGCCCTACGGCGGACCCCAGGGCTACCCCTCGTCGTCTGGCTTTGACGACCAGCCCTACGGCCTTGGCCGCTTCGGTGACAACAAGGCGGGCGGTGCTCCCCAGGGTGCCGGTGCCACGCAGGGCCAGCAGACTCCCCAGCCCATCGGCGCTTCGTACCCGGGCCAGCAGGGTCTGCACAACTTCCTCGGCGGTTCTGGTTCGACCGGCTCGGCGCAGCCCAACCGCCCCCAGGCGGGCACGCCCGATGACGGCTTCAACAAGAACCAGACTGGCGCGTCGAACACTTCTGCTCCCGGCGGAGCGTCGGCCGGCGCCCGCAACCAGCCGAACCAGCCCCAGCAGCAGGCGTTCGCGTCGTACCCCTACGGCGGATACCAGAACCACGACTGGTCGCCGTACGGCCAGCAGCACTACTCTGGCTCGAGGAACGGCGGCTACTCTGGCTGGCAGCAGTAAGAAGCGCGGCCGATCGAGGCCAGCGCGCGCGTATGTGGAGCAAATGAGCGCGATATGATACGCGAACCGCATATGCAAGCAATCTAATCAGCCCCGCACGCACGCACGTCCATCTCCATCTCTTTTATGTGTCTCTCCAAAATCAAGTTTCCACTCTCACAACAACATCCTCTTCTCCTCTCTTCTCTTCTCTTTTCTTTCTTTTTCTTCTCCCCCTTTGACATCAAAGCAAATCAAATTAACTACCAACACCCTTCACCTCCACACACAAACCCAACTCAAACGTAGCAGCCCCACAATGGCCCCGATATCGACCCACGACCGCATAGCTCCCCGTCCGCATCCGACCTTGTCATGTGTAGGCTAGATGTGCCGATGCACCAGTCGATGTTGGGAGTGGCACATAGGGTCATTACAGACACGTTGCAGACGTGAAATACGACTGACCGACTGACAGGCTGACGGATGACGGGCACCGAGTCCAGAGGGGACGAGATGACGAGGTCATGAAGTCGAAGAACGACCGGGGGTCATCGTTCATAAAGTTCCGTCACAATCATGTAGGCGGTAGCGGAGAAGGCCCTCTGTCGAGCTTGGAGGAGCGCCTCGCTAGTTTCAAAGTCTCCCACGGTGGCCCCACGGTGTGCCTGAACCAATAGGGGCAGGCAGCTAGGCAGATGCGGTGATGTCGAGGGTGCAACGCCCGCAACGCCCGCAAGGCGCGCAAGGAAGTGGTCGCAACGTCGCAGGGTGAGAATGTAGTACTGGAAGATGTACGAGGCCGTGCGCAGTTCGAGGCGGAACTGGCCGAACTGGAAAGGCTCGAACGAGTATGTCAGTTATCGCGAACTGAGCCTGAGCCCGCGAGCCCGCGGGGGGATGCAGAGGCGACAGTTGACGGAGAGAAAGAGCCGTGGGGATATCACCACCGCGTCAGACTCGCCAACCACAGAATTAGAGTCGCGTATCTGGTTGCGCTGGTTGCGCTGGTTGCGCTGGATGCCGAGCACATTGTGCCTCCTGTCTCTGCCGACGGAGCAATCGACAACCAGAAATGCGGGAATCCTAATGTGTGCAGAATTGCACAGATACGCTTTCGCTGGTGCTTTGGCGTGTTACACAGAGGCACTGTTTTGGACCCGACCCGGCAGCGGGGCTCGGATATGATGCTACAGAATATGAATGTCGATGCTACGGTTTCGACTTGTCTCTGCACCATCACGGACACGAGCGGAGGAGGAGGAAAATGAAAGGGTACATGTATGTTCAACCACCTTTCCGCTGTCTCTGAGTTATGTCATGAGCTCTAGATAAGCCTCGGCGCCCTCGCTAAGACGAGTCTACCGAGACTAAGGCAAGGTGATTGCGGGAAGTGTCGACCTGGAGAGACATGCCCGTCGAGCCAGTGTGCCACATTCATCTACACAGTCCAATTCGTGGTCCTGCAATGGGGTCCTGTATCTCGCTACTTCTGCAGGCTTGAGTTTTCTATCTCCAAAGTATGTCTGTGTGCGAGGCTTTGTAAGGTTTCCAGCCTTTCCATGCGAGGGTACGTTAACTGTTTCTTTCCTTCTCCACTTGTCTAACGCCACAGCCACAGATGGCGTCGGGCCTCAGCCGCAGGCCGCGAGCTGTTGCTTCCGAACGCAAGGGGGAAAATGCACGAGTTGGATGAACACACGGAAACGGTGGCGTCCTCCCCTCATTAACATAAACTGGCAACTAGGTCTCTGGATGTAATTTAGAGCAGATATCGAAACTGTCGGAGTCGGACATGAGAAGACGTGTTTGATTCCAGAGTTTGGTACAGGTCGCATACCGCCACGAAATTATGACTCAACAGAGACATGTTTAAACTGCACGGTTTCGCTCTTGGGTTGCAGCCACTTGTCTCTCCGTAACCTGCAGTAGACGAGTTTAGTTTGGTTCGGCCGATGACTGTCTCCCACATAGAGGGAGGGCACTTCGTCGCCTTCAAAGTGAAAGAGAGCAGAGAAAAGGGAATGGCTGCCGCCCGAATCCAAAGTCAGTTGCCAAACTTGAGCCACCAAACTCAATTCTCCGTTGCGCCCCACTGCAAGCTAACCGATACACTTGACAAGACTTTGGAGGTACAAAGAGGTCGTATGTAATATCCATGACAAAGTGGTTCGTTACAACATCGTTACAACAGTCTGAGTTCGACTATGGCGCCACGACCGTGCCACTCGTCACTTGGTGGATGAACTGGCGGTATCCCTGCTCATCGTCGCTCTCCAGCAGCGCCGTGTGCATTATCCGCACAGGGGAGGGGGGACTCTGCGGACTAGGCGGCATCCAAGGCCGCTGCTGTGGCGGGGGTGTCTTGGGCTCGGTGTCCGTGTCCATAGAACTATCCGGTGTGTGCGGGGGCGATATCAGCCCAGGAGGCGGCGTGACCTCCCTCCCTCTACCCCGGTGCTCCGTGTCCAGTTCAATCCCCGCCCCATCTTTCAGCCCATTCCACCTCCGCTCTAGTCGGCGCACGTCCTCGCGGGTGATGGCGTCTATGCCACGGAGATTTACCCACTCCAGCTCTCGGGAGGAGATCATGGCGAGATCCTCGAACGTGAGGCAATTGTTCCACGCGAGGTCGACGCGGCGGAGTCGCTCCGCTCCCAGCGTATCGAGGCAGACGATGGAGTTGAAGGCGGCATCGAAAACCTCCATCGACGAGGGCAGGGTCGGTGCGCAGATCCCGCACCCCCGCGCCGTCAGTTGGCGCAGTGGGGGCTTCAGCAGCGGCCAGACACCAGACCACGCTAGGCGCACACCGCTCATGTCCAGCACTTCGAGTGCCTCACATTTGGATATGTATCGCACGACCTCCTGATGAGTCGCCAACGAGGCTGAGGGCGCCTGCCGGCCCGTCCGTCCCAGTCCGCCCCATATCCGCCCGATCTCCATGTCGCCCTCGCGACTTCCTTCGCTGTCCCGCATCTCGTCCCGAGAGTCTGATGAGTCACTGGAGGGCGACGACGGTCCCGAGGGCAGGAGGAAGCGGAACGAGAACTGCGTCCGCTGCCGTATCGTCAGGTGGCGAACGTGAGGGAGCATGCGCAGTAGGAGGCCCGGTCGTCGGACGGGAAGCTCGACACGGAGAGTGCGGTGCAGTGCTGGGGTCAGGACGAGAGAGCGGACCGAAGGCGAGACGGCTGAGAGGGTGACGAGCTCTGGATAGGGAAGGAAGGAGAGGACATGGAGCTGGAGCTCTGGGGCGAGGGTCGACCAGCTTGCCCGTGGACAGTGCGATGGGGCTCGCGAGGGTTGTGGTCGCCGCATGGTTTAGAAGGATGTGTTGCGTTGGGAGTGATTATTCGTGTTAATTCGTGAGCGGATGGTCTAAACGGTGTATCGGGCGGACTCGAGTGGATGCACTAGAGCGGATTGTGGAGATGGACGTTGGAAGTGGAGGGAAGGCAAGTGAAGGTGGGAAGTGGAGGGCATTGGGGGTGGAGGCCGTGGAGGGGAGTCGCAAGTGGAGGGTGTCCAGGGTGAGGGGAGGGGTCTTCCCCGGTGACGCAAGTGAGTTCCCACGGTGGAGTGGTCACCTGAGTGGTGGGTGATCGCCGAAAGGGGCTTGACTGGGTGGGAGGGAGGTCTTTGCCGCCGAACTGAGATGCATCCACTTTCGGTTCACGGCCCTTGACCAGGAATGCAGTGTTTCGACTACGTCCTTGTCAGACTGTGAGGGCCTCGAATCGAAAGTAGTGGGTGCGGTTTGGGTGAGG